CCCAAACCCCACCCCAACCCCAACCCCAACCCCAACCCCAACCCCAACCCCAACCCCAACCCCAACCCCGAAACCATTTAAAAAGATATTTTTCAAAACAAAAAAAAATAATTAATACATAAAATTCTTAAAAAATTATTTAAGTTTTATAATAAAATAACAAATATTATTTAAAATATTAAAACTAAATTTTATGAAGATATTTGGAAATCTTACTTCTTCTATTTTCATAATAAGTCTCTCATTTATCTAACTTATTCTTACTTAGTACCATATCTTTTCTGATCCAAAAAAAATATAATCTGCTTACTAGTTGTATATAAATACTATCATAAATACTATAGATAGAAATTCACTCTTAATTAATATTAATAAAATATACTAAATAAAACACAAAACCTAAACAAAACAAAATAATTTAACCTATTTTTACTATCATACTATCTAAAAATAACTCAATCTCCCTTTCTCTTACTCTCGATGACCAACAACAATAATACTCGATTAATAAAATTTTATTTGATTAAATTAAATATTGTAACAAAAACTATTCCTTACTTTAAAAGTATTCATTGATATTAACTAAAAAAATAAATATTTATAAAATTTAAAAATTCAAGAAATAATAAATCAATTAATTTTATTTGTTAACAAATTCATTATTTCTGTTGATGTTTATTTTTTTTAATTATTTTTTTAAATTAATGCAAACAGTATTTTTAGTAAGTCAAAAATATTTTTCTTTATAAATATGTTTTTTTTAATTGAAATGAGTGAATTTTTTTTTTGTATTTTAACAATATTTATAAATAATACAATTTGGTGATAAAATAACATAATAAATATAAGCTTAGATTTAATTATTTTTACAGAAGAAGTTATTCATTTGTTAATGAAACACTATTATAGTTAAGGAATAAATTAGTTTATCAAAGATGTAGGAATTTTTGAGTTATGACCTTTTTGGCTATCATATCCTTGAATAGAATTTTAGCTGTGGTTTAATGATGCTTGCGTCTTTAATTTTCTATGGTTATTACTAAATTTGAAATGGTTATTTTAACTTGAATTCTTTGCTTTATTACTGTGCTGCTATGTGGTTTAGAAATATAAAGAGGCCTAATTGAAATCAGATTCTTATGTTTTTATAGTTAGCATTTAATTTTTTATTAAGAATTACTTCAATTTTTAATTTACAATTTACTCAATCGACTCCTCGTTTTTATCTTACTCAAAATTATGAACAGAATTTAATTTTTGATGTGAACTATTTAACTAATCTTCTGTGGATAATTTTGAAAGTAAATTCTAACTTCTAAAAGTTTGTTTATTAGTATTTGTAAATTTAGGAGATTAAGAATTTTCTTTTATTTTGATGGGACTTTGAATAGTGTCCTTTGATTAGCGAGAAGTATGAGGGAAAAAATGATCTAAATTAGTGGTAGAGAATCTTTGAGTGTTTTTGCTAGATTAAGCTTAATATTAATTTTAAGGAGAAAAAAACTATGCAGAAATTCGCCTTGGTGATTCTAGATAAATTTGTTGTAATTTATTTGAAAAGATAGATCTTTGTATCTTATATTGATCTAATTTTTAATTTACAAGTTATTTAAAATAGTTATTTTGCTACAATCCTAAATTATTAATTTCTTCCATAAATTACTAGTTATTAGGAAGATTTTATATTTCTTGGTAACTTATTTTGTATACTTCTATGTTTTGCGATCTGCACTTTGCGGAATATTATCTAAATTGAGATTTCTCTCCAATAAATTCAAGTCCTATGATGTTTGGTCCTTCAATATAAGTAATTATAGGAGAATGCTTGATACTCATATTACTTATTTCAACTTATCCCTTCAATAGAAAATAGAAATGTGTTGGCTTTTCTGAGTTTTGAAAGTATAGAGCAGAATCTTCAAACAATTACATTTAGTGCGCCCTGTTTGAAATAAGATCAAGCAAATCATAATTTTGTCTAAGACTATATAATTTCTACTATAGAAACTCTATTATCTTTTATTTGTTTTCATAATATTCCGCAAAAAGTATTTGCTATGAATCTGCAGACAAACGGAATATGTGCAAATTTTTCCCAGCTATAAATTTAACTTTACGTTATTTTAACTCATTCTAAATGTAAATTTGTAAGTCTCCTATTTAATTATCTTTGCTAATCAGAAAATCATTTGAGTTTTTACCAAAAGTCATACCTGCCTTAATAAGAGCAAACTCCTTGAATATGCATTCATCTTCTAAGTTAAAATTTTAGCTATACCTAAATAGGTCAGCCCTTAAATATTCTTCCACCAAAACATCAGAAAAATATTTGTGAACTCTCTCTATTTTTTCTATTTCGCTCAGTATTTCTTTTTTTCTTTTGGAGTCAAAAGTTTCTTCATATTCTTTTTTTTTAAGCTGGAGTTTTTTGTGCCAAAATTAATCTTACATTATGCTCCTTTAGCTCCTCTCCTGCAAAGCAATTACTTCTCCTTTTAAGATAAAAAAAGTGTCATTTGTGTTATACTCTGCAATAAACTATCCTTCACTTATTTATTGATATTCGACTAAAGTAGCTAGCTGTTTAATAAATTAGCTTAATTTTTTATTTTAGCTTTAATTATGCACGAACTTAAAATTGTAAAGAATCGAAACCAAGTCTGGAATTGGAGTCCCATCATCTTAAATGTATTGTTATGATTTAATTTTTCTGAGCATAGTTTTACTTAAATTAAAATTAGGATTTTCAAATACTCTCATTTTTTAGTATTAGCTCTTAACCTTTAAATCTAACTCTTGATAACTTTTTTTTTTCTCTCCTAAAAATTTGTTTATTCTTGTTTGCCAAAAATTACTTATTTTAATATAAATTAACTTTATAAATTTGAATTGGATCTTATGCTTATATATATTCAGAGATTGGTTGGTTTTTAATGGTACTAACAGCATACAAAATTGTTTGATCTCAAATTTTGTTGTAAAGGTTATAAATTAAAAAGCGATAACAATCAATCATATTACTTAAATAAAAATATAAAAGAACATGTTATAATCAATGTAAACAATATATCTTCTAAATTGAAATTAATGCTGAAATATTAATATGTATTTCAAAAAGTATTTTATTCTAACAATATTTCGTTCGTTGAAAAGATTTTCAAAATATTTGAGATAGAATTAATTTAATAAGCAAATTAATAAAATAAAAAATCATATAGAAATTATATTGTAAATGTAATATTTTTCAATATGTGTTAAATCAACAAGGCAATTTGCCCGAGTTGGTTAAGGGGGACGACTTAAGATCGCCTGGATGTAATCCGCGTGAGTTCGAATCTCACAGTTGCCAATACTTTTTAGCTATAAATGCAACAATTTAAAAGATAAATTTATTTTTATTAAACACTATTGGTAGATATTATAATTTTATTTTCTATTACAAAAGTTATTTTTTACTTTCATGATTAAATATTTAATTAAATTTTCTATTAATAAATCTATTTAAATTGCTTTGATATGCATCTACTTTATTTATTTTCAATTTAAAAATAATAATTTTTATAAGAGATATTTACTTTCAATAATAAAAAATATGAAAATAGTCAGTCATTTTATAAATTTCATCAGAAAAATAATATTTAATGGCAAAACACCTAAAGCGGAATTATGCATATTTTATAAGAAGATCGGATCTGATTAATCATGATATCATGAGTATTTTTTTACAAATTTTTTTGATAAGATCCAATTCAATTTGATTAAAAAGAATTGCATTTTTTTAGAAATAAAAGTTTATTGATATAGAAATGAATATTAAATTAATTAACTTACCAACTTTCTATCCCTTTTTAAATTAAGTAAATTAGGTTTTATGCTGATTTGATTGAAATTTTATATTTTTCATCAGATAAGAATATTTTTTGCACAATTTCTTTTTTTTCAATAAGATTTGGGTTCTAATAGAATAGATGATGTAGTTTATAAGAAATTGATAATCAACTTTTTAATTATTTTTAATCAGATAAATAGCTTCAAATTAAAACAAAAGAAAGCAAAAGAGAAAGTCATCAGAGATTCATTCATATATATAATTTTAAATATAAACTTTTGCATTTAAAGTATAAAAAGAAATAGAATTTCTTATAAAAAGATTATAAATCCAAAATAGCAAAGATAAAATCAAATAAAAAAGCTGAATGGAGATAGAATAAAGTCATTGTTTGCTCTTCGCTAGGCCTTTTTGGCTTCATAATCAAGTAGTTTGTTTATATTTTATTTATTTACATATTGTAGAATTTCATAATGAGATGGTATACAAAATCTTATTATAAATAATAGCTTTTACTTGAATATGGCTTAATATTAACATTTTTGTATATTTATTTAGGGAGATGATTAGTTAATGAAAGAATACTGCCAATTAAATGAATTTTTTGATTAAAATCTCAAAAAAATCATAGTTTCATTAAAAAAGATTAAAGAGATTCAAATATCCTCATGCGAAAATTGCGTTAAAGAAAATGGTCATGAAAGAAATACCCAAACTATTTAGTAAAATGAACAATCTTAGTAAGCTGATCAAGCATAAAGTATGTAAAATCAGCTAGTTAAGGAATTTAATTTAGAAGATGTTTAAATGTAGATTAGTTAATTAGAATAAGAGTTACTGGAAACACTCCTTTCAGTAGAAAAGCAAAGAAAATATGAAATATAAAAGTTTTATGATGGAAAAAGGCATTCCAATCATTTTTGGAATTATTTTGTGAGAATGGGTGGTATTTTCTAACATTTATAATATTTAAATAGTCTAGAAGTCATTTACAGGATCTATAAATTAGCAAACATGTTTTAGACTGAGATATTATAAGAGAATGTTATAAGCTCCTACTTTGATAATAATAACATTTCATACAATATTTTTGCAAGATTTTATCATTTCTTTATGACTATACATAGCGTTCATGAGGAATATTTAGACAAAATAGCTTTTACAGATGATATGACCATTAGAATAAACATTAAGCGATCATAGATATAAGAGATTGTCGAAAAATAAGAAAATAAATATCTCTCTTGTTATGGGTTAACAAAGCTTATTCTTAGTAGTTAAAATGGGATCAATTTATCCTATTCAGATTATAATCATTCTTTCTTAAGACTTCTACTAGCAGTTATTTATTTGAGGACTAAATAAAATAAGTAAATTTTAAATAGATATGAATATTTTTAACTCATTCATTACATTCATTACAGATAATTAAATAATATCTCTTTAAATAATTAAGAAATCCGTTTTTTAATTTATAAAAAAATATTTAAAATTAGAAAAATATGGAGATAGCTAAGAGCAGTATGTGTATGGAGACATAGAGATAATGTAGCAAAACACAAAAAGTTTAAGGTATCATTTACAGGAGAGTAAGCTGTTGAAGCAAGTATTCCAACAGAATATTTTAACTATCTAAGGTAAATAAAGGAAGAAGGATTTGAAAATGCATAAAATTTAGAAATAGAAGAGTGTCTTAGTCAACATTAGGCTCATTGGCCAGATGAAAACGATTTTCCTAAAATAAAGGGCAGCTTTTTTGAGTTAATCGATAATTACGTCTCTAATTTGAATCATATTTATCCTTCCTTTCTAATAAGAATAATGACCTTGGTTGAGCATGGCATAAATCAAGAAATTTATGCAAGATCACAAAAAATCGAATAAGATTTATAAATAGGATAAAATTTGTAAGTAAAGTTAAGCAAGCTGATTCAAAATATGACAGATAATTTAAATGATGAAAGCACTTATTATAATACTTAGATAATTACATATGAATTACCAGAACTACCAGATAAAGTCAATTTGTATTAGGATATTTTGCAAAACTTATGTATCAAACTCATATTTGAAAAGTAATTTTATAGAAAAAGCTTAGGATGGTATTTATTCTACAAGGATGCTAATAAAAGATCCAAACAGTAGCAAATTATGGAAATAATTGATAAAATTTATGCACAAAAAGAACTCTATTATATAGGTGTCTAAATCTATAGCGATTTTGTTTACAATTTTGAGAGCTGCTACTCGATATAAACAATAAATAAAATAATTGAAATGATTGAATATTGTTCTTTAAAGAAATACCTTATATCAAGAAACTTTAATTTTAAATGCTTAGAAATTTTAGTTGAGAGATTTGCTCTTGATAAATAAATGAAATTAAGATTAGCTTATCTTATAAATCGTTGTATTTTAGTTGTCAATTAAAAGATAAAAGATAAAGCAAATATTAATTGTTTGATAGAATCAAGAGCACCTCTCTTTATTTAAGACCTTTTTGATTTTTTAGATCAGATTTCTATTTCCCCAGAGTATTTATTTAATTAAATTTTAAAATATTAATTTTTTAATAAATATTTATTTATATTTATATTCGAAAAGTTCTTTAAATATTATTTTTAATTAAATAGCGTGAATCAAATTTATTAAGATTTTGCAAAGAGATGGGTTCTAAGTATGACTAGTTAGCTATTACTTTAGATTTCAAATAATAGATCTGCAATTACTGAAGATAATGTTAGAGGCATTCTTGAAAAATTCTCAAATTATTTCACAGACAAAAGAAATAATGAATTCATTAATGCTCTTAACGAATTTATGCCTAAAGAACTACTCCATAGAAATATCATCAAAGTAGCATATTAAATGATCAAGGAGAAAGAAAAAGATTGCTTAAGCAAAAGATAATTTTTATACTGCCTTATCAAATATTGTATACCTATGCAAAAAATTTTAGAGGAAGATTTTTTAAATGAACTAAAAAATGATGCATCTATAATTTCAGAAAGATATCTTTTGAAATCTCTAGTTGTGATATGCTAAAAATTTCAATTTGAACACATAACCTCTTCTATATACCCATTATTACTATAGAATAAAAGCATAGACTTAAATTTACTGTTGAGAAATGTAAGAAATAGCTCTGAAATGAACTAAATATTTCTTAATATAAAGCATGCATCTATTTTGAAGTCTAAATACATTAATAAAAAAGAAATTATTAAAGATATTATACTTTTGTAACCCAACAATTTGAAAGGCGAGGTTCTACTTCTTCTCCAACCTATGACTAGCTCTTTCTTATAAAACTTACAATCTGCTATCCGATAAATTCTTAAGGATCACTAAGGACTCGCCACCAAACATAGTTAAATAGCAAATATGATAAATAAAACTAAAAATTATGAATTAAATCTAAAAAAATGTGAAAAAAGTATTACAATACTAAAGCATCAATAAGATATGGTGTAATAGTTAATTGAGTTGCTTCTCTCTTAAGAACATGCAATAAATGATGTTATATCTTTTATCATACTTTACACTGAGCTATTGTATAAAGATACTAAAACAAGATAAGCTTTCTACGTTGTATTTATTAAGTAGTGTCTTCCTTATTTAAAATACAATCTTGGCGAGAAATATAAGTAATTCCCTTCTTTTAATGTCAACAATTGTCCTTTAATAAAATAGATTGAAACCTTAGAAGAAGAAAAATCTGATATCTAACCTTAGTCTTTGCTATAAATAAAATGCAATTCTCTAGACTATTTTATGCAGCTCATTGAGAATTTAGGCTAACACTCAAATATAAATTTAAAAATGAATTATTTCAGTTCATTTGAAGAGCTAGTTGAATGTGAAATTAATGGGAAAGAAATAGACTCTAAGTAAATTAAATATTTATCAAGATATCTCATTAGCATGAGAGAAAGTGTGAGCTATTCTAATATATTTTAAGCCTTTGAAATAATACACTAAAGTGTATAATAAAAATAGGTAGAAACACAAACACCACTGTTTGTACATGATATAGGATTGTGTATTTTAACTCTTGCTTTGAAAATATTTATGAAATAACAAAATAAATCTAAAAACGATTTAAATGATGAATTCCCAGAAATATAAAAAATATTTAAAGTTATTGAAATTATTCTTGAAATATGTCCTTCTGAAAGAAGATTTTATTCTATGATTTACTATATCCTTGAGTCTTAATTCTAATTCGAAACTAACTTCATAAAAGCAAACATAGAATTACGCTTTAAAAACCTATTTTATGAAGCTAATTCCTTCGTATTTAGTAATTTATTTTCAATTTTCATTTATTTATTTACTTATAATAAATAATTTTTATTTTCTCAAAAAAGATTCTTTTACAATTTTGGAATTCTCAAAAAAATTAGCAGAGGTAGATTTATATTAATATCCTATTGAATATTTTAATGTTTTAGTCTCTATGTTTACTTACAACTAGAAGGATTTGACAATCAAATTGTCTGAAAGTAAAAATTTTCAAAATTTGAAATATTCTTATTTAGGTTTTATTATTTTTATAAAAAGATATCCTTCCTGAGTTTTAATTTTCAGATTATACAGGAAGTTAAGTAGGACTATTTGAAGAAATACTTGAAAAGTTTATTAAAACAAAAAGCGATTTTTATTTATGCTTCATTGCTGAAATATGTAGAAAATATCCTACTTATCTCAAAAATTTAGTTTAATGGAGATACACTGATGAAAAAGATATTTTTGATTTCATTTTAGAAAATTAAATAAATTTCAATTATAATTTAGGAGTATTTTTAAATTTGTTATGCAATTAAAACTACTCATTTTTCATGCTAGAAAATGGATTGATACAAGGTACTACTGGAAATGTAATCCCTGCCCTTATAGGAAGAACCCTTGATTTTATTTCAAAATGCTAGTTAAATTCAGAAAAAGATTCGTTCACACTTTAAGGAGCTCTCAATGTGCTTAAATATTTAAAGCCAAAGTTTACCTATTTAGATCACATGAAAACAATAATAACTTTTATTGATTTTGTTAGTAAGTAAAAAACACTTTAAATTCTTACTCTTCTTGAACGTCTTGGTATTTTATCAGATATTTAAGCTAGTTTAAAGATAGTATCTGCTTCAGAACTAGGTGATTACAAGCATGCAAAGTATTTCTTCTTTAGGAATATTTAAAAGTTTTTAACTGAAGAGAACAGAATGAAATCGATTTAATTTACAAAAGAACTCAAGGAAAAATTATAATACTGTAGAACATAAGATAACTACAATCTTCCGATTTTAAGTAATATAACCGGATCTCCCAAGAACTAAAAAGATGAGCCCTTAAACATACCACAAAATATTAAAAATGGACTAAAACTGAGATATTTTACTGATAAAATGAATAATAAAATTTAAATAACATATTCTAGAGAAGATTTATCAACTTATGAGCAAGATCTAATAAAATATAACTTAGACTTTAGCTAATCAGATGAGTACTACATCATTCAATTTATTAGCTAAGTTAAAAAGAATTAAAGAGCTTTTGATGGTATTGATGGAGATGTTAATTTTAAAAGAGTTGTTCTAGAAGCTTTAGATATATAAGGTCTCTCTGAAAATGAAAAGAAATTTGAAACAATAATTACATAAATATTCAAACTTAGCTTAAAACAAAAAACTTCATAGCCTGCATCTAATACAAAATTATCAGATAGATAAATACCAGATAGCTCAAGTTTGGCCTAAGAACTTGATGAAAAATTCAAAACAGTGAAAAAAATAAAAGAGAGATTAGAATAGGAAAGTGCAGCAAATCAAAAAGAAGCTTAAGAAAAAATTGATGAACAGCAAAATGGGTTATTAGAAGATATTGAAGAGCAACAAAAAAAATTAGAATAATAAAAGTAAGAATTGATCAAGTAATATGACCAGCTTCTGCAAGATAGCTTGAAATAGTAGCATGTTATTAAGAAGTTGTCTGCAGATTTTACCAATCATAAAAAACCTCAAAGGAGATAATTTTTATTTGATTCATACAACTTTCCAAACAACTCTCTAACTCTTTACTAAATAGACGAAGAAACATTTTATAATGCATCTCATAACGAAAAAATAAGGCTCTTAAATGAAGGAAAGTAAACTCTTCATCAAAAAAATCTTCTAAAAAAGCTTAAAATTGCTGTTTAGAGAGAATAGTATTCATTGAAAAAGGTAATTAATTTTATTCTTTTATTACATTTTATTTATTCAAAAATTAAATAAAATTTATAGTTTATTTCAAAGATGTAAAATGAGAAATTAGCAGAAAAGCTTGATTTATAAAGCTAATTTGATGCAAATTTTGAAAGCTTCATGTCTATTTGCAATGAACATGAAAAATAGGCTATTCTACTCACATTCGACTAAAGGTACCTCAAATAACTACCTGAAAAATGGAGGAATGAAGCAAATAAAATAAGGTAACATACATATTTAAAATTTAGCATAAATTATAATTTATCTGCTTAATTTTATCAGGAAACAACACATGAATAAAGGCGAAGAAATAAAATTATAAGAAAGCGAAGAGGAAGAGGAGAAGAATTCTAAAGAAGAAGAAAAGGATTTCCCAAGCTATCTTACAAGAATTAAGAGAAATGTTGAAGATATTCCTAAGAGAAACTCTAATTCTTAAGAATCCTAATAGAATAAAAGGTAATAAAATGAAAAGGAGGATAATTCTGTCATTTAAGATAAACTATTTTCTCGCCATGAAGATATAGAATATGATGAAGAATAAGATGATAATTTGGAAGATAATTAAATTTAAGATGGCTTTGAGGATAGAATATGCTTAGAAGTTGATGAAGGAATACAATAAATTCATAAATCTTTGAGAAGCAGCGAAATGAAGCAAAGGCAAAAGACTTCTATAGAAGTAGAATAAATAAGCAGCGAAATAGCCTCTTTGAAATAAGCGAGCTTAGAAATGTAAAAATAATTTGAAGCTGCTGTGTTTGATGGTTCTCCACATTTGTTTGCTAATTTAAAAAATACAAATATTTCAGTTTTTTCAAGCCAAATGGACACTTAAAACTAAATAGAAAAAAATAGCAATAACCTAGAGGGGAGCATAAAAAATTTAGGACTTGTATAGTCTTAAGATAGTAATTAAAAAGAGTAAAAGATTGAGTAATCTCAGATAAGTATTGAAAAAATTATACCACAGTAAGTTAGCAGCTTAGAATAAAAAATAAATGATAATGAATAATAAGCAAAGAACCAACAAGAAGAAAAAATAAAGAATAATGATTCAAATGAAAAAAATTAGCTTTCATAAGAAGAGCAGCTATTGTAAATGTAAAACGAAAAAGCAATGTAAGAGTTGTAAATTTAATAGTAAAAATTGCTTATTCAAAAGTAGATTGAGGAATAAGAAAGAATGGCAAGGTAAATATATGAACAAGAGCAAGAGATTGTAAACAATTAAAAAGATGACTACTATGATTACGAAGATTTTGATGCTATCAATTAACAGCTAATATTGGATTAGATATCAAAAGAAAGAGAAGAAAGAGAGTTAAAAAAATAACAATTATTATTGCAGTAACTGGAGGAATAGAAAAAATAAGTGGAAGATGGTGATAAAATACAATAAAATAGCTCTGAAAATTCTTCTGCAGAGTCGAATTTGACAGAAGAAGAGAAATATTTACAAAAGAATTTTTCTCAAAGCTTGCCCTATTCTTAGGAAAAAGAGAAGAAATACTCAAGCATCGACTTCTATCTTAAATCTTTGTATGTGGACAGCAATTTCTTTTTAAATATTTTAAGACTGCTTATCAACAGAGGATTGGATGAGTATTAAGAATACTAAAATAATTACCTTGAAATATTATACATTCTCTCTTTTAATCCATTCAACAACTACAAAGTTGTTTAAGTAAATAATTTTTTATTTGAAAATATTTTTTTAATTTATTTATTATAATAGATTTTAAAAGGAATGACTGTGGGTATAATTTAGAATTAAATTTAAGATAAAAATACTTAGTATAAAGTAAAAACTCACTATTTAAAGTAATACTTTAAATATGAGAGTGATGAGAAAAAAGCTAATAATTAATAGTGTTTTAATGTATTTTAGCTTACTCAATCAATATTAGATTATGAGATATTCAACTGGTATTATTTTGTACTTTATGTCAATAAAGAAAACTAATTTGAAGAAACTTTTAAGTGGAACTACTCTATCTTAGAAAAGAACATAAAATATGATGAGAGTTTGATAAAACTTGCAATAAGAAAAGAAGATGAACATTCAGATATTATGGCAATGAATTCTTGGGATTTTTCCTTAATTAATTTATTAGAAAAAAATATTCATTCAATTATAGAAACTCAACATGTTATAGAGAAGTCAGATGATTATTCAGTTTCAATAACTTAACTTAGATAAAATTATGATGCTACTTTCAATTTAATTTTAAAATTTTTAGGTAAATTTAATATCTCCACTAATTTGTATAGAAAAATAACTTCTAAGCTAGGTGGATATACCTAGAGCTAACAACAAAATCAATAAGCTGATAATAACCTAGAAAAAACCACTGCTACTATTTCAGCAGAAACATATCCAGAGATGAAATTTTAAATTAATGTAAGCAATTCTTTCTTCGAAGCCTACTACACTTATAGCTTTCATTTGAAAGGAAGCAGGAAAACTAGTTTGAAGAAAATGAATAACATTTTATATGATTTGCTGCGTAAAAAAATGATTGAAAATTATGAGTCTTTTGAAAATATGTCTCTCCAGATTCTCAAAATTAACAGAGAAGTGATTAATCCTTAAATAATCTCTTGTAATTAGTTTGTAAAAAATTATAGAAAACTTGCTTAAGAATAAAACTAACTTAAGAATTTGAATGGCACTGAGGAAATTGCTTAGTCTAAAAGATACATTTTCCATAATACTATGGAGAAAAACTACGAAAATATGTTTTTCTAGTTAGGAACTTTGAGAAGGACAATAAAAAACCTTATTGAAATTTTTAATGAAATGTTTGAGGTCTAATGCAAACTTGACTTAGAAAAAGAATATGAATTAAGAAAATCTGAAGATGGCCAGACAAAAGCTAACGAGTGGTTAGATTAGCAAAAGAAGGAATTAAGAAAAGAGCTTTTGTAAAAATTATAATAAGTATGGATGAGCTAATTAAAAGACTTGTATGTTTATTTATATGAAATATTATACCAATCTATTCAATTAATGTCTGAAAAGTTAGATTCATCGAAGTTCACTTATGACAGGTAGATTTTTTGTTTTTTTGGTAATTTTTTTACTTAAATTTTTTAAAAAAAAGATTTAACTTAAGTGTTAAAAGTGTTGTTGTTCTATATGATTTTTTCTATTCAGACAATATGAAGTTAAATGTTGAAGAAGATGCAGAAATGCAATCTAGTACTCATATCCATTAATTTAAAGAGCCTTTAGTAACGAAGCACTCTTCAAAAGAAGCCGATTCTGCATTAAATAGTGAGATTGATTAAGACTAAAATAAGTCCTTGTCAGATCACCTAAATAAATAATTCTCTTAAGTACTCAATACTGATCTAGAATAAATTAATTTAAGTGATCTCTACTTCATCATTGAATAAAAATTCATAGGTTTAATTGTTCTCTTCATTGAAACCAGTGAGAGGTAAATAAAAAAATAAATAAATTTCACTTTTTAAAATTCCAAAAACTATTTTTTTTTGTAATAATCAGAAAAAAGAAGTGGTTGGAATTCATGAAAAAAGTTGGTCACTTAAAAATTAGAGAAAATAAAAACCTTTCTATGGAATTTAAAATGAGCTATTTAAAGTAATTGAAAATTGTTTAACTTTCTTAGAATATGCATTTATTTATTTATTTACTAATTATTCTAACAATAATTCTTAGGATTGTCTGTGAAATAGAAGCAAATAAAAAAAAGAAGACAAAGCATTATGGTTTTGACTATTATGGAGACTTTTAGCCTGAAATCAGACTAAACATTAACCGTGATGAAATCTGGATGTCAACTATTGCAGAACTTTCAAAATAGGATTCTGCAAGCTTAGTTCATTAACAGTTAATTATAAACTTTGAAGGAGAGGCAGGAATTGACTAAGGTGGTATGGCACGTGAGTGGATTAATTTAGCTCTAAAAGATGTAATTTAATTAATTATTTTAAATTTATTTGAGCTATTTAAATTAATTTTAATAAAAAATAAATAAATAAACTAGGTCCTTGATCCAAGGAAAGGGTTATTCGCATTAAGCTCTAACAAAATAACTCTCTAGCCAAACCCATTGAGCTGCATAATACCTGATTATCTCCTTCATTTTAGATTTGCAGGTAGATTAGTAGGATTAGCACTAACCAACAAGATAGATTTCGAAATAGATCTAACAAGGTCCTTCCTAAAGCATATTCTAAGAAAGCAATTGTGTGTTTCAGACTATGAAGATATTGATCCTAAAACAGCCAAAAATCTGCTTTGGATGTTAGAAAATGATGTAACAGGAAGCGATTTGACCTATACAATTACTTAAGATATTCTGGGTAATTTAAATTAAAATAAAAACATTAAAAATTTGAATTAAATAATTTTAAAATAAACAAAGATTACATTATAAAAAAAAAAAAATATTTTAAATTAAAATTGCAATAAAATATTTATATTAAAAAGGAATAAGGGTAGAAAAAGATTTAATTAAAAATGGAAATAAAATAGAGATTAATAATTAAAACAAAGTTTAATTTGTTAAAGATTATCTTCATTACAAGATGACTTCAGAAATATAGCAATAGCTAGAGTCATTTATTAGCGGATTTTATGATGTTGTTCATCCTTCAGCTTTAGTTTTCTTCGATGAAAGAGACTTAGGGCTCAGATTAGCTGGCTCTAAAAAAATAGATAGTAAATTTAGAAGATATTTTAAATTATTAAATGAATTTATTTTAATACAATAGTTGAAGACATGAAAAAAAATACTAAGTACTCTGGTAATTACGATTAAGATTCTCATTAAATAAAATGGCTTTGGGAAGTTTTAGAGCAATTTGATGAAGAAATGAAATAATCATTCATATTTTTCTTAACAGGTAAATTAATGAATTAAACTTAAATAGTTGTAGATAGAATATTTAATTTTCAATAAAAATTAGGCGCTTTCAAAGTTCCATTTGGTGGTTTTGAGTAAAATCCTATTGAAGTATATGACAAATTAGGTAACACTAATTCACTTCCTATAGCTCACACGTGCTTCAATAAATTAGAATTACCAGCTTATTAAAGCAAAAATTAACTCAAAGAAAAATTAACCTAAGCGATCCTTGAAGGTCATAAAGGATTTCACATTAGTTGAAAAATTCAATTCCATTTTAAATATAATTAAAAAATTTATATTTTAAAATTATTTTAATTTTGTTAAAATTTATAACAATTCTTATGTAGATAAAATTAGAATTCAATTTAAATAAATTTTAATCAATTTCATAATAAAATAATTTGTTTATTTTAATCTCACTTATGTTAAATTACTATCTTTTAAGACAAATATATCAAACAATATTATTTTTAATTTTATTTTCCTGTTTATACTATTGATTAATGCAGATTCTTACATTAGTTTTATCTCATTATTAAGATTGAAAATTTATGAACAAAAACTCTTTTATCTCTTAAAATTTGTTGTTGAAAATAAATATTAAATAATCAATTATAAAGAGAACTGAGAGTAAAATATAAACAAAGTTATGTATAATTAGATAATAGACAAGTTCGAAGTTAAAAATGAGAATAGAAAATAAGTGTAGTATTTATTCAATTAGTTTTAAGCAAAGTTGTAGCTTTATTTATTTATTTATTTCTTAATTTATGATAATAACCTATTGTTAAATTTTTAAACTCTCTAAATTAGAAAAAATGTTTATATAAAAGTGTAAAATTAGAGTTGAGAAAAGGCAAATTATGATAATAAATGTTGAGAATAATATTAAAGGAACTAACAAAATTAAAAGGAAAAAATTGAATATAAAACACACTTTTGAATGATATAATTTATGATCAGAAAGTACTTGACAATAGAGAAACTAACCACTTGCAGTAGAGGCAAAATTTTCACACTATTTATTTATTATATAATGCTTACCTTAACTTGGTCTATTTCTTTTTTCTATATGAATAAATTCAGATTTTCTCAAGAGTTTGAAATAGAAAAAAGCTGAGATAAAATCAAACTCAAAGCTAAGAAATTAGGATTAGGTTAAAAATTTAACTATGTAAGTATTAAAGAATTAGTTTTTTTTATAGAGAATTTTAAATATGAATGAGTCATAGTTATTTGAAATTATACTTAAGGGTTTTTAAATATCTATCCTAAGTCCTAGAATATATAATAAATAAATTTTATATGCTTTTTTTTTTCTTTGAAAACTTAGCCTTAGAATGAATTAAAAAATGAATTGGAAAGTAATTGTTTTATTTTGAGAATTAATTAAAAAAATTATATTCGTTGCTTATAAATAATTAATAAATATATAAAATAAAATACTTAATATATATTTACAAATATGGTGATGATTAACAATATATACATGAAATAATATTTATATAATAAACTACATTAGAGTACTTAATTATGTTGAGTTATTAAGTTTATGTTATGATATTAAATGTTTGTTTGATTGTTTTATGATATGATATGGTTTGATGGATGATTGATATAGGTTTTTATTTTGTTTTTGAAAAAAGTTAATTCTAAAGTTCTAATTTTTTCTTTATTGTAATAATGGGGATGGATTTATATAGGGAATATGATCAAGTTGATAAAGAGAGAAACTTTATATTTCCTTTTTTTATTTAATATTTGTGTTTTGTGTTTGTTTTTGTTTGTTTTGCTTGTTGCTCTAAAAATATAAACATGGTTTGATTTTTTTTAATGCCTAAGAATAGATAGATAGTTTTCTATTTTTTTCCTTTTGATGAGTTTTTGGAAAGAAGAAGGTCATATAAATTCTTAATATAGTCTATATTTTATTAGCAAATAAATTGTTTGTTTTTTTTGGTTTAGATTTTGTTTTAAGCTTTGGATAATTGATTAAAGCTTTTTGGGGAGATAGATGAATGGAAATGATTCATCACTTCCACTTCTTTAAGAGATACTCAATGTCTCTTGAGGATATAATGAAATGTTTGATGAACTAGATGTGAATATCTCTGTTTTAGATATTACTGTTTTTCAAAAGATAGGTTAACGCGTACTATTCTTCAAAAAATATCTGAAACAGTTTATTCAAAATGTTTTTGAAATTTTAGATTCTAATGTTGTCCTAATTTTTGATATTTAAAGCCTTATAGATTTCTTTCTTTTAGTCAAGCTTCACAGATTAATTAATCCAGTTTCTGAATTCAAAGTGAGTTATTCTATTTTCTTTAAGAATATCTTGGATTCTAGAATTCAAAGGACTTTTTGAGTCGATCAAATAGTTTTTGAAACCAAGGCCAATATTTTTTACTACATTTTTGTGTTAGCTCTGTCTATTTTTGGCAGAATTAGCTGATCTGTGATAGGAAGATTCATCATCTTTTTATTTAGAAAAAATATTATTAGTAAAATTAAATATTTAATTCTCAGGAAAATATTTGATTTTTTTCCTTAATTAAGAAAAAATATTTAAATTAAATTTTTTACTTTAATTTTTTGAAGCAGATACAGCAGATTCAGAGCTAATATTTTAGCTGTCTTCATTTCTGAAGTCTTTGCTAGAAGAACTGCTTTTTGAGTAGCCAATGGAATTATCATGAGCTGATGAATCAGAAGAAACAGATTGAGAGCGGTTTGATTAATGTTTGTTAATAGACTACTATGATCTCAATTAAATTGGCTAATATTAAGTGAAATTCTACTATTGGCTGTAGTCTTCTTAATTGTATTATTTTTCTGAGCTCATAAATTCTTCGAATTCATTTTTTAATGGCATTTCATGCGCATTGATATATGGATTTAAATATTCGTACTATTCATATTCGCAAAGCTTATTGTATTATTCCTCGTCGCTAAAGCGACTATTAAAGATTTATCCCAAATCTTAATCGTTATTGTTGTTCATAGACCTGCTGATGTAATTATTTTAATTCCAGTCGTACGATTCTATATTGTATTCTGAATGATAGTATTTTTCGGAGTTCATTGTTATTTGCAGCATTAAGAGTTTTATTATGTTTTTTTAAGGGAGATTGAAAATGTTATTTTCAATTGAGTTTTTGTTATGAAATGTAAATCAATTTAAATTAGTTGTTTATTAAATAATTATCTAAAATTTTAATGAATTCAATCAAATTTACGCATTTAAAAGAAGAAGAGCTATTAAATTGTCTATTACATCTCAATACAAAATCAGCGATAGATATCCTAAAAATTAGTGCGATATTTCGAAAGGAAAAATTATAATAATTCTTCTTCATTTAATTTTTCGGCTCATATCTCTAGCGTCATATTTCATAAGAAAATGAAAACAGATTTAAATCGAACACAGAGTGTTTTGTTATTATTGATATAAATATTTCTAAAAAAAAACATTAATAGCATAGCAAAATTGGACAATAAGATTTATCTACTAATCATCCTATTTTTAGAGTTTTTTTAAATCTCAAAATTATTTCTTAAATAAAAACAATACTTTATTTTAGCTTTTTACAATTCAAAACTCTGATTTATAGAACTCATTTGTAATTTTTGAATCGGCTCAATGTAGCTTTTTAAGTTATCTTTATAATGTCTTCCTACTGACTATCTAATTTTAAATGTATATAAGAATAATCATATTATGCCATTTTTATAAATAAATCATGAATTACAATTTTATACTGCGGATTATCTGCTTTCAATATATTTAAACAATTTTCAAAATTAATTTGTTAGAGGATTAGTTTATCCTAACAAGGAATGACTAGACAATTTTAAAAGCCTTTATCAGATTATAAAAGAAAATATTAGCAAATTTTTAACTTGCTTAGAAAAAGAAGTAAAATATATCTAAAGACATCTTTATTCAATAAACAGAGATGTATTATCATTAATTTAAAGCATTATTCAGGTTTATCTTAAGCAATAAAGAATCTTTCAATTTTAGAATTTTTGTTGCTTAAAAATAAATAACAAAACACATTTATATTATTTTAAATTGAAATCAAATAAGGAAATTGTAAAAAAATATCATATTTTAACTTTTAGTGTTTTTATTTGAATTAATTCAAAGAATTTAATCCTAAGACAGATGGATAATAAATAAATAAGTAATATCTTTCTCTATTAACAGCAAATTAGATAAAATTATATGTTAATAAATTTGAGTCATAAAAACTCTTCATGCATGAATGAATGATAATGAACATATGATTGATTTTTAGATATAATTGCTTTATTTTTATATTTCTTTTATTAAAATACCTTACTCATCATTAATAAAAATAACAATTATGACTTAAACAAAAATAATAAATCACTAAGAGTTTACTTAAAGCTGATATATAACATATTTTAATGATCATGAATTTAATTTTTTATTTAGAGAAATCTATTTTTATTCATTATGATTTAGTTTGAATTAAGACAAAATTAATTTCAAAATTGATAGAAAATTAATTTTATTTTAGAAACAAAATAAAAAAACTTTCTATTTAATACTTTAGATCAATAAATTTTAGAGAAATTTTATATAATATTATATATAAAATCACCATCGTTCTTATAGATACTAAATGTCTGTTGTAGATTAAATAAAATGTTCAATTTATTTTTTATAACTTTCTTTATCTTAAATATTTTTATTATTATCTACATATTTATTTGCATAATCTTTAAAAAATAAATTATAATAGTATAAAAGAACTTTTTTAAAACTTTTGATTTTATCTTCATCTCTTTCATTAGATTATAAAGCAAAAAATATATTTTTCTTAGTTTGGAGATTAATAGAAGATTATACCCAAACTCTAAAAGCAGGAAAATTTTAACGCTCATTATTAAGACTTATTTTAATTTGATTGAGAATTGGGCTATTGTATTTTATTAAGTAATTAGTAAGACCGGTACCAATATTTTTGATCATATTTGCTTATTTTGGAGCGCTTCTTATATCTGAGGTAGGTTAATTTTATGAGTCTGCCTAACTAATTAAAGATGATTAGGTTTAAGATTTTAAATTGGGGTTTTATTGATTTTAGACCTAGCTTTTTAAGGGGTTTTCATTTTAGTTAATAGTATTTTCTTGTGTTGTTTTTTAGTTAAAAGAACTATCTTAAGAATTGCTGCTATTTTAGGATAAAATATTTTTATTATATGATTAAGTAGATATGTTTTAGGTAGAACTAATATTTAGTTAATTATCTCCTTGGTAATTTAATGAATTTTATTAATTTTAGTATTAAAATGGTTCATTATTATATTACTAATATTAATTTTAATTATATTAATTTAAATCATCTTATTGTGAAATATTTAAAAACTCTGGTAAAGAATAAGGATTATATTGTCCAATAATATCTTTACTAATTTATTAGTTTTCAGAATTAATTTATTAATAGTTATTTTATTATTAAGGAATAATTTAAGTAGAATAATCATTTAAAATACCTTCTGTGTAGAAGATTGATTCATTTTATTTGTAAAGAAAATTTGATTCATCTTGCTAGCCAAAGAGTTATAGTTAATTTTCATTTTATGAGTTCATAATATCGTGATTATTATTATTATTATTATTATTATTATTATTATCATTTATATCATTTTATGAACTCTATTGTTTCACACACATATCAATATTATGTGTGCTTTAAAAAATATTTTGATATGTTTATCTATAATATTATGGATGTTAAAAAATATTATTTTGAGAATTATCAAATGCATAACTAAATTCATCTTATTTTTTTATTAGAGCGTTGATTCCTAAAGAATTTTACTCTTGTTAAAACTCACCTTAAATATTGCAAGAGTCATTATATAAATTGCTAATATCTTAATTTAGCATATCATTTTGATCTAACTGATTATAACTACTGCTTGAGCTGCTCATCTGGTATTAAAGAAGTTGTATTTATGTAAGTAAATAAATTGTTAATTCAAGAAAATATGAATATTTGTTTTTAATAGATTAAAAAATGGTTTTTAAGTTTAATATTTGTTATCTATTAATATATTTACTCAGTTTGTTTTTTATTATTTAACCACTGTTCAAGATTTAACTAATATTGAAAATACGTAATTATATCAATTTGTCTATTTCATAAAAAAGTATGTAGATATCATAACTACTGTTTAATGAGTAAAAAAGAAAAATGATTTTTTTTAAATTCCTTTTTACCAGAATAAAAAATTATTTGTTAATTTATTTATTTTTTTTTTAAATTAATAAAAATATGATAATATTTTAAGCATAATAATAAATATGCTAAACAAGTATCATTTTATTAAATAGTATTATTATTATGATGATTTCCTTATAGCTGCTCATAATTCTAAAATAACTAATTGTTTTTAGATATCAATCATTCTTAATTTACTTGAAATATTAACTAATTACTATATTTCCTTTGATTTAAATTTTTTAGGAGCAATTAGATTCGTAAATGAAAATATCAATTCATTTTTGTTTTATAAACATCTAAATATTAAAATAAATAGTGCGTATTATCTAATTTATAAGTGATATCTATATTAGTAATAAGAAGAAGAAGAAGTCAACAATTTTAGAAGATTGAAACTCCAAAATAATTTATATTTTTTTCTTGACTTTACTTGAAAATATTTTTTTAGGTTTCCAACAAGTAAAATTTTATTTTGGGTTTCGATTGATACGAATTAATTTTAGTATGTTAAGTCATATAATTTGAATACAAATTAAAAATAAAATTATTATAAACTTCTTTTAATTTCTAATTTCTAAAGTTTGAAATTTTTATTATGAAATAAACAATAATTCATTTAAATTATTGATTTTAGATTTCGCCTTTTCAGATTGGCTATTTATCTTATCCTGTGACTTAGTCCCTTCTTAAATATATACAAAATGTTAACTAATATAATTCACATGTAATACCGATTTAGCTCGAACAATTTATTATTCGAGTTCCATAAATTTGGCTTGGTTTGATATATATAAATATAAAAGTTTATTAGGCTTCTAGAACTCGGTATAAATAGAGTTAGTTGGCTCACTCTGATCACTAATCTTTATTAATAAAATGAATAGCCAATTTAATAATACTGTATATATTTTAATAGTTGATCTCAAACCAATCAAGATTTTTTACATAATAAAAATTTAAATTGTCAAAAACATATTGAAACAATTGAGTTGATAAATTAATTAATAAAAAATTTTTATGATCTTTAAATAGTCATAAACCTAACAAAATAGATCTAAAAATTGAGGTAAATTAACTATCAAAAGAAATTAATGTTTTTATTACCTTTATTAAAACTAAAAGTAAGGGTTCAATTATATAAAATGAATACACATTTATAATAATCAATCAAAAAAAATTATTTTGATAAAAAGTTGAAAATATATATATTTCATTATAAAAGTATTTCCCTAGCTAATGATAATTAAATAAATAAAAAATATTTCTATTTAATAACAGACTCAAATACCATATTGTTTCATACAAAATAGGTGCAGATTGATAAGTTTATGTTTTTATAAAAATTAAACTAACTTTGGTTTCTATTAAGATGATATCAGTCAATAAGAATAAGGGTTAAGATTATATCAAATTTATTTGTATAAAAATGAATTTTAGTATGTATAATAAATTTTACGGATTAGGATTAGCTTTTAAAGAATCATCCAATTGAATGAATGAATAAATAAATAAGTAAATTTACTTATCCTTTATTCAATTTTCATTATGTTTATTATTCAAAAAGTGTTAATAATAATAATAATAATAGTTATCAAACTCCACTAGTTGTTTTTAAGAATTTCAATAAACAAAATTTATAATAAAAGGATAATAATTGGAAAATAAGAAAACATACCTGATTTTTATATACATAAATGGAATATGAATAGTATCAAACCCATTTAAGCAATTCTTTAAACTAATAAAATAATGTTTTACAAAATAATTTGCAAATGAAATCTGATAAATTGATTGACATTCCTTTAATTAATGATAAAATCTATGATCAAGCTATTCGATACGATTAATTTAAATCATATTAAAATCCTTCTGCTTGCTTAATATAGACCTAAAATGGTTTAGAAGAGAGCGCTCAATGTTTAATCAATGAAAATTATTGGGATTAATATTCTGAACACTCATCATTGAAGTCAACTTCTTAAACTCAAATTACATCTTTATCTAGCAGTATAGACACATCATCTTAAAAATATTCGTTGCTGACTTAAAATTTGGAAGAAAAGACTTTTGATGCATGTAAATAAAAGGAAAAACCTAATATAGTATATTAGAAGGTCACTTTAAGAAATGATTAAATAATAAATACTGAAAATTTTTACATAGAGCAACAAAAATTTTAAACTAATGAGCTGATACTCAAAAATATAGACAAAACGTCTAATATTCTATAGAAAAATGAGCAAAACAAAGCATAAGATAATGATGAGGATAATGAAAATAAAGTAAATTCTGATGAAAATTAAAGATAAATCTCAAACTTAAATCAAGATAATTTACTAGTAGCGTGCTTTAAAGTAATTAGCTTTAATCATTAAGATATGTTAGGTGAAAGTCTTTATTGCGATATTCCGTTTTCTTTAGATTCATTTCTGAAAGAAAATGAAGGGAATAAACAACTCAAAAGATTGTGCTCCTATAATTATTTTAAAAAAGTAACAGATATCAAAACATTTAGAAATGGAACGATGATTGATTGCTCTTTAGCCAGCTATTCGGACTGTTCTTTTAATCACAACTATTTAATTAATTTATTAGAAAGTAAAGGCAGCTAGCGTCTTCACGAACTAGCCTTGAGTATTAAAGCCTATTATGATAAAATTTAAAACATAATTATAGACGCGTAAGATGTAAAATTAAATTTCTCACCTGAGTTCCTGTAATAAAGGACATAGGCTAGTATGGAAGAAAAGTAGAGAATCCTCTTAGGAAAAGATCCTCGCAAAAATTTTTATTTTAAAACGTACTAAGTTAACTGGGAAAACTTTGGCTCCCCGTAAGTAGCCTATTATGGTTTTTCTAAGGGCTTTTGTGAAGTTGTAGGATTATCAATCCAAGAAAAAAAATAGCAAATCTTAAGAAATGGTTTGCTTGAGTATTTCTTATATCATGAAAAGATAAGAACACTTTTTAAAACTTGTTTGACATTGCCTTGGAGTATACCCAAAGATCCTATTATTATAAAAGGCAAGCAGTAATTCTTTACATTTGATAATATAATACTGAACAATGTCCCTTTTTCAGTAGAGTTTCACAATCTATCCTATGATTTTGACTAAAAAAATAATTTTAAGTCTCAGCTTTCTGATTTTATGATAGTTTACAATCTTAATCTTGATAAAGCTTAAGAATAAATAATTAAGTAGCAAAGGTCAAGCAGAGAAAAAAGGCTTCCTGATCAAAAAAATGATGATGAAGCTGATTTTTACTATTCAAAAGATTCATAGAGTTTCTTAGAAAAATATTATAAAGATGTGTATGGTGAGAGAATAAGCTCAAAGAAACCTCTAAGGAGGTGTGAATATGTTGATATCTTCTTCTGAAAATAAAAATTATACAAGCTTACTAATAACTTATTCTAAAATAATAATAATAATAATAATAATCATTCTCTAAAATATAAAAATACCCTAACATATTCCATATAGTTAACATATAAACATCTTTATTAAATATATCAAACAATAGGACAATTAATTAATTAATTAATTAATTAATTAGTACAAATTTTCAAGTAAAAATTACATCAATTAACTTATATGCTTATATTCTTTCTTTCTATTTTTAATTTGCAAACTATTATTAATAATAAATTATATTTCTTAAAAACTTCCTTTAATTTTATTTAGTATTGTGTGTGATATACATAAGAAATCGAAGATTCATATTCTTTAAATTTATATCCAGTATTTAACTAATAATTTATTTTTAATAAAATTAAAAAATTAATTGATATTATTTATAAAATATTTTAAATACAAAAAGACACATAGACAGACAAAAATACAATACTATTTTATTTTCAAAAATATTTATAATTTTAATATGAATTAGTTTTAATCATTTTTAAGATAACCTATTTAAATAGGCATAGTAAGCAAGAGGATAATAATAAAAAGGAATAATTATAGACACATATACAATAATACTATTTTATTTTAAATGGTTTTTTTAATTTAAAAAAGAACATAACTGTAAAAACTTTTAAGAAAATTTATATAAAGTTTTAGAATAAATAAGAGAATAAGGATAAGAGGAATGATTAATGGTTAATTTTTATTGAGTATTAATTCACATATTTGTTAATGATGCTCGTTCAATAGAATTTGATGTAGAAAATAAACTAAAAGATGTCTCTGTTAATGAAGATTCTGGTTGAGTTAATGTATTGTATTAGAAATATTTAGATAAAACTTAATCTTTCCATTATAAAGATAAGTAATAATGATAGTGTTACTCATTTGAATCAAAATAGTAATCAAACTATTTTTTAATTCTGATATATTTTTAAGAAATTTATTTTAATTTTTGAATTATAGTTTACATTTCATTAGAAATGTTTTAAATTGGTTATTTTTTTGTTATATAGCTAGAGAGAGCTTTTAAATCATGTTAATAATATCCCAAAATGTGATCATTCATCTCAATGCCAGTTTTCTATTGAATTTCCTTTCTGCAATTTTGTAAGTCTGCTAAAATTAAGTCGTATTACTCATTAATTAGTTAAGCAATTTCAGATTTACAGCACTTATGAGAGTTAATATCAGTTTATAAAATGTTTTCTGATTAAATGCATCCCATTTATTTAATACAATTAATTTTAGCTGAGTATTTATTTATAATTTTATTATTTATTTTTAATTATAAAAATTTAAATTTTTTGAGGAGATAATTAAGAATATTTAGAATGATGAATTTCAAATAGACAAAAAATTAAAAAATTATGTTATTTTACTTGAATTGTATTTTTTATCAAATATAGAATCTTTTTCTTCTATTTTAAATAATGTGTTAATTTTCTATATTAAATTCAAGCTGATAAATATAAATAAACTTACTTATTTTCTATTTAAATTCTTTTGTATGCATATATCCTCTCATTTTTGTCTCTTAATAACCAGACAGTTTTTGAGTTCTTTAATATTATAGTATTTTACATATAAATGATCTATTTCGAATCAATATTTAAGAAATTCAGAGTTTTTTAAAATCAGTTTCCAATCAGTATTTATGAAATTTTTTGTACAAAATTCATCATAACATTTTGTATCAAGAACTCAACATCTATCAACACAAAGCATCTAAGAAAAGTTGTTTATAACTAAATTTTTAAAATGTACAAAAATATTTTGATAATTAGAAAAAAAATGTGATATAAAATTAAAATTACAAATATTAAAATATTTCTTAAATTTATTTTTTCCTTTATTACATAAGCAAAAAGATAAAAAAACGAGTAAATAAATTATTTGGAAATAAATTAATATCTACTCTATATATTAAATAAGTAATGAAGTAGTTGTTAGAACTTTCAAAATTTAAAGGTATATAAAAATAAATTTGATTATGATCATAAATGTCTTTATTAATTGAATAAATAAATAACTATCACAGTATGATTGAAAAAAATCTTTTAAATTTTTTTTAAAAAGTCCTTTTAGCTTGTTTGGATTAAAATTCTTTAAGTTTGATCAAAATTGTCAGAAATGATTTCAATTTACAGTTTGGACAGTATTCTTAATCAAAAAGAAGATACATAAATTATTGTATCTTTTACAATATTTTAATTAAAAATATATTGAATATTTATAAGAATAACCAAGTAAGTATCTAAAAATATTCTCAATTAATTATTAAACTAAACAATATGAATTTATTAAAAAAATGGATTATTTAAGATTAATTAAGTGATTAAATTAAAGTTTAAAATGTAATTAATTTTAATTTATCATAAATAAATATTTAAAAAATGGAATAGTAGATATGTACTAAAAAATTACACTTTATTGTAATAAATTTAGATTTTTGTAAACGACCACAACAAAAACTAGTCTCTAAAATTAAATTAAAATATGCCCATCAATTTTGAAATGTTAGGTGCTTATAGAACTCCATAAAAATATTTATTATGAATTGTTTGGTCTTTATTTAACTATAACACTTTAAGATAGCTATCTCATTTACTATAAATAAACATAAACTAAATCTCAATATTAAATAGGCCTTTAAAAATATCTATATAATTAGAATTAAAAACTAAAGAGCTAATAAATTGATAGTTTCTTTTAACAAAAGTATAAAGCATCGCAAAAAAGTTTAAAAAGCTGTCTGATTCATAGCAAATATCTAATAATTTATTTACTAAAGTTAGAATCTAGTGTTTTATTTCTGAGTTAATATCTTAGCTTAAATGAAAAAAGCCGACTCTTAAGACAAGGATATTGATATCGAGGTGATTTTTTATCTATGTATTTTTGCTTTTAGCATTATCTATGAATAAAGTTTAATACGCTAGCACACGCATAAAATTTTTTTAAATTTAAGTTTATAAAAGATTTGTTAGAGAAAGACCCTTAAAGGAGAAATGTCAGGGATATCCTTTAGCTTTCAAATGAAATAAAAGATATTTCTTTCTTTAAGAAATACTAGGAAGAGGGATATAAAGATGGTATTTTGATAAAGTATTGCTAGTAAATCATAATTATTATTTTCTAAATAAAATATTAGTTCACATTTAGTGTGCAAAATATATGAAATATTGCTTTATTAAGAAGGGAGAGGCTGTTTTTCACATAGGTAATCATTTTAAATAAGATATGCAAATTTTTAAGTTACAAAGATATATTTGTTTATAATGATTTGCAAATATTCTATTTTAAAATTATAGATACAGTAGGTGATAAATTCTATTTGACACTCAAAGGCAAAGTTGGGATATATATAAGATTACCAAAGCCAGTCAAAACTGGAGATGAGGAATAAGAGGAAAATAAAAATAATCCTCTTTAACTTACTTGTGTAAAAGAGCTTGATTCAGGTTTTTCTTTTGGTGAATTGGCGCTTTTAAATAATAAACCAAGACTAGCCACCATTATATGCCACTAAGACTCACACTTCATGACTCTTGATAAATTATCTTTTATACTAATATTAAAGCAAAAAGAAGAAGAAAGATTATTTAAGGAGATGGGTTTCTTTGCGAAGCTACCCTTTTTTGAGGGATGGAATCACAATCTTATTAAGCACATATATCTGAATTCTTTTAGAATTAAATACTCTAAAAACGAAAAGATTTTTAATGAAGGAGATGAACCAGCAAATATTTATATAGTTACTGAAGGAGAATTTGTTGTAATTAATATTTATTTATATATTTTCTATAAAAATCAAAAGCATTTGGCATATGTAAAATATTTATTTTATTTAAGCTGCAAAAAGCTTTTGACAAAAATGAAGAAGAAGATGAATTTGGATTTAAGTAAACTGTGGTTATAAATCATTTAAAAAAAGAGGGAGCAGCCAAAAAGAAGCAAATTCCAGTATGATTACTTTTGTTTATTATATTTTTTTCCAAAAATCCAAGTATATTTATTTATTTTACATTTAAATTATGTGGATATAAACTTTGTTTTGGTTACCAGTTAATTTCTAATTTTTAGTGAACATAATTTGCTTATAGCTGAAAATTAATTATTCAATCAAATATTTTAATGGTTATTTAAATACTAATTTTTATTTTAAATTCAAGCTTGCAGTTTTAGTTTAAAATGAAATGTTTGGTGAGGAAGATATTATGAACAAACAAAAAAATAGAACATACAGTGCCTTGTGCTAGTCTGCCAAAGGAGAATGCATAGTAGTTAAAAAAAGAGATTTTGAATTAAGAATATTATCAGAAGAAGGTGCGAGATAATATTTAGAGACAAGACTTGTTTAGAAGAATAAATACATGCAAGACAAAATATAAAAAATAAAAGGTTCGATTGCAGATTATTAAAATTATTTGTACGATGATAGAGCAGAGTAAAAGCACAAGCAGTAGATTCATATTGCAATTAATAAAATTGAGTCACCAACAAAAAAAAATTAACATTCTTCTATATTTGATTTCTCTGCTTCCATGAATGATAATGAGAATTAATCTCCAAGCATCATTAGAAAAAAAGAAAATCTCACTCCGACTAAAATGTAATCTAGCTTAATGCAAAGTACTTCTAATTTGAATGCCTTAAATAGTACTTCCATTGAGGAAAAAAATTCTTTGATAAAACTTGGTTCTACAATTTACAAAACAAAAACAATAATCGAGCTAGACAAAATAGAATAATAATAATACAAGGAAATGACTTTGAAAAAAAGCTCTTCTATTGTTGAATCATAGACTCCATGGAGAGATTAAATTGCTAGTTAAAAGAATATTAATGAAACTTTTAAAAATCTTTTTAGCTTTTCTGGGTAAGAAGATGAGCAATCTCAGTAAAAGAATTTACTTTAAGTACCTTCTTCATAATTTAAAAGAAAATCTAAAATGTCTTAAACTGTTTTAATCTCAAACTCTTCAAATAATTTAGATGGAGGACTTTCTCCTATCTAAAAAAGAATAATTGAAGATGAGTGCACATCACCTATAATAATAAGAAGACAACTATCGTAAATACATACTCCAATAAGTTAATATTCAACTCCAAACACTATGTTAAATAGTTAGTAAAGGAATTATAAGGGGATTCAAATACCTCATATAGATACATTCAGCTCTTAAATAAAAAGACTTAATACCTTTTAACCATAAACTCAGTAATAATAATAAAATGCTCAAATGGATTTAATACAAGATTAAAGGGAATAAATATAATAATAAGAAGAATAGCAACCATTTTTGATAAAAAATTTTGAAAGAAGCAATAGTATGCTATCAAGTTCTCCTTTGTTGAAATAAAAATATGAGTAGATTATTAAGTAAAAGGAATAACTTAAGAAGCATCAAGAAGAATAATAACAAAATATTATTTAATAAAGCTCAATTTTGTAAAATTCGTTAAATTATTCTCAAAATATTCTATCATGTAATAAGAGTAGTTTAGATAAAAACACTTCTTAGTAAGATAAATAACATTAGCTGCTTACTTAATAAATAAAAAGCTAATTATAATAATAGACTAGTTAAGAATACACTGATAGTTTAAATTCAACAAAGCATGGAGGTCTAATTAAGCTTCGCAAGAGCTAAGATAACATTTAGGTTCATTTTGAAGAGGATGTTGAAGAAGAAGGGTAAGAATCTATATCACAAAATACCAATTGCAGCTTACAGTTGTCTAGAACTAAAAGCTAGCCAAAATCTCCTTGCTTATCTTAAAAAGCATCTCATATCTACAACAATTCCAAAAAAGTAGAATAAGAAGTTGAGATGAATTAATTGGATAAATATGCACCAAAAATAAATTTATTCATTGAAGAATAAGAAAATAATGAAGCATAGCTAGTAAGAAAGGTAGATAGTTTTTGTGAAATTATGGATGATACAACTTCTTTAAAACAAACAAGCGATGAAAATAACAAATCTCTTTCAAATTTAAACTCTAGAAAGAGCAGTAACTCACAATTGAAGAAAGATTTTAGATCGTTCGAGCAACCTTTGATTAAATAAAGTTCTACATAAAGCTAAACTTTGCAACAAAAAGACATATCATAAGACATTATTAGCTTTGAGGAATAAAATTCACCTACAAGAAGCAAGAAGTTAAATTTAAAAATAAAGCAAATCACTCACAAAACCTAAGAATAACTTTAAGACAAAATACAAAATTTAGAAAACTAATTTAGTAAAATTACTAATTAAGAGCCAGATATGCAGCAAGAATAAACCACAACTGCAAATAAAGAAAGTTAAAATTAAGAATAATAGAATGAGCCATAATAAGCAACTTCTAATTACAAATAAACAGAATATTCGACTTCAGAATTTTGTTAAATTTTAAAATAAAGCTAACCTGTAGTCAATTAAAAGATAATTTTTAATTCTTAATTTTCTCCTATGAAAGGAAGAAGAAATGAGCATTAACCATACAAATTTGAGTAGTACAAAGACCAATAATACTATTTTAAAAAGAGATAAAATAAAAATGACAATTTTACTACAGGATTTCACAGTTCTTTAATTGATTTGGATAGCAAAATATAAATTGATGGAGCTTCTCCTATTAAATAGAGAATTTTAAAAGAAGGTATACAAGCATTATCATAATCTCCATCCTAAATTTCAAGAAATAATAAATAAATAACAAATTACTAAAAAGCTATATTTTAAAGGCAAAGAGTTTACAATAAAAGCTGTGAAAATTTAAAAACTGATCAAGTAATGGCAGCAGTTGGAATATTTGCAAATTAGACTGTTAGAACTCATGTTGATTCTTAATCCCCCTCACTATCTCCATAAAATGATATGAGGGATTTCAGATCAACTAGGATTAGCTAATCCCAACCTTTCTTATTAAATCTAAAGAGTGGTGAGTAGGATTCTTCTGTAAAATAGTAGCAGTAATAATAGTTTAATTTTTAAATATAGTAAAAAAATATGTAAAATCCTCAACAAATTAATAGCAAATTGCATTTATTTAAGTAGAAAATAGAAAATACTGTTTAAAATACTGCATTCAATAATTTGATACCATAATAAAAACACTTGATTTTCTTTGAAAATAATATTCCAATAACAGATTTGCAAAAGTAAAAAAGATATTCTGCCATTCGTGTGTATAATAAAAGTGAATAAAAAATAAATAGCTGTTAGGATTTAAATAATTAAGATCAAGTTCAAAATAGTGGTTCAAATGAAAAGTAGCTACCTCCTAGTCTGAATAACAACTTACAAGTTATCTAAAAGATTGAAAATCATCAATAATACATAAAATAAATATGGTTCCCAACATCAAGCAACTCAGGATCTTTAACATCAACATAAAAATAGCAGAATTTTAGATAAAAAATGAAACAGAAAGTATCGTCTAATTAAAACATTTCAAAATCAAGTATTAATAACCCTTATTCAAATCTCTAGCTTATCCAACAACATTAACAATTACACAAATATTTTAATAAGCATTCAGAGCTACTTAAAAAAGTTCCTCATATTTAAAAAGAAAATCCTTCAACAAGCAATAAAGTTTCCAGTTCAATTTAATTTTGAAAAATTACATTAATGCTATAAAATCTCTAAAGCAAAACTTAAATTATATATTCAGATTAATCTCACTCATGAAAATATTAATTTTTATTGTAATTATCTATTTATAATATTGGTTAAATTAATTAATTTTTATAGTTAATTTACTTAGAATAAAATAAAATCTATTTCTATCTCATAAACTAAAAAAAATACACTTAAAATACTTTTTGAAAATCTAAATAATTTTATAATTCATTTTGATAAATTCAAGTTTATAAATTGTTTAACAAAATATTGCCAAAAAACATAACAACTTAATTTATAATAATTATAATCTAAGTTATATTTCTGCTAAATAGTTTACCTATTTTCATAAATTTATTAATAGAAATTAGTTTTTTATTTAGAAATTACATAAAAAAAATTGGGATAAACTCATAAAAAAATAAAAAAGAAGATGAAAATGAATAACCCAAAAATAATTAATTTATTCAAGCATTAATAATTTAAAATTAAATAAAAAATTAACATTTCCAGATCAAAAACAAATATTGAGTAAAAAAACCAATAATAGTAATTCTATTTTCTCTAATTCTTCTTTATTTTTTATTAGAAGATATTATGAATGTTCTGAAACAAATAATTACATTTTTGAAAATATTGTCCATTGTTTTTTAATCAATTTAATATTGCGCTTAAGCATTGTAAGTATATTTAATAAGCTTGTAAGTAAATTTTGGCTTAACTTTATTAGATTAGAAGAAATTAAATTTTAAAATGTAAACAAACATATAAAAGATTTTTAGAACAAAAAAATTAATAAATTCACTAAAAAATCAATTTTTAAATCTTAAAAATGAATAAAGAAGACTTTTCAATTTTATTGTAGCCAGTAGACTTTGGAAAATTATAGCTAAAAAATAGATTAATAGTAGCCCCATTAACAAGAATGAGGACAGATATATCTGGAATTCCTAATGACTTAATGGCTAAGTATTATTCTATGAGATCATCCTACGGATTGATTATTACTGAATCAAGTTCGGTTTCTCCTCTTTCAAATTGTTTTCCAGGTAAAACAAACTATAAAAATATCAATAAAAAAGTAGCTATTTAACATATCATATAGGTGCAGGAAATATATACAATCAAGAGCAAATGGAAGGATGGAAAAAGGTTGTTTAATAAACTCATGAATAAGAAGGTTTAATTGGTATTTAAGTTTTCCATTGTGGTAGATCATGCGTTTCAAGTCAGATAAATGGAGAAACTCCAGTGGCCCCAAGTCCTATAGCAATTAGAGGAAAAGATTTGATTTCTAATGAAGAATATAAAATTCCTAAGGAGTTAAGCATAAATGAAATAAAAGAAATAGTTTAATAATTTAGGAAGAGTGCAGAGCTCTCTAAATAAGCAGGGTTTGATTTTATTTAACTTCATGCTGCAAATGGATATTTAGTTGACTAGTTTTTAAGAGATGAAAGCAATAAAAGAACAGATGAATATGGTGGTTCAATAGAAAATAGATGCAGATTTTTGTTAGAAATAATTGATTAGTTAATTGATGTTTTTACAGCAGGAAGAGTTGCAATAAGATTATCACCAAATGATCGTTTTAATGATATGTATGACTCAAATCCTTTAGAGCTTATGAGATATGTCTTATCAGAGCTAGATAAAAGAGAGTTAGCATTTGTTGAATTAAAGAGGGATAATCCATATGAAACAACTGTTTCAAATAATGACTCTCCAAGAAAGCATCCAAGAGAACTTATTCCTGATTTTTTTAGAGATTTAAGGAAATTCTACTAAGGTAATATTATCTGCAATGACGGAGTAACTTTGTAAGAAGCCAAAGAGCTGATTTCTCAAAATATTTGCCATGCTGTGTCTTTAGGCACTTTATCTATTTCAAACCCTGATTTACCTATAAGAATATAAAATAATTATGAAATTAATTATCATACTGATATGAACACATGGTTTTACGGTGGAGCCAAAGGCTACACAGATTATTTACCTTATAAAGAAAACAACTAAAAATGAATTTCTAACTAAATTAGTGTTAAGAATTTTTAGAGATTTTTAATTGAAGTAAAATAAAAGTAAACAAAAAATATTAAATATAAAAAAATAGACACAAAAACATATTTATTAATGTATTTTTTTAATTCAATTTAAAGAGAAATGTAAAAAAAACGTATTTATCTATCATATTTGATATTATTCAACTAAAAACTCTTTTTAATTGTAAAGAAATATTTAAAAATTTTATTTTCTTTTCTTTGAGATAGATATTGCTTATATTAATTTATTAAATTAAAGAAAAAAGATTATTTTTAATTATATAAACTAATAATAAAACTTATTTGAGTATCAAAATTGATCTAAATTTATAAAATAAAAGTAGGGTAGTCATCTAATATAATCTTTAATTTAGAAAATTGCATCTTTTCAGTATTGTAATAATAAATTTAAAATGCTTAAAAATTAATAAATAAATAAATAAATCAATGAAGAAATGATATAAGAATATTTAATATTTTAATAAACTTTGTTATATTTTTAAACTTTTAGTTATGAACTAACTGATTGAGCTAATAGTTATTTTTAAACTATTTCCATTTCATAAAAAGTTAAAAATACTGAGATTATTTTTTTACAATAAAAAAATAACAATTTGGAAAATTTCATATTTTAAATACTTTAAGCAAAACATCTTCTAACTTTTAGCTATCAACTGGTTTTGTAATGTAATATTACATACCAGATTCAAAAGCTTTCCTCTTTTCTTCTTCTGAAACGAAAGCAGTACAAGCTGATATTGGAGATAATTTTTTCATATTTATTGATTTGAAAAATAAATTTATTTCTTAAGCAGCTTAATAACCGTTTTTAACTGGCATGTCTATGTCCATAAATATCAATTAATAATTTTGACAGCACTGATTAGAGTAGTATCTTGCTTATACTTTTTAGAGTGCCAAAAATCCATTATTAGCTTTGTCTACATATATATTATACGGTTTTAAGCGAATTTCAAGGGCATACAGATTGAAATCATTATCATCTACTAGGAGTATACTTGGGCAGCTACATGTAATCAATTCTTTTATCTTTTGTTTAATAATATCAATATTGTTTTTGTATTAAGTAGTTTCATGGTAAATAGTGTTACATCTATTATTGTAAATTAGTATTTTCTCATTTCTTTCTTATTATTTTTTTTTCTCTGAAATTTCATGTTTATTTCTAATTGATTATGGACTTAAATCTTAAATGAAATCAATACTAAATTAAGAATTTGAATTACTACGAATCTATTATTCATCGTTTGACATATTTGAATTGATTTTTTAAACCTCCTGCTTAAAATTAATTTTTTCATTCGAATATATTTTATCCTTAAGACTTTCTGGTTCAGGAGTTTTAGCACATTCCGTAGAAATTTAATTTTAAGAATAAATAAGATGCTTTCTGTAGTTTTAGTTATCTAATTCAAAATTGTTTTGTGAGGGAATACTTTTAGAACTTGGTATTTATTTTTTTAAGTTTATTTTTTTTTATTCGCTATTGTTCATAACAGAAAGCATTTGAAAGCCTTTTTTAGTATCAAGTTTATATTAGTTTTGTGTCTCTTAGTACATTTATACATTATATTGTTGTTTAGTTGGTTGTTAAAATATTTAACTGTTTTATAAAAGATAGTATCCAGAAGTTTGAATTTCAAATTGATTAATAGTTTTTATCCCTTAAGTTTAATTAATGTTTTAATAACTACTATACAGATTATTGCTTTCTTCATCAGCATAAATATTTTAACTTTCTTAATCATAATTGTTTTTAGATATCTCTTAATAGCTTTCATACATCTACTTATCTAATTCTTATTACCATCTTCTCAAAGACTGTATTTATAATGCTTCTTCTTTACCTTCTTTGGGCTTACTTCTCTTTCTATGAATTACATCTTAATTTATGTCTATATTTCTATCAGAAATAATGAGAGATGGTTTTGACATTTAATTTGAGGTCTTTATATTTTCTGATTAAATTTAAGACTAATGACTATATTGAATGCTAATCTTTCTCTGGCTGCAATAGTTTTCTAATTAAAACTAGGAAAATCTACTATTTTTGTGAGAGATTGACATTCTTTTAGATTTATCTGCTAAGATAACAGAAGTCTAAATTTTATGACTAGATGCAGAGTCAAGAGTTTACCAATTAACAAACTAAATGTCATGAAAGGATCTTATATTTAATTTACAGCCAGGTACTTACTATTTCCTATCTGTTACATAAAAGGTAAATATTGATCCTACGTTTGGCTAACTTTAAAATTCTATCCCTCTATTTGAGCCCAGTCCTTTTGCTAAATTATATGAAATACTTAAACCTAAGCCAGCCCCTACTTTGTTTGTGATATCATATTGAGATTAACTTGCATTTTGTTAATTAAACGTAGCATCTTAGAAATTTTTTTTACTCAATTTATGTAAATCAGGTTTAAATAGGGATTAAAGAGAGTTATTTTCATATATATTATTAGAATTAAATCCATTAAAAATATTTTTAGCTATTTCAGGAGTGATACCACAGCCAGTATCTTAGATAGATATTTTAACAGAATTCTCAATAGATAAATCTAAAACTTAACAATAATCTACTTCAATAGTGATCTTACCTTACTCAGTGAATTTCACTGCATTACTGAGAATATTCAAAAATACCTACTTAAATCTGTTTTAATCTGACCTAATATACAAAGGTAGTTGAAAATCTATGATAATTTCAATTGGTAAATTTTTTTGAGAGCTTTAAAGTGCAAATAATTATATACATTCATAGATAGCCTTTCTTATTTCAAATTCTTCGAAAATAAGTCTTAAATCACCATTATTAATTTAACAAAAATCTAAAATGTCATTAATAATATGAAGCAGCAATTAATTTGACTGAATTGCTGGAGCCAAAAATAAGTCTCTGTCTTCATCTTACAGCAACCCTGAATGATATAATGTTTCAATTAACTACATGCTGCAGTTTAGAGGAGTTCTTAACTCATGAGAGAGAGAAGCCAACATTTTTCCTTTAAACGACTTAAGGTTACTAGCATCTCTTTACTTGATTAGATTATCAATATTGATTAGCTCTATCATAGCAAGTGTTTCTCTACCTTCTGTATTCATATTTTCTTAGTCATTTAACCCATCTTGTGTGCATTTTAAATTACTTTTAAATTCTTGACCTAAGTATTGGTAAATTGAAATTTTAAAAAGAGTTTCTCCACTCTATGTCTTTCCTCTTAAAATTAGTGTATTATTGTTAACAATTTCGTAAAATTTTGCATTTTTTTCATTTGAATTATTTCCTTAGAAGCTAAATTTGGATTTAGAGTTTTAATTTGTATTATTTAATTTGTTAGCTTTATTGTTACTACTAATAGTAAATTCGCTTCTTAATATTCTAAAAGAATCAATTTAGCTTTTAAGCAGTTAGTTTACGATTTAATAAATAGATAAGTTTGGGCTATTAAGTAAATTTTACAAGTCCTCATTAAAATGTATATGCATTTTTTTCCATTTCAATAGCTTTTTACCATCAAATCTTCTTTTTTTATATGATGAGTTAAATTCAAGCTTTGTAAAGTCATCTAATTTCTAACTATTATCCAAATTAGAACATAATATATCAAAAGAATTTTATTGATTTAATAACATCATGTTTTTTTAATTTGATTCTATTGAGTGATTATTTTTAAATAATTTCTTAACTTCTTATTTTTAATCCATCTCTTAAAAATGGCTACTATTCGATTGCTGCTTTACTTATTTATAAAATGTATTAGTATTTTAAGAAAACTTTGTATCTAATTTATTATGTTATAAATTATTTGTTTAAGGGGTTGGCATATTTAAATGTTGAGTTGCTTATTACTATTTAGGAATACAGTCAAAGCTTTAAGATTATTTCAATTTCTAATTTTCGCCAAAAAAGCTTGACAAATTTTTATTTTCCTCATTATAAAGATTATAATTTTTAAGATTAACATTGTATTGTAAATTGTTGTTGTTATTATTATAATAATTATTGCTCCTTTAATTAAATTTATGATTTAAAAGAGATTCTTCCAAATTTAACTTATCAAGATTACTTCTACATAAAAAAGACTTTAAAGTTCTATTTGATTAAATTAATTTAAATTAATTTGATATTAAAGCAATCCCAGTGGATAAATTATTTAATATTTCTTATTAAAAAAAATCTATATGCAGTTATCCTGTTAATTAATTAAAATAAATATCATCACTTTTAAAATAATGGTTTTCCTTTTTTTATTATATGTTATGTGCATAATCGCTAAATAAGTTTTGTTAATTATTAAAACTAAGATTATGACACTCAGACTTTTTAGTTTGCTTATTGCTACATTTTAATACGTTTTATTAGCTATTTTAAATTTTATCATTTTTTTGATTGGCTGGTTACAATAGTTCTACAATCATAGTTACTATGAAGAGTGATATCTAAATAAAGGTAACTTGAGCTAAATTATCAAAGTTATCGTATTGGATACTTATTCTAATTATGCTGTATGGTATTATGATAGAATAATAGTAAAAATAATAAAGTTTAAAATTACTTTCTCCTCTATCACTCATATGCACTTAAAAATACTGCGTAATTATTAAATCATAGGACTTATATTATGAAATATTTAGTAAAAAAGCTTCCAAAATAACTATTGCAGAGATAGTATATGTTATTCTAAGGCTAAGAAGTTAAAATTTAATATATGACCTTAGTAAAAAATAGATTAAATTTATTGATGTTGATATTATTAATAATATAATTTATGCTTTTTGAGTTATCAATTGATTTCCATATTTATAATTACTGCTTTGATAGTTTGTATAAAAAATTACAATCGTATAAGCTAATCTATATATTAAACCTATCAAAGATATAATTGCTTTAAGATAGTATTTTGCATTTTGATTTTAAGGTATTTTAGCAAAACATTAATTTATCTGTTTGTTTATTAATTACATCACCTTCATTTAAGTCTATTTTATTAACTGCTTATGAATTCAAACTAAGATTATATTTATTTATTTCTTTTTTTTTCAATTAACAAATAATATTGTTAAAATTGATTACAAATCTAATTTACTAAAATTCTTAAATCAGAATTATTTAATAATTTAATATATCCCACTTATTTAAAAATTTATTTGCCAAGATTTTTATTAATAAAACATTTGATTTAATAGTTTACAAAATTAATAAATTATAGATTTTAATTAATTAATTATTTATTTTACATTTTAAAACAGAAAATAATTTTTATTATTGATTTTATAATTTTGAATTCACTATTTTCAAATAAACCACAATAAATTTCAATTAAAAGCTAGTCTCTTTTAATATTATGAATCAAACTATTTTTATTTTAAAGTTTCTTAATTTGGAATTTTTTATTTTTGATTCAAAACTTTTTAAGGAGAATATTAGTCTAAATAACTATTGTCGAAATTGACTATTGAGGGTTGGATAAATGTTTAATCTTTATATGATATATTTTTTGTGTTATCATTCATACTCACATCTTTATTTTATCCATAACTTATTGATATACTATTTTCAGGAATAACTTGAGATGCTTATACTCTAGCTTATTATCTCGAAGCTCTGTATTCTCTAATTTTTCTAAGAAACCTTGAAATTAAGAATGAGAGCATTATTGATGGCCATATAAAACCATAACTCCAAAAACCTTCATAAATTATTGCAGTAACTAAATGTAAAAATGTAGCATCGTAATAGGGTTTTTCTGAAAATATTACTTATAAAAACTTTTTTTGTTGTAAGCAAAAGCTTTTATCTAGTTATTGAGCATTATTAGATTTATCAAATCCTAGATAATTATTATAAAAGCACTAATTAACTTTTATTTTACCTGAATTTTCATCAATATTTTAAATCTTATCTAGGCTTATAGAACTTATATTTCCAGCGCAGAGCCATGAAGGGAGTTTTATTTCTGATGATTCATATTCAGGTGAGTCCATACTAAAAGTTGAAATCCTTTGATTTTTTTCTAAATAAATATAAGGAAAAGGTGAATTAGATAAAATAGAGCTACTGCTTTTTGATGAAATACATCCACAGCCTATTTAAGAAATACCTTCCTTATCAATAAATGATAGAGCAAGGAAAGTATATAATTCATTTTTATTTTCTCCAATTTATATTTAAGAAGAGTATTCGATAGTACATTTACTAGCTTGGTCGAATTGTTATTGGATAATTGGATGATAAATTAAGAAATAAATACAGAAAAATATACTGCCAAAAATGAGTAAACTCAGTAGGTTTATAAATATTTGCGCCTTAAGTTGTATCTAGCTTTTTTTAATTTTACCCCAAATAACTGTAGCTAAGAATCCTATGGGTAAGTAGTAAAATCCTAGTATAAATTATTTACTAGAAGTTGCATATAAGATCACTGTAGCTACAACATTCATCAAAAATGTTAAAAATAAACCTCTCCACAGAGATTTTGTTTTAAACAAAACTATTTTTGCAAAAAATTGATTCAGATTTTTATAGTTCATCTTACTTATCTATGGTATCCCATTTACCATATGAAAGCTAAATATTTCTTAGCTGTATAATACAAGATTATTTAATATTAAATCAGATTTCTACTGAGGCTTAATCATTTTTCAGTTAGGCTTATTAAATAAAAATATAGGCAAATATTAAAATCTAAATACAAATTATAAAGAAAGATAAGAATAAATGTATGGTAAAAATAAATTGGATAATTACTTTGAGATCTTATTAGAATTTAAAGTCAAAGTATAAATTAACAAACAAAGAAATTAACAAAATCGAAAATATAAAATACAATAATTTTAAATTTTAAATATCTTCAAACAATTATTGTTTTTTATAAATGCCATATTTTTCTATTATAATAAACTAATAAATCAATCTCTATTAAACTGTCAAATTTTTAGATGCAATTCGTAAGATAAATATATAATATCATCACAAAAAAAATCAATTCATTTGTATTTTTTAGAATTAAAATTCCTAGATTTTTAAAGTGGTTTTAGGAAATCTGAAAATTATAATATTAAAGGATATATTTGAGAAATGCTTTCAAACACTATCAAAAAAATCATGATGAATTATTCGAAGAAATATCAAAAAACATTAAAATGAAAATAGTATATTGTAAATTTATAATAATATTAAAAGTAGCAGCCATAAAAATAAATAAATAAACTTAACTTAAAATAAAATAAATTGCATTTTACTAATTTAATTATGACCAAAAAATAATTTAAAATAATTTTTTGTTTTTTTCAAAAAAAAAATAAATTTATTTGGATTTATTTAAAACATAAAGATTAATTTATAATTTTTGTTTATTTGTTTGCTTGTTTATTTGCTTTCTATTTGATTATTAATAACTCTTAATTTAATAATTTATCTATATATATATCTATATAGCAATAAAAAAGATTCAAAAGAATATTTATTTATTTTTAAATGATTAAAGTCTGATATAATTTTCTTTCATAATGTGTATTTATTAAATTAAGGCTAAATTAACAATGTTTTCAATGATTAAATAATAATCCTTTTTAAATTAGTTTCTTTAGACTCATAATATTAGTAAAGTTATTAAGTATTAATTTAAATAAAAATAGTTAAGTATAGAATACAATTAGTAATTTTTAGTTTATTGAAATATAATAAAACAGATAAATGGATATAGAAAGTAAAAATCAGCCAAAAATATATGAAAAGATGGACTTCGAAAGCGGAGGTATTATTAAAAATGCTAGCGAATAAGCATTGAAGGGTAAAGCCGTCATCGAGTCAAATTTTGAAATATTCAATAAATGGCAAAAAATTCATAAGATTGGACCTGGTTTAGCTAATTTGGGCAACACATGCTTCTTTAATTCCGTCTTATAATGCTTAACATATACTCCTCCTTTAGCTAATTACTTACTTAGTGGCGAGCATAAAAAAACATGTCCTAGAAAAGAATCTTTTTGTGCAATTTGCTTATTAGAATAACATATTGAGTAATGTTTTTCATAAAACAGACCTCCCGTTGTATAACCTAGAAAAATAATTTAAAATATGCGCTATATAAACAAGAAATTCAAACTAGGTAGATAAGATGACTCTCATGAGCTATTAAGATTGCTCTTAGAGTCAATGCAAAAAAGTGCACTGGATTTTAAGCCTAAGGTAGATTAAAAGATAGAAGAAGCTACTCCTATCTATAAAATGTTTGCTGGAAAGCTGAAAAGCCAAGTAGAATGCTCAGTATGCAACTATCGTTCTGAAAACATTGAAGCCTTCTACGACTTATCATTAGTAATAAATAAATTTTGATAATTTATACATACATGAGTTGTTTTATAATTTTTAAAAACTTCTACTAAAGCTTTTATTTATTTTTAAGAGCACTTTATTACCTACTTAATATCGAGTTGAGTTGCTCTATTATTATAAAAATAATTAGTCTCAAAAAATTTATTTTTTTATATTTATTCTAAATATAATTTATATTTTTTTATTTATTTAGGAATGCAAAGAATCTGTTTAGAAGTCATTCGAGTTATTCTTTAGAAAAGAAAAACTTGAAGGAAATAACAAATACAGATGTTCTAAATGCAAAAAGTTAGTAGAAGCACAGAAGGGATATGTCATTCGTAATATATTTATTTTATTTTATTTGAATGTAATTTTAACAAAACTCTTATTAAACTAGATTAATTGCCAAATGTATTAACACTTCAGATCAAGAGATTTAACAACTTTATGATGAAGATTAATACTCATACCTAATTTCCAGCTGAAATAGATATCTCCAAGTATGTCTAGCAAGCCAATAAGAAACCAGAAATATATGACTTATATGGAGTATTAATCCATATTGGTGGAGGTCTACATTTTGGTCACTATTATTGTTATGTTAAGAACTCTAATGATATGTGGTACTGCATGAATGACTCTAGTGTTTCTTAAAGATCATTTTAAGAAGTTTCAAAAGAGAGACCATACTTGCTCTTCTACGTCAAGAGAGAAGTTATTACTAAACCTAAAAGAAAATCCAGTGCTGATTTAAGTAACTTATAAAAAGAAGTTGTTAAAGAAGCCATTAAAGAAGCTGCCACAGCTGCTATTGATTAAGGAAAATAATAAGTATTGAATGAAGAATAAAATGTAAACAATAAATAAAAAACACTTTGTGATGAATATAAAGAAATTGCAAAATCTGAATAGTGCCAAGAATACATGGTAACTTTAAAAGTTGTTTTACAAAAAATTAAAATTTTTTAAATAGAAATAGTTAGATTCACTTTTTGCAATAAAAAAGAAAAATGAACCTGAATAAAAGTCAGAAAAAATAGTTGAAGAAAAGTAGTAGAATAAATAGGAAGTTAAAAAGGATTAAATTAAATAGAAGTAAGCTGAAGAATAGAAATAATAAGATATCTAGGAGAATAAGAGTGAAGAAAATAAAATGGAAGAAGAAAAGGACTCTAATAAGCAAGATTAGATAAGTAAAGAAATTGATGATAAATTCTATTAATTACAAAGAGACAGAATGAATAACAAATATTAAAGATGCTAATTTTAGTAATTTATTTATATACTAAAATTTATTTTATATCTAAAAAATATTTATTTTTTAAATGTAGGGTTGTTAAGCTTAAGAAAATAAAAAAATTAAAGTACATTACTGATACCTTTATGAGAAAAAGACTTAGAAGTTAAATGGCAAATTAATTATTATATTTAGGAAATAGTCAAGCTAGTTTACAAACTATATCTAGACAAGATAGTGCAGAAGAAAATAAGCAAAAAGTCAAATAGATAAATGGAGTTTATGTAAATTCTGAAGCATTAGCTTAGAATATAGTTTCTACTAAAAGTGATCAATCTCTTAAACCAACATCTAATGGATCAACAGCTCAATCAACTCCTGAAACCAAGCAATCCAAGCAAGCAAATGAAGTATTAAAACAAAAAGAAGCCAAGATTGGAGAAATAACATAAAATAATTTAGAATATGGAGGTTTAATTAAAACATTGCAGTAAAAGAATGAAGTTTCTCAAAAAGTAAATGGCCAACAGATTGTAAACTAATCTGAGAATAAGAAATCAACCAACTCCCCATTAAATCTTTCAAGTTTAGAGTTGCTTTCTTAAAATGACAGTGGCTCATAGTTGTGGAACTCAAAGGAAAGCCAATAGGTAATTTATAATAACTTTAAGAACTTAATTATTGAAATTTTTATTAAATATAAAATAGCTTGCTTAATTCAGAAATAAGGTAAAAGAACACAATAAAAACATACTTGAATATTAAAAAAAAGAGAAAGATGAGTACGATGTTGAATACGATAAGGGAAAACTTAAAAAAATAAAAAAGAAGAAAGAAAAGCAAAGAATCAACTTCGATAAGTTAGCCTAATAATAATAAAAAAATAAAAATAAAAATGGTTACTAATAATATTTAAAGAAGAATAAAAAATAATATAAATGATTCTATTATTTATAATTAATTTCAGTTTAATTTTTGTTTTATAACAAAATCAATCAGCTCGAAACATTTAGTTTTCTTGCATATACCAATTTAACTTTTCATTGTCTACACTAAAATTAATTGCTAATCCTATAATTTTAACATAAATTTCAATTATTTAAATTAATTAACTAATCAGGCATTTATTAAGATAGCTAAAAATTATTGAACTTTAGTTTGTTAAAAATTAAGTTATTAGATAATTCTTTATATCGCTTCTTAGAGTATTTGCTTTTTGAAATAATTTTAAATATTTATTTATTTCCTTGCTTAATATTTTTTAAGAAATTCAACAATTCTTATAAAAATTTGTGATTTTTTTATTATTTTATCTCTTTATCAACATTAAAATCTTAAATTTTTTCAGATTTGCAAAATCTTAATACATAAAGTGAAGCCTATCTAAACTCAGGCTCCTACAAGACCAAACATTTTACCTAAAACATACATATACCAAGTTAGATGAATTATATAATGAAAAATTTTAATTTATGATAAATATTTTGCCCATTTTTAACATTTTTAAAGAGTATTCATTCAGTACATAAGGGTGTATTGTAACAGGTTTTACTCTTTCTTATAATAAAGCAATAATAAAAAATAATAATAAAATAAAAACATAATAAAGGCTTATTTTTTTAATTCATAAAAATTTTAAATGGAAATAAATAAATAATTAGAAAAGTTATAAGAATAATAAATAAAAGTATTTACAATTTTTCTTAATAAATTTTTGATATTTTTAATTTAATTTTGTTTTAATTATTTTTAAAACTGCATACTGACTATTTTTATTATATTTTGGCTAATAAGCTTGATCAATTTTTTTATCTCTACTGTTAGTCCAAAGAATTTCAGTTTATTTTAAACTAAAAATGTTTGAAACTCTTTAAGGAATATTAATTATAAATTAACTTTTAATTTCATATTAAACCTAAAATAATTTAAATTAATAAAATATTTTTTATTCATTTTAAATCAACTTATATAGTTAATACTAATTTTGTTCATTCTTCCTAAGTGAATACTTTATTCAGTGCTTCTATTAAATTTCTTTTTTAAATTGGTTTAGAAATATGGGCTTTTGCCCCTACCTGTAGTTCTTTGTCAATAGGTAAATCGTACGCTGTAACAATTATTACAGGTACATTTAAAATTTCATTTTACGATATTAAATCGTTAATAATTTAGGTAGCAGATAGTCCATCTAATACAGGCATATTAACATCCATAAATATGAGATCATACTACATTTATTTATTTTTAAGTAATATATCTATACACTCTTATCCGTTAAAAGCCTCTTAAATAGTTAGATTAGGAATGTCTTTAAATATGCACTTTAATACTTTTATATTAAATGGAGTGTCATCAACTATTATGATGTTTTTATTTTCTAAAAAGCACTCTAAAGTTGTATTTTTTAGCTGGTCTAAGTGCAGTTTTTCATTTTTTATTATATTACTATTGGGAAGTGTAACCTTGCACTATTCAGATGTATCAGATGGTTCTTTTGAAAGGGTTGTAATCTTTTCTAAATTTATGCATTAAACTTTATTGTTAGAAAAACTATGTCTACTTTCTTCATCCTTTATTGGAAGTATATCATATTAGATCTGCTTCAAGTATAAGCTAAGATTTTGGTATATATTAAATTTAACTTTGGTACCTACCCCAACAATAGAGTCTAATTCAAAAGATTTTTCAGGTCCTAAATATTATAATATCATTTTACTGATTGACAAACCTAATCCAATACCTTTTTTTTAATAATAATATAAAAACAATTTAATTTAAAAAAAATAAATAAATAAATAAATAATTACCATGAGAATAGTTGGTTGTTTCTAAACTTTACATATTATTTATTTAAGTTAATAATTAATTTTCAATTCCAAGTCCTGTATCACTTATTTAAAATGATAGAATATTGCTTTCACTTTTTTCAATTTTAAAAACTATTTCTCCCTCAAAAGTAAATTTAATTGCATTCTGTAGAACATTTACAATAACTTGTTGCAGTCTTTAAAGATCTGTACACATTATCTCATTTTCATTTAATTCATTAACTATCAAAAATTTTATATTTTTCTTCATTTCTATTTAATTTTAAAATATTTCTACAACTTCATTAATTAAATTTTGCACTTTATCTTGCTTCATGTCTAGACTCAATTCTCCTTTTATCATTTGAGAATAATCTATTATATCATTTATCATAAGCATCTACTACTTTCCTAATAAGTAAGATAATTTAATCATGCTTTTAATATCTTCTTAGTCTTCAGCTCTCTACAATGCTGTTTCTATAAATTAAATTAATTATAAATATTAAAATATTTTATTTAAAAAACAAATTTGATTTTACATAAAAAAGTAAAAATTCCATTCAAAGGTGTTTTTAAATTATGTGTAAATGAAGATATAATTTTTTCTTTGTATTCATTAACTTCTTATTATCTTTGGAAAATGACTTAGGGTGATATGTCATTCATGACTACCATAACTGAATCTTAGTGATCCCATTAGCAATCGAGTAATTTTATGTCATAATATTTTTAATTATCTAATTTTTGTATTTTATTTTTATCACCAACTAAATCTTATTCTTTTTAATATTTACAGCTTTAAAAATGAACAATTTCTTTTGCTTAAAAACTTAAAAATTACTAGTTTTACTCAACTAATTTATCAAGATGCTCACTTTTTTCTTTATTTAATTTAATGGTTTTATTTTTCTTAGTATTTTACTATCTAGTTTCATTTAACAATTTCTCAAGCTTTAGCTTATATTAGCTAGTCTGATTTCTCTTTTTATTTTCAAACTCATTCTAATCATCGTTTTATAATTTATTTTAGCTCTCTTTTGTAGAAAATATGCTTACTATTGCATCTTTTAATGAAAAAACACTTATTCCACTTTATTGCTTAAATTAATCGCTTGCTCCTCCATTCAAAGTTCCATTCCTACTTCTTATATTAGCTTAAGAAGCCAACTTTATAGAATCAGTTAATTTAAAAAATGGATTTTTTTCTGGGTAGCAGATGATTTAGTTCAAAACTTTGGATTGTTTTCCATTGTAAAAATTTAGTTACTTACTTTAATTTTAAAGGTTAGTCGAGTCTTCAAATTCTAAATTTGTAAGCTTATTTTGTGATTTGCAGTTAATCAATTAATTGAAATTTTTTATTTAAATATTTTGTTTAGGTGTATTCAAATTTTAGACCTAGATTTGATGTGCTTAAAAAAATTCTATATTGTTTTCCTCATCTTTTTTTTGATTTCTATAATTATTTTGTTACATATTACTATGTAATTTACAATTTTCCAAATAATCTTTGGAGTAGTTATTTGATAACAAAGTATTTCCAGTACCCAAATCAAAACCATTTTATTAAGAATCCATAGAACATCTATTTCTAATTTATATTTTATCTAAAACGCTTATTAAATCTTCTCTATTGTATGTATTGAATTCTTGTAGACAAACTTTGTTTGCAAATTAAATTTTACAATTTTTTAGAGAAAAAGGCTGTTATTATACAGAACAAGAATCCGTTTTTTTGCTATCAATCTCTGGCGCAATAATTTCAGGTGTTTATGATATCACAAAAATTGAAGTTGGTATTTAAGCGTCGAGGAGGTTTTTATAGCCTTGTAAATCTTAGGACTATTTATGTCCTTCTAAAAACTGAATTCTTTTATTCTTCTCTTAAGAATAAATAAAAAAGAATACAATAATAGAAGTAGTAAGTAATACTAAATTCTAATATATATTTTTTTGTATGGATAGAATTACTATTAATAAAGTAAAAACATATCCTATTGCTAGCAACACAAAGTTGTTTTGCATTTTCATAAATATCATTAATTACAAAAATGACAAAATCGTACAAAATGATAATAGAGAATCATCAAAATCATCTATACCTTATATATCCTACTGTTCATATGCTTATTTATTTTCTGAATACTAATTGATTTAGTCTATTTACCTTGTGCTACTTTGAATTGTGAAGTAGCTAAAAACTCCAAATAATACTTTTTAAAATAGCATAAAATATGGAATTATCACATGATATTTTCTATTTACTATAAAACCTATTAAAGAGATTGCTATGCATGATATTAAAAGTCCTGATGATAGCATTCCATAATCATCATTAATCACAAGAACTAGTAAAATTATTTATGCAAATAGGATAAACCAAAAGCTTTAAAAATATGTTTTTTAAATCACTTAAAGCGTAGAAGAATTATATTGCTCATTTAGATAGCCATGAAGAGTTAAAGTATAGCTATTTATAAGTTAAGATATGTTTTTTATTTCTTGTTTACTACTCTCTTTCATATTTATTTTATTACTTCAGCTTTTATAAATTTAGGTTATTAATTCAATTTTTTTTTTTTTTGCTTATTTAACAATTATTTGAAATATAATTCACATTACCATCAATTAATGTTAATAATTAGATATAATTAGAATCAACTTTAATTTTAAATGAATATCTGCTTACAAAATATAAGATTTATTTAAATATAGACTAAAGTTATTATTTATAATTTCTTCATTGCTTTTATGACTTTTATGATAAATGAATCATTTTTTTAAATTAAAAATATTTGTAAATATTTATCCTTTAAAAAAATCAAGCACATTTTAACAACCTTTTATTAAAAATAATTGTATTAAAAAACTTCTTTTTTTATAAAAAAATTATTTTTTTTACATCAATAAAATCAAAAAAGTGTAATAAAATTGCCAGGATATGTCAATATGTGAATCAATATAAATAAAAATTGAAAGTTACATCTTAAAATATAAATTTAAATGTTATTTTTCGTTTATATATTTTAGAATTTCAATGCAAAATTCAATTACAAGTTACAAATTAAATTTCTTCAACATTATTAGATAAAAGTTATGTTTTTTTTTAAAAAATACAAATAAGAAAGAAGCTATAAATATTTCTTCCTTCATATTTTTTTGGATAAAACTTAATTGATATTTCTGAAACCTATCCTAAATATAATTAATAATAATATATATCAATCAAATAGATATAATCTCTATCATTTTAAAATTAAATTTAAAATACTTTAATAAATTTAATTTTATGATTTTACATCTGAATTTTATTTCTAAAGTTAGAAGGATAAAACTTTAAACTTACGTAAAAAATAAATCAAGAGTTAATAGAAGTAAATAAATATATTATATCAAAAGCATTTTAATAAATCTCGAAATGTAAAAATTTAAAATAACGCCATTAATAATTTATAATTAATTTACTTTTATTCAATTTCTAATTTAGAATTTTTAAAATTTGTTTTAAAATTGGTATTTATCACAATTATATAGATAAAAAAACATAAAATTATTTATAAATTGTTATTTTACTAAAGCAATAAAAAATTTTGTAATAATTCTTATTTATTATCTAAAATAATAAAAGAGATAAATCTGTAAAAATTTTAATAAATAATTAATCAATCAAAAACTTTTAATTATTAAAAGATAATTACTGATTTCTAAATAAACAAATTTTATAAAGTAAAAAATATCATATCAATTTGAAATATACTAGCTATTTACATTAAGTTATTTTACTTCTTTAAGATTTGCCAAAAAAACTAGCTATTGCTTAAATAAATATTGCAAAATCTTATTATTTAGATAAATCTCACAATATTTATTTAAAATCTAATGAACTTACATTGAAATTAATTTTACTTAAAGTTTTTTACCAATTAATGAATTTATAAAAGAAAAATTTTCTAGAAACTATAAAAATAGCCTTTCTATTAGTTATAAGATAACACATTCTTTTTTTATTTTAGATTTTAAATGATTTTTATTTTTGAAATATTTTTTAGTTAAAAAGATTTAAACTTAAAAATAATTCCTTTTGAAAATTAAATACATCTATCTATTTATTTTTAAAGCAGCATTTTTAATTGAGAAAACAAACATGAATAAAATGATGGTTTGTAAAATTAATATAAATAAATTTGTATATCCTAAATGAGGATGAAATAATATTTAATTTTATAAATTATAGTTTTAATGCTTGATTTTTCTTTTATAAATGATGGATTTTTATCTTTCTATTTCTTTTATAAATACATCCAAGTACCTGACCAAAATATTTTTGATAGTTATTAGAAATTTATTTTGTTTAAAAAGTAAAAGATTTATTAATTAATATAAATAATTAAATTTATACTTTTTAAAGGAAAAAAAAAAATATGAACAAATAATTATTGTTATTGGCTCTATTGGGTGCCGCTTTGGTTGGTTCAACTGTATTCCTTCTAAATAAATCTAATAAGGATATCAGTGAGTAAGAAACTGTTGCTCAGTTGTGGTCTCTTTGGAAGAAAACCTACCATAAAAGATACGCAGATCCTGACTCAGAATAATACAGAATTTAAGTATTTTCTTCAAACTTAGATTTCATCAAGCAAGATACTACTGGAACTATGGGTATCACTAAATTCTTTGATTTGACCGATGAAGAATTCTAAGCTATTTATCTTACTGAATAAGATACTTTACAAGAACCTGTTGCAGAAGATATTCCAATTGATCCTTCAACAAACATTAACTGGGTTACAGAAAACAAAGTCACTGCTGTTAAATAATAAGGAGGTTGTGGTTCTTGCTGGACTTTCTCTGCTACTGGTGCATTAGAATCAGCTTTGATTATTGCTGGTAAAGCAGAATAAACTATTGATCTTTCTGAATAATAGCTTATTGACTGTTGTGGTGCTTCATATGGTAATTTAGGTTGTCGCGGTGGTAACAAAGACCAAGCTTTCAGATATGTTGAATCAAATCCTATAACAACCGAAAAAAATTATCCTTACTAAGGTTAAAACGGTACTTGTAATTAAACAAAGGCTGCATAAACTCCTAATTATTCTATTTCTAGCTATAAGTAAGTAGATGCTTCCACTAAAGCTCTTGCTGAAGCACTCAAAGTTTAACCAATAGCTATCTCTGTCGACGCTACTTACTTTAAATACTACACAAGCGGTATTTACTCTAAATGCAATAATAATACTCATAATCACGCTGTCCTTCTTGTTGGTTTCTAAGACGATGCTTGGATTGTTAAAAATTCATGGGGTCCTGAATTTGGAGAAAATGGTTATATTAGACTTAAAAATGGTAACACTTGCGGTGTTGCTAATATTCCATATTACCCAATTGTATGATCTAAAAATTTTTATAAATCTAAATTCGTAAAAAATACTTTGTTAAATCTTTATAAAAAAAAATTAACTTTTTTGATTGTATTTATTTTTTTATTTCAAATCATAGTTTTTTTATTTGATTAAATGGATTTATAGCTTTAATAAAGTAAATCTTTTGAATAAATTAAAAATGTAAATTGATCTTCAAATTTTATTTTTATTATTAAGTAATCTGATGAAAAAAATACATTAAACCTATTAAGAAAGTATGTTAATAAAACTAGCTTATTTTATGAAAGGAGGCAAATTTGTTTGTCCTATTTATTTTAACTTGACCTTTATTTTCAAAAAAGTTTGTCTAATTAATAAAAATTCAAATTTATATTTATTCTTCAAAAGAAGAATACATATTTAGATCATTATATCCTAATTTTCATCTTAAAAAAAGATAATTTCTAATTTAATAATAATAATAATAAAATTAAATAAAATTAGATGTTACCTGGTTGAGCAAATATTAAAATGAAATACGTTTTGACTACAGTATTTTGGTAGATAAATTTTTTTATATGGTGTTTTGGTTGAATAGACTAATAAATCTATTAGTATAATAATAATAAGTAATAATTGATTAATTAAAAATTCTAAATCAAAATCTTAAACTGAAAATTAAAAAAAAAACTGCTATTTAATAATATTATTAATTTATTTTTTATTTTAAAATTTAATCTAGTATAGCACATAGCCATTAGGTTTTAATAGCAAATATAAAATATCTTTTTTAATTTTTTTATATTTATTTATGAATCAAATTTAATTTGTAAAATGAGGGCACAATGGGATATTTTAAGATTTAAAAAAGGAGGGAAATTATATAAAAAATAAAATATATTTTAATGATTTTGTAATTTTTTGATTATTTTTAAAAAGATAAATTAAGAAGATAGGAAGAGGAGATTCAGGTGAAAATTTAAATGAAATAAGAATAAAAGCATTAAATAAAAAAAATTAATCGAAATATATTATATTAGTTTTATAATAATAATAGTATGCATAATTATATATTTTTGATAATGAGGCTAATTTAAAATGAAATTTGATTATTTTAATGAGTATAAGTATAGATTATTTATATACTTATCATTTAGTTCAAATGATACAATTGACAATAGTTTTTTAAAAGAATAAAATAAACCATTTGAAAATTAATTAACATTTTTCTATTAAAATTTATCTTTATAATTTAGTATTATTAATTATTTATAATGACAATAAAGTTTAATAATAGATTTAATTATAATCCAAAATAAACTATTATAAAATTAAAATTTATTTTTAATAATTTTTAAAGGTAATATTTTTTAAATAAAAGTCAACCAAAAAGAAATAACTCCTTAATATAAATTTATATAAATTAAAAATGTTGATCTTAAATATACAAAGTTTATTGTATTTTGTATTTATTTTTTATGTAAGTTAATCTAAGGTTAGATATAATTAAATTTTAAAAAGGAAATTAGTTTAATTTCACAATTGATTGAATAAAATTTTGAACATTAAATATCAAATATTCTTTTTTGATTATTTGTCTATAAAAATGTTTCTTTTTTTAAATAGTATAAGTTCATTTAATATTTTTTTATTATGAAAATATTTAAATAACTAAAAAATTAATTAAATTTATAATTAAAAAAACAGCTAATTTAACATGAATAGCATAATTTTGCTTTTTAAAATAGTATTTGCATAATTATCTTAATTTAAAGACATGCAATTATTTTTATAAATAACCAATAAATCATTTAAATGAATTTTGTTTTAATTGATTTATCAATTTAGAAATAACTAAAGTATTTATAATTATTTTTAAGAAAATTATATTAATTGAACTATAAAATCTTTGTTATATATTAAAAAGCAAACTGTTTAGGTTATAAATAATAGTAAAATTATAACTAATTCAATACATAGTTTTATTCTTATTGTTTAGAAATTTAAAATAGAAATCCTACTTTCTTAGTTTTTATTAATATCAAATGAATCTAAAATATGAAAATTTTAGGAAAATTTCTATAATTGAATATGTTATAAATAAATTTCTGGTGTATTTTGATTTTAAATTTGTAGGATTTTATATCATTTTATAATTAATTATAATGTTGACTGGGATTATTATTAAATATAAATATGAAATTATGTTATTATATTATATTTAGAATGATTATAAAGTAATTTAATAATTATAGATAATAAATAAATTATAATAGATAGTTATAATAATTTGATTATATTATTAAATTAAACAATTTTCTATTTTATTATTTCATTATAATTTGAATTTGAAAAGGCATAGTTTCATATATACCATTTGTAGAATCATAGTTAAATACTTACAATATTTTAATTATTCTTTTAGATAATAACTAGTTGATTTTTGAATAGAAATTAAAAATAAAATATCAGAATTACAAAATCTAAAAATAGAAACAATTTCTTCAAAAGTTTTAGAAAAATTAATTTTTAAAATAGTCAATAAATAGTACATGCTCGAATACTATTAGAAATAAATTTTTTTAAAAATAATAAATAGAATATTTCTGTAAAAGTTCAAAGAAATAAATTGAAAAATAATTGTTTATCTTTTGTAGAAAATTATTGAATAAAATATTCAAAAAATATTAACAAATAAATTTGAATTTAAAATATAATTTTCGAATTTTTGTCAAGATTGAATTTAAAATATAATTTTCAAGCTTTTGTAAAGATTAAATATTTATATAAATTTATTTATTTATTTGTATTTTAGTTTTTATTTATTTATTTATTTGTTTGTTTGTTTGTTTTTGATTTACTGGATTAATTTTTTAGTTAAGAAAAATGATATGTATTAGCTTAATATTATAAGCTAAGTATCTATTTTATTTATTTAATTATGATTTTTTTGATTGGGTGAATCAAAAGATTTATATTTTCTTTTATAAAATTTTTAATTTTATAAGCAACTATGATACAAATTAAATATCTTAAGGCAAAAAGATATTTTGAGTATTTTACTTATAATTAATTTGAATAAATGAAACTATATTTACTTATTGTTTTTATTTTCTACTCTCCTTTCATTCGACTTACTTTTCATTCACTAGTTTAATTTTACATCTTGTAAATAAATTAATAGAACTAACACGTAATTATGACAAAAATAGCTTTATAATATACATAGATATCTTAAAATAGAGTTCTTATTCAATAAGGAATAAGCATGTGAATTAGTCTTTATAAGCAAAGTATCTTATATGTGTAACGAGTTTTATTAAAAATAGACAACCTAATATTGCATATATTAATGTGGCTTGCTTGCTAATTATTCTGACTGAGCTGAATAATAAAAACGCTGATCTAATTTATTTCAGGATTTTACAATAATTCAGTTAGTATTGGTGTTATCAAAAATTAATTTACAGTTAGTGGTCTATTACAACTTAAATAGGAACATAAGTAATACCAAATAAACTATTAAATAGATTAATTTGTAGATATTCCATAACTCATCATAACTTGTAGAAAATAAAGAAAATAGAGCAACTATAACCAAAAACATTGGTATTATTATAATGCAATAAAAATTCCATTAAAATTTGATAGATTTTATTATAATTTATTGATACGAAAAATCAAAATCAATTATAAAAAATATTTATTTGATCTGGAATTATTTAATATTAATTAGATGAAAATTAAGCAAAGCATAGCAATAAGAAAGAGGATAGATAATATTCTACATCCAGTGCTTAAATCAATTCAAATAAAATCAAATTGTATTGAATTGAGTAATTCGAACGAACTTACATTTAACTGGAATTATACAAATATAATAAATAACATAATTTCATGAAGTTTTTTTTTCAGTTTCAATCTAATTGTTCTAACTTAGTAGATTTAATTACTAGCTTTTACATAAAATTTTAATTAAAAGTCAAAACAGGATTAGCAGTATGATTTTTTGTAAATAGTTATAAGCCTAATAAACAAGTAAAGTTTAAAATAAATAAATAAATAAATAATTTAGGCCTTTTATCTATTTCTTTAGTTTGATGAGAATGAATAATTAATATCGAATAGAGATGATGCAGATTTATTATTATTTTTAATTTTTCATAATCTGAGTATTATTGTTTCCTTATTTACTTTAGAAATTTGTAATGAGTCCGCAAAGTATTAATTTAGAGGATTTTTTTAAATACATCAAAATATTTAAAAATAAAATAGACAGTAAATGAGAAAGCGTTTAAGCTTGAAATAAGTTTTGTTAGGGGTTTTAATTTAGGTTGGAGGTAGAATGTTGAATCAGACGTGAATTGTAATATTAATTTAATTAATAATTAAAAAACACGCGTTTTTGTGAATTGTTTAAACAGTGTAAAGTAAAAGAATGAGAAAGTAAATTGATATAGTGGGCAAAAATTAAGTGAATTTTGGAAGGAATAGAGTACTATTTACAATACATCAAATATGCAATACTACTAAATGTTATAAGGAATAAGTAAAAAGAAAATTTTTTTATAGATTAAAGTTGAATGAGAAATGATTTTGTTACTATGTTAATTTAGCCAAATTTATAAATTTACATTTTTTAAAAATTGTTTTTCTTTGTTGATTTGTTTGTTTGTTGTTAATTAATTAATTAGTTGCTTTTTATGTATGATCTGTTTGTATGTTATTAACTTGTTTAGAAAATATTGAATTAGATTAATATTATGTATTTATTTTTAAATGTATCATTGGAGTGATTTACTTTGCGAAATATTATTCACTTATGACTTCTAGTTATTAATTGTATATTTACACTTTGATTTTTATTATTTTATTTTATGATTATTGTAGTTTGGTTTTTGAGTTATTAACACAAAAGTGACATCACTGCTCTCAGATATTGATGAGTTTATAAAACGAGCAAGCGTCATTAAATTTAATTAATAAATAAGGTGATTAGGACATAAGCAGTTGTTGAGAAAAAATTATAAATTAAGATGAAAATTGAATATTAATGGTATTGGTTAATTACTAGTGATGATTAATTTGATGGCTATAATTACTAATATAATTGATGTTATATGATTAATTATTATGATGCAATTGTTTTTAATGATGCAAGGTTGATGTTGGTTTGTTTGTTTGTGAGAGAAAAAGAAAGGATAGGATTACTTTTTATTAATTGATATAAAAATTATAAGAAATGCAGTTTGGTTTGCGATTTAACTTAATCCAAATGGATTAAATTTAAGATTTCATTTTATTTTGCTTCATTTGCATTGTCTTTTGCTAAAGACTTCATTTTCAGTCTGAATAGTATCAGAGGAGTGCATAGGAGAGGTAACTTCTTTAGATTAAATAGAGGTTTTGCTCGATCTCTTGCAATTTAAGTATGAGCAAACTTCAGTGTATTTGTATTTAATTTTATCGCAGATCTCTTCAATTTACATTTGTTGAGCATGTTTATATTGCTTCTTTTTTAATGCTGAAGTATAAGCAGCGAGTGAAGGGATCATTTAAACGAATTCTTATTTAATTTAATTCATTCTTTCTATGTATGAATTTGAATTAATTTAGCGCTTGTAAGATTTTTGGTGAATTGTATTGTAATCAAAATCAAAAGAAATAATAAATTCGCTTTTTTCATACTCTATATCATTTTCCTTGTACATTTGGCTTCTCAACTATTCAATTTGTATCTCGATATTCACTAATTGGTTGATAAGCCCACGACCAAATGAAATAGGTTCTTACAAAATCAATTTATCTTAAGAAGAAACAGAAGAGCATTTTCCACTGTGGCATCCCATTTTATATTAAATTGCTTAGCAATAAGGAGTTAGTTAATATGTATTTAAGAATGATATTTATTTCTTATCAATTTATTTGCCTAATACAAGCAATCAAATAAATTAATTTGTTTTTGGTAATGAAAGATACTAAAGTTTAGTTTGTTAGTTATTTAGTTATTTCTTTCTTTTTGTATTTAATATTTTTTCTTATAAAATTTAATTATATGGATTTTAATTATTCTTCGAAACAAATACTGCTGAGAGAGGAAATCAATAATTTAATAAATAGCTAGTTTTTTTTTATTATCTAGAAATGAATTTGATTTAGAAAGTTTCTAACTTTTAATTAGATTTTTTGTATAATTTTCTATCTATTTTTCCTTAAAAATTGCTTGTTCACAAAACAAAAAAAATTTTGGATGGGGTATTGTTTCTTTTTATCAGAAATGCGCAGAATTAATATAAAACAAAGAAGACTTTTAATCTTGTCAAGATATTTCCTAAAAATCATCTTATTCGTATTACTAAATAATTATAAATGCAGTCGGCTGACCATATATTTTTTCCTAATACTCTATAGACGTAATTTTTTTATATATAAAATTAAATAACTCTTCTTCTATATAAAACGAGTAAAGTTATAATAAAAATTAATAAACAAGAATTATAATAATAATAATTATAATCCACTATTTCTATATTCCCTCAAACAATTACTTGTGTACTAAAATCATTTCGAACTCAATAATTGCAATTTTCCAAAATACTAAATTACCAAATACTCTTTGAATTTGAATACGTTTTCGATAAAATTACACATCAAAAAACAAACACTCATTATTTCCTATGTAAAAGCAATTGTAAATTCTTAAAGCAAACACATAATCTTTCATTTTAATTTCACCAAGTAAACTATGCAAAAAAATACAGTACCCCAACTTCAATTTTAATACTCGTAATTCATAAAAATAATAAATTTTTTATTCTCTCTATCTCTACACTTATAAGTAGATCAAAAAATATATAATTTTGTTAATATTCTTAATAATTATCACAATCGTAATCATTCAATTCTAAAATCAGTAACAAAAAAATTTGGTTTAAGTGAGTGTAAAGATAATCATGAAAATAGGAAAGATGAAAAATATACCTTATTCAAGCAATTATCATGAGCTAATGGATTATTTTATTAGATGGAAACTTGTATAAAATTTATTGCGCTGGACTACTCAAAAATAGTAAAATTATAAGCCTGAATTTTTATTGGATTAAATTAGCTTTATAGCCACAAATATTAAAATCATAATAAATATAATACATATCCTTTATGCAATGATTATTAATTAAGATAGGACCTAAACAGCAAAAGGATTTTAATTTTAGTATGTAATTAATTGATCAAATAAAAAGAAGCAAAAAGTAGACTCCTATAAATCAAATTATATTTTAGTTTTCTCTTTTAAGCTTCTGAAATTTCAAATCATCTTTGAATCAAAAACATCAGAAAAACATGAAAAATCTCTAAATAGTAAATGCGTTTATTTTTTAAATGTGAATTTCGCTTTTTTTTTTTCACAAAAATTTTATTTTCCTTTATTCATTTTTAAGGTGAAATTTAAGAAAGAAAAGGAGATAAAATTGTAAAACAATCAAAAATTAATTATTTTATTAACTTTAAATATTTGGCAAATTAAATAAGCACTTTTTTTATTTGAGCTAAAAAAAATTAATTAACTAAGTAATGTAAAAAAATGTTCGATAAATAAATTAGTCTAAATATATATAAATGTTTTCCTTTTGTACATATAACCTAATATTCTTCATAGACTTTTCGTACGATTTTAATATCTTTATTAAATAAAATTAGAAAATTGAAATAAATTGAGACTTCTTGAAGAAAATTAGTCATTTAATTAATAAATAAAGATATTTGAGTGGAATTAATTATTATAATCTCTGTCAAATAATCTAATTTTATAAGAATTACATACAATTCATTTAAGTTTGCTATAATCATTCGAGGTTTTAAATATTTGTAAGTCTTCTTATTCTTTAATTTTTATAATACAATTAAGTCTAGTTTAGAAAATAAATTTTTAAATGAACTAATAACTATAAGATGATTAGTACTATTTTTTAATTTGTTAGAAAGAAATTAATTTGAATTCACTTGTATCTATCTACAGTATTGTTTGATTTATGCTATAAAAGTATTTGACTAGTACCTAAATGAAGTTACTTTAATTTTGATTTTCTTCATTCTTAATTTAAATGTAAAATATAAGTGAGGTATTTAATTAACTTTTCTATTCTAAATAAGGTAGGTATTACTTATTGTTAATACTTACCTAACTAATATCACAAACAAAGTTTAAATATTTTTCATTTGTTTTTCTTGCTTTTAATAAATATTAACTTACTTAATAAGATAGTTCTCTCTCTCTTTCAAATTTATTTCTATAGATACAAATATATATTTTTATATCAAAAAATTTTAGAGGCTAAATATATTAAGCAGGTACATATATAAATTGTTTTCGTTTATATTATTAATAACCTACTATAAAGAATGCTAGTCATTACTTTGAAAAGAACAAACAATCTGGTAATCAAATAATTTATATTAACAAACTATTAAAGTAGAAAAAAATAAAAAGAGATGTTTGAAAATTTATTTCTGGAAAATTATTATAGTGTAAATAAATTATTAAATTTCGAATTACACTCATATGTTGTATAATTAATGTAAATACATTTTGCACTTTGTAAACTTTATAGTAATAATAAATTTATTAAAATAGAAAACTTAGTGAAAAAACTTTAAAAAAATAAATTCTCCTTTTAATTAGTAATTTACACTCAATATTCAGTGTAAGTCTTATGTTTCTAAATTGTAATTTATTAAATAAAATCTTAAAAAGGTTTAATATTCATGTATTAAGTTTATGATTTTTGTGTTCATAGAAGCGCGTCGTTTAATTGAGTTTTCTATTATTTAATTACTGAATTTGTAAACTAAAATTTATATTACTAAGCAAAAAAAGTCTTTGAAATTCATTCTTAGACTTACACATAGCAGAATTTAATACTTATAAATGTTATTTGAGAGAAATTCTTAATTATGTTGGCTGATTGTATGCTTACCCCTGTTTGCTTTAATTTCTTTACAAAAAAGCTATTACTATTTAAAAAATAAATTATTATTTTTAAAATATCATTTTTTAAATAATTAATTTTTAAGACTTTTACCACAAAATCAAAGATTTTCAAAAAATAGTACTAAAATTAAAATGCTAAAATCACCCATAAAAAAAATAATGAAAATTAAAGTATTTCCTCTTAATTTCAACAACAGAAATATTAAAAATAACAATTTTTAATGTTGTTTACTCAAAATTAATATTTAAAGTGCTTATTTTAAATCAAAAAATTAAACTGTAACAAAAAGCATCAGAATTCTAATAAATTTAAAGAATTTTCAAAATTTCAAAAAATGATATTTTGTTCGATAAATTACAAACACGCACAATGCTTTAGAAAATTAATATTAATTACACTTTCAACATTTTTCTTTGATTTGGTGTGGAGGGAGAATTGATTATTAAAACAACTATTTATTCAATATAAAAATATATATAATTATCTCCGCTAGTGAAATAACGAAAAAATAAGTAAAGACAATTTAGTTACCCCTTAATAATAAATATTAAGAAGAGTATTAATAATATTTAAATAAGCATAAAGTACAAATTTTTTCTAACCCCTTATAAAATCTTAAGATTATAAAATCATGTGAAATAATCCAATCATGTTGTAAGTAAGCATTTTACGTTATAGTCTAACAAATTGTTTTTACTTTGACTGGATTTGGTTTTAAATTCTAAACCGCTGATCGGGTTTTTTCTTTATTAATTATTTTTAATATTTCATTATTTGCTTAATAATTTTTCCACATATTTTTTTTTAAGCAGCTTTTCGTTTTCTATTGAGGAATCTAGTCCAATTTTATTAAATTCATGAATGAATATATAAGATACTGAAATACCATTTTCTTTGAGAATCTTTTCTTTTGCTTAGAACAATCCTGAAAGAGAGTTGTCACTTATTGAACTAGTGTCAGTGTGCTCCTACATCAAACAGTTATCATATGTGTACACAAAAATTGCTTTTTTCTCCTTTGGCAGATAGAAATCAATCATTAAATTTAAATTATCATCAAAAAAGTTCTCTAGAACTAGCTTCGCTTCTTTTCCTTCTATATTTTTATTATTTGTAATCTCAACAAGAATTTACTTAACTTGATTAATAACTTGTTTGTAATTAAATCTTTGATTTCCATAAAAATCTAATTTTTATGCGAGTATGTCTTTTATATAAAGCTCTACTTCTTTGATTCTTGGTTAAGCGGATGAAGTTGATATGTCTGGTATATTTTCTAAATTCTTTAAATTCCCTAGCTAGAGGGCTATGTTAAGGATGTAGAGCTAGAAGTTGCTAAGCTTACTAAATTAAACAAGCTGGGCAAGTTCAAATAATATATCTTTGTCTACTTTTAACCTTGATAAGCTGAAAAGCAAAGAAATTATCATATTCTGTGTAAAATATCTAATATGTGGTTGGATTTTATCAAAGTAGACAACTTCTGCAAATTGTTGTTCGACTTCGTCTAGTTCATTTTCTTAGTTGGTATTGCTCAAAGTATTGAAAAATTAAGCCCATGCAATAGGAGTAGCTTTCTTAAATTTATTTTACATGAACAAATTACGAATTCTTTCTATCATTTTTCTAGACCATTCATTTGATCTCTTCATGTTGGAATAGCAGAATAATGTCATCGCTAATTCATTTAAATTTGTATTAGAAATAGGATTTTGCTTGATATTTTCATCAAGACTATCTTAATTTTACAAAATTTTGTTAACGCATTCATCAATAAATTCAACATTCTTGTATTGAGCTGATGCAATACCAAACAAGCTCATCGATATCCATTTTTAGGACATTTTATCCTTAACTTGGTATATTTCTTTCGAAAGCTTATTGTAAAATATATATTAAGGTGATTATTGATGAAATACAAGAGTCGGGAAATAGCTAAACAATAATAGATTATCTGTTAAATTTGTATTCGAGCTCTCTTTATTGTCAACGTGATTTTATAAAGATTTCACTACATCAAATTATGCAAACGAAACTAATATTTTTGATATTGAAATTTCGCTGCACTATTTTTATTCACGGAAATTAAAAATAGTTCGTTTTTTAAGTTCTTAGAATAACTCCTTACTTTAATAATTGCTTGCGCTAGCTATGATCATTAAATCACTAATTGTATCTGTTTATAGCTTTTTAGATATTTTTTTTATCTATGGTGTTATTAAATCTAGGTAAATTTAAATTTCTTTTCCGTTTGAAGTACTAATGCATGCTAAGCTTGAGCATATTTCTGATAAACTCATATCATCTAGCTACGTAATTATTTCCTCTTTCTGCAAGAGTGGTAAAAGGAAATTTAGTATGATTTCTTAACTTTGTTTTGTATTCAAAAAGCTTAAATACAGCATTAATCCTTAAATCGCAAAAATTGTAAGCTATTCTCCTTCTCTATTCTCAAGTCTTTATTAGATTTAATTTAATAGATTAGAGTTCATATCTTAATTCAATGCTAAGTGATGCAATTTCAAATAACCTCTACTGAGAAAGCTAATATCTTTCAATGGTATTTAACTCATTCTTTACTATTTAAATTTTAATAGAAAAGTAAATAAATATTTTCAGCTTACTAATTTTCTTTTATATTTCTTTGAAAAAATGTAAGCTCTCGATTAAATTTAATAATTTGTATTTTTTAAAATGGATGCAGCTTATTTTCAGTTAGAAACTTATAATTTTTAATAAGATTTGATAAGAAAACGTCTCTTTTTAAATATATATAAAAATTATAAAAAGCTTTTAGTATTATTATAAAATATAATATATGAATGAACAATCTTTCTATAAGCCAAATTAAAATTAATTACTTACTTACTTAATTGTTATCATTGTTTTTATGTTATAAATTATTTATGTAAAATCTCCTATGATGAAAAAGTAATTAGTTTCTTATTAATATTTATTTATAATAAAAATAAGGCTTTTTTATAAAAATATGCTCATAAACTTTTAGTTTATAATTTATCAAAAAAAGAAATCTTCTAGCCTAGTGGATAAGGTAATTATTTTTTTTAAAAATACAAAAATTGATTGTTATTCAAAATGATTACTTGATCGAAAATATTATAGCAAATATTTTAAGAAAAATTTATTAAATTTGAAAAAATTATAAAAACTCTAAAAAATAGTATTTTTAAAAGCAATTCAAGCAAATGAAAAGAATATCCTAAATTTAGAATCAAACAAGAAACTAATTATTATAGTTACTAATTTATTAAATCCAAAACTAATAAAAAATTTTAATAGTAAATGCTAATAGAATTAATTAATTTCAAAAAATACAAAAAATAATATCTCGCTTTTTACTTTAAATTAATTAATTAATACCTAAAAATAATTAGTCTCTTTACATTAGTTTATTTTTTCATTATTTTAAATTTTTTTAATATTAAATACTTTTAATTCATCTAAAATACTTGAGAGCTAACCATTTTTTACGATTAAAATAATTGGAATTGACCTAACCATTATTAGGGTGGTATAGTCAAATATTTTATATCAAAAACTTTAATGTGTTAATTCTTATTCCTGTTTTGGTTCAGTATAATGAATTAACAATAGCAAATAGGGAAAATATCCGTTTACAAAAAAACGGAATAAATAAATTCTTTATAATAATTATGAACTGACTTTGTAATCATAAAAAATGAAATAATTATTAGATATGTTTGGGTTAGTTTAAAAAAATAAACAAAAATAAGGTTTTAAATTAATGTGTGGATGAATGACAAAAAATCTATATATTTAAGTTGAAAACATATTTTTAAAAATTAACTGAAAAATAATAATTTACATTTAATTATTCTGTGGTAACTTCCATAAGTTTATTAAAAAGCTTTTCATACACAATACCATGCTCATCTTTATGTATTTTTCCTAATGACCAAACCATATCAACAAATTCTTAATCTGACATTTAACTGCATGAATTAACGCATCTTCTTAACAAAGCTCTGTAATTATAATTACTAATAACTGCTAAGTAATTTTCTTTTGACTAAAACCTAAAAGATGCTATCTTACTAACTGCCTATGAGACTATGCTTGGCATTATGCTTTATTCAGGTATATTTTAAATCATCAAAAATAGTTCTGATGGCTTCTTTATATAGTATTTTATGTAATTCAAATTTTCTTTCTCAGTTAGGTGCTTGAATTCAAGCTATCCCTTTACCCTCAAACTGATATCGTGGTTTCTATATTTGTCAAATAAATAGTTTTCATATGACCTTAAGCTATCAATAACTTATATTTTACTCAAAGTCTTCATCTTTTCATCAGGAGTGCTGTTTACAAACTCGTCAAAAAACAGAGCCAAAGTATCAAAATTAACAAAATTCAATTCATCAAGTGTAATATCGAATCCCATTTAAGAAATTTTTTCACCATATTTTTCAATAATCTGCTGTTTGTCATTTTAATTCCCCATCACTTAAACATCCTTTTAAGGTCCTTGAACATTATAATTGACAATTAAATTATCTGGATTTGTCGCTTCATTATTTTCTTAATTTTCATTTTATTCATATTAATCTTGCTAATTTTCTTACTGATCAATTACTACTTCTTCATATAAGCTTTATTAATTTGTATTGAACTTTTCTGGATTTTTTTTCATATCTTAAATGAGAAGCTCAGTAGATGTTGCAATAATTTATTTTATATTTTTTGATGTATCCAATAATCCACTTGATATTAATAAGGACAGTTTTCTATTTTCTTTTGAACCTCCTTCAATCATATTTTATATCCTCTAATTTTTAAGATTTTTGCTACTTTCCTAATAAGCAAGAAAGCGCTAGGAATTATTAATGTCCTCTTAGCCTATTAGTGAATGGGGTAAATAATTTTCGGGCTTTCTTTCTTATTATTTTAACAATCTTTATATCTCCTTTTTTTCAAAATATAGCTTTTTAAATTCTTTGAGCTCCTAAATTAATCTTTTGTTTTCTTCTATTTTTGATAAATTCATTTAAAGGTAGTCATTATCTACTAAATATGAATATGAATCTTCAAGAGATTTATCAATAGATTTATTTGCAAACTTTTTTACTTCCTTATTAATTTTCTTTTTATCAATCCTAAGTTCCTAGCCAAATTTTACTTCCTTGCTTGACCTTTCCGCTGCTTCAGAAAGCAACTTAATACCATCAACCTTATTATCACGCTTAAACTATGTTCTAGCATCTTCAATATTTGCCTTAATAATAGGATTTTGAGTATAATCTAAAACCTTTTGGTTCTATTAAATCATTTTTTCATGCTTTCCTAATCTTGAGAATTTTTTTTTCAACTAGATGCCTAGTCCTTTCTTACATTATGCTATATCTTTTAAAGGGTTTATCATTTTATTTTGAATGTCTATTTATTTTGTATCTTATAAAGATTAACAATTATGTTCTATTTTTAACTTGATATACTTTTGATTGACTTAAAATATTAATAATCTGAATTTGATTTCTATGAGAATTTTCTCAATCCTAAATTAAAAAATTTATCAAAACTAAAAAAAACAAACAAGTAGACCTAAATTCTTTTCGATAAATCTAAACTGCTATTTTAAATATTTTGAAATTAATTCCTATTTTTTAAACAAAAATAAGCAAACTCCATAAAAATAAACATAAACTCCATATTAAACATATAGTTTGATTCATTTTTCTGTTGAAATATATATATTTATTATGAGAAAATAAAAATAACAAGTTTATATTTATTCATTTTTGCTTTGAGAAAATAAAAATAATGAGTTTATATATTTTATTTATTTTATGTAATACATTTTTTAGTAATATTTTAATTTTCTCCTTATAATTTTATTTTATTTCATTTTGTTTATTTATTTATTTAATTTGTTTATTTTTTATTTATTTTCTTTTAATTTTGTATGATTAATTTAGTTTTATTTATTTTATTTTTTAATTTATTTATATTATTTTTTTTAAGTTAATTTTATCTATAATTTATTTATTTTTTAATAATTTAAAGGCAATCATTCTATTTTTTAAGTTAATAATAATTTTTAAAAATAATCAATTTAGGATTTTTATAGCATCGAAGATTTATATGAAAACAAAGGATTTTCTTGATTCCGCTTTATTAGCTTTAGATATATTTCTTTTTTTCATAATATGAAATAATTTAGGGATTAGATCACATTAGAAGAAAATAATATTATCTAAATAATTGAAGTTAGACCTTAACCTAATCACAATAATTCAATTTTAAAAACTAGTGGTAATGCACAGCATAATATTTATAGGGGATTTAAAAACTTAAGTTGATTGGGCTAAGGTTAATTTAACATATTTCCTTTTATTCTAATACAATTATCTTCCTGCCATATTATTTTTTCCTTTTATCTTTTATTTATTTTTTTTCGAATTTAATTATTATAAATTTCTCAATGAATTTTCCTTCTAATATTTTTTCTTGATCAAATAAGAAAATCTTATCTTAGAAAATTAAATTCAAAATTTCCCCCCACCAATTTTTGAAAAAAGTTAGATACAAAAAACTATATTTAATTATAGTTAAAAGCTATTGATTAAAATTTATGAAGATGATATAATTGAGATGTTTTATGCAAAACAGTAACCTTATTTTCATTTACTTATAAAGTAAAATAATTTTCATTAAATAAAATACAAAAAAAAAATAAATTTGATAGAATAAAAAAGCTTTTAATAAAATGTTAAATAATTAAATTTAAAAATTTTATAATATTTTTTTTGATAAAAATAAAAGAGTAATAATGATAGGGTATTCATAAATTTCATTACATTCAGAATAATACCCTTTTTTCCTTTTAAAAAATGAATGTCCAATTTTAGAGTTCATAAGAATATTTAAACAACTTTATACTATCATTTATAAAAAATTATTTAATTTTTATATTTTAATCTTATTTTTTATAATGAGAAAATTAATTAAAATATATTTATATTAATGAATTTTACAATTATTAAATCTATGATCATTTTCTAAAAAATAAATACATATGACATATTAAATGTACAGCAAAATTAAGAATTAAACTATCATGAAAATTTTTTTTTAAACTAATCTGTATCTAAATGCTTTCAACTGTTAATTTAGTATCCTAAATGGAAGTTAAAAGTTTATTTTTCTTAATCGAATAACTATTATAAAAATATTTATATTACTTGTATTTATTTATTAATTAATTATATATTGATCTGTTAAAATGTTTTTAATTTATTTTATTTCGTTTTGTTTTAATTATATTTATAATTTGTTTTGTTTGTGTTTTATGTAGATATTTGATATATTTTTATTTTTTATTCTTTTTTTATCATTTATTTTATTTTTATTTTTTAGTTAATTTTAAACTGTTATTTTTTTTTAAATATTAAATGGCTTCAAACTTTTATTTATCATTCAGGCACTTAAATTTTTAAATTATTATAATGGCTTCAAAACTTTAAAAAAGAGAGAATTAATTTTATATATTATTTATTCCTATGAGCTTAATAAAATATTTTATTCCTATAAAAATCAAAGTAAATTATTTATTTATTTGTTAATTGGAAAAAGAATTGATATATCTGGCTTGATGAATATAGACTTTAGAATTGTTAAAAATTTCTGTTAGGATTTGAAATATCGAGTAATAAAATATATTCAGGCACTTATTAATTGATTTCTATTCCTATATTCTTTTGGTTATCAGATTATCTTTTTAAAATTTTTGAAAATGCATCTTTTTGAAGATGAATGACAAATTAGTTAAATTAGACTTTTGAATATAGGTTTCAAACTTTTTAAAAACTTAATGGAATCTTCCTTGTTTTAAAAACTCTGCTTGGAACATTTTTTTTGTTTTCCCTATATTCTTTTGGAGACTAATATTAACATAATTTATTTAGCTCAGCTCTCTTTCTATAACCTATTTATATTTAATAGTATTTTTTATAATATTAAAAATTTTATCCAAAAATAATTTTATTTTATTGTTTTCTCTCAAATATGTTCGTTCTGTTTAGTTCTTTTTGAAGATGCTATCTTTATTCATAAATGTTTCTGATTAAAAATAAAAAATTAATTTATATATTAAAATCTTACTTGTCTTTTTCTTCAAATAAATATATTAAATGCTGATCTATCTAGCAAAATTTGATAATTTTTTATCATAGAAACACTAAAGATAATCTAATTGATAGAATCGTATATAAGCAATTAATTAATCAACAAATTAAACTACTTTATTTTTCTTACAAATATTAAGAAGTTTTTCAGTTAATAAATTTTGGATGCTTCTTTCAGAGTTCTTTTATATACCTTTTGATAAAAAATTTATAAAGCTAAATAAAAACATTTTATGTTTATTAGATTTTATTATTATTTTAAGTTTTTTTAAAACATATATTTTACCTGATGATTGATTTATTAAACTATTAATTTGGCAGTTAAATATCTTTATAGGAATTACTTTATGTTTCATTTACAATCTTTATTATATTTTTGGAGATAAAATAAATAATTATTATTTTAAATACAAAATTCACTTCATTTTCTTACAAAATATTTTAATATCTTTTTGCTGTTGGATTTTGATGTCTTGTTCAACTAACAAAGATTCTAATTATCAAACAAATATGTGTTTAATCACATCTTAAATATCTTTATACAAATGCATTCATGATTAAGCATGCTTATCGCTTATAATATTGGTTCTATTTTTAGAGTTAAATTAAATAATAAATAATAAAGTAAAAAATAAAATCTACTTCATTTTTATTACAAAATATTTAAATGTCTTTTGATTCTTGAATTTTGAAAGCTTCTTCAACCAATAAAGATCTTTTTTCATTTAGGACTAATTATTAGTTTATTTACTCCTTAAAAAAAAGAAGTAATAAACTTAGCAAGTGTTATAGACTCCACTTCCGAGATAGATTGAATAGAGTTTTTGTGAAACTATAGGCTAAAATCCGGTAAATCTAAATGGCATATTAAAAATTTTTACTTGGAATAATTTTTGTTTCTTCATCTATTCATTTTTACTATCTCTTCCATGAAAGTCAAATAACACAAAATAATTTATCTCGGAATGCCTTTTATTATATAAATGGTGATGTGCGAAACTTTGTTAAAAACTTTCCACGAATAAGGTTCCAGATAAAAAGACTTGGTGCAACATTATAATATGATGTTTCTTCACCATTTTTTACTATAAAAAAAGGTTAATTCCCAAATTAATTATTTTTAATTATTTTTTCTTTAATATTTTTTAACGGAAAAATAATTGATTAATTAATTAATTAAAACCAAATTTATGAAAAAAAATCCTTTTGATATAATTAAAAGAAAATAAATACCATATAAAAAAGCATTAATTTTATTTTTAGATGTAATAAGAATATTTAATACATATATTTAAATATATATTTTATATTTTAATGATGAATTTTAATTAATAAAAACACTTTATTAGAGATTAATCATTGATTGTTTTCACTCTGATTAGAACTTAGTCCTCCACTCCCTTTCTTTTATATAAAATTGATAGGAGAATTAGGATCGTTTTCTTCTTAATCATTTTCATTGAGTTTATCTTGCAAATTAATTGCAATATTATGAGATTAAGTATCTTCTATATTATCGGTCTATCCTTTTTATATATTCGAATTGTTTTTTTAATGAGAAAATGGAGTGGTTTGCATATACTAATTTTTTTCAAGCTTAAGTTGTTTAGTTAAAGGTGTGTTCATGCGAGATTAATTTTAGTTAATATCCATTTGCAGAGGTTTCTCTAACTTATTAGAATTTGGAGTATTATATGATTATTACTAATAGATATTATTTTAATTAGATGTGTTACTGGTTACATAGCTTTATATAGGAGATCTTACATACTAGCTATTTTAGTTTAAAGGTGGGTTTGCTATGTATTGGTTTTGATTATTATTAAATTAAACTTAACTAGCTAATGATTATTGCTCTTTATTTAAATGATTATAATTTATTGTAGATATAAATTGAGGTTTACTCATTTAATTTGTGGTGCTCTAAAGTCCTTACTAATAGTAATTAAATGTTTATTATTGATTATGTTTAGCAGAAGAAATCATATGCTATTGTAATTAGTGTTATTAGTGAATTTACTATGTTGAAGTCATTTAGTTTGTAACTCCTTGCTATCTTATTGTAGTAAAATATTACTGCTAATTTCCTTAATAGTTTTATGGTAATTCTTCTATAAGAATTCTATTTTGTATCTGAAAATTATTATTTTGTAATTAATGATAGGGAACTTATAGAGGATGATGCATAGGAGCTAATATTACTTATTGAGGCATTTGAGGTAAAGAAAATGCACCTTATAATATAGGGCTCTATATTGGGAAATTGCTTTACTATAAAAGACGTATCCTAGAGCTAGTTTCATTTATACTTGCTCCATTACCATTAGTTGAATTTCCGCTTTAGTGTAAAAATTAAGATAATAAGTAATCATAGCATGAACTACCTTCGTTAGCCAGTTCAATAGAGTTTTTGTTAGAATTATACTCAGAAATTTTAGTTTTCAATTATTGAATGCAATCATTTAAATTCTATTGCAAAAAATTGTAATCTGATTACCATTTCTGTTCTATAAAATCTAGGTATTTCTTCTCACTTTTTATTATCTTTTTAGATGGTAAATTTAAAATTGAGTCAATTTGGTTTTTGACCAATTAAGTAAAATTTTAAGTGAATTAATTGTCTAAGTAGATCTTAGTTAATTCTAAGAAATAGTTTTACAGCTAATTTATTAACTCTATTTTTTTTTAGTAGACTTTCTTAGATACAGAAGACGATGAAAATAAGGAATTATCATCTACTTTTATACATGTTTTCTTTATTTCATTCTAATATAATTCTTCATTACAATTAATCAATTAATTTTCCTAAGCTTCTTATGAAGCTATGTTAATTTTATTTTATAAGCTGTTGATTTCAATATCGCTTTCTTCTGCATCTTCTTGTAAAGATTTAAACATTTCTGATTCATCTCCTGCTTACTAATCCTCTGGTTCGTAAATAGCAAAATCAGAGTCATTTCCTTATTCTAAATCTCCATCTTGACCTTCTTCTTATTGCTATTCTTCAAAACATTTAATAACTGATCCTGAAGAAGAAAGTGGTCTCAGAAAAATAGCGTCATCATCATCTTCTTAACATATGTTGGAATTTGAAATTTTAGAGGGACTCCTTGTAAAACTGTAAATTGTTTAAATAGCTTCATCTAATAGCTTTTAAATTTCCTAAATATCCTATGAAGTTTTGATAGAATTTTCATATTACTAGATTTTTGAAAATGCAGCCTCTTTTTATTATTTCTTCTTAAGAAGCTACTCTTTATAATCACTGACGATCTTTTATTTTTTTGTTTTAAAGTAAATTTCTATGTTCTCTAGCTTTTGCTTTATAGGTAAAAGAAGATTCTCATATTAATTAATATTTTTCTTTTAGTTTGCTATAAACTCTTAATTCTCTACTTAGTTGTTGCTATTTAAAACAGTTTTTTTGCTTTGTAGGTTATTTAATCTTTCATTTTTTTAAAATTTGTTTTTTGCTACTGAGTCGTCTGCGGAGTTAGATTGCTAAGCTTATTTATTATAAAAATTATCCGAAGAGGAGTCAGTATTAGAATTACTTGCTAGATTTTTGTTAGTTGAATTATATATGTGGATACTATTTAAAACTAAAAAGAGTAAACCCTTTGATTCGAAGCTTTCTAATTCTTCAACTTTATGATTTTTATTATGGTTTTTCACAGCGCAAACACTACACATAACTCTAGAAAAGCACTCTTTCTCTAAGCAAAGCCAGCCAACAGCTTTATTAGTATGGAGGGGACACATTAAACTTGATACTGAACTCATGAATTGTTTATAAATTTGTTAACTAAATAAGATATTTATTTATTTGTATGTATGTTTTTATTTCTTCAACTTATTACCTAGTGTGAATTCAAAATATTGGTTTTTTTGAATTTATTAGCTTAACTAAAATATAAAAATGTATTTAAATATTTATTCTATGAAATAATTAATCACATTTAAATAAACTCATTTTATAAATTCTAGTAAACCACTTATTAATTTAAGTCAGTTCAAAAATTTCTATTTTGTATAAATTTCTATAACATATATTTAAAATATTTAGATTCAAAAAAGTAGAATTTTAATTGCTATTATTAAATTTGCATCTGGACTAAGATTGAATTTGATGCACTGAATATATTTTATTCAATTAATTTAATGTTAAACTTCTCAAATAAATACATTTAAATTACTATTATTAAATTGATAATTTAATAATATTTAAATTTATTGAAATTATTTGAAAATTTGAATTTCATCTAATAAAATAAATGAAAATAATCTGCTTCATAAAAAATATTATTTGCAATTTTTATTGAGTACATTTTTAAAATAAAAAATTTTTAACACACAAATCATATTTCGTTATATTAAATTAATTAAGTGATTTATATATACTTCATAAAATCAATTTGGTAAAAATTAGAAAAAATTTTTATATGTTTATTTCATCTACTTTTTTAATTTAATTTGATTAATCCACATAAAAAATAAAAATTGATTATCAAATTATTTTTGATAAATGAATTAGATTAAAGATTGACAATTAATTTTTGCTCTTTGTATGAGTCTATTTATTATTTCTTTGATATAATAAAAAGATTTTTAATTTTATTCAACTAATTTAATTTTTTATATTTTACACAAATAAACTATAATCTATTAAATAATTATTTAATTTTGAATTGAGTGTCATAAAATATTTTAAAATTTGAAATTTTATAAATTATGTAAATGAAAAAAACTTTGATGTTTTACATATTTATTAGATTAATAATTTAATAAGATTTTACTTCTAAAAAATAAAATAAATTTATTACACATTAAAATAATTTAGTTTCAGATTACTATATTTGAAGAGAATAATTTTGTTAATTATTATTAATTTTTTTATCACTTTAGTAAGTTAAATGTTTTTATACCTAAAAGATACTCCAGCTTATGATATAAATTTAGTATCTTTATACTGTAAACAGCATTGAATATAAATATAAGAATGTAAATAATTTAGAAAGTCAATATCAATGGTAAATAATATACGTTATCAAATTAAAATATTAATCCAAGGCTCATAAGAGAAGTAACTAAAGTAATGTAAGAAATGTATTTATTTATTTTAATACAAAGCAAACTTCCTTAGAAAGTACTCTTATATAGGAACCAACAACTAAGAGATAAAAATAGCAAGTAAAAAAATATTATTATTAAATTAAAAACAGATAAAGACTATCTTAAATTAATATTTTTAGTTAAAAAAATTAGAGATAAGCATATTAAAGATAGTACTATTCCAATTACTTGAAAGGAAAATAATAACTTAGAGGACTCCTTAAACTGCTGAAAAAGTAATTTTAAAGCTATAAAGTACTAGCTTCCTTATACTTTTCTGTGTATTTCTTATGCTTATTTTTGTAAATTATGAGCATTTCTATGTGCTTCTGACTAACCCAAAAGATTAAATTATATAATTTTTTAGTAAATATTCTTCTATATTGATTCTTGGGAAACCAAATTTACTTTTAGTTTCTATTCACTTTATTAAGTTTTGTTTCTCTTATTAGAAAGCAATAATTTCTTAGGAACTTTTATGTCACTTAGCAAAATTATTTATTAATAATAATGAAAAAGATTTTCATTTTTTTTTTTACTAGGAAATAAGGTGTATTATTATTTAAATGCATACAAGAATGCTGGCATTTTTTTATAATGCAAATCTTCTCTTAAAATGTTAGAATCGCAGTTATATTTAACTTCTGTGTCGTCAGTAAAAGTTTCAAGTAAAGATTGTTTCAAATAAAGTCTTTACTTTAGCTTCTAAATTTCCTATGATGAATTCAAATCATCTGAAAAAACTACTAAGCTGTCATCCAATTGCGACTAAAAGCTATCATATTCCTTGTTGATATCCTGTGACATTAAAGAATTATTTGTATTTTAATGCTGTAAATTTTTTTTCTATCCTTTCTTTTTATTTTTTGTTTTTTTAACTTAACTTTAATATTTTTCTGCTTGGATTTACATGTAAGATGTATTAATTATCTCACATCGGAGAAAGATAATTAAATTGATTAATAAGAGTGTAATCGCATCATAATTTTCATTAATCTTATTTACTCATGAATAATAAAAGAAATTATGTTTTTCTGGTGATGATTTCATTAGTGTTAGAACATCAAATTAAGTGTAATAAAAAACAACCATAAAAATTATTTTTGAAATTAATTTTTTTATTAAATTTAAGATGACTGTAATTTTCGAAATGTCAATTCACATTTAAGAATTATTTTATTTATATTCTTCAAAATGTTAATCTATATTTTATATGTAATAATAATAATATCATAATAATAGAATTTAAGAGTGGATATTTATGAAAAATAAATAAATTAAATTCTCAAAAATAGATGTTGTTTGATAAAATTAGTTTATTTTTTTAAAGTGATTGAAGTTCTCTATTAAAAAGTTTTACAAAATACAAAATAAAAATTTAAATTCAAAATTAATTATTTAGTTAAGAGAGACACTAAATATTTAATATATTTTCTAAATAAAGAGATACTGAATTGAATTTTTATTTAAGGTATTTTATAAAACTTACTATTTCTTAATGAAAAATAAATATAGATACATTAAAACTAAAAGTATAATTAAAAATAATAATTTAGATTGTTCATCTCTACATCTTAAAAAAATTGCAAATTTTATTTAAATAATAAATAGCAAATAGAAAATTAATTTTACTAATTATAAATCTGATAATATTCAAATTTAATTTTTTAAATTTTATTCAAATTAACAGAATAAAGTGTTACTCTAAGTCTGTCTACATATCTAGATTTTTTAAGTTTAAATTCTTTTAAAATAATTAAAAGTTAAATTACTAGTAATAACCAAAATCTATTTAAAATTGAAAAGAAATATATATATTTTAGAAAAATTATCAAAACTATGATTAATCTATATCAAAAATTAATATTTTTGTTTTATGTTTTTAATTTATTAGGGAAAAAAAAGTTATTCAAAAAATATTTTATTATTTAAGTTAAATAAAATTTAAATAATTTAATTTAAATGATAAATAGCATAATAAATTTTAAAATCAAAATATTCTAAATAATCGTAAAAATCAAATTTAAATAAAATATATATCAAAATAAATCAATAAATAGGATAAAACTTAAAAATAAGATTTTAAGAAAAAAGTGAGTAATAAATTTAATAGCAAGAACCAATATGCAAAAATAATTTTTAATAACATCCAACAAAGGTGAAAACTGCATGTATATATGTAAATGACTATCGAAAACGTTTATTGAAATCTAAATGTTAAAAAGATATAAATTTTATATTTAGTTGATTAAATATTATATATGAATTCTTATACACGTTGGTATTAGCAATTGCATACTTCTAAACACTTAAAAATGAATGAATGAACTACGCACATACATATTAATACATAATTAATTAATTAATTTTTAAGACTCTTTAAATTAAGATAAAAGATAAATCATACTCTTTTTGATAAATTAAAAAAAATAGATCAAAGATATTAAATCAGATTTATATAATTAATATAATAGCTTTTTAAATAATATTGTTAAATGTAAGTAGAATAACCCGTAGCTGTTAATTTAGGCTCATTTGAAAGTAACTTAGCATATTTATTATTCTTGATAATATATCACATTCATAACATTAAGCGAAAATAGATAGTTCCTTCCTTATTTGTTTTTATTTGGAAATCTAATTCATATTATTTACAATCAAAATGAAATAAATAAGCTTATTTATTATATCATTTAACTTCTTTTAATATTTAATAACAGTATCTTAAATCATTAAAACTTCTCAGAGTTAAAATGGTTTAAAGCATTCTGATTTCTAGCGTTACAGAAAGTATTGTGGACATAAGGTACACAAGCTTAGAAAATTAATGAAATTCTCTCATGAGAAAAAGTACCAAAAGAAGCAAATCCATGTTGAAAGATTAAATGACCCTAAAATGCTCTAAGTTCTTCTTTTCAAGATTGAAAATAATTGGGCTTATGCTATGGATTTAAAGCAGATTATGCAAGATAGTAAAGATGTACAAAGAATTAATTTTATTACATTTACAAAACAAGGAATCAATTATTAGAAAGAGAAGAATATAAGATTTCTAATTAATTAATTAAAACAAACATTAAAGTAGAATACTAATTTTATTTGTTAAAAATTTAAGGGAGCAGCCAGAAAGTAGCATCATGTTAATAAAAAAATGGCTAAAGCTTTGAAATGGGCTAATTTACTTAATAATATCTGCAGAGAGCGTACAGATGAAAGAAGTTATCAAGAAAGCGAAGCATATTTGAATTTTATCAAAGGTATTTATCACCATGAGAGACACTAATGGGAAGATGCATTAGAAAGTTATATTAAATCTCGTTCTATCTATCTTAGCCTTATATCAGTTTCTGACTCTCTTTAATCAGTTTTCTTTAAGGAAAAGGTTGAATTCTTAGAACAATCTATCAGGTAGCTTATAAAAACTTTAAATATTCACTTATTGTTTATTGATATTTATGCTTAAAAAATAACAGATATTGCCATCAACAAAATAATGGTTTCATTTTGGATACTATCGATGTTATTATTTCTAAAATGGGTACTAAAATGGATATTGAAAAAACACCTACTTCTAAGGTTGCTTAGTCTGAGAAAAAAGACTAGTTGATCGAAGTTGATTACTTAGGTTCTAAGTATCCAATTAAAAACTAGAAAGCCATCTATTCTTACAGATAAGTTGAAGATTGCTAAAAGAGAATTCACGAATTGCAAAGAAAGACATCCAAAACTAACACTTAAGAAGAGCAAGATAGTATTTTGGGTAAAAATTACATTATTTCTATATAAAAATGGTTTATAACTTTTTAATTAATTTTATATCAAGCAATTTACAACGAAGCTTTCAATAACTTTGATGAATGCATTAAGGTTATTTAAAAGGAAAAGTCAGATGAAAAGAACTCAGAAGCAGAAAATTTAATCTACACAAACATTCTTAGCTTTTTGAACTTAAATAAATAAAAATTCATTTTAGATAGAAATATTATTCTTATCAAAAATGCTGTTTAGTAGTTCGATAAAGAAGATGGTGTCAATAATTTGGAAGCTTTGACTACAAAGAAGGCATTCAAGCTTAAGCTTATTAGACCAACTGAAATTATTAAACTCTGTGATAACCTTTTGCAAGTAATTTTATAATTTAAAATGAATGTTCTTGTTTTTTTTAAAAGTACTTTTTAAAAAAATAAATAAAGGTTTTCAAATAAATAATCGAAGTAGAAAGATAAAATACAAATTTAGAAAACTATAGAAAACTTGATGTTTTAGAATTCCACTTCAAGGCAATCAGATGCTACTACGTCTCTTGCGTTTATTTAGCCAACTCAAAATATATTGAAACTTTATCTTTACTCAAGGTTGCTGAAAATATTGTAACCAACTCTTCTAAAAAGTTTGTTGATATGAGAGATAATGTATTTTTCTTATAATTTATTTATGTATTTATTTTTAAGTCTGTGAATAAAAACAATAGTTTGTAGAAGATTATGTTGAAGAAAGCGACATCTTAATGAAAAAGATCAAGTATTTAGAAATCAAGGCTAAACTTGGCTTAGTTGAAAATACAACTGAAGAAGAAACTGTAATTACTGAAAAGCTTGCAGACAGCAATTTGGATGGAAAAGTCACTAATGTAAAATAAAAATAAATAAATAAATAAATAAATAAATAAATTAACTTTAACACTTACATTTACTATTATACTCTTATAAATAGAAAACCATCTAAAGTTTAATGAAAGAATAAGAATAAGGAAATAAATTAAATGTTGGTATCAATAGATTAAATAGCATTCCCATATTTGCTCTTCCTCCTAAGCCTTTGCTTGCTGGCTGCAAACCTATTTAATTTGATTTGGTAAGATTTTAGCATAATTAAGTGTTCATAAAATGACTAACCATCTATTAAAAATAAATATAGGTAGACGAATATATTAATTACCCTAAGATAGATGTTTAACAACCAAAGCAACAAGCTGGTTTCTTAAATAAATTCAAGTTTTGGTGATTAAAAATTATAAAGAAAGATAGATAGATATTTCATTTATATTTATTTAAAAAAAATATATTATTAAAATAATTTGTAAATATGGTTATGTATTTAAATGTATGCCTAATAAATGTGTTAAGTAGAGTTTATTCACTCTAAAGAAGCCATTAATTAATCTTATTTCACTTTTTTATATACACATTCTTTCATTCATTTTTGTTAACTGTATCTTTTAATTTATTTGCGTTTATTAAATTTTAATTTGAGATAGTTAGTTAGTCAATTAGTTAGTAAGTAATCTAATAGATTTCCAGAAAATTTGACTCTCTAGATTTTTTTCAATTATAATTAATCTTAATTGCAGAATTAAATAATTTATAGGACTTTATCTAATTAATAACAAAGGTAATTTGGAATAGCAGTAGTATAATACAAACAAAAAGCTATAAAATTTTCAGCAAGATGGATAAAATTAATAACTTCTTTGAAAAGCTAGATCATTATATAGGCCCAAAAGAGGGAAAATATTAAAAGGCCTGCCATGAAGACAGAGAAATGCTTCTAGAATGTGTTATGAATAGTGCCTGCTTTAAAAAACATTAAAATTTTAAATATTGTCTTACTGATGGTATAGATAAAGAATGTAAAGCTCTCAGATATGACCATACTTAATGTAGAAGAGCATAGCTTTTCTGGATTAAGAGTTTTTCAAGAGACGAAGCTCGTTGAAAATAAATAAAAAAATAAGAGCTTAGCTATTTCAAACATTAGTAATAATTAACACATTTTAAGATGTCTAGTAAATAACTTTATCTAGTAAAATTAAAGAAAGAAAGAAGTATATATTTGGATGTTCTAAAGTATGCATAAGTAAGTAAATAAATAAATATGCATGAACTTATTACTTCATATCTATAGAAAATATAATAAAATAAATATTTGTATCCTTAAAACATCTCTCTTTATCTATTTATCTACTTGCATAATAATCCAAAGCTTTTAAAGAATAATTAATTAAAAAATTTAATAACTAATTCTAAAATTAAATTTATAAAATAATTTCAATTTTTTAAAATTAAATAAAATCTTATCTGAATAAATGAGAATAATTTATATAAAATCAAATAATAAAGGTCAGTAGTTAAATAAAGTAGAGCACAGTGTTTATTTTAAAATATAAGTAAATAAATGAATTGGTGCGAGATTAATTAAATACTTATTTAATTGCAAACTTTTATATTTGAAATATTTATTTTTAATTGTTTGTTGCTTATCATAAATTTAAAAAATGATATTTCTTATCTTTTATTATTGAAAATCAAAATCAAAATCAAATAATATTTAATAAACTATAGTAAAAAAAAGGAAATAAGATATTATAATTAGGTTCTTCAATTAAAATTAATAAAATGTCAAGCTCATAAAAAATTAGAGATAGCGTTTAGCCTTTAAGTTCACCATTTTTATAATCAATGATCTACTTTGATTAAATTTATACTGTCCTATATTTCTTTTTAGAAGGCTGCATATTCTTCTATAAGGGGTTTGGTCTGTACTATCCCTCATCTACTATTGAATAAGATATTGTATTACTTGTGGCGTTCGGAATATGCGAAATAATTAGACTCTAAATGGGTTCAGTTGGTAATAAAACAGAATCTACCTCTCATATAGTTTGGTTTTTGCTTGTTAACTTACCTGCAATTGCTGGCTATTTTTACTTTCTTTTATTGTAAACATATTCTTTAATGATCGAATTAATTATGGCAATAATTGGTTTAATCTTTATTTTATTCGAATTAATCTGGGCTTTCTCTGCTCTCACTAGTTTTAAAAACTTTGAAAAGCAATAATACTGAAAATAAAAATGCAATTAGCTGTTAATTAAGATCAAAATATGCAATAAACTATCTATCTATCAATGTTTGCTTCTATTGTATGTATATATATTTTTAAAATTAAGCTCAATTTTTATCAATTTAATCGTTTCATTCACTTTTTATAATATTTTTACAACAATTATCAATATCTATTTTTCTGTATTTAAAAATGTGAAAAGCTATAAAAAGCATAAAAATAAATCTCAAAAAAAAAAAACAAATTCTTGTGCTGGTTAAACTTAGAATATATTTTAAATAAATAAAAAAATAAAAAAAATAAAATTAAAATTAAGATTTACTCAAATTAAAATCAAAACTTATAATATAATAACATAAAGAAGAGATTAATATTTTTAAAATCCATCAAATTAAAAAAAAATTATCAATATTTTTAAACAGTTAAATTTAATATTCAGAATTAAAATGTGAGAATGAGTGAGTTGTACAATTTTTATAAGATAAATAAAATGAGCACAATAAAGATATTAATTCTATTTTTTATACTTTATTGTAATCATTCACTTTTTATAATATTTTTACAATAATTATCAATATCTATTTTTCTGTACTTAAAAATGTGAAAAGCTATAAAAAGCATACAAATAAATTTCAAAAAATAAAACAAATTCTTGTGCTGGTTAAACTTAGAATATATTTTAAATAAATAAATAAATTAAAAAAAATAAAATTAAAATTAAGATTTACTCAAATTAAAATCAAAACTTAAAATTTAATAACATAAAGAAGAGATTAATAAATAATTTTTAAAATCCATCAAAATTTAAAAAAACTTCTCAATATTTTTAAACAGTTAAACTTAATATTCAGAATTAAAATGTGAGAATGAGTGTGTTGTACAATTTTTATAAGATAAATAAAATAAGCACAATAAAGATATTAATTCTATTTTTTATAGTTTATAGTTAGAAAATTGCTTAAAAGAAAGAAGTAAAAAAAATAATTTATTGGTTGGCGGAACATGAAAATTGATTAAATATTAATAAATAAATAATAAATGTTTTATTTAATTGTGGTTTATTATAAGAATTAATTAATTTAGATTGCTTCTTTAAATAATTGAAAGATATCTTTAGTAAATAAATTAGATTCAACTTCAAATAAATTAGATAAATAATAGTAGAAATATTCGAATTTAAAGCAAGTTAAATGGATAATAAGCAAAGCATTCCTGTTCCAGATAATAAAGAAAACGAAATGTAGGAAGAAGTAGAAGAGGAAATTAAGTTATTACCTCCTAACAATACAATCTACATTAATAACTTAAATGAAAGAATCAGTATTGACGATTTAAAATAAGAGTTATTTAAGCTTTTTTCCGAATATGGTAGCATACTTGAAATAAAGGCCAAGAAAAATATTCGTATGAGAGGATAAGCTTTTGTAGTTTTTGAATAGATAGCATGTGCACAAAAAGCCATAGAGGCTTTAAACAGAAAAAACTTTTATGGCAAGGCATTAGTAATGATATAATTAATTTAATGTCTTCTCTTTAATTGAAAAATATGATAACATAAAATTTCAAAAATTGTTAGATAATAATCAAGATTTTTATGAGAGATTATTAAAACATGAATGCATAGATTTATCATTTATTAAATAACCATATTTTTAAATAAATAGCATTTAAATTTTGCAAAAACAAAAAGTGATGCAATTCTTAAAAGAGAAGGAGCCTACGCCCCTCGCTAGCCTAAAATATTTAATGCTGCAGATTTTATTGAAGAAAGATAATCAAATAAAAAATAAAAAGAAAATTTAAAAAACAAGGAATCTGCAACAGCTAAACTTGCTGCCTAGCCATTAGTTGTAATAGAAATTAATTTTATAATACTTTTAGTCTTTTTTCAAATAAGTTATTCACTATTTTTTAATATTAATTAGCAAAATACAATCATATAGCCTCACCATACTCTTTTCTTAGAAAATTTACCTATAAACTCCAATACAGAAGTCATTAAAGCATTCTTTGCAACATTCCCAGGATTCAAGTAAAATTTAATATATGATGAATTAAAAGATTGTCTTAACTTTAACCTAAATCTCTCAACATTTTAAGAAATATTTAACAAATTAAATTAATAATATAGGGAAGTGCGTCTAGTACCTTAAAAAAGAGTTGCTTTCGTAGAATATGAAGATGAAAATAAAGCAACTGCAGCATTGGCATGTAAAAATACTTCAATTCAAATTATTTTATTTTCATAAAAATTAATAAAATTATCTAGCTTTACAATCATTTAAGATTGGAGATCAAACTGTTACAGCTAACTATGCAAAAGCTTGAGACTCTAAATAATTAAATATTTAATTGTGTAATAAATCTAAAATTATTTACTTATATATACTTTGTTTCGATTTGGCAAGGATAAAAACTGTTCTCTAAAAACATGCTTTTAAATAATATATTATAATAATTTTATTGCTAAAATATCAAATTAGGGCTTATTCATTATAAAGATTTATTAATTTGTTTTTTCTCAATATGTTGCAATTTATATTAAAATTAATTTTCAATTTTGATATTTAACCCTATCTTTTTATATTTTAATTGAAGAAATTTACAAATAAAATCGTTTAATTTTTTATAAAAATTGTTTAGATGCCTTCTACTTTAAAGAATTTTATTTTATTTGATTATTTTTTTATGAAGGATAATCAATTATCATTATTTTTTCAATGGTATAAGTAAATTATAAATTCAATTTAATTGAATAGATTATTTATATTTTGTAATTTTTTTTTTCTAATTTAGTCTTTCTTAAAATATTTCTTTTTTATATTAAATAGTAAAATTTTTTAAATTTCTTCCAATTAAATACATACCTATTATATTAAATGGATATAAAATTTTATTTTAATAAAAAAACTGCAATATTTTGTTATTTAAAATCAATAAAAATTATTTAATCAATGGTTTACAAAATTTGAAAACTGATGAATTTAATATAAAAATAAATCTAAATATGTAAATTTATTGTTTTAATCTATTTGCATTTACTGACAATTTTTATTAAATTTAAATTCAAAAAGTTTAAATATAAAATTTAAAAATAAAATTTAGAGTATTGTTACAATTAAAATAAATTAAGGACTTTTTTAAATTAAACTGAAAAAAAAATTAATTAAAAGTGTTTTATTTAACATTTATTTAGATTTAAGTCAAGTTGTTTCTTGAATTAAAATACAAAAAGGTAGCTCTCAACTTAAATTAATGTTTTTTAACAGATTAGAATATTTTTTCATTTAAATTATTTTGAATATTGTGAATTATTTATTTAATTTATTGAAAATTAAAGTTGAAAACATGAATAAAATTTAAAATTATAGACATAATATTTATTTATTTACATTAATTCATTTGTTTTTAATAAAATATATTTTTTGTTTTTAATTGAATTAATATTTCAAAAGTAGGTTCTGAAAAAATTCATAATTTTTATTTTCATTATTTAAAATTATAATAGAAAATTTATTTTTTATTGATTCTTAATCAATTAATTAGGTAATTCATTATTAAATATTAGAAATCATTGATATGAAATCTTCCATTATTTGATAAACTTTGTCTAAATCTCTTTTACGTTTGTTGTTTAGTTATTCTATTTTATTTTTTGTTTTTTCATCTATTTCTACACCCTGGTTAAAGTTTCTTTGTTAATTTTGATTCTAAGATGATGGAGTTGACTGGTTAAATGATTAATCTTCTGGTTTTTTTAATTTACTGTTACTTCCTTACTGAGTTTGCATAAATTACTGAGTAAAAGAAGGTTTTTAAGGAGAAGTTGATGGTGAAGAATTTATTTGGTTAAACAATAGAATATAATAAATCTCATCCAAATCTAGGGTAGTTCTAATGTATGTCTCTAGTTATGCATTCAGTACATTTAATTTTTTCTATAGTTATACTCTCAAAAATGATTTCTTGTTCTTTTCGTCCAACATCATATCAGTTTATTGATTTTTGTGAAGTTTTATCTCTTCTTTTAAATTTGTTAAACTTAAATTTAAACTTTTGTTCTCTAATGCTATGCTTTTTAACTGTAATTTAAGGTTTTTAATCTCTTCTAAATGTGCGACATGGCGGTCTTAAAGATTGTTTTTTTCTTTACACATTGTATTTATATATTCTTTAATATCATCATCTATATTTTACATACCTTTTATTTTTTATTTTAACAGCTCTAAAGTTTGCTTCAGTTCTTAGTTCTCCTTATTAAGATCTTCATTTACCTCTTTCTTTTTCAATAACTCTGCAAGTTTGTGTTACAGCTCTTGCTTAGCTAAGCCTTCATACATAATTTATTTTTTTAGATCAAGTATTTCAGCACTCTCTCTGTAATCTTCATTTCTCTCTTAGATGATTTAGTCTCTATCTGCCATTAGTTACTGATTTTCTTACTATAAAGTATTAATAGCATCTTCATAAGACTTGATTTATGCTTAAATTTGAATCTTTAATTATTCATGAGCTTATTTATTTTCAGCTTGCTATTATTTCATATAAGAGATTGTTTCTTCTTTTTAGAGAATAATTTGTTGGTAGTCTTCAATTTAGTTTTGCTACTAAATGAATTCGTTTCTTTGTATATTGAAGTGATCTATTTCATTTTCAAAATCTGACCTGTCTCTTTCAAAAATTTATCTGTCTCTATCTAAACTACTTCTATTTACTTTAAGCTCTTACAATTCTAGTTCGAATTGTTCTCTCTCTCTTTGTAGCATATCTTATGATATTTTAACTTAGTTCATTTGTTGTTCAAGTGCTATTCTATCATCGTTTAGCAGTCTCTTAAATTGAGAAATTTCATCCTTAGCTTTTTGAATGTCCTCTCTTTCTTTTGCTATATCTAACAATTAATTTTGTTGATCTTCAATTAGATTTTGAGAGGCTATAATTTGTTCTTCTTTTTCAATAGTTAATTTTCTTATCTATTCATGTAATATGGCTTTTTCTTAAACATAATTTGAGCTCTGTTACAAAAGTTATTTAATTCTATTTTCATGCTCCTTTTGCAAGTCTATTATTTCTTTTTTTAAAGTTTCGACAGCTTGTCTTTGCTTTGCTATTAATTATGTCTAAAGAGCTATTTTTTCATTTAGGCTTTCTATTTCTTTATCCTTATCATTTATTTGTTGTTGATAATGTTATGAATCATAATCTCCCTTTGTAGAACTTCTTTTCTTTTTCTCGTTTTCATTAAAATTTTGAGCTGAGTCTGATTGTACAAAACTTTCTAATTTATTAATAATAAGCTGCATGTCTTATTTCTCTCTTTCTAGATTGGATATTTCTTAAGAATTTTAAAGCTAGATCTACTAAATAAGGTCTTTGTATTCTTCAAGCTTTTTTATTTAATCTATCTCCATATTTTTAATCATTAAGCTTTATTACTCCAATTATACAAGTAAATTCTATTCGTTGATTTCTTTTTCCTTGATTCTATATTCCAGATCTTCGTTTATTTATATAAAATTAATTTAATTATCTGCACATGTTTTGAGATTATCAATTTATTAACTGATTTTCAAAATATCTCTATCCTTCTCTTCGACAAGACACTTTAAATTAAATAACTCATTTTCTAATTCATTGTTTCTCTTCTCCAAATCTTAAATTACACCATGCAATTTAATTTAGCTATTTCTTAATTCATCTTCTTAACTACTTTCGATAGATTAGTTCAAATTTTATTGATTTGCTTTTCTTTCAGGAGATTTACTATTATGCAAGCTATGAATATTATTCCTTCTGCTGGCAGCTGTCAAAACCATTAATCTTTCTATTTCTTTGTTTTTATACTCAATAGCTTCTTCTAAAAATTTAACTTTTGAGAGGTATTCTATTTACACAATATTATTGCTATTATGAAGGCTATCTCCTCCTTAAAAATTAATTTGGCTTTTACTCTTTATTGGACTTGGAGATAGAGTCTACTCATTTTTATTTCCAATCACTGCACAACTTGAACTTGGAATATAATAATTTTACTCATTTTATTAATTAATTTGGTCTCTATGTTATGATTAGTATTTATTGCTAGCTTCAATTTAATCTTTATAAATTTCACCTGATTTGGATCGATAAGCGTTCTTTTAATCAACTTATTCATTAGTTCCATAATTGTTAACTTAAATATTGTTATTTTACTTGCTTAAGCCTTATCTTATATCAGGACTTTTTGATTTTGATTAATGTCTTTAGCAAGGAGATTTTCTAGCATTAGAATTATACATATTTTATTACCATTAAGATGTTGTCATGCGATTATTATGCAATCCTTAAGTAGGTGTACTTAATTGGTTTTCAAAGAAGTTTGCTTAGTAAGTAGCAGTGTTTGGAGAACTTCCAACTAATTTAATGCTATTAGCAAAATTAGTTGATTATCCATTTATCTGCTAATGTAAGTGACTTATTATATTTTCTAATTCTTAAATTTTCATTTCTTATATTTTATTTTTAGTGATGCTACTATAAATACAAGTTGTCAGTGCTTCAATAGTCATATTCTAAGTTTATTCATTTCCCTCACTTGAGTTACCTAGAAATTGTTTTTAGCCTTAATTTTCTATTTAATCACTATTTAAGTTGTGGCTTTCTAATTCATCAAACTGTTTAGGAATTTAAGCCATTTCAGAACCTTTATTAAAATTCTTACTAGATGTAATAGTATATTATAAATCGCTTCTGCTGGTTGACTCATTCCATCCTGAAGGCTGCTTGACTTATTTTTTTTGAGTGTTCTCTTCTAAACATTTGTTAATGATATCCCTATTTTAACTAAGTTGTGGTGATAGATATTCTTATACCTTTTACAGTTTCACCAATTAATCCTATGATTCATTATTGAAACTTGCATCACCGTTGTTGAACTAGTCTTTTTTAGTTTAACTCATAATATTATTATGCCTTAAAATAAGTATGAGGCTTATTTTATATTCTTCCTCCTTATTAAATTTATCAAAATTTTAATTTTTAATATTAACAACTAAAAATATTGACCGTTTACTACAAATTTATTATAAAAATGATTAGTTAAGATGAAGAGTTTAAAAGCAAACAAACAAACAAAGAATTACTAAATACAAATTAATTATATTTTAGATAACAATAAAATTTATTTTCAATTATTCTTATAATTTTTATTAAAAAGAGTTAATAGAATCTATTAAATCTTCCATAACCAATCATTAAGGAATAAAAATATTATAAATCTTAAGGATTTTCATAGCTCATTGACAAGATATTTTAAAATGAACTAATTTACATAAAAACATACTAAAATAATTAAAATGTAAAATAATTATCAAAAAAAATATATAATTAAAACAATTTATTATTATTATATAAATTTAGCTTAATGTCTATTCAAATTTCCTGCTAGTCTAAGAAATGTATGTGCTTTTCCTAGTTAAAGCTTTAAAAAGTGAGAAAATTTTATGCATCCTTTGTAGATTTTATAAGATTAAAAAATGAATGAATAGATTTGAAAAATAAATAAATGAATAATAATTTTTACTTTATATGATTGAAAATATAGATTGAGCTCCTCTTCTCTTTGCACATATATTCTTACCATTAAAAATAGGAATATCAACTTTTTTTTTATTAATTAAATTTTTCTGTTAAATATCCTCAAACTCAAAAAAAAATTATTTAACCTTAAAAATCATTAGCAAAATCCAAAAAATCTAACTAATCTTTAATATTATTTAATAAACTGAGTATTCCAGTAAGAATTTACTGAATAAGGAAAATTCTTTAGAGCTAAAAAGTTATATATACATAACATCATAAATAACTGTCAGAGTGCACAAAATAACTATAAATCTTAAATCAGATTCTTTTATTTTTAGAGAATTCATTTAAAAAAGTATAATAGCATAAACAATAACCTATAATCATTTAAAAAAATAAAAAATAATAACAATTAAAGTATCTTTAAATTAAAATATTTAATTACATCATATTGGAGATTCCTAAACAATGATCCAAAGATAATTAAAAAAATTATAATATAATTAATTAAAGCTGTACAAAAACGAGTGTATCTGTAGAAAGAAGAATTATAATCAAAAGGGTATTACTTTTTTAATACTTTTTTTTATTTTTAAACTACAATTACTTCTTCTATAGATTTTTCACTTTCTTCCATAGTTGCTGGTTATTAAAAATAATCAATTAGTAGATTTTATTTTCTGTCTGACAAGGAAGCAAATTCTTCATATATATTTATTTATTTTAGCTAATTTTATAATGTTTTTTTGAAGGAAGGTTCATTTTATGGAACACTTGTGTTAGTAGTTTAAAATGTAAATTTAGTGCTGCTTTTATTTTAAGAGGATATTATACGTAATAAGAGGATCAATTCTTCATTAGGAAATAACCAAAATGCTATTTTATTTTTATCTATTTATAAAATTAAATTTATTTATTTATTTAAAATTTTTTTTTAATTCAATCATAAAAGAATTTCTTACCAACAATAGTAAGATCAATGAATTCCTGATTCTCTTTGCTCTCTAGTTAAGCTTTTACGGAACAGAAATCAGGAGAAATATTTTTAAAATAATAAATGTAAAATATTCCTAATTAACCCTTTTTTGTTTTTGGCATGTAAGAATCAGATTTTATTTCATTTCCCATTTTTTCTATATAACTTTTAGCAATTAAGCTCAAAATCAACTCTCCATTGAGTTATTGTTGAACATAATTATACTTTTAAAGTCCTACATCTTAATTGCTACTCACACCTTATGTTTTTTAAAATGAATTTTTTTATTTCATTAAAATAAACCTAATAAATGTTTGAATAAAATAAAAAGAAACAAGTAAAAAAAAGACAGTTTCTTTTTCAAATTTCGAAATTCAAAAATTTTTTTTTAACAATTTTAAGGAGTAGAAAAACTAAAAGCTATAAAAATAATTTAAGGTATTCTTTACTTATTGTAAATTTTTTATAAATTTTCTAACTCCATCTCACTTCTACATGGATGATGTATATTCCCTCTTTCCAGTTATATGGTAAGTGAATCATTTTATCGTTAGAGAAGGTTTAAGAATAGTATTAAATTTCTCCATTTGGTTTTACTTCAGCTAAAATAAGAGAAAACTGAGAGTAACTATATCCTTGGTTCTAAAAATATTAAACATCTTTCTAGCAAATTGAAATGTATCCCGAAGTATCTTCAAAATTATTTAACTTTATAGTGAAAAAACTTATATCTTGATCATTTTCTTATTTTATTTTAACTGAATTATGAGAATCTCTAAGTTCTACTCTTTGTATAGCAAAGCTATCAAAATTTTAGTAAAACTCATCAAAAGAAATAAAAAAAACACCATCTTCTTTATTTTTATTCAGAATTTCCATTTCCTGAGGAGTTAAATTAAGTTAGCTATCTAAGACTTTCTAATTTCTTAAATTTTATTTCATCAAATTAAAAAAAATAAAAATTATTTACATCCTATAGTTCTTCATTTGTAGTATCTTTTTATTCACTTCTAATTATTGTTTAAATTCATAAAAGAACTCAACAAAATAAACATTTCCTTTTTAAATTCCCCTGTATGTTTCAAGACACTGTGCCTGAATTATATAATTCTTTTTTACTCCACTGCATATTTTTTACCAAAGAAAGTCTTTTTCTTCTCTTTCAATTTGTTCTTAGTTATTCTAAAACTAAATTGCATTTTTATGCTTCTTTCTTATTAATAGGTAAGGCGAGCCAGTAAATTCAACTAAATAATTATATAATTCATTTATTTTCAAATTTTAGTATCCTTCGTAAGCTTTTGCAAGAGCCTTCTCGAGGATGAGGAGCCAAAGGTTTTCTTTTATGACAGATTTAGAAGGGTAATATAAACAAGGTGTGTTTTCATCAATCTTAACTAATACATAATCATCTAAAATATAAAATAATTTCTACTAAATAAAGTTTTGTTTTTTTATTTCAAATTGTGGTTACCTAAAATTATGCACTTCCACTTTCCATTTTTAAAAATCCATACTCCGTATATTCCTAAATTATTTACTTTTTAATGTTCAAATAGTCTTTTTGCAAGGTGCGAAGCCCTACTTATTACATTATACAATTAAAATAAATTATCTAACTCTGGATGGTTAGAGTTTAATTCATCCTTAAAAATGTAGGGCTCAGTAGGGAATAGGTCTTTCTTTTAAGTTAATTGATGCAATCTCATCCATTAAAAATTGTTTGAGTTCCCTTTGTACCCTAAGGGTTAATCGCTAGCTTTAAATTCAGGATCTTCATACTTATCTTTTTTAAATTTATATTCTTGCTACTTCATCATAAACTCTTTTTTGATAATTCCTTGCTCATCATTTATTTTTTTTGAAATGATTTCTTCATCAGTTATTTGATATATTTTATTTCTGTCAGTATATTTTTTTATTTCTGCTTAGTTAGCCAAATTTCTGTATAAGCGCGAATTCATATTATTTTATAATTCAAATACCTCTTAGTAGTTCGAACTGTCATTTTCCTAGCGCGAATCCATTCTAGCAAGGGTTCTTTTGCTTTTAGGAGGGGTTTGTGTTTTTTATAAACTTTTTTGGTAGGATGAACTCAATATGTTTTCATTTTAGGTTCCCAAAGAATTAGCTATTAAAGTTTATGTTTTTTAATTCATTTACGTACTCATTAAATTATTGCTTTGAAAAATAGATTGCACTAATGTGCCTTAGGTTTTAAAGCCAGGAGCAGCATGATTTCCTAAACTTTATTAGCTTTTAAACAAATTAGTTTATGATGGCTAGAAATTTTTCATAATACACTATTCTGCTATTTATATGATTATATGTTAATATATTATTTTTTAAAAATAATTACTCTTTGGATACCAACAATTATTTAAGTAAACAATATATTTAGTTAATTATTTATGGTGATCAATTTTTAAAAAAATATTTATTTTCAGATAATTAAATAGATTTTGTAATAACGTTAAAGGTAATTATGACCAAACAAAAAGTTAAAATAAGCTAAATATCTATTTGATTAATTAATTTATAAGTTAATTTCTACTACATCTATTATTCTCAATCTTTTAAAATTAGCTACAAACTATTAAAATTATTTGACTTTTAAATATGAAAAGAAAGATTTGCAAATTTTGAAATTATAAGTTTTCAACTTAATCGAATATTCTTCATCCATTTTTTTAACACAAAACTAACTTTTGAAAAAATTATTTAAAAAGAAATGTATTTCGAAACGAAAGGATTAAAAATATAGACAAATTAGTAAAAATATAAACAATTTTTAACAGTTTTTATAATAGATTAATTAATTAAACTCTTGCATTAATTTTTATACCTAAAATAGTATTTATTTAATTATGTTTTATTTACATATTTTCTTGCAAATATTAAGATAATTTTTATTTAGCATTTATTGAAATATACTAAAATGATATTCTTTCAAAGGCTATTTATTATTTAAAATATGGAATTTATTTATTTATAAATTAATTTATTTAGAAATTACAGCACCGAATCAATAAATCAAATAAATTTTCAATATATATTGATATTTTTATTTATTTGAAATTTAAGGCACTTGTAATAACATTTTTATAGCTAAATATTTGCTTTCAAATCATCTTTAAATTAATAAAAAATTGGTTGGTGATTAATAAAATAGTAATTAATTATTAAATACTATCTAACAATTATTAAGGTGAAAAATAATTATTAATAGATTGATTGATGGATGGATGGATGAATTTATTTATGGATGAATGAATGAATTAATGTGTGTATACAGAAAAATTCTGAATTTTTTAACACTTTGGTTAAGTAAGTATTTAGGTATAAAGATAACTATAATTCTAAAGTAATTAATTTAAGATAAGAAAGAGATTGATTGATTGATTTTATTAAGATAATTATTATAATTTTTATATTGAACAGGTTTCTCTCGTTGATGATAGATACATATTTATTTTTTAATCTGTTTATTTGTTTATTATTAGATTATTAGGGTTTTAAATTAAATATTAATTGAAACTATAATTGACTCTTATATGAATTTACAGTTGAGATAATTTAATCATGAAATTTAAGGTTAATTTCAGTTGCTAATCAAATTGTTACTATTTTATTAATATGTTTGGGCAGCTTTATTTGTATTTTAGAAAAATAGAGCAACATATGCATAGACGGATTCAAAACGCTGTTGAGCAAATTTTCTTTTTACTGCGTTTAATTATTTATCTTTGTCTTTAGTTTACTTTTCTCTAAGTTCAGCCTTACGATGAATCTCACATAACTCTTCAACAACAGGAATAAGTTATTGCTATTCGTATTTAGTGTTACGAATTAAAGCCTCGCTCCATCTTTCTTATTTGTTGTAAATTATGCTTGAAATCAAAATAGATCCACATGCAAGTTGGCTAGGAGTATACTTAGTTCCTTAGTAATCAACTAAAGCCATTTCTAGGAAGTATAATGCAGTCAAAAATTATTTTTAATCGAATTCAGCAATACGAGCATACCTCTCTAAAAATCTAAAAGCACTAGGAGTAGTGATATTGAAGTTAAGTACCTGAAGAATGAGACCTTCATATTCGAAGAGCTCTTGTTTTGTGTAAGCGTCATCACAAACATGAGTGAAATCTTTTACTTCAGGTGGATAAATTTCTTCGTATTTGCAAGCAATAAAGAGAGCAGCAATACCAACTAGTTAAAATTTAGATTTATCAACTTTTGGTCCTTTCTCTAAATACCTATCTATCAAGTTTACTGTCAAGAAAAGTGTTTCAGGAAGTAAGTCAAATTTTAGGTGAACATCTATAAGCCAGTCAATTAGAATAGTCCTCATTCTACTATTTAAATCAGGCTAGCAACCTTATTCAAAGTATTAAGTTTTGCAGATATGTTTATCCTATTAATACAAAACATTAAAATTAGATTTAATAAAAATAATTTATCTAAATTAATAAACAATCTTTAAATTCATTGATTGATTGTTTTCCCAGTCGTTTTTAATCTTTAATTGTAATTGAATTATAAAAAGCTATTACAATAAAGATTAAAAAATACTTTAGGTTCACTAAAATCAATAAAAGACAAAATGAACTTAAAATATTACCTCATTAGATCTTAAATATTCAAATATTTCTTTTGCATATTAAGGAACATACTCAGGCTTATTAATGTATTTATAATCGATAAGCTCCATAGAAGATCTGCTATCAGGATAGTTTCTTCTACTTGTATATTTTTATTGGCTGTAATAATTTTATTGTGAATTAGCTTAGTGTTGAATTTATTATTGTTAGCTATGTTGGTCATGTATGTTATTACTTTATTGGGAATGACCATTCTCCATTTGTTATAAAAAATTAAAGTATTCAGTTGTATAGTCTGTTTAAGGAGCTTGAGATAGAGAGGCAGATGTTTAAGAATTATAATTAATTAAACTTTATCCTATGCTTGTATTTATTGTGGTGTGTATAGATTAACCTTAAACTTATTAGTTAGCTTGAGTAGATGAAGGAATAGGGAAATAGAAGCTGTTTTCAGTAAAAAAATTTTAAACAGAAACATTGTTGCTACTTTAATTTTCAACATCCATCTTAAGACCACTGTTGGGATTGTTAACTTAATTTAGGCGAGCAGCAGGAACAACACCTCTATAGCGACTGTTGTTTGATGTACCAGCACTTTTTTCTAAAACCATATTAACACTACTATTTAATTTATTATTTCCTTGTTGTTATGTTACAAAACTAGTTTATCTGCGATTATTAACTGACAATTCTCTGCTTGTGCATCTTGAGTTTGTCAAGGATCCGTTATTGTTGTTATTGTTTTTCTAAAATTTTAAAGGAGAATTTTTATTAGCAAAGTATTTATAAAGAAAAGATATATATATTTATAAGTAAATAGATAGATTGATAGATAAAGTAGAATTGACTTGAAATCAAATATTCAAATTAAATTAATAAGAAATATTTTTATAAATGAAAGGCAACGAAAGAATGAATCTCTAAATAAGAGCAAAATATTTTAATGTATTACTTTATTGAGAATTTACTGATGCTGTTAAATATTAGCTCCCTAGCCTTATTGAATATTAGAAAGGTCACGACCGAAACGTCTAGTGTTAGGGTATATATTGTTAGAATTGTTGTTTGAAGTTTTGCTGATTGGTAATTGCTATAATATTTGCTATTGTTGCAAAGGTTAATGTTGTTAAAGTGGCTAATAGAAGTTATTGAGGGGATATAAGTTATATTGCTAGGAAGTTTAGTAGGAAATATTTTCTTTATTATAATAATTGTTGTTGCCATGAGCTAAATAAGTGTGCTTTCCTTAGCTTTCTAAAGATGATGATGGTTGCTATTTTTATTAAAATTAATTTAATATTTAAAAGAAAGAAAAGTGGTAAGTTGTGAACTAATTTATTGCCCTCCTGCGCATGTTAAAGCAACTGGCGCAGCGAGAAAAGGACGGCAACGTGAATGGAAAATATAAATTACTTATTTAGTCTTTCTGTATTAGAAACTCATTGAGTAAAAGAAGGAAGCTTTAGATGATAAGATGGAGTGCTAAATACGGTTATTTCCTTTTGAAAGGATTGCTTTGTATTATGCAAGGGTTTTTTTAATTGTAATTATTTTGTATGTTTAATTATTATTACTTTTTTTTTCACTGTTTTTTATTTGATTTGATAATTGATATTAGGCTTTCTTATTCTTTTTTTAATTTTTTTTGTTTAACAAATAAATACCCATTATCATAAAAATATAAATTTGAAATTTTTACTCAAATCAAAAGATAAAACAAACAAAAAATCAAACAAACGGGATATGAATGAGCAATTAAAATCAACTGTTAAATTTAATTATTCATTTATATCGCATTTTCTCATTTATTTTTCATTATTTTTTTTGAATTGAATCTTTTTTAACAATATTTAATTAAAAACACAGCATTTTTCAACCGATTTTTTGCTTTATTTCCAAATAAACAAATTGAAATATATACATATATATATATGCATTAGTTATTATAGTTTGAAACACTATTTGTATTTATTTATTTATTGTTTGATTTATTTATTTATTGATTGTTTGCTGATCAAAAAATCAAATTAAAAGAAGACTTTAAAAAGATAAAGTTAGTAGATATTCATTCAAATGATAATTATTAAATACATGTACATATGCTTGTAAACACCTTTACATTTAATTTTAATTATCGTTCAAATTGCCACCAATAACAATTCCAACAAACATTTTCTAAATTTAAATGCATTTTTTTATGAAAAAAAATTGTTTTCTGTTAATGACCTGAATTTGAATATTATCTAATTGACCAAATATTCAAATATTAAATAACGAATTCTTAATATTTTTCTAGCAGCATTCAAACTTCAAAAAATATATTTCTAAATATTGAAAATTGTTGCTTTATTTTTCAAAAATAAAAATCAACTCTTTTATTAATCACATAATTTTTGAATTTCTTACTATAAGCACAATTTTCATATTTGCAATTTTTTGAATTTCTCAATAAATTTTTAGATACTATAATTGTTAAATAATTTAAATACTTGAATTAAGCTTTCTTTATTTTAAGCATCAATCACACTCACGCACTCTTTTTGATAAATTATTCATGGGTATTGTAACTTACTATTATTCAAATTAATGAATACTTTTAATTTAAGAAAATCTTTATTATTCAAAAATAATTAGGTGCAATTTTGGAAATATATCAAAATACTTAGATATTCCCCATAAAATAAAAAATCAATCAGAATATTAATTAATATTTGAATGTAAAGTCTAAATAAATATTCAAATAAATACAAGGGCGATTTAAATTAATTATCTCACTTCCCTTAATTTAAATCACATATTTCTGCTAAATTAATTTCCATTTTTATCGTTAAAATATATAAATACTTTTGTACATTTGAATTTTTTTAAAAGTACTCTCAATTCATATCACTTTAAAAATGGCTAAAATAAGCATTTGTTAAATATCTAAGAATTTTTTCAGTTCAAGTGATAATCCAGAGATGGTATTAAATATTTTACTCCTTTAAATATATTTTATTTTAATCCATCAAATTTAGTTCCATTTTACTATCTTACAATTTGATTTAATTCTTTTTATGAAATCTGTTCAAATTTTTTTAGATGGCTGATATTTTTAACGAATCTCTTTTTGAATTTACTTAAATTGCAAACAAATTAAATGGGGAGTCGTTTGAAAAAAGATTATACATAAACTGAAATATAAAATATTATAATTAGGTATTAAATCATATATATCAAGATATTTTTAATACTGCTTAAACAAAATATAAATAAAATAGTATTTTATATAAAATTAAATATTTTTAAAAGGTAATAAATAAAATTTTTTTGATATACTACCAGAAAAAATGATCATATATCTTTTACATAATTGGTGTTATTTTAAAAATTACTGTTACTTACTTGATTATCTTTATCAAATGAAATAAAAAACAATTTAAATAAAACATAATAAGTAATTGAATCGAAATTCATTTTAATTTATTTAAATAATATTACATTTAAATTATTTATTATTTTTATAGTCTTTCAAATTTATCAGAAATTAGACATTTAAATCAGCGCTTAGACAAAAAATTAAATTCAAATAATTATTTATTTCTATTAAATTGACAGTTTGACCTTAGTTAGGCTAATTTCTAAATAGAAAATAATTAATAAATTAATACTTTATTAATTTTAATGAATATAATTTATACTATAGAAATCAATTCAAACAAAAATTTATTTATGATCAAAACAAATTGAATTATAGAATCTATTTTTAACAGATTTAAACACATTTTAAAATATTACAATATTTAAGTTAAAACTCATTAAATTTGCATTTAAATTAAAGCAAAAATTCTACTCTTAAATCAAATTTATCTTTATTAGTTTAAGAGCTATTCGTACTATATAGATAGATTAATGAAAGATGTAAAAAATACTCACTTCGATTTCTTAAAAATTTAAAAAGAAATGAAAAAACAAAACAAAATTTTGAAATTAATGAATGAACTGTTAAAGGATTGGTTTTATGCTTAACAAATTATATTGATTTACAAAAAAAATGCATTAATTCAATCCAAATGTTAATTTACTATATAAAAAATTAGATATCTATCTTATTATTCAAGTGAAATTAGAAGTAAAAACAATTGATTGCAAAATTTTTTTAAAATGAATTGCTTTGAAACTATGAAAATATCTCAATAGTATTCTAAAATTATACAAAAAATATAACAAAGAAATGATAAAGATCCTAAAAATAAAAAATCCAATCTTATATAAATATCCAAGACTAATAAATAAAATATTTTAGGAACTTAAAATTAGTTAATATCTCATATTTAAAATAATACTAAACCAAATTCAAATTTATCTTGTAATTAGACAATAAACTCAACTACATCAAGCATCCAAAAAGGCTAGCAACAAATTAAAGATAAGTCTCCCTCTTAAACTACTCCAAGATATAATTATACGCCATTAACACCCTTGAAAAATTTAATTGGAAACAATTCATCATTGTCTCCCCTTCCTCATTTACAATAACAATAGATTAGAAATGTAAGTAAAACAATTCATTATCCTTAGAATCAATAGTAGAATAATAATGTTAGTAATACGATTTTAAATACAACTAATATGCTTGAAGATAACAGTTTTGTTAGCATTAATAATCATCTTTCAAATATTTAACAAGAGATCAGAATTAGTTAAAAAAAGCCTTATTTAAATGATTAAGACTCAACTCAAAAAGCTCTTTCCTAAAGATTGCTTGTCAATAATTATGATTAAAATAGTTAAAATACTCCAAAAAGATTATTTTTTAACTACAAGAACACTGTCAATGAATCTCTTAAAAATCATTCTCATGAACAGAAAAATTAATAGAAGGAACTTATTAATTTTAAATGTTCTCTATGCTAAATGAAAAACGCAAAATACCAAAGCAAAATAACTCATAATACTGGAGAATATACAAAATATTATTGTTCTAAATGTGCCATAAAGTTGATGGAACAAGGATAGAAAATGGATTGTATTCCTAATATAAAAACACCTCAATCATAATTAAAGAACCAACAATCTAATTACTAGTAGAAAAATTAATAAGAAGAAATATAATTAATTCATGACGACTAAGATTCATCTGCACACATACTTAAAAATGTATAACTTGAAAACTTCTCAAGGATAGATTAAAAATAGCACAGCAACAAGCAGATATCATAACTAGAGTTTCCTCCAAACTTTCAATTTGATAGGAAGGAGTCGCCAAATAAGCATAGCTCAAATTAAAAGGAAAATATATTTTTACCTACTTTAGGGGGTGTTGATTGCTATTAAAATGATGCTTTAGATAATAGCTAGAGAAATCTTTAACTTAATCAAATCGCAATTGATTAACTGAGTTAGAAAAATCAATAAGTACAAATTAAATAATAAATTTAGAATCATAATGGAATATTAAGTGATAGCATAATTAACCATTAATTAATAAATGGATGCAATTAAAATCTTTTTAGTTAAAATCAATAAATCTAATTACAATCAAAGTAAGATTAAAATAGAATGTAAGTTTGGAATTTTCATGACTCAGAAAACTAAGATGATTAAAAATGGCAAGATTTAGGTCCGAAGCTTACTTTTGAAGGAGAAAGCTAACGTCCATCTGACTAAGATTTATTTAATATCTAATAGCAAGATATTAATAGGGCAATTATAGTATTTAATGATTCAGAAAACAATTAGCAATCAAAAAACATCTAAGATTCAGAAGGATAAGAAGAATAGAGCGACAGTAATTAAAAGGATTCTGATATAGCTACAATTAGTCAAGTTAATCCAAGTAATATTTTTAAGTAATATAAAAAGTTATAATTTAAAAAAATAAAATTTAGTTAATCATAACAATAGCTTATAGAAGGAAGATGATAATAGGTAGATGATAATGCAATAGGAATAAATAGTTGATGAAGATTCTTAAAGTCAGTTTTTACCTTAATTTTCAGATTAAAGCAATTATGAATAATCAAGATAGAGGAAAATTTAAATTTTAGAAAATTTTTCTTAGGAACTAAATCTAAGCAATACTCGAGCAGCAGCGTGCTTGAATCAGCTTGCGCAAAGAAAAAAAGAAGTTACTAAATTCTATGAGAATTAAGAACTCAAATTATAATAAAATGCATAAAACTTAATGTAATTTATTTAGCAAGAATTAAATGAATCTATTGAAAAATTGCGAAACGCTCAAGTAAAAACTTTAAGCTTGTTTGCTGAAAAGGAACATCAGCTTTAACGAATTTATCATGAAATACAATCTACAGAGCTTGATGTAAAAAAGAACCGCATTCAAATTGTAGAATTTATGGAGGAGTAACCGTTCAATAACATCATTTAAATTTATCACTAAAACCTTTCCAAAAATACTTACACTATAAATGAGCTACCAAATTAGATTTTATGTCTTTCTAAGACTTATTAATTAGCTGAAAAGAAGTAAGCTTCAGCTTTGTTTTAGCAAGGACTTAAAGATGCATTAGTAGTTTAAGAAAAGAGAACAACTATGTTTGGTAACTCTTCATATGCTTCAGCTACTTCTACTCCTTAAACAGCAAGTACAAATAATAATAGCTACAACTTAGTAATTTCCCCAAGATCGAGCAATAATCAAAATATAAACTAATTCAATTTTGTTAACAATTAGAATATGCTTTCATACTAGTCTCATTAAAGCTAGTATCAAACCCAAAAAAGAAATTTATCATAGACAAATAGTATGACTTCAAGCAAGGTTTTTACATCTTAGTCTAATCAAACTATATTATAAAATTAACCAACATTAAATATTAAGCAGAACTCATAATAATAATAATTCTTTTCAGCATAAGTTAATAATCCATCTCCTTTAAAAAAGTAAAATATTGATAATAGCTACGTTCAAGAAGAAAGTTAATAATTACCTTAATCTAGCGATTTTGGTAACAACAATTAAAACTAATTTTAAAACCATGAAAATATTTAATCTAGCTTTTCTTAACAAAATTAAAATTTTCAGCAGATTAGTAATAATTTTTCTTTACAAAATTCTGGTAATAAATCTCAATTCAAACCTATTATTTCTAATTCAATTTCTTCACCTCTAATAAAAAAGAATAATTCTTTAAAAAATATATAAAACTACCCAATCATGTATGAAAACCAATATATCTAAAATCCATATTCTTCAGTAGAAAACCATTTTGAGTAAATATACAAGCCTGATGTAACAAGGGAAAATGCTCCATCTTACTCTTCTGTATAATTTCAAAGATGGAAAGACTGTGAAAAAACTATTATTGAATAGATTATGAGTATAGAACAAAATGAAATGAATTTGACTCCTGGAAGAGATTCAAAACAGGATATTGAATTACTATCGCCTTGCCAATAATCTTCAAAAATATCTGGAATTGTTCCTTAGAATTTATTTTAGTCTCCCATACAAATTTAACATTAAAACAATGAAATAAGTATAGCAAATTAAAAAAACGACTTTGCATAAGATGAAATTAAATGTCTAAGCGACTATGAAAAAAAAATATAATCTCAAATAAATCAGTAAAATAATACTCAATAAATTTAAAATATAGACAATGATTAATAAGAAAATTAAGATCTTAAATAAGTCAAATAAGAAGATTTTAAAAAATAAGGAACAAGTAAATTTGAAGATATAAAAAATAATTATTAATGGATGATAGAATAATACAAAATGGAATAAAATCTTGTTTCTTCTCATCTTGTACCATAAGAACCAAGAAATGCTAAAAAAGTAAATTCTTTAGCAGTAAAATAAAATTTAGACAATTTAGCAAAGGGCTCAAACCAAAATCAAACAAAATAATTTGAATAAAATAAAATTATTAGAGAGAGATGTGAGTTGCAGGATATTACATACTTAAAATTATAATAAAACGATTAAATTTAAAATAAATTATTAAGAGCTGAAAATAACAACTAACTTATTGATGAGATAAATTTAAGTGAAAATTTGATCAATAAAGCATAATTCAAATAATCAAGTAATTAAAGTTATTCTTCTAATAATCAGACAGGAGAGTTTTAATTGAATGATCATGGTATTATACAAAATTAGAATTAAGCGGTACATAGTTATGGAGATTAATACTCAGATTAGATAGCTAAAGATAAAAGCATAAGTGAAGGAGTTGATTTATCTTATTCTGTATCTGTTGCAGCAGGTTTAGCAAGCACAAATGATCAAATGATAAATAACCCAAATAGTTAAAGTATTTAAAATTCAAATAATCTATTTAAAATAAAAAGCTATAAATAAGAAGAGTAAGCTTTATCTAAAGATGGATAGTTCTGTACTCTTTAGCCTTTGTGTCAAAGCAATTTATTGACGTAGTAAGAATAGAAGCAGGAATTATATCAAGATGGAAATAAAAGAGAGACATCTATAAACCAGATTGATTTGATCTCAAACAGTGATTAATAAATACAGATTTAAAAAGAAAACTAAAACTTAACTCACTTAAATAGACAAAATTTGATAAGTTCTTTTTCTTAAAATATAAAACTTTCTGATGATTTAATAGAAACAAGTATTGTTTAAAATTATATAAATAGAGAATCATTTTCTTAGAATAACGACTAAACAAGCTATTACTCCTAAAATACTAACCAATTTAATTAGTAACTTATGAATGACTAAAATACTTTAAATTAATTTGATAAAAAAGCTATACTAAACGAATACAAGCCCTCGTTTAATAATAATCAAAATGAAGCAAATGAAGATAAAAATATCCAGTTTATATAATCTACAACTTTAAATTATCCTTAAATGAATAAGAACGAAATATAGCTTGGATTTTCTATTAATATTCAACAGTCATAAGATGATAAAATATATAGGTAATTATAAAATATAGCAAAAGATTCCTTTTCTGATGCTAACTATACTATACAACATCAAGAAAGTTAAGAAGAATAGAATGATTAAAAAGAAGACATTATCTTAGACATAAATTAGTTGCATGATATTTCTGGCGATGAAGATACAGACTCTGGTTTAGGATCTAACGCATCAAAAAGACCTCTTAAATACTCAGAAATAATTTAAAAAATTCATGAAAATTATAACAGGTTGTCTTAAAACTGCTAAAAAAAAAGTAATAATCTTTAAAAAAATTAGTCATAGCCAACACTTTCATAAGAAAATCAATAAGAGACGCATTAAGCAAACCAATAAAAGTTAAATCCTTAAGAATGTTAAAACAACGAGAATAATTTAGACTCTCAACAATAGAATTTTAAAACTGAAGAATCTCAATTAGTTTTTAGCAATTAAGAATAAATTCATTTAGAAATTGCATAAAATCTTTCAGATCTAGTATTGAATAAAAATAATGAAAATTTTAGCAGCTTTTGTACAAATATGAATTAACTTGAGCAATCACTCACTCCTATGAATAACTAACAAAACGAGCAGGTTCTTTAAAATGATATTATACAAATATCTATTATAAGTCCTCATATTAAATAGAATGAAATTATAGATCAAGAAGTAAATTTTATTTAAAACTCCTAAAAAGAATCTGAAAACTATGTAAATACTGTAGCATCTTTTAGTCAATAATAATTTGAACAGTAGCATTAAGAGTTATCAAATAATAATTATCCTTCTAAAGAAGAATAGTATGTCATTTAAACATAAATTAATAATACAGTTGAAGTATCCCCTAACTCTAATAAGGAAGAGCTAATAGTAAATTAAGATAAAGACTCAACATTTTCAAGGTTTCTTGATAATTATGGGTGTGTAAGCACAAATATAGAAGCTTAGATCAACGATCACATAAACAATTAGATTTCTCAAAAAAGAATCAATTTTAACAAGTATTCAGAACTAATTAAAAGCTCCCCTCATTTTAGGGCACACAAATTCACTGAAGACTCTGTACTAAGTGATGAAGATGATAACTTGGATGAAGAGCAATTCGAAGTAAGAAGTACCCCATTCAAGTGAATCTTAAAAATTATTGATAATGCCTATTATATAAAATTTATTAAGTACTAAAAGAGTTATTTTATATTTATTATATTACACTTTTGAGTAATTCTTGTTTTATATTAAAGAAAAAATATTATTAGAATTCCTTAAAGGATTTTTTAAATAACTAACTTATAATTAAAAATTAATAAAATCAACAATTTTTAAAATTTTTTAGTTTTAATATTTCAATTAATTTTACATTAAAATAATTGATTACTTATGGACACAAGATTTTACATTTTAATATATTTAATGTGAATCTTGCCTTGTTTAGAAACCATAATTAACACGATCAAAAGTAGGATGAGTGGCAACATATTAAAATTAAAATCAAGAACTAACTAAGGTAAGACAGATTAAAACAAATTAAGAAGAACAAGAACTAGAAGACATACATAACGATTCAACATAAAAATTAAATACAATATCGGAATAGATATTTATCAAAAATATTTACTAAAGTATATTACTTGTTATATAGTCTGTAAGAATATATTTTAATTAATGATTAAAATAGATTTTATTACTAATTGCACTTTAATAAAATAAGTCTGAACTATAAAATATTATTATCATTTGTATAATTCAATTTTTTATACATCTTAAATTATTTTTAAATTTTTGTTAACAATATAATTTGAAGATCTTAGCTTAGACAAACACAAATTAATTGCTTTTCAACAATTTTCTTTCATTTAGGCATTTAATAATTTAGCAGGGTGATTGTCTTCTGCAAGAGGTTTTATTTCGTAGACTGCATTGACAATTTGACGTTTAAGCTTTGTAATAAAAATTTAATAAATTATAAAAATAGATAATATATCAATATACTCCAGTGCTTTCTCCTTTGAGTCCTATATATGAAATAGCTATTGTTTCTTTATTGGTATTTTAAGAAGCAATATAAAGAATTAGTTTAGTTATATTTTAAAATTTGCTCTATCTCACTGATTAGTAGACAGTTCCATCTAAATTAGGAACAAGCATAAATTCCTAAATTTTTTATAAGCAAATAAGTAAGTAAATTAATAAAAATGAAATTAGTTTACTTCTAATCCTTTGTTTTCAGAAATTGAAAAATCAACATTTTCTTGGTTTGTATAAACTTTAAGTATGTTTGGAGCATGCTCTTAGTCTTTAGCAATAATATTAATTGATTTGAGATTGACTGTGCAAGTAAATCTGATTAAAATTTAGATAATTTAACAAATTTAATGTGGAAAAAATCTTTTTAAATTTACGGAATGATAAATATCATTTCAGGATCAGGTTCATCTGATTAAACAAAATCACCATTTTCTAATTTTTAATCTTCTTCTTTAAAAACACTTCTTCCTTTACCGCTTTATGATTCATTTAAACAATTTATCTATAGTTAAATTAAAAAATTAGAAATTCTACTAAAAAAAATTTGATAAAAATGTAATTCTGAGATAAAAATAAAATACTCCTGCAAGCTCAATAACAGAATATAAATCTTAAGCATTTTCAACATTTGCATATTCTTTGCAACCGCAGCTAGAGCTGTGAACGTGATTCATTTTAGTTAAAAATTAATTATCTCTAAAATACTTAATTAATTAAATTTGTAAACAATATTTAATCTAAAAAAAATAAATTTAAATTTTCTACATAGTCATAATATGAATGAAAATTATATGCTAATCAATTAAATTTTAGTGGAATAATTAATCTTAAAAAGAAATAGACAAAATCTTTAAGTATTTTAATACACTGGAATATTTTATTGACTAAACCTAAATTCATTAAATTACTTAAAATTATTAGAATTATTATCAGTAATTTATTAAAGTTATTTAATATTATTATTTTAATAGCATGGACGACTCATAAATATTGCTGTTTGTGTGTTTGAATAACATGAGTTTATTAAAAACAGTAAAATATATTATTTTAGCATTTCATCAATTAAGCATAAAATTTAATAATTTTATTAAAAAAATAAAAATTTAATGGATATAATTTGATTTTAATAAAAAAAAAACTAAATTAATTATTTTGATGAGTATTTGTCAATATTCAAAATTATGAAAAAATAAATTTTATGTACTGTCTTTTGGAGAAGAATTAAATTTATATATTATTTGTTCATTAGTAGTAGTAAATTTAATTTGAGAGATAGTTAACAAACAAATCAGTGTTTTGCTATAATTATTTGATTAGATATTAATTGAAAATTTTCTTAAGTATTATTGTAGAAAAAAAATATTAAAATATAGTAGAAAAAGCAAATAGATGCGTTAATCAGGATACTAGCAATAATTTTAAATTTAATAGCAGAGATAGACATAGTTTTTGCCTTCTAGCAGCTAGCGAGTATAAACACTGCCTAGTGATTTAAATAGTTAATTAGTTAACACTCCTTCATCTTTTAATAGGAAATCTATGTACTAATCGCCATCTTCTACTCAAATATAACCAAGAATGGCTGCTTCTCCTCTTAATCAAAGATTTAGTTCACCCATGCCAACAAAAATAGCTTAAGGATACACAAGCCCACTTTCAAATTCAAACGTTAGTTTAGTAAATGGCCAATTAACTGCTAGTGTAAACTAACCAAATGGATATCTGAATACTATTTTGAATTCACCTTCAACACCCTAAGCAAGCAACTAATTTACTGCTACTTTACCAAGTTAAAATTAGTAATTCAGTAAAACTTTGTCAGGAGGATTTGGTACAAATTCATTAACATCATCATAGAATATGGGATTAGCAAATAGTTTAAATAGTAATGGGACTGAGTCAGTTTTTTAGCAGACAAGCTTGATTAAAGATTTGGATTAGCAAGTAAAAAAATTAAAAGATGAATTAGAAACAAGCAGAGCAATACAGCTTAACACTTAAAAGCATAATGATGAGCTTATAAAAAAAATAAAAGTATTAATTAATGAAAATGAAAAAATGCAGCTTAAAGAGTAAGAAAAAGAAGAGTAGAATATTAAGGATTTAAAGATTCCTCCTAACATATAAGTCCTTCTTCTGGAAAACAAAAAATTTTAAGGAATTATTAGGGATTTAGAATCAAAAGCAAAGGTAAATTATTTATTATTTTAAAAGCAAATTATTGTAATAAGCTGTTAAAAATTATATTCAAAAATTTAAAATGATAGCTCTTAATATTAGAAAATGAGAAGCAAACTTTTCTTTTGAAGTAAAACTCTATTTTGTAGCAAAAAAGTAAAGCACAAGGAGAAAATGTACCAACTGAAAATGCTTTAAACGTTTAACTAAATACATTAACTCTTTAAGATTACAAAGAGAGGTGCACATAGTTAGAAAAAAAACTGGAAATATAAATGATGGAACAAAAAAATATTTAAAATTTAGCTAGTACATGGGAGTAAAAGCTAGATTTACTATTGTAAGAAAACGAAAAGTTATAGAAATTAGTAAAAGAAAAAATTTAATAGCATGAAAACTTAAGTAGAGAAAACACTTCGTTACTCTAGAGAATTAAAGAGTTAAAAAATGAAAATGAAAAGATACAATAAGTGATGTCTGAAAGTGGTCTGTCTGATATGTAAGTAATGGAAATGGAAACTAAATTTTAGACCATTTTAGAAGAAAATAACAGAATAAATGAGTTATTAACAGAAAGAAATACAGAGGCTGATAAATAGCAGTAAAAAATTATATAGTTAGAAGATCAATTAATCTAGTTAAGTCATAGAAATCCAATTTAAGCTAATAACATTAATGAAGAAAAGGCAAGGTATTTATTATTTTTAATTTAGGCATTTAATATTTATAAATTTTATGCCAGTATTTAAGAGTTTGAGCTCAGGAATTAATTATAAGAAATGTCTGAGAAATTAAGAGAATTGTAAGAATCTAATCAGAAATTGAATGCAGAAAAATAAATACTATTAGAAGAAAATTAGGTAATCAGCTAATTGATTAGCTAGAATTAAGCTTACTAATAAGAAATTTAGTAAAAGTAGGAAATAATTAGCTAGCTAAATGAAAATTAAATATCAAAAAGTGAATCATAAAATTTATTAAATCATTTTCATAATCCTTAGGAAATCAATTTAATTAAAGAAGAGTATTCACAATCAATCCTAAGGTATTTTATCATTTCATTCAACTTTTAATCAATATGAAAATATTTAGAATATATTTTATCCATTTATTCATTCAAAATTTTTTTTAATTTAAAATGTTTAACTTAATTTTATTAAATTATTTAGCTCACATTTATTAAAAATTATTGAATTCAGATATTTAAATACTTTTTTCAAACGAATCATCAATATATTTATTCTTAGAATTCGTTATACATAATTTAAATCTTTTTTGAAATATTATTTTTATGGAATTGATGTAAACAATAATTAATTAAAAATAGATTTGAATAATATGTGCAAGAAATTGAAATTGAAAAACAAGAATTAATTTTAGTTCAAAATGAAAAAATTGAAGAATTCTAAAAGAATCTTAATGAATTAATAGTAAAATTAGAAAACAGTGAGAGCAAAGTGAAGCAATTATAAGAACAACTTGTTGAGAAACAAAGCTTACTTTAATAAAAAACTTAAGAAATAAATACAATGAAAATAAAAGTTAGTGTGAGTGCAGAATAAATGGAAAGATGTAAAATAGAAATAGATGATTTTAATAAATAGCTTCTAGAAAAATAAATTGAAGTGACTTAAAAGTAGTCATAAATTGATTAGTTAGAAAATCAAGTGAACTATCTTATAAAAGAAAAAGATAATTTAAAAAGTGAAGCCAGCAAGTTGAATACCCTCTTATAAGCAAGGAAAGATCAATTTGACATAGCTAATAAAAATTTATAGGAGACAAGAAATGAACTGTCAAAGTCTCTAACCAATAACTATCAATTATAATAAGAAAATACTAACTTGTCTTTAAATAACTAAAAGCTTGTAATAAATAAATAATTTATTTATATTTTAAAATTGTTAATTTAAAAATTAATTTATATTTAATTTACTAAAGGTTGAAAATATAAATAAACTTGAAGAATAGTTGAAAGTTATTGATAATTAGCATTTAAGCTAGCTAAAGAATTCAGATTGCAGTTTGTTTTAGTAAAAACAGAGTATCGTGATAGAAACTTCATCAAAGCAAAACTAAATAATTCTAAGATTGTTAGAGCTAGAAAAGAATTTACAATAAAAAATATTTGCAAATACTAATGGTAATGGAGAATGCATGTAAAAGGGTTAGTCATTAAGTTAATAAATAATAAAAGAAGAAAGATAAGAATCTTAAAATTCTATTTGAGTATTTATTCAGAGTTAAATTTTGCTTTGATTTTTATAAAAATAATTTATAAGTCATTACAAATTATTATGAATGCAATAAAAAGCATAACAAAATATAATCGTAAAAAATAAAAAAAAATAATCTAAAATACTTTTCAGCTAAGCTAAGCTGTTATTTTATTTAACCTAGAGTCTGTTTATAATTATTTATAATAAAATAAAATTCTCTCCTTATTATATTAATTAGTGTTAGTTCCTACAAAACCTTTCTCTATATATTCATTTTATATTTTTATTTTCGAATTCCCATTTTGAATTCAAAAATATTTATTTGCTGGGTATTTATTTATTTATTTTTTCTTACCAAGCTCATAATTTAACAATTAAACATAATCTTGATAGAATGAATACAAATTATAAAGCAATCCCCTTAAGAATGATCATAAATTCTTTTTGGCATGGATATATTTGAATACACATACTATACCAGCCACTAAAAATATGCAAGATAGGCATATCAAAACAATACTTCCTAAGTAGTTTTACTGTCCAAATTCATTTAATGTCGTAACTACAAAATTGATAGTACTTTTGTATTAATCTGAATTATAGTCTAAATTTTAAATACATTTTTAATATGTTGATTGATTGATATATTTTTTATTAGCTTACTATTCATTATTTTTAATGTGTATGTACCAGCATTTAACCCATCATGAATTTTGCCATAATACTTTCTGAATGTAGATGCTGGAGAAGGTCTCATCCAAACCATAAAATGCTCTATTTAATCGAATATAAAATTTATTTTTTAACTATTTTACTAAATTTTTTACAATCTGTCAAATTTATCCAAGCTTTATCTTTGAGCTCAGGGTCCATAACATAGTTATTATCTATATCTATCTACCAAGCTATATTTGAATCATCTATTGTTACACCTTCGATTTAAAAGGTATCTATTGAATTACAAATATATTTATTTTCCTATTTTATTGAATATCTTTACCATTAAAAAAAGTGTAAGCATAGAGGCCACAAGGTATAGCCACATCGTTAGGATTTAGCGCTTTTTTTGTAATTGAAGTCGTTTACCCCATTTAGCTATTTGTATAATAATTACTACCACATTCATTTATCGCTTAAGCAACAGAAATATTTTTTCCTTTTAGTTAATCAACGCTTTTCGATTTTGAAAATTCAGAAGAAGCTTAGAAAAAATTATTCATTTAATAGTAAACGTATACTGGACCTTTCATAGTTTAAGGTATGTTAAAATTCTTAATAATACATTCTTAACCAAGACCTTAGCCTTAATTACTGCATACACTTTTGTATGCGATAGAATTCTCTTTAATCATTAATGTATAAGCAAGTTCAACGCTTCCAAATACACCAAATGCTAAACCTGTTATATTTTAAAGAGAAAAGTTTGAATTTATTTTTTAAATAACTGAAATGCTGTTTTTTATAAGCTAATTTCTAAATTTGTATTAAATTTCTACTCTTTACATAATATAAAATTTATAATGGCTAATTTAGGAAATCTTTTTGTAGGCTACCAGTCAATCAAAAATTAATCAAGTATTCTTTCAGGATCATCAAATGGTAAACTATTTAAATGCTTTTACACTTTTTGATCTGAATTTACATGCAACTAATTGTTCTGCTAAACAAATTCCTGAAGACTCTATACATTTGCCCTTTTTTGAGTGTCCATATCTAACAACGATTTGTAGCACTGAATTAAAAATCAAAATTTGTGGAAATTTAATAAATTATATTTTGAATAACAATTAAAAAATTAAGAGTAAATGAAAGTTAATTATTGTAATTATTAATTTGTTAAAACAGCTTAAAAACTTAGAGCTGAGTATTTATATAAAATTAAAAAATACGATCGAATATTCTTTACAAAGATTTTTTTGAATTAAAAGATAGTAGATTTATAGAATAAACTGCTTGCTTGTATAAGCAATAACAGGCCAAAAATAACATTTTATTATTTGAAGTTTTTACTTGCATACTAAATAAAATCAATTTAATGTCTAAAAAGCTAATTTTAGAAAAAATTATCCTATAAAATGTAAAATAACTAATTAAAGAAAGATGTGCATTACTGGGCTATGTACCAAACGAAATACCAAAAGGAACGTTCGATTAAAATTAAAATTATTAGATTAAAATAGCAGGAGATTATACTTTACTGAGAGAAACAGCGATTTGGAGAGAATTGACAGAAAGTAGTAGGTTCAAAGAGTTAGATATTACTCAAGTTGAACTAGAAATAATACTTTATAGATTTATTAAAGAGTTTTGTGCTGGTAATGAATAAGAGATGAAGGAAATCGCAAACAGAATTTCAAAAAATAAAAAAATATTAACAAATGTAGACAATAGTATTTCTGATTTGGCTTCTTAACTTCTTTTAATATGAAATTACTTAAAATGGCTTTGTTCAATATAATTGAAGAGTTTTGAGATTTTTTAATTTAGAAATTTTATATATGTTGTTTTCAATATAGTTATGATATAATATAATTAGATAATTCAAAAATGTTAAAAAACTAGAAATAAATTACTATTTACTTACTTGTAAATTTATATAAATGATTACAAAATAAATATTTTAACTTAATATATTTATAAAATAAAATTAATAATATCATCCTCTTTTACTGGTAAAATCTATATTCCTACAAAAACAATATTTCAACATCAAAGAAATTTTACATTTAATTATTTAGATTTTAGTTTTTGCTTTAGCTTTATTTTGAAGCTTTAAAAAATATATAACTAAATTTCTGTTAAATACAATTATGTAAAAATATTTAGCTAAAATTTTGAATTAAAATAATAAAATAATGTCATATTCATTATTTACTGAAGATGCAATAGAAAATCTATAGATTCTTGCAATTAAATTAAAACAACTATTTCTACTAATAAGTTAATCTAAAAGCAATATTTTAGTGTTTATATTTTCGCTATTTGCTATAGCTATTTTTGAAATCTAAAAAAAGATAAAATTAGTCCTGTTAAATACAATTTTAAAAAAATATTTTAGCTAAATATTTTAACAAAATAAATAAAAAAGTAATACCATTTTTTATTTAGAACAAATTTAATAAAAATAAATAGACTTTCTTAATTAAAATATCTATTCCTACTAAAAAGTTAAGTTGTGTATTTCTATTTTCTCATTTAGATTTTAATATTATGCTTTTGATTGTTTAATTTTGAAGTTCTAATTATAGATAAAATTAGAATCAAGTTAATGAATTTAAAAAAGATACTTCAACATAAAAAATTTATTGTAATTTTTAGTTGTATCATCTGTTTCTCTTAATCAACAATTTTGAATAAACTTGTTGCAGTTTTAATTTAATTTCTACTACAAGTTAAATTGTATTATTTTATCTTATTATCTAAATTTTAGCTTTATACTCTATTTTTTATATTGGAGTTCTAAAAAGAGATAAAAATAAGATGAAATATAATGTATTGCATGGATACTTTATTCTTTTTAAGGGATTAAAAGAGGTAAGTATATTTAGAAAAAGGTTCGAAGTATTTAGAGCTCTTACATTTGATTACTTTCCTTTTGCTATTTATAGTAAAATATGTATAAATCTATAAATTAATTACTATTAATAAATAAATCATCTTTAATGTTGCTAAAAAAATATTAGACTTTTACTGGAAAAATAATATTAAAATATCATAAAATGTATTGCCAAAAAATTTATCTAAATAATTGTTACAATTTTAATTTGAAGAATATATCCAGTATCTGAATTTTGTAATTTACTTAAACTTTTAGATTTTTATTTAAAAATTAGAGCAGTAAAATAGCAAAAATAGAGCAATTTGCTATAAAATGAGTTATTACTGAATTAAAAGTATTATTTCTTGCATTATAAAAAGAATAGACATTTATGTCATCACAATTAAAAATTAAATGCCATTTTGATTGCACAAATAAATTAAATTCTGATTCTAAGCTTTGTTTCTATTTTTATATAAGCATTACTTGTTCTACCTACGTTCGACACAAAAATAGATTAGTTGACCTTAAAACTTATTTGATTTTCAGGTATTGTGATCAAAGTGATATTTTTAGATTCACTCAATAATTTTTTAACCAAAGTATTTCATTATTGGAGAAAAATAATCATAAAATGTGTCACTTAAATTTCTTAAGTTTCATAGACGTAATTTGAGTATGAAATACGCAATTAATTTCTAATGTTTTTTAAAATTTATTAAGAGAGAGCAGTTTGCTTGTAAAAGTTCTTTTAAACAAATAAAGGCGTTTATGGACGGACTCTTACTTCTATATGCTTTATTTTAAAGCTACTTTTTTATTACTAATTTTTGTTGAGAAATTCTAAAAGATATTTCTTTTACAAGATAACTTTTTATTAATGCTAAAATATTTTTTTTAAGGAAATAATTAAGTTTGGTATTAAATAAAGCCATGCTTAAAGGATATTCTCAATGGAGCGTCGCATACTTCCCTTGATATTTTAGTTCTAATTCATTTCATGTTATTTAGCTAAATATATATTTTTTTTGCTATTACAACACATTTTAGGTTCCACTCTATATAATTTGCTATTGTAAAATTAATAATTTTGACCTTTTCTGAAATTAAAAAAATCATTCAATCGTCAACCAAATAATTTGAGTAACATTTATCTTTCAAAGACTTTAAAAGAACCCTTTTTTTAAAAAAATATAGAGTGTCAAGCTCATTAGGGTATTTTTCATACCTTAATTTAATTTTTGAAATATCATACAATTACAAATAAAAGTACCGCTATTGAAAACAGTTTTCAAATCGTACGTCATCAGTTAGTAAAGCTTAATAAGATAATAATTTTTTTACCATTGCATAAATTAATTTGAGGTATATTGAGAAAAGAGCTAGTTAAATTGCTTTTCTTCATAGTTGGTTCTATTAAATTTTAGAAAGTATAAATTTAACATAGAAAACAAATAATCAAATATAGTTAATTAAATTGGCTAAGCATTTCTTATTTTTTATCATTTTTAATCTGATTGCACTTGCTTTGGTAGCAACTTTTACATGAAATATCTAGTTAAATTTTCTAAATAATTTGAGTATCTTCTGTCAGAATCAACAAATATTTTGATAAATTAAATTTAATATTTAAGAGAGAATGCATGATTAAAATAGATTGATTTTGACATCATTTATGAACAAATTTAATCTTTTATTAAAATTTTATTTTTAGTTTTATTTAAATTTTAGAAAAGTTAGAAAAGAGGTATTTTTCCTGCAATTTTACTAAAAAAATAGCTTAAATATAAATGATATGATAAATACTAGAAATGATGAGTAAGAAGTGAACAATGAATTGGATTTATTAAAAATTATTAGTAAAATGCATACAGTTCTGTTTATACAAATTGTAAAAACGTGTTTTTAAAATCTTAAATATTTATTTTATAAAAATTTACAAGGTGTGTGAGTAATCTATATATGAATAAGTTAGAGAATTTGTTAAAAAGATTAAGATGAATTATTAATATATTTATAGTCAGTATAATTATTTGTTTGTTTGTTTATTTATTTATTTGATTGTTTACATATTTTATGTTAGAGAGATTCGAATGAGATTGTAGTATTTATAATTCTAAAGTTATTAATTTAAGTATTATTATAAGAGTAGCAAAATAGATTCGTTTTCTAGTATATAATTGTTTGAAATAAGATTAATTGAACAAAAGATTTATTAGACTAAGGCAGTTTAGCAGATTGGTTTGGCTTGTGTTATTTAATTTTTTCACATTATTTTAGCAGATATTTGATTAGATGAGCAGAATTCCTCTGATCTATAGTCTTCCTCTTCCTCATCGATACTTCTATCAGAAGTGCTTTCGCTGGAGCTTTCTGAAAGCATTTTTAAAACTGATATGATAGCTTCTTTGTTAGGAGAAGAAACAGGTCTTTTTGAAAAAATTAATTCGGAAGCTTCATTTATTTTGTAATTACGATGCAAGACTAAGTGAAGAATAGCAGTTTGAGGAGCTCTGCCAATACCAGCAGTGCAGTGGATATAAATGTGATGATTAGCTTTGTAGAGATCTTCAATGATGTCCAAAACTTCAGGAGCACGTTGAACGTAGTCAACAGGATCATTATCACGGATAGGAGTATTGATGAATAAGATACCTTTAGATTTGCAGATTTTTCTGATTTCTTATGCATTTACGTACTTTCTTTCCATGTCACGTTTTGTCTATAAATTAACAATAGCAGTAACTCCGAGTTTGTGGAGAGAAGAAATGTCATTGGCACTGTTTATAAATGAACCAATAGAGAGGTTTTCAGTAATATTATCAAAGGAAAGTTCCTCCTTAAATACTTCGGGAATAGCGAGGGAATATTGAATAGCAAATGGCTTGGTAATGTGATTATTGAAAATAATGTATCTACCAATACCACGTTCAACTTAGACGAAATTTTTAATATAATAATATCTCATCATATCTTCTCTCATATCAACATAAAAATCTTGGTAGTAGAGAGATAATTGCTAATCGCAATTCATACTAGGAATTTGTTGTTCGTAGCACAATTATTAGGGAACCTTGAATTAAGGAATGTTTCCTGAGATGTGAATAATGCTATTAGGAGTAGAATAGACTGAGAATGTGACTTTACGCATATTAAAAATTTCACTGATAATGAATTTATTGTCTTGAGTAGATTGTTAAGATTCTTGTTATTACTCAGTGATGAATTAAGCAGGGTTATTAAGATTATATTAACGGTTAGCACCTTTTTCCATTTCGATCAAAGTGTTTGTATTGTTTTTGTCATCTTTGTGGAAAATAACAAATTTGCATTCAAAATTTTATTCGCAGCCAGGCATAATTAACATTTCGCCTTTCCAGACGTGATTTTCAGTCCATGTAAGAGGAAAAATACCTTGATCTTCCCAATTACCAAGGCTAGCGATATTTCCCATGACACCAACAGTCTAACCCCATTCGACTTTGCAAACGACTTTAAATTCAACAATATTAAAATCGTATCTATGAATATTATTGTAATTATTATTATTCATTTATTTGTATATTTGTTTATTTAATTTTGTCTGTTTGAATTTTTGAAGTAGATATTTAATTATTTAGTTTAATTTATAATTCTAAGTGTAATAGAATCTGAGACGGATAATTTGATTGTTTATGATTTTAGTTTTTGATTTTTTTTTTTCTTCTAAAAAAATTTGAAAGTTACTTTAATTAATTAATTATACAAATAATCTTTATTCGCAAATATAAAATTAATCAATTATATTCATATATGTATTTGATTAGCCAGCAGAAATTTCATGCAAACTACAAGAATTAATTTTGTTATTTCTTTTCTATGCAAATATTAATTAATTAAATAAATAAATAATTAAATAGTCAATTTATTCATTTGAGACTAATTTTAGAATAGCAAGAAAAACTAAATTAAGAAACAAAGAAACACTTTCAGATTACAAGCGTAATAATTTTTTTCTTTATTTATTCTATTAATTTAATTTCACTTATTATTTCTTACGTTAATCTCCTCTATTCATTTTTTAAATGATTTTTCATTCAAAGAAGCCATTCTATATTTAATTACTTATGTCTTTACTAACCTTATTTATTTTAGTTATTTGATTTTTTAGTAATCCTTATTCCCAGTCTTTCTGTCTATCAATCTTTCTTTCTGACTGTCCTTCTGTCTATATTTCACCATACTAACTAACTAAATAAATAAAAACCAAAATCAAAATTTGCATACTCATTTTTTATTGAACCCTTAATCACCACCTTTAAACGACAATAACCTAATTAATATAAAACTTAATCTAATAAGTATTCATTTTTTATTAAAATAATGAATCTTAAGATCTAAAGCTAAATTTGAATAATTCCAAATAAATATTTTTTTTTTGGACATAGATAATATTTTTTAAATATTTTAGTACAACTGATATAAGATTATTGCTTTATCTTCTGAAAATAGTGTATGTCTTGGCTCAACTTCTTGATGCGAATTCGGATATATTTACTTTTGAAGATTTAGTACGTAACTTTATTCAAATATTCTCCTTCTCTTACTAACTATTATGGGTATTAATTTAAGATATTAATGCGTATTTATTTTATGATGCATTATCAAGACCTTTTTTTTTTACTTTAAATCTTCACTAAGTTCTTATGCTATCAAGTTGCTGAATTCAAAGTATAGCTTTTACTGATCCCACTGGCTACCCTTTTAAAAAACTATAAGATTTGGAAATATCTAGAATATCTTTTACAGGTAGAAGTGGCCGTAAAGTTGATACTCAAAAAAACTGGAAAAGAAAAGGAATTTCTATTAATATAAGGTTTTTAATTTTGTGGCTTACTTATTTTAGAGTTGCGAATTACCTCAGTGGGTATTTCATTTATTTTTGATGAAAACCTTAAATTAAAAGAATCAAACAAATTTTAAGAGGTAAATTAACCATGAATAAAAAAAACAATTGTGAAAAAATTGCAAATACCAAATATATCCAATATAACATTAAGGCATATCTATATTATTCAATTCAAATATTTATAACTAACATATGCAACTTATAAATAAGTATAAAATATGCACATTTAATATCCTAAAATATGGTTAAATTTAAGTGCTATTTTTTACTCAGTGAAATAAAATAGCAGATCAATCGATTATTTCTATTTTTAACTTAATTTACTTATTGCAGAGGGTAAGTGTTTTTTTTTAGTTATATTTTTTGTATTTAAGAATGATAACGTTATTGTATTTCGTCATCCAAAACAGCGTATCTCTTATCAGCCCTGTACTGAAAGGCTCATATTAACTTTTAATCAATATTTATAATTCAATTTTAAGTGACTATTTTTTCTTTAAAGTCTAATAATTAATCATTCTATTACTATCTGAGATAGATTTTACGCAATCAGCATCCTTTTATAATTTAAATTATAAACATATGCTTATAATTACGTAGATTTGTCATCATTTTTATTCTATATCGCTTATAAAAATTAAAATATTAAAAGATTTAATTAGCATTTATCTACAAAAGATGATTGCATCTATAAAACCATGAATATATTTATTTATTTATTACTTATGTTAGAATTTAAAACTAAAAAAACTTTATTTGTCTTTTTTTGTGTGCGCCTTTCAATTTTGTAAGAAATTTGTTGAGTTCGTATTTAAATTCTATTAAATATTTACAACTTATTCAACATTTATTAGAATACTAACTTTTTTACTTGTCTTCAGAAACTGAATTTGCGGCATGAAATAGTTTGTCCTTGGGAATAAAATTGTAATTTCAAGCTGATATATGAACGACCACCTTGAAATATTGAGTAGTTCTACTAAAAAAAGGAAGTGCATTTATAATTAGTAATAATTTAAAATAAAAATAGTATAAATATTAAAAAACTTGTAAACAAAAATGCTAGGTAGTATTTAGTGTACTTACCCTATAGCTTTTTAATTTTTTCTGATATATTATGAAGTATTTAGAAAACTTAACTTAATTAAAGTGCCAAAAATTAAATTAATAATATGCATTTGCAAATATTTAATTCTTTTAAACTAGAAAAATCAACTAAATTAAAGAGCTCTAATACTGTTCTATTTATTAATGTACTAAAAATAATACGCAGCTTGCTTATTAATTAGTTATTATAATTCAATTATGCTGAAAAATTTATAGTTTTTTAAAGATTAAATTAGGCTTTATAAAACCAGACAAACAAATTTTAATAAAATAGAAGAGTACAAACCAAGATTATTTCAGCAAACAATTTAATTATAGTGCGCAGTATGCATTAATAATTGGTATCAACCAATAATTTATACTGAAGGCTTAATTTCATAATAAAGCTGAAGTACTTTTTAAATCTGCAGCACTTTTACAAATTTAATAATATACTCATTATGCTCATCCGACTTGAGAGATTATAATCCATAGTCACTCATATACATTGAAGAATCTAAATTAATTCACTTTAGTTCTTAATAAAATTGTCAAAAAAGAATTTTTCTATTTACATATAAGTTCCTCAATTTTGGCAATTCTTATAGAGTGTTTTTAATGACTATCTATCAGATAAAGTAGATATTTGAAGACCGTGATGAATAATTGAATACATGCATCTATTAGTCTGTCTGAATAAAATAGAAAGTGTAATTTGATTATAAATTAATTAAGTTCACTTACTTTATATTAATACCTTAGTGGATTTTAATTTTGCCACTTTTACATATCTATATCTACACTTTTCTTAATCAAAAAATACAGTGAATATGTATAACTTAGACGATGTAATATTTTCTTTTATTGAGTTGAATCTAAAAAGAAGAATCTAAGTAATTTGTTCATAAGTAAAACCTGATTTATATTTAACTATTTACTTTTACAAGCTGACATAAAACTAAACTAGATTAAATTGCAAGAATTAGAGACATTAATAAAATAATGATGCATTCAAATTACATATTAACTCGCTTCCACTGCACTATGTAAAAGAATTTAGAGAAACTCAATAATAGAGAATAAAATAAAATATTTTTTGGTCTAAAATAGATTTCAATTACTCAGTAAAATGTTTATCATGAATAAAATTAATCTATTAAATACTTATAAAAAACTATAAACTGATAGAATAAAATTCAAATATAGAAGAAACATTTTCTCAGCTTACAAATTTATTAATAAATTTAAACTTATATTTTATTGAAACAAATAAAAAACTGTTTTTTCTTGCACTTTACTACTTTCTGAAAATGAAATACATTAAATTGCTACTTTTGTATCTAATATTTTAGATAAATGCATTGATGTAAATTAACTGACATATTCAATTTCAGCTTGCAAACTTAACTTGATATCTCAGAATTTAAATCTATTTTATTTAGAATGAGCAATAATAAATAAAAACTTCTTTTGCTTGATTTAAAAATTTAAATTCAAGTGTATTAAAAAGTTAATGCAAATGTCTATAAACGATTCAAAAATATTTTAGAACTATCTGATCCTCTGCTACTTTAGGTAAGGTTATGAGTCTAAACCGTAGTAAAATATTTACATTATCTCATAATTTTTAGTTAAATTACATAATTTTAAAGTAAACACTCATAATTTTGATATTTCATATTTTATGTTGTAATTAAGTCATAATTCATTTTAACTATTTGAAAACTGACATATTTTACTATTTAAAATGTTTACTTCTTTTTATTTACTAACTAACTAACTTATGAACTAAGCTATCATAAAATTTCAAAAAATTTAAATAAATATATAAAAATGAACAAGCTATTTCTAATTATATCCAAACCAGCGCAATCTATTTAAAAATAATAGGTATTTTATCTAGAGCATTAAAATTGTTTAGCCATTATTAAATATATATTTCAACTTTATTGTAGAACAATAATTCAAAATTAATTATCTTTTGTTATGAAAATAGAAAAACGAGAATATTAACTATTATTTATAATTAACTAATATATTATTAAAGTAATTAATATAATTTTATTATAAACCTAGTCTAAATTTCTTTTAATATTTTTCATTATTTTAATAGCCATATTAAATATGTATGCAATATAAAATTAAATTATTGGTAATAAATTTATCTTCTTGCAAGTCTAAATAATTTTAAATATAAATTCCTTAAATTAATTTAACCTTTAAATTTATAAAATAAGTTTCGATAAAATAAATTAAAATAAAAAATTAAAATTCTGTTTTAAAGATCAAAATAAAACTTTTATAGTTAAATTTTTTATATTTTAGTTTTCTAATTCAGTTTAAACCAATTTCATTCTTTTATGCTATTGTTGATTAAAATAACAAATTATATCAGAGATAAAAGTTAAGATAAATAAAATTGAACTGATAATTCCAAATCTACAATCATAAAGTTTATTTTAAATCAGAAAGAAAAATATCTAAATATAATTTTTTAGTTATAGGTATTCCTTTTAAAAAAATAATTAATATATTTTGAAATATATTATAGGATATTAATCAAACTAATAACATAATCTCAATAGAAAAATAAATAAATTATGATAAATACTACTAAATTATTATTAAATAAAATTTAAATAATTATTGAGATTAGTTAGTGATAATTCAAATGAGAAAGAAAAGTATCTTAACTTTATTTTCTGATTTTGAAGATGTTTTTTTGATTTTTGAACATTTAAAATTAAATATTTTTAATTTACTTTACTGAATAATTAAAATATTAATTTTTTAAAATCCGTTTAGTTTTATTTGAAATATTTTAATTTAATCACTAATAATTAAAAGCTGTAATTAATTTAAAAATAAGTAAGTGTTTTCAAAAACTCTTAAAGTAATAAACGAATATATTTTAAATGGCAGTTTATTGTAAATAATAGTTATGTTTAATGATTTTGCTTTTTATTTAAAAATTAAAGGAAATAATATTTTGATACTTATTTTTAAAATAATATTGAAATATTAAAAACTTAATATGCTTATTGTGTTTGTTTTTTATGAAATAGACTTATTTTAAAATAAAAAAGTTATTAATTATTTAAAAATTTATTTTGATTCTTTAATATTTAAAATAAAAATTGATGAAAAAGGTATTCAATGTAGTTAGAATTTATTGTTTGTTTATCAACTGTTTATTTATTTAAATTTTTATTTTTATGTTTCAGTAAAATAACATAAAAAAGAATAATTAATAAATTTTTTTCGATTCTTTAAAAGATTTAAGTTGAAAATTCATAAAAAAGATATTCAGATAGAATATATTTTTTATTAACTTTATTTAAATTTTTATTGTTTCAGAAATTATTTTTGTTTTAGTAGCAATTTCAAATCTGATTAGAAAGAGTTAATAAATAAATAAAGCTGTTTACTTCAATATAATAAAAGTTGAATAAATGCCTAAATACAAAATTTACTTATTCATACAATTTTATATAATGTAATATTTATTCAAATAGAAAAAGAAGTGATTTTGTCTCTCTGGAAACCATAAAGTAAACAAATTATGATAGAATATCCAACAAATACCTCGCACTATTTTAGTTTTATTAAATTAAATATAAATAAATACATTTCATTTTTAAAAATATTACTGCTATAACTAAGTCTTTATTGCAATCAAAAATGCTAGAATATTTGATAATCAGATAGAGAATCCAACTCCATATAACAACCATAGAAACAACATAGATATCTGTCCAATTTTCTGAAACTTTGTATAAAATATCTGATATGATAGGAATTCTACTCAAACAATTATTAAAACAGTTGTTTAGGATTATGATAGTATGGAAACCTGCATAAACGAAGAGAACTATTGATACAAAGAAAGCCCAGTTCTTCAATCCATGGCAATCATCACCTCCACAACCGCACTATTTTTGTTCAGTGAAAAGATAATAACCAAGACCAGCATTAGCAGCTATATCTAAAACTATATGTGCAATAGGAATAGGCATTTTTTTAATCTAGAAGTATTTTATTAAGAAGTAAAAGTTATAAATTTTTTTTTATTGTTAGAAAAGATATTAGAAGGATTTCAATTTAAACCAAGTATATTAGATATTAAATAATATTAAATAAAACTAAAGATTTTTATTTAATTATCTTAAATATATTCTTATTAATAAAAATAAATCTAAAAACATAGATAGATAAGTAAATAAATAAATATATATACTGGTTTAAAATTAGTATTTGTCTTTCAATCAAACAAATACTTGAAAAATACCTATTTAAGTTAATGTGTATGGATATTATTTCAAGCTAAGTAATTTATTTTCTATCTAAGAAATAATTCAAATAGTAAGTTAAAAATTCAGTCATTCAGCTAATTTATAAATAAATCAATCAATCAATAAAACAAACAAACAAACAAACAAACAAACAACCATTCGTCTTTTGAATTTTAAAAATTGATTTTTACATCATTTTATTTAACTTTAAAATAGAAATGAGAGATTAATTGTATTTTTTTAAAAAAAATTATATTTTTGCAATTAGATGTTTGAATTTTTTTCAATGAGTTTTCTAAATTTCTTAATAAGTGGTTTCTTATCAAAAATTATAATTAAAAAGGAAACCCATAAAATTAATTATTAAAAATAAATTAGCTTTATAAGATTTCAAAAACTTTAATAGTTGGAACCCGAAAGGGTCATCCGTTAAAATTGGAACGATACAGAGAAGATTAGCATGGCCCCTGCGCGAAGGATGACACGCTCAAAGCGAGAAGGATTCCCCATTTTTTTTGTAAATTTTAATTACATAGAAAACAAAAAAGTATTACATTATTTTAAATAAAAATATTAAATTTTAAATAAAGAATTATTTTCAAATAATTTTCAACTTTTAATAAATAAAATTTTAACTTTAATATAAAACAAACTATTTATTTCTAAATTAATTAAATAAATTTGATGTTTATTTGTTTATTTAGTGATAGACGCAAACTAAATTATTATAATTTATTTTTAAATATTTTGTAAAATAATTAATTAATTTCTATCTTTTCCAAAACTTAAAAATAAAATTTTTGAATAAAATATAGAAAATTAAACAAACTATTTGTCTCATGTTTGATAATTTTATATTTAAAAAAATAATTTAATTTTATAATTTCTAATAAATATGACAAATTAATTTGCATCAAAAATAATTTAAAGCTAACTTTAAAACTTTAATAACACAAAAAATTAAAACAATTTTTTAAGTGTTAAAATATTTATTTTTATTTAAATTAAATGAGAATGTTAGAATATTTATTTAAATTAAGATTTGAATTTTAAAAGAGGTAAAAATTAATTAAATATTTATTAAAGTATTTATGGTTATAACAAATTTTGTATTCAACAGTAAATTAATAATATGTGTGTCTATTTATTTACTTATTCCTTTTATTTTAGGTTGGGTTTCTAAAAGATAAAATCTGTTTAAATTTTCTTAAAAATGCAAGATAAAACATGATATAAATTATTATCTTTATTATATAAAAAATGTAAAAAACTTCTATTTCTCTCATTTTATTTAATATAAATATATATTTGGTTTTAAATTATTCTTAGAAGTTGAGGTTAATTTTTATGGAAAAAATGAGCAAAGATGCACCAAAAAGAATGAATTGATATCTTATAAATTTGAAAATTAACTTTTCAAATAATATATTTTAGCATTTTAAACCATTTTAAAGATAATATGTTTTTTTGTTTCATATTTTGTCTATTCAAAAAAGCAAATATATATCAATAATAAAATTAAGGTTAAATAATCATTAGATAAATACATGATTATTTAAAGATAGACGCCAATTCATAATAAAAATGATAATATTTTATTGACCCATAAAAAAGTTTTATAATTAATTAATTTCCTTATAAGCTTTAGAAATTTATATAGATTAGAGCCCGAAAGGGCATCTGTTAAAATTGGAACGATACAGAGAAGATTAGCATGGCCCCTGCGCGAAGGATGACACGCTCAAAGCGAGAAGGATTCCCCATTTTTTTTGTAAATTTTAATTACATAGAAAATAAAAATAAACAAATATTAAGTTTTAAATAGATAAATAAATATTTTAAAATATTTTCTACTTTTAATTTAATAAATTATTTATTGATTTATTGATATACATATATTTAATTATTGTTTTCAATACTTTATAGCATCAAAATTAATTAATTTTATAGAAAATAAAACAATATTTATTTATTTCATTTTTGATACTTTTAAATTCATAAAAATGATTTTAATCTTATAATAGCAAATTAATGAAATAAAATTAAAGTCTAACATCTTTTAAAGTTAAAAAAGTTTAAATTTTAATTTGAAAAAAAGAGCTAAAATATATTTAAAATTTTGTGATATTTATTATAAATTTTTTTAAATTAGGTATTTTAATTTAGATAGAAATTTGTTACTAATACTGTACTAATAATTTTAGCTTTAAGAGACATTTTTTAAATAATTTATAAAGTATTTATAATTTTTAAAAAATTTTGTTTATAATAAAAATGATTTAGTGTTAAATTATACACTTACTTATTTTGTTAATGATTGAGTATTCCTTATTTTAAAATGATTAGATCTGATTTAAATATTCTTAAGATAAAAACATACTTTAATAAATAAATTAATATCTTTTAAATAAATTAAAATTTAATAACAACTCCTTTTTCTCTCATTTTTTTTAAATTTAAAAAACTTCATAAATGTTTATTTGGTTTTAAATTATTCTATGAACTGAAGATTATTTTTATCTTAAGAAAAAACAAAACTGAAAAAAGAAGTAATTCATATTTTATTAATTTAAAACTTTTAAAATAATATATTTTTACATATAAAATCTTTTTAAAGATAATATTTTACAATATCTTTTGCTTCGTATTTTGCTTGTTTATAAAGTTTATAAAGAAACTATTTGCATTTAGATAATAAAAAATAAAGTTGAATAATAATTAGTAAAAAAATGTTCTAGACATTAAATCATAATAAAAATAATAAACTTTTTATTTTAAAACCCATAAAAAAGTTTTGTAATAAATTAATTTCTTTATAAGCTTTAGTAATTTACATAGATTGGAACCCGAAAGGGTCATCCGTTAAAATTGGAACGATACAGAGAAGATTAGCATGGCCCCTGCGCGAAGGATGACACGCTCAAAGCGAGAAGGATTCCCCATTTTTTTTTCTAATTTTTTATAATTAGAATAAAAAAGAAAATTACATTTAAATAAAAATGATTAAAATAATTTTAAAGTTAAATTAAACATTAACTATTAATAAAGAATATAAAATAAAATATAAATAAGTTTTCAGATAATTTTTTTCTAAAATAACAAAAATAAAATAGATACACACTTGTTAGAATTAAAATGATAATCTTTAAGACCCATAAAAAAAATATAAGATAATTAAACTTCTTTATAAGCTTTAGTAATTTACATAGATTGGAACCCGAAAGGGTCATCCGTTAAAATTGGAACGATACAGAGAAGATTAGCATGGCCCCTGCGCGAAGGATGACACGCTCAAAGCGAGAAGGATTCCCCATTTTTTTTTCTTAATTTTAAATATATACAACTAATAAAATTTAAATAAAATAAAATGCTATGTAAACTTAATTTTATTTCAGTATTTAAAAATATTTTAATAAATTAAACTTATTATAATCCATATTTAACAATTAATAATAAACTTTAAGTAAATTAAATATTTTTTAATAAAATAAATTGATTCATTCTTTTAAAAATTAAATTGTGAACTTATCAATTAAATAAAATTAGATTAATATAAATTATAGTATTATGCTAATTAAATGAAAGAAAGCATATTTAGAATAATATGATTTTCCTATTTTTTGGATTCTTTTTTTTTAAAATTTACTTATTAGATTCATAAAATAATTTAAAAATCTTGTTTGTTAGATTTCTTGAACAAAATAAATTTTATTGTGTATTTATTTTGTAGTTTTTCATTCAACTTTTATCAAATAAATTAATATTCATTCAATTTAAGGATAGTTAATAAAATTTTTGCTTTCCAAATTAATAATTAGATTTCGATTTTGTTTTTATCTTTTTTATTCAAAAAAATTTTAACATAATTTTTATAATCTTAATTCATAAAAATATTGATTTGAGTATTATATTAATTTTATTTAATATTTTATCATTTAAATTAAAAGATAAACCATATTTTATTTATAAATTATAGATTCTACAAAAATATTTTAAAATGATCTTTTATTGCAAATTATTTCAAAAAAATAAAAAAAATACTTAATTCACATTTTTTTGAGGAAGGAGCTTATTGGTATTTCAAAATAATTGTTAATAATTACCCAACATATATTTTTACTATTTAAACAAAAAATAAAAAATATTTTTTAAGTCTTTAACTTTGTTTAAAATATAAAACCTGTAAATTTTAAAAACGGATCCTTTTCAAAAATATTAAATTTAGTAATTAAGTCTTAAATTTATAAAAAAATTTTCAAATCTAAGAAAATTATTTGTTTCTTTTTAAAAAATACCACTGAAAAATATGTATTTATAAGATAAATTCATTAATAATAAACCAAAAAATAATATTATAAAAATAACGAGTGCTTTGATAAATTTAATCTTTATAAATTTATATAAAAGAAAATCTATTTTATGATTTAATGTAGTTTAAAATTTGTATTTTTTTACTAAAATAATAAAATAAGCTTGATTGATTTACTTAGTTATTAATTAATTCAAATATGTAGTTATTATTATCAGTTCAGATATCATATTATTAATTTTATTATTATGAGTTAATATTTGCCTAGGCCTTCATATATTTTGAAAATAATGCTGATAAAACTATAAAAAGTAAAATGCTTACTATTTCTGCAATTACTAAATAAAATAAACTCCCACAAGATGATCTCATTGTAGCATATGTTCCAATCATAAATACTAAATAAGGAACGGTGTAAACATAAGACGCTAATTTAAAATAATTATGCCACTTTTATGAATAGTGGTAAGATATCAAGATGCAAGCATTAACTGCAATATCAGCTGCAGTTGTATAAAAATGAATGCTAGCCCAGAAATAAAATGTGTCACAAACACCTTCACCATCAGGGTTGTAATAGCTCTTTTTTGACAAAAATATAGCAAATAAAATGACAAATAATATATCCCAACCAGTAAAAGCTAAGTAATTATAGTAAATTATTTTAATATTTAACTATTCTGCTTCTTCTGTAGGCTTTTGAGTTACATAGTTGTTATTAATTCTCTCTTAACTAGCAATATCGCCGTCTCTAGAATAGTTCTACATTTATTTTATGTATCTTAAGGTAAAAGAAAAATATTGATTTGTAATTTTTATTTATTTAAATAGTAATTAAATTTCTGATCTATCTATCTATTTTTATATAGAATATTGCATGTTAAAAAATTTGTATCTATAATTCTATTTAGTATTTTGTTACATTTAGTAATACACAAACAGTGAATTAAACCAGATCAATTATTTACCAAATTTATTTCAATTAAAGAGTTGCAAATGGAAATAATTTGAACATTCTAAAATACACTAAAGCAGATACTCAAGTAAATTTCTAATTACATACATTATTTTATGGTTTTCAATGGTTAAACTGTAAATAAATTATTTAACCTTGATAAAATCTGTTCAAGATGTTAAAATTATCTAAAATCTTTTTTACTATTAATATAGATAAATTTTATTTGATACCATTTTTTAGTTTTCCTAAATTTAACAATACTTATTAAGAGATCTTATCTCAAAAAAAAGTAAAAATAAAAATAAAAATGAATAGCAATTTTTAGAATCTTGCCAAATGATATCTAAATAAATACAAATTTATATCTGTCTCTAAGTTTTTAAGATATTTAAATAATTACTAAATAAATAATTGTTTATGCTATATTTTATAATCAATTAATTATTTTGGCTATTGCTTTCAATTACTTTATTAAATTGAAGGAAAAAGCTTTCAATTTTAATCAAAAATCCATAATTAAATTTATTATTTTATGTAATAGTTTTGGATAATATCAAAGGATATTGTTATATTTTTATAATAACTATTAAGATAATAAAACAATATAACATAGATATAAAGAAGGTAGGTAGAGAATATATTAGTATAATGATAAGTTAATAAGAGAGATGACTTAAAAAACATATTATTTATTAAGATTGAAACAATTTATATTTGGTTACATTTAAGCCTTCTGCTTTACTTGTAAATCAAATTTATTGAAAAGAGAATTTATATTTATTTATATTTGATTGATTGGTTTGTTGGTTGATTGGTTGGTTGGTTGGTTGAGTCATGAATAGTTTTTCAAATCTAAAAGATTTTTATGTCTATGAGAAACACTAATTTTATTAGCAGATAATCTTATTTATTTTCAACAGATTAATTTTTGATATAAGTGAAAGTATTTTGATTGTTTGATTTAACTATTTTTAGAAGATGAAGTTATTTTATTAAATAAATTAGTAGATTGGAAGGATAACCAAATTCTAGAAATAAATCTTTATTGTCAAACATACTTTTTATTCAGATGATCTAAATATGTACTTAGCTTGCACTAATATTGCTCATGTACATACTTATTGCTTTAGGTGGAAATTAATTTGATAATTACTATTTTTGGTTGTTTAGTTTTTGTTGTAATTTTATCTTAAATTTATAATATTAATACAATTAATTTATTTATTTATTAAGTTTTTTATTTATTTATTTATAATTTAATGATTTTGGTATTTGTTTTATGTTTGAATTTTTTAATTTCTTTAGATTTTATAAAGCTTGCTTTGGAAGATATTTATTTATTATTAAGGAGAGATTCAATTAAGACTAATCATTAATCCTTTTATTAAGACTATCCAAAAGCCTTGAGTACCTCCTCTTAATGAGTAAGTAAAGAATATCAAGCTGTTGATAGCTCTTCTCTCATTTCAGGTGTCCCAAAAGAATTTATACTTTTCATTACTATTGATTTTTCTTATGGAGATGTGAAGGAAAGCTCTTTTTTTCTTTTTTAAAAAATAAAATTAAATTAACTTTTTCTTCTAATAATTAAAATTAATTGGCATACATTCCATCAAATTTATCTGGGTGAGGTCTTTTTAAACTTGTAATAGAAGATCCTACAGGTTTAAATCCTGAGCTAGGTTTAGATAAAGTAGGAGTGGGGATATTTATGGCATTATTATTGTTTTGTAAGAGTGATGTTGTTTTACTTGAACTTTAAAGTTAGTTAACTGATTTTTCAAAATACATGCTGTTATTTTCGTCATTTTTAGCTCCTCTAAAACTTAAAGGTGACTATGCTTGGCTGTATTATTAATCGAAAAACTAATAAGAAGTAGAAAGATCTGGTAATTCTGCTTATCTGAGTAGTGTCTTCATCAAAGTGACTGAGTTTTCGATTTTTAATATGTCACTAAGTGTAAAATTAGGGAATACTATATTGAGACTTTTTTTGCTTGGATGCAGTATGAAGGATTCTTATTGAGTTAGAAAATAAGTATTAAAATAATTTAAGGAAATAACTTTAAATATACCTTTTTAATTAGATACAGATTTTAAATTTGACTTTTCTTTATTTGCTTAAGTGTTTTTAGGAGTTGAAAAGTTTAAGTGTTTAACAGGTGTGACGAAATCATTTTCGTTATTTAAAAATGACTAATTTCTTTGTTCTATTGAGCGTAAATCTAATATAATTTTAAATATGATTTAATTAATATTTAGCTATATTTTTATTTTTTTAATATTACGATTGTCAGCTTAAGTAGTAGGAGCAGTTGTTTCTTAGCTAATGAAATTAGATTTTTTATCAGGTGTGATAAATTCTCCCTTTTCTTTTTTACGTTATTTTACTTCTTTCTTTATAGTATCTTTTTCTTTAGATGATTGAATAGCACTTTTCTTATAAGTTGTTTCTTATTCTTCTTCCTTGACAGAAACCATAGGAAGTTGGATGCTATTTGCTCTAGAGTTATTCAAATTAGGTTAAGAGAGCTATTCATTTGATAAATTTTCTTCATCGCTATCTTCTTCGTCGTCATCATCATCTCTATCTTCCATTTTAGAGTGATTAATATTTGATTCTGAATTGAGCTATTTAATTCCCTCATTATATTATGCATTTTAAAGATGGAACTATTTCATATAAGCTTCATTTTTTAATAAGTTAACTGAGGGCATATTTGACAATTCTTCTTCTATTTCCTTAATATTTAAATTTTTCTTTTTGGGAGGTTCTAAATCTTCTTCACGCTTTTACATTTTTAATTTTCTCTTGATAGTTGAATTCCAGTGATTTTTGATTGCGTTATCAGTACGGCCTGGTAAATACTTAGCAATAAGAGCCCATCTATTTCCTAATCTATTTTTTTATATAAAATTATGTATTAAAAGCAAAGCGTTAATATTTAAATTAGATTTAAAATAGAATTGAATTAATCAATTAATGGATTTATTTTGTATAAATATTAAAAGTTGAATTAATTTTTTTTTGTTAATCGAACTAGAAAATTAAAGACTATTTAGAATTTATTAGCAAAAGAATCAAATTTTATTAGAAAAATATATTTTAATTTTTCGAGTGTTTTTATTTATTTGTGTTTGTTTGTATTATGTGCTTGCTTAACTCAAGAATTCAAACAATGAATTTTTAATGGATACATTTGAATGAATGTCAGAAAAGTTAATTAAAATTTATCTCTCATAAAAATAAAAGAGTTAGAGTTAGTGTTATGTTTAAATAGAATTGAAAGAATCATTGAAAATAAAGAGGAAAAATAAAAGATATGTTTAGTTTTGTCAATTAATTTTATTTTTGTGTGCCAAGTTAAATTTTACGAATATAGTTAATTTTCCCACAAAATTATGTATGCTAAATTTCTTAAGAAAATTATTAACGTTCCTTTTCGAATTAAAATCTTGTTTTCTGTGTTTTGTTTTTTTTTGTGAGAAATTTTGGATAAGCATGCACACTCACTCAGTTTTAAAGATACTAATAAATAAGACACTATTCAATAAAATATCTATTGAATGAAATCTACTTTTTGTGAAGCAAATAATAATTCTATTTTAATTATATATTAAAGTAGGCTTAATTTCTTTACCTTTTATGAGCTTCAATAATAGCTTGATCTTCTTCCTCAGTCCATCTGTCTTTCTTGATGTATGGATTTAAGTGATTGTGCCATCTAATTATTAAATTTTATTATTTAATTTTTGCAAAAGTTTAATTAAAATAGCGCGCATTTATAAAATCCAAAAAGAGAGTAAATTGTTTTTTATGTTTTTGTTGCAAAATGTCAAAGATAAATAAATAAATACCTTTCTCTGCATTGTTTTCCAATACGACCAGGTAAATGCTTGGCAATAGAACTCCAATTTTTGGGGCCTTATTCAAGAACTAATTTTGTTACTATTTCATCTTCTTCCTTGGTCCAAGGCCCTTTAACAAGAGATGGATTTAAAACTTTTTACCATCTGTGTAAACATTAAACATCGCTGCGTTCCTTAAAATAGCCAGCAATTTTTTTCCAATTTTTAGCACCATGATCTTTTACAAGGTTTTTTAAGAGTTCATCCTCTTCTTTTGTCCACCACCTTTTGGTTGTATTTGAAGGGGAATTTGAATTTTTGTATTTAGGACGAACAATCTTTTCACCATTTGGGTTATTAGTGTTGCTTTCAAGTTTTCTAGATTCATTAGATTCATATTCATCCATCATATCATCGTCTTCTTCATCAAGCATGTCATCATCTTCGTCATCATCAATATAGTCTTCATTATTTTCTTCATTCATGGTTTATTTTTCTTCATTATTTACTAGACTTTCTTATTGATTCTCTTCTTCTATTTAGCTTTCTTGTTTGATTGAATTTAGCTTTTTGACCTTCAACGACTACTTCCTTTAAATTTTTTATTCTTTGGATTTCTTAGTCTTTTTGAAGCTTTATTCGCCTGATAATGTTTAGTGTTAAGAGTGCATGTTATCTTGGTTTGTTTCATTAGAATTTTCTTCGTCCATATCATTTTCACTACCATCATTTTCATTAGATATCATGCTTGCCTTTTTAACATTTTTCTAAGAGCTCTTAGAATTTTATTTCTTTCTAAGAGGAGGTTCAACAGAATAAGCACAAGCAGAAGATTCATTCTCTTCAATTTTAGACTAAAATGCAGCCTAGTAATAAATGAATTAAGAAATTAAATTAGATTAAGCCTAAAATAAAATTTTAAGATGAAACGGTTTGTTAGTTTTATTCAGTCAAGACTGTATTTACTTATGTGCAAAGGTGCAATAAAATTTATTAAAAATGTCTAAGAGTTCATCGAATAGGAAGCAATTATTAATTGATGCAAAATTTATAATAAAGTAAAAAATTGGATGTAGAACTGAAAAAATTTTCTGCTAAAGTCTTTCAAGACTTTTGTTGAGTAATCAAATATGGAAAGAAGTTTGATAATTTTAAAGCAAAAAGGAAGCAAAAAATTAATAGAAAATTAAATCAAGAGAAATGTATCTATTAATCTATCTATCTTGCTGTCCAAAGAAATGAGAAAAGAAGAAAAGAAATAAAAAATAATATGCGTTAAATAGAAGCAATATTAGGATCTGAGCTGAATAAATAATAAAACTAACTCGATTAAAGACCGTTTATTAATTTGAAGAGTGTTTTAAAAGATCTTATGTTAATAATTTACATGAATATTGGCGGAGATGTTTAAGGAATTAAGAGGTGTTGGAAGTAATAACTAAGAATTTGATGTGGAAGAGATGATAGGAGCATTTATTTAAGAATTTTTAATTTGATTTTAATTTATAGAAGAGTTAGAGAAGAGATGATTGATTACTGTTGAAGCCAAATCTTTGCCAGGCTGGTTGCTGTTGTTATCTGAAGAAGCAGCCTTTAATCCTTCTGGCATCTAAATTAATTGAGATGTGTTGTTTAAAGCATATTTAATTACATCATCTGATTGCACATTATACTTACTCTTAATAACTTCTAATAGCTGTTTGAGTTTCATGAATTCATCCTCTTCTGCTTGCTACTACTATTAGGATTAATTATGCATGATACTGCTAATTTATTGTTAGGCATCTTATTCTTTATTTTATTTTTCATTAATTGCTTCTTCCTTTTTATTTACTACTTATTTCCCTTCACCTTTTGATTAATTAAATCATTATAGTTGTTATTAAACTGATGGTGAATTTATTTACTCTTTTCTACTGAAAAATTCTGGTCTTGAGGTCTCATACCACCTTATCTATTAGAAATGTCGAGGGCAGAAGCAACAAGTTGCTAAGCTTACTACTCTTGAACTATTTGAATGCTATTTTGTTAGCCTTCTTCGATTTTGGTTTCAATTGAGTTACCTTCAGGCTAGGTTTCACTCTTGATCATATGCATATAGTTGTTTAGAGTTGTTTATTCTTCTTCTAAATTTTGTTTTACTTTATATATTGTTTTGTATTTGTATTTTTTTATTACTTTTTTTTTGCGTGTTTACAAGATTAAAAAATTCAATTATTTATTTATTTATATATATATGTGTGTGTATATATATGTATGTATGAATGTTTTCCTCTTGCTACTTAATAATAATAATAATAATTATTATTATTTTCTTAGCTATTTCTTCTTAATTAAGCAATTATTTTCCCTTATTTAAATATTTCGCTTTCTCCTAAATCTGCATTCATTTTGAGCTATCCTTTTCGCTAATAAGAAATAAATCACAGATTTTTGCGCAAAATACAATTCATTAAGCAAAAAATATTAATTGTCAAAGAAAAATCACATCATCTTCAATTTGTAATATAGATAAAATTAAAAAAATATATATAAATAATACATAGGCAAACACGCGCTTCTATTCATTGAATAGTTTGACCTTCTGCTAGTTAGTAGCTTTCAACCTTAGATTTCCATTTCGCTCTTTCAAATTTAGTTCGAAGAGATTCTTTGTGTTAGTGCAATGCATTTTTGAGTCTGTATATCTTAAGGAGTTTATATGATTAAGTTTAATTTCTAACTCTTAACTTAGTAGTGTGAATCAATCAATATATCTAATAAGCGCATAATTAATCTTTAATATAAAAATATCAAAGGAATATTTTTTTGAATAATTTAAAAACAGCTCTATTTCATACCCCAAGATTTCGATATACAAAGAAAAATTATTAATATTCTTCTAATTATATTAAAAATTAACAAATAATAGCTGATAATAAACGTTTATCCCTTGCAGAATTTAATTTTTGCCCATTAAAAAAAAAAATCATCTCTCTGTATTTTGCTCTAATTAATTTTCTTTTATTTTACTTTGTCTCTTCATTTTTGATTAAAAGAAATTCATTAAGAAATTTAATTTTTATTTTTGATTTTTCTCTGATACCATTCTTATTTATTTTTTTTTCCTCTGCGTTTCCCCCACTTATGAATAATATTTTTTCTCTCCTTCTTTAATCGGTCTTTTTGATATTCTCTTAGGATGAATAAATTTATTAAAGTAGAAATAGGTTATCTTTATTTATAGATATAACATTGGCAATCACTGGCCTATTTATTTGCAGCTATTTGCATATAGTAAATATTATGAAATAAAATTTGAATTTATATTAGCAATAATACCAAATAAGATTAATTAAAGGTAAAAATTCATAAATACACATTTTTAGTCTTAGAATTTAGTAAATTCTTGAAAGAATAAAAAATTATGAGAATTAAATTCGAAAATATTCATTAAAATTGTTTTCTGAACTAAATTATATTAAAAAAATTCTTTATTCTATAAAAGTCTATTTACAAAAAGTAAATTAATTTAATAATAATTGAATTACTCTAAACATAAATAGAAAGTATGCAAGTCAATTCTAAAAACAAGAATTTAACAACTAAATTTAATTTGTATTTAATTAATTATTGGAATGTTTTAATTTTTATCGCTACAATATTTAATAAGACCCTAATGAGATAAATAAATATTCAATTTCATTTAATTTAATTACAACCCTTAAATTTAATTTTATTTTCCCGCAAATTTAAATTGATAATTAATGGAAATAAACAAAATCTTTATTCAAAAATTAAATTTCTCATATACTAATCTGTTATTCAAAAAACTACTAAATTAAAAAATACTCTTTATTAATTCGATGAACAGTTTAATTTAATTTTTTTTAAATTATTAAATGCATTTTCCAAAAATAAATTAAATAATTTTGAAAATTTTAAAAATTTAAATTGAAAACTTTTCTTTATATAATTGCCGTCTGAATATTAATTATTTTAGATTGAAATATGTTAAGGTCTAATTAATTTTTGTGTTATCCATAAAATAATTGAATAAAGTAGCATAAATGATTTTAAAGAATTTATTATTATATTTATATGATTAACATTAAAAATATATTTTTTATTGAAAAAATTAATTAATTTTTAAAGATATTAAATAAAAATTTTAATATTTAAGAAATGAATTTGAAATATAAACAAATAAATAAAACATATTCCTCATTTTAGTCAAATAGGATTTATAAAAGTAATCAAAATATTGAACAACTATTTTATCTTTATGAAAATATGATACATCTTATTCTACAGTAATAACTTGGGATCTTAGCATAGTGATTCGATTCAATTAGCTAAAAGTTATCAAACCTAGGATCTATGGAGCAAACATAAAAATAAAATGGATTTTCTATTTCTTCATTGCTCTTTTTCTCTTTTTGCCTTTGCTATAAGATATAATTGGGATCATCGCTAAAAATAAAATACCCTTAATCATCTCCCATATCAAAAACACTTCTATATAAAAGTGGCCACCCAGTTAGCCACCAATCAGGATCATATATGTCTTGGCTATTGAACTCGTAAAATTTATAGGATGAAGTGAGATCTTTAATGATTGGTTTAATATAGTACTTTAAAAGCTTTATTTAACCTTAGATTTCTTATGTATGAAGTAATTAAAATTCACTGATATGATTATTTTATTCTGGGGAATAAAGAATGCTTCTCGCAAATTAAGGATTTTTACTTTAGCTTCTCCCTTGATCATAATGCTTTCTATTTAGATGTTCGATTAAATCTCGTAGGTAGCTTGTATCTCCTTATAAGTGAGAATGCTCCTCCATGAATGTTATGCATTAATCATTTTTTATCTCACTTTTTTAGTTTAAAAGCTTATTTCCATGCCTATTATTTTATTTGTTTATTTATAAATATATAAAAACTCTATCATAAAAATATCATAATAAAATTAATAAATTAATTACCTCTCACCAATAATTTAGCAATAAACTTACTTTTTTTTATCTTTAACGTAGTAAAATACAGGATTAGTATAGTAAGTTATGCTAAATCTTGTTTAATCTTCTGGTTTTATTTGGTTAATAATTTCATTTTTTTACTATTTGAGATATCTTATTGGAATTATTGTTTTTATTCCTAATAAAGATATATTGGTTTGAATTTAATTTTTTTGGATCATTGAATTAATGTGCTTCACTAATTGTTTTGATTTAATATCAAAGTAGATATAACAGCTATCGTTTTCAGCATTAAATTTATATTTAAAAATTTATATTTAGTGATCTAAGTTTTAGTATTAAACATCATTTGTTTAAGATAAAAAAAACTACATGGTTCTTTCAGATACTTAACCCTGATCAGGTTTCTATCCATTAAAACCCTGAAGTGTTATCTTTTTACACCAAATTAGATTTTTACATTTTTAAATGCTAAAGATGTGAATAAAAATATTTTAAATGAGCTTAAACTCATCTTATTACAAATTTTAATATTTTTAATTTTATTTCAGTACATTCTCAATTTCATTGTATTCTTGTAAAAAGTACAATTCTTTGGAGCTACTTAAACATACATTTTTTATTAATTCTATCTACTTTATTCTTCTGTCTTTATGAAACTTTTTTTTTTTACTTTTTTATAAAGATTAGTTTTCTATAAAATTTTTCTTATCTATCTCTTACTACTATTACAATTTATTTGATAGCTCTTAGTCTGTAATAACTGGTAAATCAGAAAAGGTTTCATAGAAAATAGACAAGCAATACTTTAATCTACAATTATTAAAATCAATAAATTCATACTTTTTATTTGTATAGTATTCATCTAGCTCCTCTTTAGTTATTTCATTATTTTGCTTTTTTTTATTTATATTTATGCTTTCTAAATCCTATAACCCAAAAAGTTTCACAATATAAAGCACACATTATAAAATATCATTATTGATTTGAAAAAAACTTCTATTTTCATTAATAACTTATGTGGGATTTTATCTATTTGAACTTTATTAGAATTGATCCAAAAATTCTTTGAAATAACTTTATTATGAGCTAATGAATGACCCACTTTAATTTGATGGGACTTCAAAATAAGATGGATTGAATAATTATTCTAGAATAATTTGTATTGTAGATGGCTATAAACACCTAAAATCTAGCTAATTTTAGCAGAGGTTTTAAGAATAGTATCTAAACTAAGTATTTTATGAAACCTACAGCTTAACAGAGTATTTATATTCTTTTGTATCGATTTCAATATAATCTTATTCTTTTAGATTTTTTGTGTCTTTACTTATTTAGATTGAAAAATTATTTTTCAAATCTTCACTTGATTAATTCCCATAGTCTAAAACTTTTTATTAAAAATAATTTTATCAGTTTTATTTTGTAAACAAACAAATAAACTTAGAAAATAACTCAAATTCAAAATGAAAATATTTAATTTATTTATTTATCAATACTTACAAAGCTCATTTATCTTTGCAGACATCACTTCATCTATGTTATCAGGCCATATTCCTGCTATCTTGTATACAATTTATTCATTTTGTCCTTCAGGAGATTATCTTTGTGCTAAACTGAAAAAAACCTATTAATCGAAAATAGCAAAATTTATGATCTTTTGAATTATAGTTTCTTATTATTTATGATAACAATCAAATAATCTTCTACCAAAACTTAAAGATTTTTAAAGAAACAAATTGGCAATTTACTATTCAACCACATCAAAATATAAAAAATATTAAACTGCATTTTCTAATTTAATTTTTTCAATGCAATAAAATGTTATGTGAGTTGGAACTATTCCATTTTCTTGAAATATTTTAATAAATTGCTACTGTAAAAAACTTTATTCAATTTCATTTTGCATTAATTAATCTATTTATGTTGAATTGCTTGATTAAAAGATGCATAACTTATAGCATTCTAAGATCTTAGCTTGATATAAGATGCATAAAAACATTTCTGAAATCTATGCAATTTAATTGTATATTTCTGGCACAGTAGAATCATAAGCAAGCATTCTAATTCCTTTATTTTTCAAAATTTTTATCAATACTTTAATTGCTTCATTAGAAATTTGATTTGTTTCTTGCTTAACTCTTTCATAATCCTCCATTTTATAGTATTCATATTCGAATTCTTTGTAAATAAGAAGAAGGGATCTCTTGATATTGTGTAAATTTAAGACATTATTTGACCACTCATAATCTAGCAATTTTTTTACTAAATCTGAATTAAAAAAATGGTTTTCTTAAAATTATTCATTCTTGCTAAAAAACCAAATTTATTTTTATTTATTATTATCTAAATTTTTTGAGTATGATTTTATATTAACGCTAGTATTTTATTAGTGCATTACTATATTACTTTTAAAATATTTCAATTAAAATCTTGTCTTTTGTTTTTTATTTATAATATTTTAAAATCAAGCAAATTATGAGTATAATTGATAAATAATCAATATCATCTATTTATTTTTGATAATTTGCAAATCTTATAATTTATGGCTTTAAATTTCTGAAAATTATAAAAGATTTTCTTATCTTAACTTTTCTTCATCAAAATCAAATTACTATTAAATTAAATAGCAATCAAAAATACAAATAAACTTAATCACAGAAGACTACCAAAAATATTTTTTATTATATTATCTAAAATATTTTTTTAAAAACATATATAATAATAAAATAAAAAGTAGAAAATCCTAACAAAAAACTAAAATTTTTTTATTTGAAAAAATGTAAAAAACTCTAACTTTCATTTAAATATTAAAATATATAATTTAAAAGACTAAAACATAGTTTATTCGGGGGGGGGGTAGATAGAGGGGATTGGCATGATCCCTTATAACTTCCATTTTTGACAAATTGAATATTTAAGAGGGATTAAAAAGCTCAATCCCTTCTATCTACCCCCCCCCCGTTTATTCTGTGAAAAATTTGATTTTTTACTGAATTCGTATTTAGCTTTAAGGAAAAACAATTAAAAAATATTTTAAAAAGCTTAACCTGCAAATAATCTAACTCCAATTTTTTTATATTTATTGATATATTTTTTTATTTAAATGAACTTTTTTTTAAAATTAAAAAATATCAATTAAGTATTACTTAATAAAATAAATTGTTTAGATTATTATAATTTTAATTGAGATAGTTAAATTTTTTGTAATAATATAATTAATTGCTTATTCAAAGTGCAAGAATATTTTTAAATTTGAAATAGATTTCTGATCAATTAATATTTGTGACTATTTTTAATACTTTAAAAAGCAAAGATTATAAAGAAGACTTATTACAATTACAGCATAAATAATTATTTATTTAATTTATTAATTAATTTTTGATATAATCAACTAAACTTGACTTGTATAGTGAGTGAGTGATACTACTAAAATAAAAAATTATACAATTAAAAATAAATTAAATCTTTTAATCAAAGTTAGAATTAAATATAGATTATTTGTTTGATTGATTTCTTGATAAATAAACATGCAGCATTTTGAAAAATATATAAAATTCAAATAAATTCATTTTTTAGTAAATAATAAAGTAGTTAACAGCCTTGAAAACTATGCTTTGGACTCAAGCTTTAAAAATTTTAAAAGTTAAGTGAATCAATTACTTAATATTGATATCACTGAGTATATCATATCTCTTTAATCTTCATCAGAAGGAAAGAAAGATAGTAAAGAAAATATAAATTAACAGCAAGATTACGAGTCTTATATTCATAAAGCTCATATTTAAGATTCAGGAACAATTCATGTCTACTTAGATAACTAAAAGCTTCAAGTGAGTAACCCTAATAAAGAGATTTTAGATTCTTGCTTCGAAGACTATTAAAAAGTAAATGAAAGTTTTGAATTTTAGCCAGATGAAAACATAAAAACTTAAAATCAGTAAACCAATTTAAATTAAAAATACGATGCATCAGAAGCTATTATTGAAACAAGCGAATTGTCAATGGTTAATCCTAGTATAGTTCTTTCTTAGTTACATTCTAAACAAAGAAGCTCAGAGTATGATTCTAACAACTTTAATGGAAATATAAAAAAGGCAAGTATCTCTAATCTTAATATTTTAACTACTAAAAGCAATGAAAAGCTCACTTAGTCTAACGAAGTAGCTGAAATTCCTGAAATTTTTTAAGAAATAAAAAACTAGGATTTTTTAGAAAACATCATAAACTATGAAATCATGAGATAAATATTAAATACCTTTCCCAAGCTTTAGCCAGATAACATTGAAGATGACATTAAAATAAAATAGCACATTGCTTATCTTTAGCAGTAAAACGCAGCAAGTAGAAGAAGCACCAGTCCCTAACCTAAGCAATAAAAAAAAAATGACCTTAGTCAAAGCATAGTAAATTAATACTTAGAAAGTTTTTACATGAAAAGTTTTAATTCTATCAAAATATATCTAAGTAAGTAATAATAATTTATATTTATTTTGATGATAATTTTAGGTTTTATCCAATTATAAGTGCAATATTTGCAGAGAGCAAATTGAAAATGTTAGATTTCACTGCTTGGTCTGCAAAAATACAGACCATTGTGAAAACTGCTAACGTGAAAAGCGTGGAGACCATAACCATCCTTTCATGAAGTATAAAAATGTTACTAATGTTACAAGCAATAAATTAAATAAATCCCAAAGACTTTTTAACAATTAAATGATGAATAACTTGGGAAACAACTTAGCTTCATAAGAAAATTTTGCAGCCCCAAACAATGTTAGTTTCCCTTTTTCGTAAATTGTAAGAAATACAACAGGTCCTTTTGGTAATATTTCATCAGCTACACAATCTGCAATAAAAACTCCTCTCCTCACATCTAATAGTAATGTTTAATCTGGTGTATTTAATTTCTAAAATTTGTAAAAATCAAATATCTCTTCTCTTGCATAAACTATGCCATCAGCTTAGAGATAACAACAGTCTTAATTTTATTAGTTTTAATAATAGCCCTAATAGCAACAAATGTAAAATTAATTTTTCAATCCCCTTTAGCAAAGCTAAAACCTTAATATTCCACTGCCTTACACAAAAGAACACTTCTTCAACGAAATGTTCACTAATTAAGTAACTAGCCAAACGTATAATCAGAGTAACATACCTTAGTCTAATATGTAAAAAGCTTTATTTCAATAATATTAATTTTAATTAAAAAACTTTAAAATGCTTTTCAAAAGTTTAATTTCTTTTCATGAGAATTTATGAAACATTTTAAAAACATAAATGTAATAAAATATTATTTGTTTTGCTCATTTAAAAATGGAAAATATTATTTAAATAACGTCTAATTTAATATTGATTGATTTATTTTAAAATAGAAATAGTGCTCTATTTTAGTTGAATAACTAAATAAATTAAACAAATTTTAGTTCAAATAGTTCGAATCAAAATAGTAGTGAAAATTTAACAAGTTAAATAAAAATTATAAATCTCTCTTAAAACCAAACTATCAGAGTAGCTAAGGGATAGTAGTTTACAGTAACTTTTATGATAAAAAATTCAAGCTAAATTCAGTTCCCAGAAGGCACAGTAATTAAAGGTAACGGATCATTTAAACACGTTTAGTAGAGAATAAATCCTTTAAAATATGATGAAATAGATGAAATTAAGCTAGAGTTGAAAGCTCCTACTAATCAAACAGATGCATTCTAATATTTTAAAATAACTTTTCCAAATGGCATGGAATATCCATTAAGATTATCTTTTGAGCTTTAACTCCTATGAGTAAATAAATCAATACATAATTTTGATTAGTTTTTAATTCGAGATAGTTTTTTTTAAGTTCTAGAACTATTTTTCATTATATTTGAATGTAATTAAATAAATTTCATGTATGTTGTATTTGATTTGATTTATGATTATTGCTTTTATGATTTAATTTGAGGATTTGTCTATTCGTAAAGAGTTTTTTTGTATAATTAATTAATAGTAAAAGTGAGATACTTAATTAAAATTAAATTAAAAATAGTCAGAAATGTAGATTAATTACATCAATTAAAGATACATTAAACAAAAATAAATAGGAGGTGGCTAATATGGAAAAGTATTTGAAGCAAAAGATAAATAAAATGTCTTCTAGAATATCGCAATAAAATAAGTTAATCTTTAATATGTAAGGCCTAATGAAAAAGAAATTTGGAAGTAAATAAAAGGTTAATATGTTGTAGAATTGTATGATTGTGTATAAGATGAGTAAAATATGTATTTCATCATGGAAAAATGTGAAGGTGGAAATTTGCAAAAATATATAGAAGATAGCTCTAAGCAAGCTAATAAATAACTTACTCAATATCAAATTTTAGATCTATTTTATAAAATAGTGAAAGGATATAAAGAGTCCTTGTATGAAAATAATATTATTCATAGAGATTTAAAACCTGAAAACATAATGATCCATGAAGGGAATCCTAAAATAACAGATTTTGGGATGACTTTAAAATATATTAATCCATATGATATGATTTAATTCTCTGTAGCAGGTAAATATACTTAAAAAAAAATAAATTATCATTAAATATGTATTGAAAAATGAATGTTGTAGGTACTCCAAAATATGCTCCACCTGAGGCTAAATCAAGTGACAAATTAGGAAATTACATATTCGATATTTACAGTTTAGGATGCATTTTATATTTTTGCCTATACTCAAACACGCCATAAAGTCCTACAACTTATAATCAATTAAATGAATTTCATGAGTGTTTAAAAACTTAAGGACCTTTAGCTATTGCATTTCCTAATAGAAATGTAAATGGGACTGTAGAAATTGTAGATTAACCAATCAAAGATTTAATATAAAGAATGATTGTTTATCAATAAAATTAAAGACTGACAATAGATGAAGTATTAAATCACCCAGCTTTCATGAGAAACACTTTTCTCAATAATAGAATTTTAATTACAAGTAATTTAAACTAAATCCAAAGGCTCTTGGATAATAAAGTAAAAGAATATATTTAGGATAAAAACATAGCTTATGAAAAAATATTTACTAACTCATCAATAACGATATAGGTAAAGTAACATTAAATAAATTATAAAATGACTTGCTTATATTTTACCAATAAAATTAAAGTATTTATTTTTATTTATTTATTTAATAGGAAATTCGATATCAAGAGTTAATTGATAAATATTTTCAATTCATCTTTAACTCTACTAAATTTACTTTGTTAGTATTAAACTAATTTGTTTAAAATTTTACAAGAATAGAAACTAATCAAGAGAGCGATTACATAATACTACACTTTGTGTTCTATGTTGATATTACATTTAATTACTTATTAGATCTATTGGATGAATCTTGTACAACTATCCCAAAATGCTTAAATATTTTAGAAAACTCATATCTTAAATATAAAAAATCAAATAGGATGAAAGAAACAAAGTAAATGATAATTAAAGAACATTACAAATGGAAGGATTTATATAAATAGCTAATAAGTGAATTGTAATCAAATTATGATAAATTTCACTTAAATTCTTAAAATGTATATTAGTCTTTCAGTCATAAAATGTATTATCAAGCTCTTTATTAATACTCCCAATAACAATAGTTCAATGGAGATTACTGCGAAAGAATCTTAAAGAAAATTATAAAGGAGTATTTTAGAAAGTATCCTAATTATATGTCTTAAGAAAAAATGGAGTTGCATTAGGGCTTGATTCTCATACTTACTTTCTTAGATAAAAGTAAAGAAATAAATTCTAATTTTGAAAACTTCTCTTTTTCTTCCTATTATGATTGGCTTCAGAAGGCTAGCTATGATTAGGAAAAGTTTAAATAAAAAATTTTTACTGATAGTGAATGATTAATTTATTGATTGATTGATTTAGTTTGCTTGCTTGCTAGTTTGTTTGATTGATTGATTGACACGTAAGCTAAAATATTTAAATTTATCAATTTATACTATTTATATTCATAATACTAATTTAATTAATATTTATTCAATTATTTATATAATTTACAAGTCAAATTTATATGATCATACATACATACATTCATTCAGTCAGTTACTCACACACTACTGGTTTTATTTTATTTGTTTTGTCGAAATATTTATTAAAAAACTTACGAAATTCATAAAGTTATAATTTTTGTTAAAAAATATTTTAAACACAAAAATAAAAGAAAGAAATGTTAATTTATATAATTTATATTTATTTATTTATTTATCTAATAGCTCTTTAAAAATATGTCTCATCTATTAAATTTAAGGTGAAAAACATAAACTAATAGAATACTATAAATTGATTTTGCTACCAAATTGATATATAAGTTAAAATTATTTAAAGCCATTAATTTATATTAGGGGTAAGTTAGAGTCTAAAAATTTTAACTTTATGAAAATATTATTTCTGATCTAATTCCACCTATGATTACTGTAAAAAGTATTTATCTTCAATACCTACTAAGAATATTAAAAACTTACAAATTTCATTTTTAATTTACTAATATCATACATACTATTTGTATTAATAATCTAATTTAATTAACATGTACTGAAATATTTTAAAGCTTTTAAGTCAAATTTATATTTATTAAATTTTGATCATATATTCATTTAGGTACTCAATACTGATTATTTATATTGTTTCTTTGTCTAAACAATTATTAAAAAGTTTGCAAATTTAATAAAAATATATAATTTATTTTTAAAGACTTTTAAACATAAAAAATAGAAAAAACAAGCTTTTATTGATATCATATTATTTAATTCGCTATACTATTTATAAATCAGTTTCATCTTTTAGATCTAAGATGAACAAATGTACGATAATAGAAGGCCTTTAGAGTTACTTTTAAATATTCTATTCTTCCTGTTGTTCTTCCCTTTTATACTTTTACCAAATTTCTATTTTTATCAGCAATAACTTCATAATTATAGGAATACTCAAAAGGATTTAGAATTTCATCTCTTGTTTTATTTTCAAAGATTCCAAATAATTCAATAGAGCAATAAATAGAGATATAAAATAGGGCAAACAAAACACCTAAGTAAATTAGACTATGGAAAATACCTAGTTTTGACCAAATGTGATATGGTATTTCAACGTATTTAAAAATTAACCACGACTAAAGCATAGGACCAAAGTTTGTATTCTATACTACTACAAACATAAATAGAGAAACCCACAAAGAAAAGATGTGTAATAAGTATAAAAGATGGTTTTCAGCACAGATGCATGTATTAAAAAGAATCGAGTGGAATTGATAATAAGGAACGCATACTTTACATATATAGCAATGCTTAGTTTTTTCTGGTTTGTATTTTAAGCAACTACCGCAAAGTCTTTTGAAGTCTACTTCACCAAGGCTTGTAAAGTAGTTGTTTTCAAAAAGAATTGCAATTTGATGAATAAAAGTGAGGTGGTTATATGCAGATTTTTGAGTTAGTCCAACTGAAGCTTCTTCATCAGCATGGTCAGTTATAGTAGTTCTATTCAGTTCTTCTTCTTAATTAACTGTGGCTCTGAATTATGGTGAGTCTTAAAGAATACGATCTATATGTTTAAAATTCATTCTCTAATAAATTCTTTCAAATTATTATTTATCGCTTAAGATTCTACTCATATAAGGAGGAATATTTCTTTATTCTTCTAAAATTAGCTAGTTTTTACGATCTATTGCACTATCATCTACGACATAAACTCCTTTGTTACGATTTTTGTAACTAACCATAGTGTTGCAAAAGCGTATTGAAAATGCCAAATATATGAAGTTGAAAATGAAGAAAATAATGTTATAAAAAAATGATAATGAGCTTATCTGTGCATCTTATGATAGAGCATAATTTTTTTGATTATAAATAGATCTGAATGCTGAATAAAACAAAATACCAGCAGTAAAAAGGAAAAAATAAGTAGCAGGATGTATACCTAATTCTTCTCCTTTCGAGCACTATAAACTCCACCATGCAAAAAGTTTATTGTACCACTTCTGTTTTTCAGTTTTTATCATATTGAGATTGTGGCGAATAGAAATACTGGGGATTTTATAGGAAATTCCATCACTTTCTAATTCATCGGGATCAGGAAGTTATTCAGGATTACCTAATCTAGCAAGATAATCAACAGTTTCGTAAGAAATACCCATAATAGAACGTTGCAGAGGAGTGAAACCTTGGTTATCAGCAGTAAACATATCTAAATTAAGAGAGTGGAAAACTTCCATTAAGAATCTATTTCCCTTATAAGCATTCCAATGAACAACGGAAGAACCATTCATATCTGCATCACGTAAATTAGCACCAAGATAAATTAAGTAAAATAAAATATGCAAATTTTAATTTTAAACACTGTATAGCATGGCTGAAAATTAGAAAGCATCTTTGGTTGCAAAACAAGCTCCTTTATCTATCAAAATCTTAAAAATTTTATTGAAACTATGCAATTTAAGCACTTTCCTAATTTCTTCACTATCTTCATCAAATTTTTTTTTAATATTTGGTTCTTCATTTTAATTATTCTAAGATTTTCCTCCATGTGCTGCCATCATTAATGCAGTTCTTTTACAACCATCCTATAAATTTACATCAGCTCCGTTGTTTAAAAGGAATAAAACCAATTCCTTTTCATTACCGAGAACAGCATTATGTAATAAAGTCATTCCGTACTGATCTCTTGAGTCAATATTCTTGTATTTCATCTTTATAGCTAGTAATCCTGTAATGTAATTTCCTAATAAGCTTTCTTGTTTCACATCAATAATTTTGCGAAAATTAATTTAATATTTCTGATTTAACTCCTCCATTTATCTCTAAAACTCTGCTTATCTTTTTTACATTTCCATCATATATTCATATTATCTTTAAGCAGAATAAGTATCAGCATCTATACTACTTTCATTTATTTAATTTGCTTAAGTTTGTTTTTATTCATTTTATGTTTAGTCTTACTAGTTATTGTTTAGCTATTAACTTTATTATTGCTATTAAACATTGTTTTAAATACCAGCATTTTCCTGTTGGGAGAGAAGTGTTTGTTAACTTGGTTTCTCTTCTTCTATTTTTTCTTGATTGATAATTTAATTGGAATTTTGTTTATCCAAATCAGCATCTTAAGATGAATCCTAATTTTGAGATTAAGCCTGGCTTAGAATTTCTTCTTTGACTTGCTTTTCCTAAATGCTATCATTTTCATGTTAATTTTCTCCTAATTGCTAATCCTAATTTTAATTTTATTCTTATTCGATACTTAAAATCTATTATTGCTAAGTATTATCTTCTTCATTTTATGATTGCAATTATTAATCATCTTTAATCTAACTTATATTGTCTTTTTCACACTACTAATCATTTTCTTTACAAGAAACTACTTCTTACTGTAATTCACCTAAATTTTCATTATTTTAAACGATTTGTGTATTTTTTTAATCATTGTTTTCATCTTCATCTTCATGTTATTCATTAGATTTTACATCACCCTATTAAATATTCTCAACCATCATTTAGCTATCTTAGCTCTATTGTCTATAAATTTTATGAGGTTCTGAAGAAGAATCTTGCTAAGGAGATTATATATCTACTTTGTTTACTGATTCGTTTCTAGAATCAATATTATTGCCTTATGAAAACTCTTCAATAGCATCTATTATTTAATTTTCTTTTAAAAAACATAAATCTCAAAATAAATAAACCATACTGTTCTAATAATTGTCCTCCAGATCGTTATTTTTTATGAGAACATCAGGGCTTGCAAATGAATTAATATTGTGATCACCTATTTTATCTATAAACTCCACTGATTGAGTGTCCTAATTATTATTATTACTACTTGAATCTGACATTTTAAACAAGTGATTTTAATTAGATATTTCCAAAAAATGTTAAATAATTTATCTTTTTGATAAGAAATATTAATTTCGAGAGAATTTAAAAAATATATATAAATTTTTAAATATGAATTTTATCAAAATTTAATGTTATAAATAATTTTGAATTTAACATATTACCAACAAAAATCTTTCTCTTAAAAGAATTAAGTTACTTTTTAACTCAAATATTCTTAATATTATTTTATGTATTCAATAATCTATATAAAATAAATTATTTATTTTGTATTTTATTAATGATATATAAAGAAATTTTTTTAAAATTAAATATTTTTTGTTTATTTAGCTAAAATTTTAAGCTAATCATTTAAACTGAGTAAAATTTCCTTGTCAAATATATTTAATTTAAATTTTCTCTTTCTTGAATTTTTAATATTTGTTATTTATAACTCGTATTTATTAAAAAAAGAAAATACTTTTAGAAACCTTATTAAGTTCTACAAATAGAAAAGGAATAGTTATTGAAATAGAATAAAATTTTAAATCAAGTATATTTTAATTTTTTCTTTATATTTGAAAATTAATAAACCTTTGAGATATATTATGTCTTGCATTTTTAAGCTTATCTTTTTATTATTTTTGAAAAAACATTTGTAAACTCCAAATAAAAAAAGGAATAGATTATTGTAGAAAACAATATATTTTTTAATCGATTACATTTTAATTTTATCTTTTTTTTGATACAAAAAATTAAACATTTTTTTTTAATTTATGACAAGCATGAAATAAAATAAATGAGTGTTCACCTTAGGACCTTAGGAAAAAAAATTTTTAATAAAATATAAAATTTGAGGTTTCGATTTGTATTAAAATACGATAATTAAAAATAAGTTTGACCTTAATATTTTTTTATTAAAATTATTAACAAAAAATAAGAAAATATTTTTGGATATGTAGAGAAACTCCATGAAAATCAAAAGAACATTTATTTATATATTTATTCTACAATTGGAGTGTTACAATTTATTAAATAAATTGAGAAAAATAATTTTGAAAGTATTGATGGATGGTAAATTATTGATATTGTAAGAGTATTAATAAAAGTACAATTAAAAATTAATTTATATTTTCATTTTAAGAATTATTTATTTACTAAATTAGAATTGATATATAAGATCTCATTTTTAACTTTCGTTCCTTCTAGATTTTGTTTATTATAAGGTAATATTTTATCTAGTTACTATTTATTATTATTTAAGGCCTAATTTATTTCATTTTTTTTAAGTTTAAGTTTTAAATTGTATCCAGATTTTCCATTCTTAAAGAATTAACTAACTCCTTACAAGGTACTTCTTTCTTTTGAAGAGAATGGTCTGAATAAGGGTATGTTTTGATTCTTTTATGGAGCATTATTATTATTTGAAGATTTATCATGCTTTAAATTTAATTCAGTCTTTGATGAGCTATTAGAGTTTACTTATTAGGGTTTTTTAGCAGTTTTTGATCTCATCTGCATTTTAGGCTTGAAAGCTAAGTGCTCAGGTGCTAAAAGTTGTTAGCTTACAGGTCTGTGTTGAGTTAGCTATTAATTAAAAGCTTATTATAACGAAAACATTTTTTGCTAAGTGCATAAAGGGACAAGAGGCACAAAAGTGTTTGCTATTTCAAAGTCAGATGGCCTTTTAGAAAATAAATCAAAACCAAAGAATTAATTTTGAGAAGGATGCTTTTAAATTGTATTTGTAGAATGCTTTGATTAGGCTTGAGAGTATTATGATTTGGCTGACTAAACCCTTTATTGTTTAAGTGGTGAAATATACTCTTCAGGTTACTTGCTTTACTTATTTTACTCATTATCTAGATTGTTTATGTTTATTTATCCTCTTTAAGATCCTATGCACGAAGGACTAGTAGGATCTGAATAATTTTCGAAAGATTCATTATCAGAATCTTTAAAATGTGTTAAGCTTTTGGCAAAATTAACTCTACCAGTTAATGGTCTAATGTTAATAATAGGCTATTTAGTCTCGACTTAATCTAAATTAAATTGTATGTTGTTCATACTACCAATTATTTTTTTTTTCTCACTTGTTTATTTAACAGGAGAAGACTATATACTGTTTTAAAGAGTCACATGGGATGAGAGTGGCCTCATACTAGATTTCTTTTTATTAATACTGGAAAGCTAGTTGCCTTCAAGCTTTAAAGGAGAATCCAATTATGCACTATCAAGCCTACTAATTTAGTTAGATGAGAGATTTGTGGAGCTAAATGATGGCCATATTTTTTCAGCTTATTGAATCATTTACTTAATAACTTCTTTTTGTTAATTAGTCTATCCATTTGGGAGCTATTAAGCAGAATGTATTTTATTCAGCACTTATATTTAAGTGTTTTCTAGTTTAAATTAATCTTGTTATTCTTCTTCTTTGCGTTTTTAAATTTTTTACATAACATTTTTTATGTGAGAACTTTGGCTCTCTACTACGTTTTAATTGGATTCTTTTAAATAGTCTATGTATTTCTTTTAAGGAAGGCGCTGAATTTTAAGTTTTTCACTAAGTTCTTCATGAGAGATCTGTCCATTATAGACGGTTTCTTCAAGTTTGAAAATTTTCATTTGCTTCTATTGCTAATGGAGGATATTCATTTTAGCATGAAGCTATTCCCTTAAAGGATCAATTTATGGATCATAATGGTAATCTATATTTTGCATAGATCTACTAGAAGGAAGCATTGATTAAGGCTATGATGAAGACTGCTAAGTCTATGAATTGTTGTAGTAAGCCATATTCTTTTAATTTAAATTTTTTGTTTCGATATCCTGTGCAATTTTTTTCAATATATTAAGCTTCTCATGTTTTAAAGGGGAGCAGTTAGAATCTTATTTCATAAGCTAAACACAGCTTTCAAAAACTACATTTTCATCTATTTAATTCTATTAATTTAAGAAATGATTATCTATTTACTTTAACGAGCTGTTTAAGTTTTATTATGTAAGAGCTAAGTTAGCTTCGCTTGATTTGTGTGAAATCTAAAATTATGGAATCTAAGTTAAGGAAACATCTGGCAAATTAGCCTAAGAGAATACTCTTGTATTTGATTTCATGAGCTGTTTTTTGATTCCATTATTACTTGTATTTTATTCCTTTTTTTATGATATGAATTATGTTTAAGAAGGTTCATCTACATCCAAACTATTTTCTCTTGATTTTTAGATATAATAATTATCTAAATTAGTCATAGATTCCATATTTCTTCTCAGTTTAATTTTTCTATCATCACCCACCAAATAGCTTGAGTAGGCATGCAATTATCCTTCAATATTTTAAATTCTATTTTGTAAGTTTTGTAATTTTTTTTAACATCTTTCTTAAATATATTTTCTTGTATTTGTATCACTCATAACTTTATTTAAAAATTAATCTTTTTTGATCATAAGCAACTCTCCTGTCACTGTCTTACACTAAACTCCAAAAGTTCTATTTTCGCTCATAAGCAAATTTTCTTCTCCAAACAACTCATTTTATCCTAAAACAGTCAGCTAAATTAAATTAAAATATATTATTTAATTTTATACTTCATAATAAAATTATATTACTGTCATCTTTTTAAACTTCTTATCTTGCTTGTTAGCATTTCTATAGTACAAATTCATTTCTGGTGCAATAATATCTTTATTTAATTTATGCTGGTCGCTTTCTTCATGACAAAATTATTTGAATAACTTAAATTAATTTAAAAAATATTTTAAAAAAACGATAATTCATTAATTAAACAGTTAAAAAATTAAAAATTAAAAATAAATTATCAAAATTAAAGGGAAAATAATATCATTTCATTCATTCATTTATTCTAAATAAATCTATTAAAATGGATTTATTAATGTAATGAATAGCTTTCTTCAGCTGTAAAAATAAGAAAATGAGGAAAACATGAGTTATTATACAAATTTGAATTCAGTAGATTGAATAAATGATTAAATATAGTTCTATTTTTTCTATTATTTTTTGAATTTTTTTGATTGGATAACCTTTCTTATATAGACAATGAGTGAATGAATGAATTCGATACAAAAACTTAATTTAATGGACTGATTTATGCTAAATTAATTATATTTTGATATTATTTAAAATTATGGTATTAGATCTATCTTAATAAATTAAAGCTCTTTTTACTAATTATTAAGGATAGCAAAAATAAATAAATCAATCAATAATAATATTACAACAAACTCTCCTGATTTAATGATAAAAACGGAGTCACTTACATCTCCTTCGTTAAATATTATTTCTTTATTAATACATTTCAGTTTAAAAGTATTGAGATAAATGTCTCTAACAAGATTGAAATTTTATCCTTCAAAAAAGGGTAGAGTGGTGAAGTATTACATTTCTTTAACTAGTTAGGCTTCTTCTTTTTCCCTCAAAATGGTCCTAAATTCTTTCTTTTTTAACACAGCCAAGTGAGTTTTTTCTAAAGTTCTAATTGTAGCCAGTCTCGGACGGTTATATATAAGTGATAGCTCACCAAAACTGTCACCACTTTCTAGTACCTTAACTAATTTTTAGAGCTTAGGAGGCTCCTAGTTTTATTATTATTCTCCTCCCTCTTAATTTTCATTATTTTCCTTTGTAAAAAGTTATTTATAATTAACAAATAGTCTATGTATTATTTATTATATGTTTCTTTGATAAAAATAAATAATATATATTACTTTTTATTCTACTTCTAAAACTGGTTATGAATCATTACGAACTATTTTATTTTCTTCTAAATTGCCTACTATGTTTACATAAACACCCACTTACCCCTCAAGTATAACGTAAAAAGTTTCACCGATAGTACCTAAATAATTTAACATCTTAAAAACCTACATGCATAAATAATATAGTACCTTAAGCAAATATCTCCTAATCAGCTTCTATTAACTCATAAGTCATCTCTTCTAAGCATTCTTAGCACACACTTTCCCAGCCATTTTCAATATATTTTTAGAAAAAAGGAACCTATTTTATAACTTATAGCAGCTATTCCATTTAGCTCCTCTTTCTAAGGTTGTGTGGGATATTAAAAAAATTAATTGTTTTCTATTAATATTATTATTAAAATGGTGATTAAATTATCAAAAGAAAGGGCAAAAGTTATTTGTGTTTACTTATAAATCTGGTAGTATCTTTTTTACTTTTTAAGGTTTAGAAAACATTTTCAAAATTCTTAAATTTGCTACAAAAATGAAAGAAGTTTTTTGTTTATTTTTTACTTTTTATTAATAATAAACTTTCTAAAAAAAAATATTAATCCATAAATTTCTGATTAAATAATAAGAAAATCAGTATCTCTAAATATCTCAACCAGTTAATTGATTTATTTAATTCCTTAGTATTGCTAGTAGCTAAAGCAAAAGCCAATAGTCCAGTTCTTACAAAAATAGTTAGTAGCAGATGAGATTCAATTTACTCCCAAATTTTTATACTTCGTGAATATTTTACTGGCATTTTTTTAAAAATATATTTTTGAGGATTTTATTTATAAATACATAAATTTGGTATCTTTTTTTATAGATTAATGTAAAGATACTATGGTGGTATCTATTATCAAATCAAATTTTTATTTAGAAATAATTAAATTTATTAATTTGTAAAAGAAAAATAAAATTTGTTAGGTTTAATTATTATTTTATATTTCTAAGATAATTAACTAAATTAATAAAATACTAACAAGCATTTTTAGTTTAAATCTTAAAATAAATTATTCACACTATTTGTAATATTAGACTTAAAAACTATTAAAATCGACTAATTCATACTTTAATAAAAATATTAATTAATATCAATTTCATTTTTTTTAAATATTTATTAAATATTAAATTTATCTTTTTTTTACATAAAAATTTTAACATATCCTTGGATCCTAACAATTTTGGTTATATTAATACAAATAAATAGTAAGAGTGAAAAAATATATAGATATTTTTCTTTTATTACTTATTAACTGGTTAGTAGAAAGAAAATTAATCATATTTTTAGATAATTAGATATATTAATGTCGCATTAATTTTTTACAAATAAAATAATTCTTTAACTTGTGAAATATATATATTAGATTAACTTTTAGTTTTTATACACATAATTTTGATAAAAGGCTCTATTATTGAAAAAATTATAAAAACAAAATTTGGTCATTTTAGATTGATCATATTTTGCCATAAAAGAAAGAGAAACGCGGTTGGTAAAAGGATTTAAAATTTAATATTTTTTTGAGACTTTTAGTAATAGTACTATTGTAAATTTGTAAAGAATTTAATTTCAGTAAAAATAGTTATTAGCTGATTAATTTTAAATTCCTTATATACCACCAGTACCGCCTACATCTTTTTTGATGTTATCAGGAGACTCCATAAATATATTAAAGAACCTATTACCGTGCTCATCTATTTCTAAAATTGAAGCTTTATTTTCTATATTAAACAAAATAAATTTAATTATTAAATTAAATATAAATTTAGTTAAAATTCAAATCTAATTTAAGTATTACTGAATCTGTACATGTAGTTCGGGGCGCTCCATACAGTAGATAACTTATCATCAAATAAAACTTAAAAACCATCTGTACATAACTAGTGAGCTCTGGCCAAATGAATTAAGCCATTAACATGGAGGAATTTTTCAACAACATCTCCTCCAAATAAGAAACCAGCACCTCTATTTAATTTTTTAATTCAATTTGTAATTTATTTATTTGGAATAATTAAATTAACTGAATTACCTTTCACTTAGCATAAAACCTGTGTGATCTTTATCACTTGAAGGATCAGACCACATTAAATCAGTATAAGGCCCTTCTCTTGGTATTTCTTAAAACCTGTCTAGCATTGATACTTCTTATATGGTTTCTATGTTAGGAGATAAACCTCCATGAACACAAAATATAGAAGTGTCTATTATACATCCCAAAGGAAGAAAATCAAATGCATCTGTGTAATATTCCCAAATCTTAGAACCATCTCCATATTTTTAAATACATTCCACTTAAAACCCATAATTCTATTTTGATTTTAAATTAATAAAAACCTCTATTAGATATTTCTTTATATATTTAATACTTATGTAACAGATCTTGTCTCATGATTTCCTCTAATCAAAGTCATGCGTTCAGGATATTTTAATTTAAGTAGAAAGAGTAACGTAATAACTTCCACACTATAATAGCCTAGTAATTTTATATTTATTGAATCATTTTAATATTTATTGTGCATTTATAATTATTATTTCATTTACCTCTATCTACATAATCTCCTAACCATAAATAATTCGTATAAGGGGGATCACCTCCTACTCTAAATATCTCTTACACATCATAAAATTATCTTTTTATAAAATAATACACATATCAATAATTTGCTTTTCTATAATTTCTAAAACTTATACCCATGAACATCTCCAACCAAAGTTACAGGAGCTCTAATTCTTTTTACATTATCTTCATTGACAAATATTTCTTTGATTTTCATACAAAGTAATTTAATTTCTAATTCTTTAAGCTTTAATCCTTCTTTAGCTCTTTCTAGGCACTTATCAAGATCAAATCCCATAATTTAGCTGATTTAAGTTATAAATTGGTTTTAATTTTTTTTAAATACTATTTTAATATCTATATATGACTTTCAAACTTATTATGTATATTTAATTTAAAATTTTTGAATTGAAAAATTCCGCACAATTATATTAATTTTTATGGTACTAAATAATCAAAACTATTTTTAATTTCAAAAAATCTTACAAATTCTATTAATAAAATGAATAAATTATAATTATTCGATAAAAAATATGTATAATGTTTTAAACAAAATTATTTTTATTTATTTATAATTTTATTAAATAGTTTAAAGAGAAAGTGTAATATTTTTATTTAACTTTAAATGTTAGATTAATTAAAAAAAATACATTTTAAAAACCATTTCATTCAAAAATAAATATCCAACTTTATATCTAAGTATATCTATCAATAAGTTTTTTTTAAAAAGATTTAATTTTGTGGTTAGGTTTTAGAGAATTAAAATGTATTATATAAGCAATTTAATTTGTAACATCTTTGTTTAAATAAATGTATTATAATTTTGATAAATCTTTTATTTGTAATTATAATATTTTCTCATCATTAGAGATTTATTATTTTTATTTATTTATAATTTTATTAAATAGTTTAAATATAAAGTGTAATATTTTTATTTAACTTTAAATGTTAGATTAATTAAAAAAAATACATTTTAAAAACCATTTCATTCAAAAATAAATATCCAACTTTATATCTAAGTATATCTATCAATAAGTTTTTTTTAAAAAGATTTAATTTTGTGGTTATGTTTTAGAGAATTAAAATGTATTATATAAGCAATTTAATTTGTAACATCTTTGTTTAAATAAATGTATTATAATTTTGATAAATCTTTTATTTGTAATTATAATATTTTCTCATCATTAGAGATTTATCGAATAAATTTAAAATGCTTAATAACTTTGGCATCAGAAATATTAAATATATTCTAAAAATATCTTTACATTAAAAAAATAGTAATAAATTATTTAAATATTTTCAATTACAAGTTTTTAATTTATTTTATTAATAAATTAAACATTTTCCTTAAATTAAAAATTGAATATTTTAAAATATATTTAATTTATAATAAAATTTTGGTATCTTGCTTAAAAAATAATTAAATCAACTAAAAAATTTTATCAATTAAAATTTAAAGGAGATATTAATATCAGCAATCAAAGAGTTTCTTTTTTGTCTAATTTTTTGTCATAAGTATGAAAAAATGCAAAAATAATTAGCAAAATATTATTTATATTTATCGAGTAATTCATCAAGCTAAAAAGTGGATAAAAATATTTTTTATAGAAAGGAATATAAAAAAATCAACTTTTTGGTTTGTTGTAATGGACAACTTTGAACGTTGCATTCAAAATAATTAAAAAAAACTATTACTCATAATTTTAATTTAGTAAATTTCATTTCAAAATTAAATTGCCCAATTAGATCTGTTAAATTTCAAATTTTTTATAAGATATCACAAATTTGAATAGAATAAATAAATCAAATATAAGTATTACTGCAAGTAACTTAATTTTATAAAATATCAAAATAACAATTGCTAAGTTTTGGCAAAAAATATAAAATGGAGATGAAAACAATAATAAAAAGCGAATTAGATCGCAAAAACTTAATATGGGAATCAATAAAGGATTTAAAGAAGAATTTAAATAGCTCCTATTCTACTAACACATCTGCATACAATACATAGCGCTCTCTTAAGCCTAATAGTCAGTCTTATCAATATCCTTCTAATAACGAAATGACTGAGAGATGCAATTAAGATTAAGAAATTCAAGAATCTAATAATAATAATAAATTTAGGTTATCATTTAAATAAAAAGAAAATGCTTATTCTTCAAATCACAGCTAAGAAGAATGTCATTTTTCTAAAATTGATACTAATCTTTTAGAAATTCCATAGGTAAACGAGTAGAGCTTTTCTACTAAAAATTCTAATGAAGATAATGCTGAGGAATTTAATGAATTTAGAAGAGTTCCGTCTCAGATAAAAAAGCTCGTCGAAGGCTAAGAAGATAATTAAAATGAATACAGAAGATACAGTCAAAACTCAGAAAAAAAATAAAATTATGAGAAAAATTTCAATGAGTAAATGACAAATATGACAAATAATAATGATACTAATTAATAATTTAAAAATAATAATCTACAGAATATTAATAAATCAATCTAATTAGAAGGATCATACACAGCTCATTCAAATAATTAAGAATAAGATGGATATATTTAATAAATATCTCCATTTAGAAAGTAAAAAAATGATATAAAGGAATAATTTGTTGCAAGAAACATTTGCGAAGTTAATGAATTTAAGAAAACATAAAACCAATCTGCTAACGATCAAATTGAATTAAATCAAATTTTATAGAAAGAAAATTAGGATCTAAAAAATTTGATATCTAAAGTAAGAAAAGTAAAATTAATTTTATAAAATATAATTTTTTAATTTTATTTTATTATTTAAGGAATGCCATCAAAGAATATAATCAATTTAAAAAGAATTTGAGGAGCAGTTAAAAGAAAACAACGCTGCTCATGAAGAAAGTATTAAAATATTATAATTAAAATTTTAAGAGGAGCTAGCTTCAAAAGAAGAAGATCTCTAAACATTTATGTTAGTTTATCAAGAAGAGCAGTAAAAAAGCTAAAAAGATGTAAAACAAATTACTTACTTTTAATTATTAAATGTAAATATTTTTTTAGGAGAGTATTAAAGAGTCTTAAGATTATGAAGAAGCTTAAAAGAAGATATCATTGCTCTAAGCTCAGCTTGAAGAAAGCATAAAAGAAAAAAATTAATTGTCAGAACATAATATTAACTTAACTTAGGAATTTGAGCACTTGAAAAATTAAAATTTACAAAATTTAAAAGACAAATAGAATGAGTTAAATATGATTGGAGAAAAGTACGAAAAAGAAATTCAAAGTTTAAAAAAAGAAATGAATGACAAAATATTATAAACAAATTAGGAAAACTTGAAAAAGATTGATATATTTGTCAAGGAAAATATTAGGCTTGAGGATTAATTATCAAAATTTGAAGCATTAAGCAAAGAGTAGTAAAAATAGATTTAAACTAAAGACATTTAATTAGAGAGTTTGAAAAATGAGCTCAAGCAAGCAAAAGATTTGCTAGAAATTGAAACCAAAAAATAACAATAAGCCTTACCAATAAAACCTGATACATTTTAAACAAACCCAAAAATGTAAATCCAACCATAAACTAAAAGAAGTTAAGTCTAATTGGATGATATAAATAGTCACTCTTATTAAACTTTAGTAACAAAAAGGGATGAAAATGAGAAAGAGAATATAAGAATTAATTAAATAATTACACCCTAAGTGCCATCTAAAAATATTTAGTAAATTTTTATGCAAAATATTTCGTTTACTTTTATTTAAAAAAAACAACTAATTTTTTCTAAATAAAAATTTTTATAATTAAAAGTGAGTAAGATAAAGCATTGAAAAATCTATTGGCAAAAATTAAGTAAATTATTATTATTTTATTTTTATTTACAAATTTTAAAAAAAATAATTTATATTTTAAAGTGATTTTATAGAGTAGAAGGACACTAAAGAAAGTTCTGATGTTGTTAACAAAGAATGCAATCATTTGAATGAGTCTAATCTAAATGAATCCTAACAATCAATTCACAAATCTAGTTTGAATAATCATTATAATAAAAAGTTGAGAATTTTAAGAGTAAATAATCATAATACTAGTTTAAACATTTCATATACCTAGCCCACTGAAAATCACAGAAGAGGCTAGAGTTTGATTAATTAAAGCTTAAATGAAAGCTGTTCAGGAGTGGGAATTGCTTAATAATAAACTCATTTGAGAAACTTTTCTATTGAAAGAGAGTCAAATATTAGAAATCCTTATTTGTTAGATGCTGCTGATAGCCACAGATCCTAGTTTTTCCCTCACTCTAGAAGTAATTCTAATTTAAATACTTAAAGGAGAGCCATTAGCACACATATAAACACAGCATAAATGTGCTATTAATAGAAATCATATGACAGAGAATAATTTTAATATAACAATTATGCTCATAATAGGAGTTTCTTCAGTGATAGCGATACAAGCAAAGGAAATCTAGACTTCCTGTCAATAAATTAAAATATAGGAAATAACTATCTAAGCTCTAAAGAAAGTCCTTTAAGAATAGATGAAGAATATAGTAGTATTTAGCAAAAGAAATAACAAAAATAAATTTAATCTTAAATAAGTTAAGATTTAAGCATAATAAGCAGAGCTCCTTACAATGAAAATTATTCAAGTTGTTTAAATGAGTATAATTATATGAGCAATAAGTTGTAAGATAAAATAGAAGTCAAGTTAAGTAACCAGCAGTAAGTGTATAAATTATAAGAGAAAGAAAACTAACCTCAATTTGCAAACAATTACAATTAATTTGCTAACTCTTTAGGTTACGATCAAAACTAAATTGATTTAAAGCAAGAAAGAAAAAAATTTTAATCCACTTAAGAAATATAATAAAAACTCTCATTATGGGATAATATGGATACACTTGCTGTAGATGACGAAGAATAAAATGGATTTATGAACACAATTAAAGATTTACATTCCAAAATTAGACTAATTAAAAAATGATAAAATATTTATTTTACAAAGCAAATTCAATTAATTAATTAAAAAAACAAATAATAAATAAATAATAAATGAAGATAAATGAATAAATTATATCTGTAAATTCTATTTATTTCCCTTTCAATTTTATAATTTGTAAGAAAATTTCTTTTTTATTTAATATATAATTAATTAATTATTTTAATTCATATTCTTTATTTCTAACTTCTGTTTTTATATTTTTGATTAAGTGGCATATAATTTTAATTTATCAATGTTTGGTAGGAAAATCTATCTATTCAGATAGAAGTTTTTAACGAACCGAACTTAGCTCAGTTGGAAGAGCATCGGACTGTAAAGTTTGTAGTCATCCGGTGGTCCCCGGTTCGAACCCGGGAGTTCGGATTTTTTTTTTTTAATTCTATTTGTGATTGTATTAATTAGTAATAATTAGTTAAGACTTATCAATTTATTTATTTATTGATAATATTAAAGAATTAATTAATTTATAAAAAGCAATGTTTATAAAAAGAGCATTATTAACACGTAAAGAGAAACAAAGCGATAATAATTAATTTATTTAAAAAAGATATTTTCAAATTTTAGGAATTACTTATATTTAAGCGAAATATAAATGAATATATTTAGGCCATCCCATATAGTTTTTGTAACGATAAAATTAGGACTACTTTATATTTTATAAGATAGTGCATTGGAGAATTCTATTAAGCAAATACCCTTTTTTAATACAAAATTTACTGATTATTCCAGAGTTTAAGAAGCATTCTATTTTATTGGGTAGAATTAAGATCCATATCAAGTCGAGCATATCTTTTAGGTAAATTTAAATAAAATTGGCTTGAAATTAGATAAAAAAATATAAATATTTTATAGAAACCTTTCATGGTCTATGGATTGTATTACTTGAAGAATATTCCTGGAGCTATAACAGTTTTATTTGTGCTTTTTGATTTATTATTAGCTGAATTAGTTTCTAATTTAGAATTTAGTCACTCAAAAGTAACTAATTGATTTACTTAAAGCTTTAATATGTCATAAAAATTGTTATATAAATTTAGAAAAAAGATCTTCAGACTAGATAGAAGATTAGTAATTTTATTAGATATGCATATCATTTAAATCCCCTCAGCGTAATAATTAAAAGCTTAAATTATGTAAGTTAAACTATTATACCAACAAATATATTAGTTTTTCGCTATCATCACAAAATGGACATCTATATTTGAATACACTTTTGGATTATTAGCAGTATATTTGTTTGCAAAAAATAACAGATTTTTAGGTAGCTTATTTTATGGAGTATCATTATATTTGAATCCAACTATGATAATGCTTATTGTACCTTTGGTATGCTCAAGTTTTCTCAACAAGTAAAAGGCTGCTCTTTCTGTATTCTCAATTGTTGTTAGCTTTTCAGTGTTTGTAGCATTACTTTTTGCTTCATACATTTTGTTAGGATCTTTGGTAAATAAATAAAATTTTTTTTTACAAAATAAAAATAATTAAATAATTTTATTTATTAAAAGAACTTTTTTAAAAATGCTTACATCAGTGCTTATCATGTAAAACTCTTTTAGCCTTCAATAGGTTTAATGTGGTCAATATTCTCAGGAGTAAACATTATTAATATTAAATAGTTACAAAGAATATATCTAATAATAATATTTTAAAAAGATGTTTAATAGTTATCAAAATATGTATCACATGATATACTTTTTCTTACCCCTCTGTCATATTTTTCCTTTAGTATAAATATCCTATAAAGCAATTAAGGATAACTAATTTACTTCAGGATTATATGGATTCATAGCAGGTGTATCTCTATTTGTAAGTTAAATATAACATACACATAATTATAATATTTAATTTTAATATATTAGGTAGGTTATTATCACTTTTCTTTCATAACAGTATATGATTTGATAATTATATTTACTCTTTTGTTCACAGCCTATGAATATATAGTAGAAATTAAAGTATTTGCTGTTTTGGTAAAAATATTTATTTAATTATTTGATTTTTAAATAAAATATTTCTCTATCTATTAAAGTTTTATGCTCCTTTGGTAGTTTTAGGACTAACTTCTATGCTTGGTATTTACTGGTTTTATGGATTAACAGGAAATCCTAACTTCATGTTTATACAAACAATGGTGGCTTATGTATTCTTAATAATAATGGTTACTGAAGCTTTGAAATCATTATGTTTCTAAAAGAAAAATGAATTAAAAGAATTAAAAGATCAGGAAGAAAAATCTAAAAATGATTAAATTAATTTAGCTGAAAAAAAGAATAATTGAAAAGAAGTGATAAAATATTTTATTCAATTTTTATTTTATAAGTTAGCTATTTTTTAAACAAAATAAATTTATCATGTATAATATTTGTTAATAATTTCTACAATATTTTCAATTAATTCAATTTTTCTCAAAAATAACATTTTATAAGATTTAAAAAATTTTTTTTAATTGAGCACACATAATATAAATTTCTTTAAATTTGTTTGTAAAAATATTATTTTTTTAAATTGTTTTGTAAATTAATTTGTTTAAGCATCTAAAGGAATTAATATTTTTTTATTTTTTAAATGGCAATCCAAATTTAAATAAATAAGTAAAACTTTTTTTGTCTTTTAAAATTGATACTTTTTCTACTTTAATAAATTTAATAAGGGTAATTTTTCACTTCTTTATTTAAAATATATTTTTTTTTTGAGAGATAAAAATTTCTTTTAACAAAAAAATAAACATAAAAATAGAATTTTATTCGTTGGTAGTTATGTGCTGCTTAAATTCAGTAATTAAAAAATGTGGCTATAATTTTTTATGCAGATATTCTTATTTTTTATTGATAAATATTAAGTTATAAAGAATTGAAGAATTTTTAAAAATGCTTGCTTATCAATTTTCAAATCACCATGAAAAAATAAAATAAAAAACTAATGGGTATTATTTAATTTATAGTAATTTGAAAAAAAATCAAGATGCAGATAAAGTGAGAAAATAATGAGAGATAACAATAAATGAATAAAGCTTAAAAAAATATTTATTATAATTTCATTAAAAATTTTTGAAATGAGGGTTTTATCTTAATTTTTTATGTAAGTAAATGAGTCTTTATTAAAATATATGAATTATTGAATGTTAGTTAGTTAGTGGAATATGTATTTATTTCACTCATTTATTTCCTTTGATTTGATTTCACAATACAACTATATTCATTACAGCTCAAATGAGTACAAAGAAAGATATAATCAGGATTGTGCATTTAATTTAGTATAAAAATTTCAAAGAAAACATACTAATTTTTTGAAAGCTCTTTTTTACAATAAAATTGAAGAGTGTTTGATTCTATATACAAAACTAGTAATTTGTTAAATAAAGACACTCATAAAACAAACCAAGGATAATTAGCTCTTATTTTAGATTTTTGCAAGCGAAGCAGGTATTAGAAGAATTTTACAGGCTGACTCATTACAGTTTATATCAGTTAGAGAAGTGAAAAATAGTTTAACTCATGTCATAAAGCATAGGATAATAGCATACTTAATATCAATATTAGTAGTAGCAAATGGCTTTGATAACTAACAAAAAGCAAATAAAATAAATTATTCCTTAAACTTAGCAAAATTCAAAAGAAAAAGGAAAGACTGCCAAGTCTACGCAAAACAATTACAACAGACTTTATACAGAAAATAGTTAGGGATCAATATCTTAAAGGCAAATATTTATAAATTAATGTTAAAGGACTAGTTCAAATTGCCTTTTTTGTAATAAGTGCAAGAAGCCTTCCTAGTTTAGTCTGATGATATCAACTGCTCTTTATTCCAAATATAGTGCATCTTAAAATTACTATTTTACAAAGGATATAAATGATATTTTAGCAAACTAGCGTACATCTGCTGTGATTTAGTTAAAAGACATACAAACATACGATGAAATTGAAGAGTATCTCAACAGATTTTACTTTTTACATGAGTACGATAATAAGATTAAGAGATTGACTGAATACTATAAATTTCATAGAGACATTGCTCGTTTATTTATGGTCCCCACCACTAATATCCTAAATAAGTTCCATGACAAAAAGAGGAGAATTTATTACATTTAAATTACTCGTATGTTAAAAGAAAAAGAGGAAAAAGAAGGTAAAAAAGATAATTAAGATGAGTAGGCAGTAGCTCTAAAAGCAGAGTAAAAAAGCAAAAAAGAAGATGTAAACAAGGATAATAAAAATAAAAAAGATGAAAAAGATTTAAACATTGAAGATAAAAACAATAGATCAGATCTATGTAAAACTTTAAATGATAACGAACGGTTCCTAGCGCCACTTGATGATTTAGATGAGTAAACCAAATCAGTTTAAAGTAATACACTCTAAGATTTGAATCATAAATTAAATGATATATTAATAAATTCAACAAAAAGTATGTAGAGTTATTTTTTTGATTAGGATGTTTCTTAAAGTATTGGAAATCTAAGCAATTTTTTGAACCACCTAAAAACATAAAATAATTAATAAGGTCTTCTGTAAGCACCATTAGCTTCTTAGAGATAATCAGAAAATATTTTGAATAATCAAATCCTAACAGAAACAGTCAGCAATGAATTTATTGGTTTTAACTCTTAATAGTTTTAAAATATAATTTAGAAACAAGGTTAGTAAAATCACTAGCCGTTGCTTATTAATCACTAAATACTTCAAAATAATAATTTAGAGTTAAAAAATGGATAAAATTTGGTTAAAAACAGCTAGAACGTTAAAAATTTCTTGAAAAAAGACTCATTTTCTAAAAAATCTTAAAATGATTTGAAGCAATAAATTCTTTAAAATGGTTAGAATTTTTAATAAGGAGTTTTAAATAACAAACTTTAATCTGAAAATAGCATAGCCCAGTAAATATCTTTAAATAATTCTCCACCTCATAGCTAAAGGACTATATAGGAGTCTCTTAAAAATAATAATATAGGCTTGAAAACAGAGAGAGAATCTTACAACCTAAGTAAAGATGAAATGGCTCAAAATCAGATATCAAAACTCAATTAAGATATGATAAATTTAGTAAATTTTAAGCCTTAGATTGAGCAACTATAATAACAATAGAATCTTAATAATAGAGGTAAAACTGAGCAGGCAAAAGATTTGCAAAAAGGAATAGCTGCTATATCTAGTCAACCATCATAATACTTAAGCTCTATTTAAACTTAAAATCCTTCTTAGCACCAATCATTAAATGAAAAACATGGATCAAATCTAAAATAGCAAAGTCTTAATAGTGTAGGATACAACAAATATTAAGTTGATGGGTAAATAAGCAGCATAACAGGATTTTCCGCAAATAACACATTAAATGTAGCTAGAAATTCAGAAAAAAATAGTGCAAATTAATCCACAAAAGACGCAAAAAACTACGAATATCCTTTTAGTAATTAATTTTCAGAATTTACAACAGGTAAATAATCAATTACACAATCAGTTGAAAGGAATAGTTTGAATTCCCTTCAGTAGAGCATAAATGGATTAGGAAAATAGTTGAATACCGAAGGATAAATAGTGTCTTCATTACCAACTGAGCAAATTAAAAATGGTTTATAAAGTAAATTGATGAGTAATACAAGCTCTAAATACCAAAGCTAGTCAAATAAAGAATAGAAATCATCATAAAATATACAAATATAAAATACAAGCTAGAATTAGAAAGTTATAATATCATAGCAAAACTCCATGAATTAAGATTAATTGGCAAGTAAAAAGAGCTTTAATACATAGTCTTCAGATCAGCTTGCCCCAAAAAAATTGAATAGCAATAGCGGATTGATTATACCTTAAATACCTCTCCCTTCAGGATAATAAGCTTCTTCTATGATCATAGGCCAACAATAAAACTAATAAACCCTTTCGTAGTAGCTTAGTTAGCAATTCTAATAATAATTTTCTTAGTAATTATAGAACTACTAAAGATCTCAAGTTTAAGAACTTTAATAATTTAGTGCATCATAAAGACAACTTTCATAATAAAGTAAAAGTGAATTAAAAAATGAGGAGACTTTAAAACCTCCTAACACAGACAGATCTTAATACAATAAAAAAAGTAATCAATAAACTCTTTCTTAGAAGACTTTATCAGCGAGAGATAAAGATATTTCTAGCAAAGTTGTGAATAAAGGAACTATAGATCTCAACTAATAAAAATAAAAAGCTTTTGAAGCAATAAATACAAGAAGAGAAAATTAATTTGATATTTAAGTGACTCTTCAACGTAATAACTTAGATAGCAATATATACAATGAATAAAATATTTAAATAAACTAGCCATAGTTAAAATACAACTAAGTGCAGATATAAAACTATATAGCAAACAATTAACAAAATAATCCAAAATAGATGGAAGCTTAGCAATTTGGAAATATCTAAAGCCTTATTTAAGGAGCAGCTATAAAAAATTCATCTGAAAACCTAAAAATATATTAAAATAATGGTCCTGGTGAATAAATTTAACAATACCAATAGATAAATGGACATGGAAGAACATAAACTATGGAAACATATAGAGAAGCAAACCTTATGACATCTGATTTGTAAAGTTATTCTCAATCTTAACAAGCATCAAGAAATCAAAGTAAAACTAAATAAAACATACCACTTTAATAATCGAATCTTAATTAGCACCAAAATCCGGGTTCATAATCAACCTAGCTCACTAACGTTTAAAGTAGATAAACAAGCCAATAAAAATCTTAACACTCTATTAACTCTTAATAGTTAAGTTAATAGGTCATTTAAAATTAAATTTAATTATAAAATTCATAAATTTAAATTAAAAACCAATAAATTTCAAATGAAAACTTAAATATTTATGTAAAATACCCAAATTTAAATGAGTTCGAGCAAGCTTCGAACCCTCTTATTGCCTCTTAAATAAAATAGTAAACAGTTATTAATGATTCAAATGTTAAATAAACAGAAAATTAATAATATATTCCCTCATCAAATGATCTATCTTAATCTCATTAAGGCTAAGTTTTCCTTAGAAAATCACTCTCAAATTATAAATTTGAAAACTTAGGAGAGTTAAAGTAGATTTACAAAGAAGTTCAAAAGAGGACAGCTGCAATGTTTTAAAAGCATAAGGATTCACTTAAAAACGCATAAACAACTGCTACTAACTCTAGTATGCAAGACACACAATAACTTAAGCAAAACAGCCAAAGGTTAAATGTAAAAATTTAAAAGAAAAAACAAATTATAATTTACTCCAAAAGCAATTTAATTTTATAAATTTTTTAAAGCAAATAAATAAAAAAATTATTTTTAATTTTTGAAAAGTATTATGCTAAGGGCGAAGCAACTTAAAGAGGAAGCTAGACTTAAAGAGGACAGTAAAATAGCACTGATTAGTCACAATCAAAAGAGATTTCTCCAAGAATATAAAGAATATAAAAAACAGAATTAACTTATTAAAATAACAGTTTAATAAAATAAAATTCTGATAGAGAGTAAAATTAGAGAAGAGTAAGCTCTTAAATCAAGAATTCAAATATTGGAAATAACTCCAACTCGCTTTAAAATCAATCAAATCTCAATAATAAATAATAGCAAGGAAGTCTACTAAACGTTGGTGCATCACAACTTCTTTTAACTGCTTAATAGCTTACTTAAAATAACAGAGATCAAAATTTAACTGCTGCATAAAAGAAATTGTAATACAAGTAGCAAGCCAGTAAAATTGGTTCTGAATAAAATAATAGAATGATCCACTCAAATCCTAATGTAGATTTTAATAAGACCTCTTACATATCCTCCTATAATAATAGCGCAAATAATACTAATATTTATGTTCAGGGATAGTAAAACGGAATTCAAAGCTAGTAAGGCAGTGGATACTCTACAATAATCAACAACTTTGGTTCTAACTCTCAATTAAATGCTAATTCACAGATTCAAAGTGTTGCAAACTCACATCAAAATTCATCTAAGAAAATTTTAGACAAAATAAAACACACTAGAATAAATTCAATGAACGCTGCTCCTACTCTCCACAATTCATAAAATCCATCAATCTTAGCCAGCACTTCTACTTTTAAATCGCATATACCTGCTCCTTAGTAATTTATATTTACAAATAAATTTATTTAACTAATATTTGTTAATTAAAATAAGGTCTTACAGACAACAAACTTAAGAAATACAGAAACAACCATCTTCTATGCAGTAGTAAGGCTAGAGTTAAAATTATACTTAATTTATGGTTTCAACTCAAAACAGCTCTAATAAAAAGACTGTACATCATAAGTATACTAAAAGTGAAGCTGATTCATTGACTTAATCAACATAACCTCATAATCTATCTCAGAACCTTGTTTCATAAACAAACCTGGGATTTAGCTAACTTGCTAATAGTAATATTGGCAATAAATAAACAATCATAAAATAAGCTTCGTCTCTTTAAAATAGCTAATCATAGTAGCATCTTCATGGTTAATCAAACATTAGTTAAATATTAGCTGCCTAAAACTAATAACTTTAAAGTCTACCCTCAACAAATTAATTAACTTAGTAAACAGCTCCAGAGACAAAAAGAATTATGTCATCAGTCTAATAAACAAATTAAAATTCTTAGTCTCCATAAAGAAACCAATACAACTCTGCAGGAAAAAAAAATTAATAATAATATTTTACTTACTCAAATAATAATATAATAAACATTTTTGTTAACAATCACCAAGAAAATATGAAGGCAGCACAGGCTGGAAATGCAATAAGTAACTAAACTCATAACCTACATTAAAATATAAATTCTATAATTAACACCCAGATGAATATAAATAAAATTTAGCAATAGTAATCTTTTTCTTAAAAGTCTCAAAATAGTCCACTGAAAAAATCAATAACCAATTAAGGAAAATTGTCTGCCAGACAATCAGAGAATTTCAGTAACATAAAGAATTTATGATAAAACAAACAAACAAACAAATAAACAAACAAACAGACTCTTTTAGTTACTGATTTAGATAGACAAAATAGACAGAGAAAAAATAAAGTTTAATATATCAGAAATCAAATATTTTATAATTCAAATATATAAAAAAATTTTCTTAATACGATAAAATGTAATTAATTAATTTATCTTTTTTAAATCTCATCTTTCTTAACATTTTTATAATATTTGTTTAAAATTTTATGTAAATATCTTTATACATATATACTCACCAAATTCATTTATGGGAATGCTACTAAGATAAAAAAATAAATTATCTTTCTCATCCAAAATCTAAAAAATCTTATATTATCACAAATTAATGAAATCTACAGCTATTTATTATCTAATTAAAAATAAAAAAATAGAAATCATCAAATTTATTTTGATATCTTTACAAAATTAATTTTCAATGCAGCGCAAGTTTTTAACTTTAGTTTTTATTTTTGTGGCAGTATGCAGAGCAGATCTTGGTAAATTCTTCAAAAATATGATAGAAAATTTAGGAGAAGAAACTACTAGCATTTACTTTCCCTAAATTGATGAGGCATATCCTTTGCAATTCTTGAGCTTTAAAGTTACAGCAATTAATCTTTTGAATCTTAAAAACAATGTCAAATACTAAACAGATGTTGACTAATTTATTTTCTTAGTTACTTTTGAAAACCCTAAAGTTATTATTGAAATTAATGATAAAAAATTTAATCCAGAAATCAATATTCAGAAAATGTAAATATAAGTTATAATCTCAAGAGACTTTAAGACCTGTAAATCTTTTTCATTTACCCCTTGGGAAAAATTAGATTTAGATATTGGATTAATAAGCAATTTCATTCCAGATAAATTTTTAAATAATGATTTCATAAAAGGGTTCCTAAGGACTTTAGAGCCCTTATTTAAAGCTAAAATATCTTAATTTCTATAAAATGCTCCTATATCATTATTCTTGGAAAAAGGTTAAATTAACATTCACTTAAAAAAATAAAAGTAAATCAACATGCATGACGATTTATGATAATAGTTTGTATTCTAAAATCAAATAAATATAATAATAAATGTTAAAATAAGTTAATAACTTTTTAATTATTTTTATGTTTTACGATTCTAAATATTTATCAAACTAATATATATGAAATTTAAAATCAATTTTAAGTTTAATTTTTATATTTATTATTAATTATTGGAAAACCTAAATTAATTTAAAATTTTTAAGAGTATTTATTAATTTAATATATCTTTGTTTTTTTATTAAATAAATATTCAAGATATTCAATTTTTAAAAATTTATTTTTTTTATGAATGTATTATTAATGCTTATTTTTAATTTATCTATCTATTACTTTAATTGTATTGCTTTATATAAAAAATATCTAATATATTTTTGCAGCAATAAATATATAGAAAGTTTATTATTATAATTCATTAAAAAACTAAAATAGAGTTTTTTTTAAAAAATTTTTTGTTCTTTCTTATATTAATTATCATTTCTATCATTAATAATTCTTTACAATATTTTTAGGTAGCTTATATTAAATTATAAATTTAATCTAAATTATTTGGAGTAATAGGCTATAAATTCTTTCAAATCAAAATATATTTTTTAAAAAATGTTAGTTTTTATTAAGGTCATATTCTATTTAAAAATAATTTGAAGTATCAAATTATATTTGGTGATTAAATTTAAATATTTAAAATTAAAAATAAAATTTAGGTTGATATTAAGATTAAATTATTACTGTTAAATTCATTCTGTAAATACTAATCACAAAGTTATAAATAATTAAAAAATTTTAAGTACTAGAAATATGAAGAGAAGTAAAGAAGTAAATAAGTAAGAGTAGTTAGTAAGTACACTAGTTTGCTTTTAAGGGAAAATTATAAATAAACTAATTTTTCTTTTATTATTAAGATAATAATCTAAAATTACTCAAGATTATTTTTCATCTTCCATAACTAAAGATTTTTTTTTTTACTGTTTTCTTTTTTAACTTGTTTCCTGTTTAACTAAAGTTTGCATAATTTTTTTAAACTCTTCAAAAGAAACTTAACCATCTCCATTTTCATCAACTTCTGCAACTATTTTAGTCCAAGTTTCTGAATCAAAATCCATACCAACTCCTAGTACATTTTATATTTCTTGCTAAGTAATGTATCCATCTCCATCTTTATCAAATAAACTAAATGCTTTTCTTAATTTTTCATCTTCAATAAATACAGAATCATCTATGACTGCAGTAATAAATTCAGTATAATCTATAAATCCACTCTAATTTACATCTATTTAATCGAATATTTTATTTACTTCTTCTTCAGATATATTTTTGCCGAATACCTTTTTATATCCATTCATTATTTCTGCTTTTGAGAGCTATCCATCTCCATTTTCATCTAATTATTTAAACGTTTGAGAAAACTCTTCTTTCTCTTTTTCGCTGATTAAGTGGCTAACTATAAAACTCATTGCAGCTCTCTACAATTATGATTGAGCTTGAAATAGTTTCAACTTTGATAGATTTACTTTGAGAACCTATTTGCTTAGTTTTTGATTAATTTATTTAAACCATGGATGCTACAAAGCCTCTTCTGCGCTTATTCTATTTTCATATTCATAATTTAACATCTTCTAAACTAAATCTTTTGCTTCATCACTCACTTTATTCCATTCTTAGCCTTTCAAATCGTATTTTCCTTCTTTAATATTATAAATATATAAATTTATTTTTATTTGAATCATTTAAAAAATTTACTTAAAACATTCAAAATTATGTCAGTTGTAGAATCACCACCAAAAGGAATCTCTGAAACTAAGAGAGTATATAAAATAACTCCTGTACTCCAAATATCACATTTTTCATTGTATTTTTTTTTAATAACCTCTGGGGCAGCATAGTAAGGTGTACCACATTTTTGGTTTAAAGTTGAATCGTTAGATCCAAAATCACTCCCTATTCCCCAGTCTACTAATTTAATGATATAATTATTGTTTTTATCTGTCTGAACCATTATATTTTCAGGCTTAATATCTCTGTGCATTATTTTGTTTGAGTGAGCATAAGCAAGAGATTATAGAATTTACTGAACTATTGAGGCAATATCTTTTTCTGTGAGATTTTCGCAATTATCTTGAATAACATCAAAGAGTTCTTTGCCTTCACAAAATTCTGTAATCAGGTAGTAGTTATCGCTATCCTCTAAAAATTCATATAGCTTTAGGATGTTAGGATGGTCTAATTTTTTCAAAATTTTGATTTCTCTTAAAAAAGACTCCTTCTCATTGAAAGGGATTTTTTTTTTGTTAATAATTTTCATTGCTCTATAAACATCCTTCAACTTATCTTTAATTTTGTAAACTTCTGAGTAGTGACCAGTTCCTAATTTAATTTTATCATCAAATTGCGATAAGTACTCATCTATATTTGTTTCCTTCTTTTGTATAAAAGAGCCTAAGTCTATTTTTATATCTTCTACTCTCTTTTCTTTTATTTCACTTTAATTGTGATTATTATCTAAGTGAAAGTTATCAAGAGAATTAGCTGCTAAAGCGCCATTTTAAGCAGGAGATTTAGGTTGAGGAGACTTTGCTTATGGAGATTTAGAAGTGCTTGAAAGATACTTGCTTGTATTTTCAGGTTTTAGTTATGAACCTAAATTAGGGCTCTTTACAATTGATTCAATTTTAGTATTATTTTAACTTGAATTTTTTTATTTTTTATTGCTTTAGGTGAGGTTTTTGTTAGCTGATTGCTTTAAGTGCTATTCATCGTTATTTTCTTCATTTTTCTTATCTTTTTAGCTTTGGCTTTTCTAATTTGGGCTTGCTGTTCCAAGCTTTTTATCTTAAGATCTTGTTTTCATATTGGCTTACTACTCAGTTTTGCAAATAAATTATTAATCTAAAAATTTTTTATCAAAAATTAAATTTTTGGTATAAAAAAAAACAAATTTAAGATAACTAAATCAAATCTAATAAATAACTAATCAAATAAATTATACCGCGTTTTTTAATTCTGAAGTAAAAAAAGATATGATATTCATAATTTGTAATGTAATACCGAAAAATATGTAAAGATTAAAAAATATGTATTTAAAAATCAATAATCCAAAAAAAATTATGTTTTTATTAAAAAATGTTTATTTATTTTAATTTTTTTAAATGAAAATATTTACAGTTTTATTATAATCATTTAATATCAGTTTACAAAATTAGGTCATTGGTTTGCTTAGATAAATATTAAGACTAATTTTTATTATATTTTCTAGAAGACTATTAACTTTTTATAAAGAAAGGTACTTTTTAAGAAGCCTGGTAAAAAGCATACTTTTCTATATCTAGAGGTTTTTATTAATATACCTTTTATTTAAGTTATTGAAGGGAAGATAAACTTAATTAAGTAGAAAAAACGCTACTTAAAGGACTCTATAGAGGGATTGAATTAGGAACGATTATAGCAGGACGATTGATACATTCCCTCGTTAAATCACTCTAGTTCTTTATGCCTTCTTAGGCTGTTTTAAGTATACTATTTCTTGATCCAGCTTGGCTTAAACTTTTAATTCTAATTTTTTTATTTTCTGAGGTTAATGGAAAATGTCTTGTCTGAGAAAATATTTATGAACTATCAAGTATTTAGTCTTTATTTTACTTTTTGGTTTACATTTTGCAACTCTCAGTTAGTTAATTAACTTATTCTTAAGATTTTATACTTGATTAAAATTTAAAATAGTTTTTAATGAATTTGATTTTATCTTAATTCAACTAAATTTTAGATTAATGATCAATATTTAAATTCTGTTATTTAGAGTTTTAAAATACTATACTATTTAAATTAATTTAAGCTTTAGATGGCTAAGAGAGATGAGAATCAGAGAGTTTTGGAGAATTATTCATACTGTAAGAGTATACTATTTTTTTTTTAGAGCTTTTTTATTACTTATCTGTAAAGGATTTATTATTTAATTCTTATTTTTGGTTGAACAAGGGAGGAGGTGAATAGTTGATTTTTTCAAATTGAAGAGATACTTCTATATTGTTAAAACTTTATCTATCAGTTTCTTTTTATGACTGGTAAGGGCCAGATTAGAAATCAACTTTTTAAGATGGGCTCTATTTAGTTGAAGCATGTATATGCTAATATAAAATTCTGTGAGCTTTATTAATTTTAGTTAAGTCTGTAATTTTTTTACCACTTACCTCTAATCCGTTAGAAAATTCTAAAGGATTATCACTAATGTTTTAACAGTTTTAATTTTTTACACTTTTATTTTCGAGGAAATCAAAATCAGGGTTAAAAATAGAATCCTGGCGCTTAATAAATCCTGCAAATGTATCAATATCTTACTTGTAAATAGTGTCTTCTTTGAATTTATCTTAAAATTAAAATTTGATATTTTAAAGCTTTTTTTATTTACTACTTGATGATAGTGGACTGCAATTAGACTCTGTTAAGCTATCTGTTTCGCTTTTTTGTTAATTTAGTAGATAAAACTCATTATTTTAGTTTATTTTATGTTATTTGGCAAATTAGCTTTCTTTAGCATCACTAACTTGACAATTTTTAGGGGTTTGTATAAGAAAGCTACTATTTTATTTTTTGATTTTACTTAAATTAAGACTTTAATATTTTTCCCTTTTTTATTTTTCTTTCTTTTTTGCTTCTTATTGCTTTTATCCAATTAATTCAACTAATTTTTTTTTCACAGCATCATCTTTTAGAATGCATGACTTATAAATTACTGGACGTATTACTAATACTTCACTACAATCTTGCAAGCAAACTACTGTAGAATTCCGTTGTCTCATATCCATTATTTCTTCTTCACCAAATATTTCATAAGTTTCTACAGTCCTAATCTATACACAAAACATAAAGCAAGATTTTAATTTAATGTTTTTTTAAAATCAATGTTTACTTTCAAAGTAGTTGTGTTGCTGAAAAAGCTGCTCTGATCCAAGCTTTACTATTTTCTTAAATTTGGTGTACCTTCTTAATTATCACTACAAATCGAGACTTGATCCATAAATTAATCAGTGTCATCTTAAAACCTCTATTAAACCTTATTTAATCATACGATATTATAAATACTAATCGAAAAATAATTTTAATTTTTGTTACCTAAAATTTTCCATGCAAGACGATATATATTGCATATGAAGCTTAGTCTTACGAATAAACAACTTCATTGTTTTAAAATGATATTTTCACTGAATTATAAAGGATCATAGTTAAAATTGAGTCATTTGTAATATGTTTAAATAATTATGTAGATTTTAAAAAAGCAATATTAGACTCTAGTCTTTCTGATTCTAATTAGCGTATGCATCTATCAAAAAAATACTTCTCTATTTCTAGTAGAACTAATTCTTCAGTCTCAACAATTAAGCTAAATAAATTAGCCTTTTCTAGTAGCATTGATTCAGCACCAATTTTATCTCCAGGCCTTAAAACCATTTTATTTTCATGATATTATTTTTTCTTTCCATTGTTGCTGCTTTAAATCTTAACTTTTCCTTTCATAATGATTCCTAACCTTGATGATTAAATTCCTTTAAAATCTTTAAATATAACAACTTAAATAAACAAAATATTATACCCTGTACTTCAATCAATTAGTCTTTAACGTAAATTGAGCACTTAAATCCTTTTATGAAGCTTTCTAAATCATTTTATTCCAAATTTCTGAATACTTTACTCAAATATAAGTAGTGCTGGCTCAAAAACTATTTGATATCTTCTAGATTATCTTTATTTTTTTCATTTTAATTACCATTAATAAGATTGATTATCCTTTCTAATTAGTTTAAATACTAGCTCTGACATTTTTATATAAAATAAAGCAATCTTTTTTAATAAGAATATCTGATAATTTAAATTTACTTCTAATTCTTTGCTCATTTATTTTTATGCTATGTAATTAATACACTTATAATCCTTTCTTGTTTTTTTGTTTAAAATTAATTAATTTGTGATTTTAAAATAATTAATCACTAATTTAACCAATAATATTTCATCATCCAAAAAGTTATACCTCAGTTTAAATGATTTCATATCATGTTGATAATTACAAAAATTATCTTTATTTTAATAGTATGAAAAATTTAATTATTTTTACACTGTACTAAAAAAATATTTTAATAAATGAAAATATATTGATAATATTTATTTAATTTTTATTTTTTTAATAAATCCAGTAGAGTGATTTCAACTCTATATTTCTACTTAAAAACACTCTACCTACTAAATTAAATGATAAAGCATGAAGCATATTAAAGTATTGATATATAAAATAAAAAAATAAATTTTAAACAATGGATTAAAAAGTAGGCTAGAAAAATAACAGTTTGAACTAAACTTATAGATATACATAAAAAAAATTAAATATCTTTGAATTGCAGTACCATAATAGGATATAAAGAATTGAAGTAGAAAGACGTGCGTGTACTATACAGAAGCTAATCTAGACCAACGAATAAGATTAAAAACCATAAACTTTAAATGAAATGATAGTACAGCCAAAGCTCTATTATTAACAAAATGATCCTACTATGATTTTTGAAACACAAATTCAATTTCCAAATGGGTTTACTCAAGTTTTGATTAATGAAGTCAAAATAATATTTTCTAGTAGCAAAGGATAAAGGAATTAATTATCTAAAAATAAATATCAAAGCTAAAATTTTGATTTAAACTCAAAGAGTGCAAACGAAAAAGAATAAATATTTTTAATTTTGGAAGACTTTTATATTGACGTGAGAGTAGATTCAAAAAAATGTAAAAATAAAAGTTACTTTCGTTATATTTAGGATGATCCAGTGATTGAATCCAAAGTGATGTTTGTATCTAATGCATTAAGAGAATGCTTAATTATAAAGAATATAATTAAATCTCATAAAAAAATGATAACTTCAATTCTAAATATTATTTTTTATGAAGACAAGTGTTTTGATAAAAATCTATTCAAAATTATTTCTAAACCAAAAAAAATGAGTAATAATAAACAGCAGTTCTCAAATTTTGATCCTGAATATTAAAACTCTAATTTAACAGGCAGTAGCTCAGATTCTAATAGCATAAAAACTAGCGAGAAGTAATTTAAAAATTAAATTGTCTATTCTAAATCTATTTGCCTTTTTTACTCAAATTAAAAGTGAAGTCAGGTAAAAATCAAAAGAAGATGAAAGAAATTTTATGGGATAATCTGAAAATATAGGTAAAAATGACTCTAAATGAAATTTTTTTCAATTTAAAAAATATTTTTTATAAATTCAATTTAATTTATAATTTATTAAAATAGGATTTTAGATTAATGGGTAAAAAATTGATGATGTGACACAGAGTATTTAAGAATCATAAAATAATACTAATTTTGTCTAGTTTAATGAATAGGAGACTAGTCAAAGCAATTTATTTAATATATTAAATGACATCATAAAATAAAAATATACAATTTAACAGAATAAAAATGATGACCAATAAAATTTTTAGAAAAATGAAAACATTTTAGCCGAGGAATAGTTGAATATCAGCTAATAAAATTGTAAAAATACTTCACAGCAATTAGGAACTTTATCAAAGAAAAATGTTGTAAAAAATATTGTGAAAGCCTTTCAAAGATATCTAAAAAGTGAAGAGTTCAAATAAGAAATTGAAACAATTTTGGAAAAGCATAGTTCAATTTCATATGAGCCATTTTTAAAAAAGTATTTAAGCTATGAAAAGAAAAAAAGTTACAATAACAATCTAATTAAGCTATTAATCAATAATGAAGATTTTTCGAGTGTTTTCAAATTTTTCATAAAAAATAGGTCAAAATAAATGCTTTAAAACTCAAATGTTTCAGATAAAATTACCCATTTTTAAATTCTTGATAAATATATTGATGCTATTGAAGATCCCCACTCTAATGGTAATATATTTAGCTCCAAAAAAGTAGGCACAAAAAAGAAGAAGAGTAAACAAAATTGAAGCTTTTATTTAAATCTAGTTACTACTCTACTCATTAGATAAAATATATTATATAAATAACCATTAAAAATAAGTAATATGCATGCAAAAAAATGAATATTAAATATATTTTTACTTACAAAAATTTTTGATGAAAAGAAAATCCAAAGAAGAATTTCTATCAATATCTAATTCTTCATCTATACGAAAGGAATTCTACCTTCTATGCCAATAGTTATACAAAGAAATCTTTTACATATTTTTACAAGTTTTTGCGAGCTTTAAAGTGTTATTAACTCTTTAAATCAACAATCAACCAAACAAACAAAAATTAATATATCAAATTAAAACAAAATTAATAAAAAACATAATAAAGAGAAAAGTAAAGCTAAAATGTCTGGATGCCCCTTCTTTAACATGATCAGAATAATGACAATTGCTATATTTATGATATTTACAGCAATATAAATAAAATCATGGTACTTTGTAACAAACAAAAAACAAGTTAAAGAATAAAATACTGATGAAACTATAATTAAAAACAAAGAAGAATAAGAATTATTAGATTAATCTTAAAGTAATACTGTCCAATGAGATAATAAAATCATAATTAGTATTTATTAAAACAAAAAAAAACTAGATAATAACTAAAATAATAATTATATCAGTTTAATAAAAATAATTTACCATTTTAACTCTATAAAAAATTTATATTTCCTATTATGAACAATCATTATTTTACTAGCGTGTATTTTCTATTTATTATTGTTTAAACTCTAAAAATAAATTTTGTTAACCTTAATTTACTTAAATAAATTTGCATAATTATAAAGAGCTATTTTTTTAAATATATTATTTTAAAAATTGTTAATTATTACTTGATACTATTTCTATTATCTCATCTCATCTCCAGTGAGTCTCATTTTTGTGGATAAAAATAAATATTTAATATTTATAAATCAAATTTATATTTCATTTTACAAAAACCTTTTTTAGTTTATGTTAGCAAGTAAAAAATCTAAATACTTTTTTCAATAATATCCAAAATCTACCAATATAACATTTTTTTTTAATACTTAAATCATTACCAGCCCTTAAGTAAAATTTAAATCTAAAAATTATGAAATTCATTCAAATAATTTTAATAGTTTTTTAATAATATTGTGAAGCACTCTTAATTACTGAAAAAGTTTCAGAATAAAATAACATTCTTTATTTATGTGAGAAAAATAATTATAAATGTATTTATATAATAATAACACATAAAAGAAAATATTGATGATATTATATATTATTTTTTTAGATTTAAGATAAAAATTAATTTTGTCTAAGATATTTTTAAAAGCTTTAACATTTCTTTTATTAACTCTATTAGTAAAAGATATATTATTTTATATTTTTAATAAAAGCAAAACTAAATTCAAAAAAGTAAAAAATACATATTTTTTAGTAAATTTTTGTATTAATGATTTATTTTTCAATCTATTTTTTTAATTTATTTAACTAAATTCAGAGAAAATCATTTACTTTTAAACAATTATGTTGTAAAGACAGTTAAGGAGTTTTTATTTTTTCAATTATTTAGAATTTTTATTTGCTTACAATATTTATTTACAAATTATGTTAAAAATCTAGGCAAATTATGAATTTAATTTGCTTACAAATTTTTATATGTTAAAAAGATCACAATATATTTGCTATTAAATTAAATATAATCAACAACTTATTAGAAATAATAAAGATGTAAAATATGTTTCTAATTTTTTAGATATATTATTTAATTTAAATTAATATAAAAATTTATGGATTTCATAAATAGATGGCAGAAAAAATATTATTTCGAGGTTTTAATAATAAGTTTTAAAAGTTTCTAATGAAAACTAAAATTTATTATAATTGGATTCATATTTTAAAATACCTTAATAGCTGCATGACCTGATTTGTAAATTTTTGATCTTATTCATTTTTATTAAGAATTAAATCTTTTAACTACTCCTTGAATTTCAAAATATTAATTAGAGTTAATCTATTTTTTTTCTTTTACTTTTAATTGAAAATAATTTGAAAACATAAACTTTTAAATTAGAAATTTAAAATAGAAAATTTGATTTAAATAAAATTCGTTTATAAAAAATTAATTAAATAAATCCTTAAACGCATCAAATCAAATGGAATAATAATTATTAGTTTTTTTTAAATGTTGTTTTAATGCAAAAAAAATCAACGAATTTTTAATAACGATCTTAATTAGTTTGCAGAATATAAACAAACATAATTATTATTTTACATATCTTTTTAAAAAATTAAGAAAAAAAATAAATAGTTAGAAGCGCTGAACAAATAAAAAAATGAGTTTGACTTCTGAAAACCTTAGATAATTAGTAATTCATAATTTAAAAAATAGTTTGAAGGATAAACAAAAATATTTTAAATAGGATAATTTTACAATTACACCCCAGAGAAAGCAGGAATATGATGTTTAATCAAGGTATTTTAGAATTTTATTGATAACTATTTGTATATATTTATTTTGTAATAAATCATTAGAAGTTCATATAAGTCTTTAAGGGTTTCATAGCAAGATGGATTCTTTTCTAGATATCAGTCGAATGGCCCAAGGGCAGGAGTATTATAAATATTTTTAAAATAAAGAGTAATAATCATTCTTTAAAAATTTAGTTGAATCCTCATGTAAAAATGGAGCTCCATAAAACATATGAAGATTTGAATAAAGGAAAAATAAACAAAGAAAAGTTTGTAAAGAAAGTGAAAGAAGATATTGGCTTAAAGACAAATCCTTATTTCGATAAAGCTATCTAAAAAGTAGATTGCAACTATGGTGAGGTAGTTAAGGGCATAGATAAGTAATACCGCGAAGTTAATTAAAACCTTAAACCAAATACTTGCGATCCAACAATCATTACAGGACATGATGTAACAATTTCTGTTGGAAAATTTTAAGAAAAATTCCTTCCTACCCCAAGTAAATATTTTCTTATAATTACAGATGTAAATATGTGTGTTAATTAATTAACTTAAATGATAGATTATGATACAAGCGATGAAATTTAAAAATAGTGCATTGAAGAAGTTAACAAATTAGTTTAGGGCTAAGTCCATCCAATTTAATTTTTAAAATAACTGCAAACAAATGGTCTAAATACAGATTTAATTGAAAAGGAAATAAGAGAGCTTAACGCATCAAATTAATGCAGTTACAGTAAAGTGAGTCATGGATTATATAGAGCATTGGAAGAGTAAAGAAGCAAATAAATGAATGCATCACTCATGGGTCTTAATGATAACCCTGTTCGTGGTGATTGGGTTTATCACTCTCATCTCAAAGATAATAAAGCCGATTTTGCAGTTCCAACTCATAATTCGAATAAGGAAAATACAGCTTTAGAAAGAGAATATAGAAAATTAGTTGTACCTACTGGCAATATTGTATATTATGAAACTAAAAAGCCCGCTCCAGATGGCGTAGTCGCTGCTTTGTAATTTATAATAACTGAAAATTTTGATTATTTATTCATTAAATTGGCAACAATAACTATAAAAATAAAATTTATTAATATAGAAATAACGGTGATATTTTAACTTGGAAGAGACAATACTGCAATTAAATACCATAATAAGAAGAATAACCAAAATAAAGAATAACAAAGCATAATTAAAGCTCTATTAAATTATAAGATATAACAACTTTTAAACCTGACCCTACTTTTGATCCAATAATTAAAAGAAAAAATATCAACTAAATGATGTAATTAATATTTCAAATGCATATTTGAATATAAAATAAAATATAATAAACTTTTTAATAAATATAGGAGTACTAGAAATATATTGGCTTATGAATAAGAAACAGTAGTATCACCAAAAAAACAACTAAAAATGCTTGAGTAATTTTTTTCTTTTAATTTAAAAAAAATCACAAATAAATTATCAAATAAAAATTGAGTTAAGTATATATACTAATATATTTTAATTTTTACTGATGCTCTGTTTCTTTAAATAAATTACACTTTTTTCTCCTCTAAAAAATTATTATTTTTTTTTTACAATAATTAAATTCATATATTTATTAATATAGAGGTTCAGGTAACATTATCTCTTGGAATTAATGAAACTTTGTAATTAAATAAGGCAAACTTACATATTATATTATGAGTAATAAATAATATTTTAAATAGTAACTACATACATACAAGAATATAGCAACTTTGCTATTTATATTTTATAAAAGTAAAATATCTTAATTAAATAAAAAATTTGTCTATCCATCTAATTATTTATCAATTCAATTTTTATTTTGTGTGTTTAATATACCATAAAAATAGTAAAATAAATTCTAATTTATTTGATTATGATATAAATTAAAGTTATTTATTTTATATATGATAAGTACTATATATTGACTTATGAGCAAGAAACAAGTTGCCACCAAAAAAAACTAAAAATGATTGTTTGTTTTTTTTCTTCTTTAATTTAAAAAAAAAAATTACAAATAAATAATCAAATAAAAATTTAATTAAGCATTTACAATTTGTTTGATTTTTAATTAAAAATATTTGATTAAATATTAATTATAATTTCATATTTAATCACCATTAAATAAAATCATGTTACTTAAGCAATAAGATATTCTATTTCTTTACACACATTAAATTTTTTCTCTTTTCTTAAAATATAATTATAATTCTTTGTAATTATAAAATACACTTATTTATTATTTTCAGCTTCAAGTAACATTCTATTTTGCAATTCATACATGAAACTCAGTAATTAAAAGCGCTAAAAATTAATATTCTATAATTAGTAATACAGTAGTTCATTTTTTCTCTCTCGTTCCTCTTCAATTTGTCAAAAATGTTAAAAGAAGAATAAAATAATTAAATATAATAAACTATCTGCCAAAAATGCTAGTCATCTTTTTAGAAGGGTTATGGTAAAAAATGTTATAAATAAGTAACTACTTAGGTATGTAAATTAAAAAAAATATTTTTATTTACTTAAAAAAAATAATATGTTCTTTTAATTAGTAATCAAAATTCATTTTTTATTTTGTGTGTTTTTACATTTTATAAAATATAGCAAAATAATTGCTAATTAATTAATTTGATAGAGGTAAAAAGTAAAATAAATATTTAAATTTGTTAAAGAAGGAAAAAATTAAGTATTTAACAATTTTAAGTATTTTTACTTGTAATTAAATTATTTATTTTTGAATAATTAATGCTTTTTGAAAATATTGTTTTTACAAAAGCCTAAGATATAACTTTTATTTTTATCTATGAATAAAAAATAAGCGAAAAAAAATTTATCTCTGTAAATTATTTTTGAATAAATATAAAATTAGAAAATTTCTCTATGAGTTATAGTCAAAATAAATAAATCGTTCCAGTGAATATTTCTCAAGTCTAAAATACAACTCTTAAAAAATTATAATTTCTATCTTAATATGAAAGATAATTTAGATAACTTACATATATAAAAATACATATAAAAATATTTTAACAAGAAACTAACAGTAAAATATTAAATATCAGCTTCAAATATATTTCGTAGATATGGAAAAGATATATATTTGTCCACAAAAACAACTCAAAGTAAAACTAAATGCTCAAAAGTTTAAAGATGGCTTAACATAAAAATATAAAAAAGTAATTAAATCATAGAAAATTTTAATACTACAAAAAGAAGAGTGTCAGGTCAATATAATACTTACTTAATTAAATAAATTAATATAAGTACTAATTAATTAATAAGTCAATAGTGATCATATATTGATATATATATATATAAATTAGCTTTATCTTAAAATAAACTGTGCAAATAATTTGCATTAGGAGAGATATAAGAATATGATTTTTATAATTTCTATCCAATTCAACATCAATATTATATATACTTTTATTGATTTATGATTTTTAGAAAATCTCTTATGATACATACTAACTAATATTTGTAAATTTAACTCAAAAAAAGGATTAGATTTCCTATGAACTTGATCATATTAATCATAATTACTTGCTTTTTTATCATCGTCTTTAGGAATGTAGCAAACAATGACTTAATTAAGATCTATGAGAAGAAAAGAAAATAAATAGCTAAGAGAAATAAATAAGAGTAGAGGGAAAAAAGCAGAAAAAATAAATAAAAAAAGGAAAGAAATTTTGATAATTATCACTAAAAAATTATTAAAATTGATTAAAGGTTGGGGAAGTAATAAGAATAATTAATAATCAGAATAAAAGCAATTTTAATATCGAACCCGCCATAATATTCCAATTTAATATTTTAACAAGAAGCAGACTCATTTGCTATAGATCGCAAGCAAAAAGGATTTGTAGAGAATATAAACTTAATAGATAGAACATAAAATAAATATTTCAAAGCAAAGTCATTTCCAGAAAGGAAACTGATACTTCTATTGTCTTACTTACTTCGAATAAACATAATAAATGCACTCTCAGTAATACAACAATAATATGATAATTTAACGTTAAGGAAACAGCTAAGGATAAGTTATAGGAGTAGATTAAGGTCATTACCAAGCATAGATGTAAAATATCTAGCCTTAATAGCACATTTAGTAGATGGTACAATACCCTGTCAATCCACCTTAGTTAATAAACATATCTTCAACCTCTTCCTCTTAGAGCTCCTCAGTAAATCCCTCTTCTTAAAGAGTTAACTCTTAAAATTTATAATATAAGCAGAATTCTTAATAGATTAACATGAGTTAATAATAGTAGCAAGTATAGGTACAAGGAGATAGTTATGTTCACCCTCACTAATTATAAAATTAATAAGTTTAGTAAATATAGCAGCCAAATTAATTAAACTAATTACAGTCAAGCAGTAGTTCTGGAAGTAATAACCCTCATTAATAGTAGTTTAGTCATCATTCATCTTAATAGTCACAATAGTAGCCAATTTAGCCTTAGCTCATCTAGAATTAAGGATAGTTAAATTTTCCAAATAGCCAAAGTCAGTAATAAGGTGTTGCCTATATTCATCCTAATGTTAGCACAAAGCAATAGTAGCCAAATCAAGTCTAATAGCAATAAATACCTCTTTAGTTAAGTACAAGCTAATCTTAATAGTAATAATACTCTTCTTAATAAGATAGCAGAAGAAACTCAAGCAGATCAGAAAAGAACTCTTAAGTAAACTGTACACTTCCGAGCTAACCTCAGTAGCAATCTTTGGTATTTACAAATTAAGGTGGTGTTTGTAGTGATAAGAATGGACCTTATGGTGCCTTAGAGTAATTTGTTGAGCCTATTTACGAGGATTTTGTTTATTTGACTGAAAAAATTCTTGATAAAACAATGAAGTCAGCCAACAAACAGCTTCAAGACACTCTTATGAATTACTTCTTAGAAAACCATGTAAGTAACTTAATTATTAAGGAAATGAACTGCATCAGCAAAAGAGCAGTCAGATACGAAATAGAAAAGACTATGTAAAAGAATAAAACAGCAAAGTATATGAATCTATTGAATGCTTTTGAATCTAAAGTTAAATAATTTGGAAAAGAAAAAGCATATGAAAACCTTTTAATGCAATTAATTACTGATGAAAATTCAGGATCTAAGCAATCAGAATAGTGGAAAACTCTTGTTAGAAAACGTATTCTAGCTCTTCTCCTCTACATTCATTGGTCAACTCCAAATGCAGAAAATATTTTCAATGACTTCTTTGCTATTTGGGATTTGATTTATCCTAACCATCCTCTCCCTTAGAAAGTTAAAAAATCTGCATAAGGAGGAGCTGGATCAAATAATTAAGTTTCTTCTTAGTTAACATTTTAGAATTAAAATTAGCAACCAATCGAAAAGCCATCAAACCCAAACAAAGCTATGAAAAGGAGTAAATAAAAAATTATAGAAAATATGAATTTGTCATAAACATCATTAAGCAGTTAAGCTACAAATTTCAATAGCTAATCCACTTCTTTATTCCAAAACACATATACATCAAGTAATTAAAGAACTGCTAAAGAATCAAAAATTACTTCATCATAAAGTTAGGCATCATCTGAATTGCATCGTTCATCTGTTAAATCTGAAAAAGATGTTCCCTCTATCAGCTATTCTGATATGAGTTAGTACGGTGGTCAGTATTAACAGCAACAAGGTGTAGTTTATTAAAATTAGAGAAATTAGATTTACATAAATTCAAATCATCAGCAAAACCTAAATGATGGTATTCCTCTCCAATAAACATCATCAGGATTTTATTCTAACTAAAGCAATTAATAATATGACTATAACTAGAATTATTATGGAAATTAGCAAAGCAGCACTCAAAATTATGACTAAAATTATATGATTCAAACATAGCCTGTGCAATAACAATAGCAAACAAATATGAGACCATAAAATTAAATTTTTAAAGGAAGAATGAGGAGTTAGAGTTGGGATGATTTGAATAATAAGAAAGATGAATACAGTTCTCCCTAAAATATTTAAAGTAATAATTTGATTAATTAATAGTAATAGAGTGGATATTATAATCAGCAGTAAGCCCATATGCCTACTTATTACTAGCAAACTAGTTAGCCATATACTTATGATTAGGTTGGCGAATATTATGACCCAAATTAAACAAACCAATACTCTCACCCTTAGTTAATTTAATAAAATTCTTAAGGATATTACACAGATTATTAGAATAACATACCATAATAGCCACAATAGCAGCTGAATATTCCTAACAGGAGATCATCAAATAATACACCTTAATAAGTTATAAACGATCCAAATTAGTAGCAACAAATTTAAAATTAAAGCTATGGATATAGTGCGCCAAATTCAAATTATCAACATTAACAATATTAATAGAACCAAAACTATCATAATAACTATAGCAGCAGTAATTAACAATACCAGCAAGTTTAAAAAATTCCATTCTATTAGAATAACTAGATTTATGACATTCAAGAAGTCAAATAAGAGGGAACTCCATCCAGTTAAAATACATAAGAATCAAACAATAATCAATTTTTCCATATGGATAAAATTATTCTTCCTGATCCAGAATCACCAGAACAAAGATTAAAAAGAGTTTCATAGACAAATCCATCAAATAATTACACACCACTTAATTCAAATTCTAGAACTCGTTATTCTTTACAATATAATTAGCAAGAAGGTTCAATTATGCAATTCCATTAACAGTAGCTATAATAGAGTTAGGGTAAAAATACAGTTTAATAACAACAATAATTTTAGCAAACAATACCAAACCAAAATTTATCAGGTTAAAAAGTTTAGTATGATTAGTCAGGAGGTAAGTATAATTAGGCTTCTATAAATAACACAAAGTAGGAAGAAGACCTTTACTCTAGCTAAAGCAATTACAGTGTAAGCAGTAGTTAGAAGTCTCGCTCAGCTAAGGCAAATAAAAGTTCAAATTCAAAGCAAAATTATGAAGCTAGCAGCGGAAATGAAAAATACTCAGAAAACTCTTAAGCAAATAAAAATGGTAATTACATTATAGCAAAGCAGGAAGATATAGATTAAGTAAACAATGGAGAGTCACAAAATGATACTCAAAGCGATTTTATAAAAGTTGACTAATAAGAAAATAATAACAAAGTTACATCCGCTCAGTAGAGTGCATAATAGTAGCCAACTAAAGGAAAAGATTAAAAGGCAAACTCTCCTTCAATTATTGTCACATAATAAAATAGCGATAGTCAAAGTAAGTTATAATAAATATAGCTTCATCCTGCTCATAACAACTAGCTACAAAAGCAAAAAGATACATCAAACAGTAAAAGAAATGAAAAATCTTTAGACAAACCTAACTAGAATATATATCAGTAAAGTACAATTAACGAAGATGATAAAGAAGATAGCATGCCAAGATGCCAAAATGAAGGAAATGGCTCCTCTGACGAATATTATTAAGCTTAAAATGATGACACAGAAGCTCAAATATCATAAAACAATTAAGCCAAGACTAATCAAACATAAGCAGATACCTAAAATGATTAAGATAATGGAAGCAATTTAAATTAAAATCCAATTTACAGACATCCTAGTAAAGAAAGAGCTCCAATAATAAATAACAATCTATTCTAAGATTTCCAACATCCAGAAGACATATATTTAAATCCTTCTGGTATTAATAATATAAATAACAATCTTCTTAATGTAGAAGATAAGTTTATAAGAAACAGTCAAAGACAAAATACAGGAGCTTCATGCATGAGTATTGAAAGTGAGAAAACTCCCTTTAAGAGAAGTGAAACAAGAAATATGACAGGTTTATCTAATATATCTATTGAATCCGATAAAGAAGGCAGAACTCCCTCATAGATCAATCGTTCTAAATTTTTCTTCCGTCATCAAAACAGTTTAGAATTCCCAGCTGTTTTTGGAGTAAGATCGAATGTAAGATAAGGCACAGCTATTTCTAATATCAGCGACGGATTAGGTGCTAATGACATGATTGGAAGTTAAACAAATATAAATCAATTCTTCTAAAAAAGGAGTAATTTTAAGCAATTCTCTGGGATATCTCATATTTCAATTGAAGGCGGTGAATTCAATTACTTGCAAATGATGCAGACAAGTAATTAAAGCTAAAACTTTGGTAATATACAACGTTCCTAACTTAGAAAAAGGACAAATTTGTCAGTCGATAGTCTTGCCAGCTTTAACATAAAGCCTGATAAAGATTTACAAAATCTTTCTTTCGATTTAGAAAATTTAAGCATTCATAATTAGCAATTAGATAATAATGGATAAATTTTACAACCTGACACTATAAATGAAAACTCAAATATATTAGACGATAAGCAAAATAATAATATTTTCTACAATTACTCTCCAAATAATGAAATTCTTCCTTGAAAAGCATGAATATAAATAATTGTGTCTTTTCTAATCTTAAATATATAATGGTCTCATAACAACAATATCAATAACAATAACAAAAACACTATATTATCTATTTTGATTTAAAACTTTGAATCAAAAATTATATTCCCATTTCTAAAATTTAACATGATTATTAGTTAATAATTAAGTAATCCTTAATTAATTAATCGCTACTAAATTCTTTTTCTCCATATAATAAAACATATCAATCTATCTATCTATCTAACTATCTATCTTACCTTAAATTATTTTAGATAATGTGACTATTACAAATAAAAATTACTATTTTAGCATTATCTCCTCCATCTACTATTTTAATGGTTGAAAACAAACAATGTAAGTAATTCTTTATTACTAATAATAAAAAAATAACAAGATTAGTTTTAAAATTAATTATTAAAAAATTATTCACAGATATTTCATTTTTAGCAATATATTTTTTTATTTCAAATTATCGTCTATTTTTTTGTTATTCAAATTCAAATAAATATATTTAACTAACTAACTAACTAAATAATCATCTCTACTACTCTTTTTAATCAAGCACTCATATATTTTTCTATCTATATCCCTTCCTGATAATAAAAATTAAAAAATTTATTTAAAAATTTTTCTGTAATTATGATTAAATATTCGACTTTTACAATCTATTATTTAATTAAACTAATTAATTTCTACAATTTGTAAAAAAAACATTGTTTTATCACTGGAATTTTTAAAACTATTATTTATTTATTTAGTTTTAGAAATATTTAAAAAAAACTGTCTTTTTTTTTTAACCTACAAAGGCTGCTAACTTATAAAAATGCAAAATACTTTTTATTGAATAAATAATTATTTACTTTTTAACGAAAAATAAAATATTTTCAATTTTCTCATAATTTTTAATAATTATAATGTTACTACAGCAATCACTGAGATATTTTTCAAAAAATCTTTGCAGCTATTCACCTGTTAAAAGTATATGAAGAAACCTTATCTAAAATTTTTTTGACCTTTTTAAAAATTTCATCTTATTAAATTTGTTTTATTAAAGGTATTTTTATAATGGTAAATTGTGCTAAATTGTCATTTCTTATTTTAATTTATATTCTAAAATGTAGGGAATTTCTGCTATTTTTTCTTTAATAGCTATTATTAAAATAAAAATTTACTAGATCAAAATTTAGTAATACTTCCTTCTATTGGAAAAAAAATCAAAAGCAAAAGTTCTAAGGAATGTTTAAATGTTGCTTTTAAACAACTCAAAATATTTAGGCAATTAATATAAATGTTATATTCAACAATAAAAATGAAGAAGAAAATTAAGAGAGAATAAATTGAAATAAATACTATAGTTAAATGATAAATTATTCATGAATGTAAAAATGAAAAAGTGAACCAATTAGTTTGTACATAATTTATTTTTTCAAGCTTGAATGGCTTGGCTTGTTTTTAAAAAATTGCAAGAGTAAAGTAAAAATAATATGTGAGAAAATATAAATTTATAAATAACCATACATATATCAAGACTATCAGTATTTTTATTCATTCATTAAGAAAAAACCAGTCATTTTGAAAATTTTAATTTAGTATTTTTTTATTTCTATTTTTGAATACAACTATAATTAATAAGCTTTTAAATATAATAAAAAAATTAATAACAATTAATATAAATATAAAGTTAGTAATCCAGTAAATTAGTAATAAAGCTCAAAGATGAGTTTGTCATCCTTTTAAGACGTAGGTGAAATAGGCTCACATAATTCCACTAAAAATTAATTGAAACTTCAAAAAATTTAATCGCTCTTTAGAGGCGATTCAAGGGACTTATACAAATAATCTAGTTCCATAGCTAATTTAGATGTAATAAATTATAATTTAAGATATTATTTTAAGATTGTTTAGAAAGAGGAATATTAATTTTATTATTAAAATATAGATGGTATTTGATATCTTATAAAGAGATCCTCTTCTTAGGACAATTAAAGAAATTGAATACATTATAAAACAGTTTAGCGGAATAAATTTTTTGTAAAACTATCTTTAAGATGGTTGCAAAGTAAATAAATTTAAAATAATTTGCTAAATTTCATAATGATCATCACATTTAATAAAAATAGTCATTGATTAAAGCAGTAATAGAAAGATCTACCATTTACCACTTTAGTGAAGGAGAATTTATTTACAGAAAAGGTATATATTGCATATTCTTCTAAGCCTTTTTCAAACTATTTTGATAGAAATGTAAAAATAAATAAATTTCTATTAAATAGGTGATGATTCTAATTTTCTCTATATAGTCTTGTAAGGTGATGTAGGGATATATGGATAAGTTTTACATCAAAAGAATACTGCAAATAACACTCTAATTAAAGTATTAAGCAGTGGAGATACGTTAGGAAATATTGAAATGACGCTTAATATGAAAAGATTTTTCTCTGCATAAGCGTTGAATTTAGGAACTTTAATTAAGATAGATAAAGTAACTTTCAATAGATACTTAAGAGATGTAGAAGAATAGAAGTTAGATGCAGACTTTAACTTTTTGGAAAACATTCAAATTTTTAAAGGTTGGAGTAGAGACGATTTGATAAATATATATATTGATTGTATATCTCAGAAATATAAATACTAAGAATAAGTCTACACTTATGGATAACCTAGCTAATTTATTTACATCGTCAAAACTGGCTAATTTAGTGTAAAATAATTGTATAAATAAAGTTAATAAAATTCATTTTATTACTAAAAAATGTATAGATTTTCAAATAAAAACCTCTTTGGTTTAAGCATGATGTTGAGTAGTTGCAAAATGGAGTCATGAATAACCAGTCTTGCATTAAAGTATATTCAAATTTTTGATTTAAAAATAAATCAATTATGCTTATTAAATCTTTTCTAAAGTGCTAACTCACTAACTTATTTACTTTTTATAAAATACTACAACTAAATATTTTTATAATTTTAATATTACTAAGGTCTTTTAATGATTTTTTTTATTTTATAAATTTTTACTGAATCTAAATTTTTTTTTTTCAATTTCAGATAGGGAAATTAAATGTACTAGACATTTTCGGATATGATGATATATTCTTAAATTCAAAGAGAATGAGAAAAGTTACTTGTGACTCTCACTAAGGAGGAGAATTATTAGTAATCTCAAAGCATAATTTTATAGCTTCAATTCTTTCACATTAACCTATTAAAAACTATCTGCTTTAAAAAACAAAATCTGACTATTTTAAACCCTCTAAATTTATAGATGATAAACCTACTGCTATAATGGGAGACAACGATAACTTTCTAAACTAAAATACCCAGTAAGAAGCTAGATAGAGAAATATTAAAATGAGCATTATTAATCTCTCTGAAAAATCGACACCTAAAAGAGGCCTAAGCGATAACAAAAAGAACAGCCAAAGCAAATAATTTGCAAAAACTTTTTACTAATTCAAAAATCAAAGCGTTAGTTATCTCCCCTCTGTAAATTAGTTTGAAAGTGGTGCCTTGGATAAAGAAAAAGAAGGATAAGAAGAGAAGAGTGTCCGTGTAAAATATCAGCCTTAAACAATAGACTCTGGAAATCCTTTATCTCACAAAAAGTTACCTTTCCTTAGCTAATTAAAAGATAAATAAGATTAAGGAGATCAAGAGAGTTTGAAATTAATTATAAAAGAAAATTACTTTAATAGAGCTAGTGCAGCGTATGCTCATCTATTTTCACATAAGTTAGATAAGCAAAATAAAAACACCGATTTATCGAAAAAGAAAACAGAAATAAATACCAGCCAGTAGTCTATCTAATCAAACATACAAAACAATGTAACAAATAACAGTAATAGTCAGGATTAAAGCCGTATTTAAATACCTATTTAAGAAAGCCCTGATTACAATAATTTAGAGAAACAGGATCACCAAAAATAATATTCAAATAATTCTGCAAGGGGAAGTAATTCATTAATATTTGAATCACCTGTAAAACCGAGGAACTTAGCTGAAAGCTAATGTTATTCGAAAAATTCTCCTCTTTAGACTGAAAGTAATGAAATAAATTCTCCTTAAAAATCCTTCGAGAGGTTTTAAATAAATAAAAAATAAATTTATTACAGCTAATTCAATTCAAGAGAAGATCTAGATTCTCTGAAGCAAAACCATCTTTTCCTATCTAACAAAAAATTTGGAAACAGCTTATCAAATTTATAACAGTTTGAAGACTTATGGCCAATTTCTTCAAAAAACATGTTAGATAATAAATATTTAAATAATATCTCTCCTTTGTCTAGTCATTCATTTAAAAAGTTAATGCCCATACAACTGTAAATGATAAGCAATAATTGAAAATCTAAATTATTATAGAAAATAAATAAATGCACAAACAAATAAGTATCTAAAAATAAAAAAATTTAATTAAAAACATATATTTATATGTAAAAATATACTTAAAATAAATAAGAAAGCAATTGAATCATTAAATAATAAATTTTTTTGTTTCTTTGTTTTATTGTTAAGTTCTTATACTAATTATAAATAGAAGAAAAAAAATAAAGCTGGCTGATTCTTATTTTTTGAATTTTAAAAAATATTAAAGAATTACCTTAAAATTTCTATACAATTAACTCATCAATTTAATAAGATTACTACACTTTTTTATCTTTTTACAGACCATTTTTTTAAATGTAAGGATATCTTATGTTATTTATTGATATTTTTAAATCACTAGCTATGATTTCAAATAAGTCAAATTTTTTCTCTTTTTTTAAATTACTTTTGTTTATTTATATTAAAAATAGTAAATTTTTTCTTTTAAAAAAAGTATTCAAAACAAACATTACAATACATTTTATTAAAATTATGATATAATCTATTTCAAATATTTAAAATAACTTAAATTGTGTTTTGTTACTTTTATATAAATATAATACATATCCTAAAAAAGTTAATGGTAAAATTTAATTGACCTTGATAAAAAATAATTTGATTCTGAGTACTATTTTAAAACAAATCTAATCATTAAATTTTATTTTTAAAATTAATGGTTTATTTTACCAAAATATGATCTAGATCTAAATTAGTGCATTAAAATTTGCAAAATGAAAGTAACTGATTAATATTACAAATCATTACATAAAAAATACGAAAATGGGGACAAGATCTAAAAATGATTATAGATTGCATGTAATTATCCGTGAGCTAGCAAAATCTACTTTGTTATATTGGTGATGTATACATTAATAAAATTCAATCTTTTTTAGTAAAAATACAATTTTTTTAGTTATTCTTTATGATATAATTAACTACCTTACTTTTACAATATAAAATATTAAAAAATTATTTAATCATAAGATTGATGTGATTTCTTTTTTGTGTGTAGAGGCTCACCCAATTCTTTTATTCATAAATAAAATTCTAAAGTATAAACTAACTTAGTGAAATATTTATCAACTAATATCGCAACTTTCTAGTAATTTTAATTATTTTGCATATTTAAATAATACTTGAGTAAAAGTTATTAGGGAAAAATAAATTAGATCATTATGGTTAGTTCTTTTATTTTGTTTTATTTCTTACATTTGCAAAAATGAGTAAAATTATAAGTAATGATTTAAAATAAAAATCTTTTATAAATATGGGCTGATTTATTTTAGTGAATCCCTAACGGCAAAAATGTAAAGATACAAAAAATTAAATTGTTAGATTTATATAATAATAAATCATAAGCTATTCTAAAGAGTAAAGTATCTCCTTTTATATCATAATTAAAGTATATTTTAATTTACCACTCAAAAAATAAAGGTAAAGGCTGGTTATCTTTTCTTTTTGGTTGCAATAATATTTATGATTAGTAAAAATAGTAATTAAATTAAGCTTAATACCTATAAATATTTGGATTTTTACACAATATGCATTAAAATAAATATATTTTAATAACTGAGAGAAAGCTCTCATATGGTTTGGTTTGATTATATACTAAGTCAATGACATTAGAAAATAGTTTTATGCATATATTTTAATAATTTAGAAAGATTATTTACAAACTTATTTAAGAAGTATATAAATACAGAGAAAAAGAATAAGATAATGTGTGGCTTATTTTCTAATTACTAGTTAATTAATAAATAGAAAATAAGGGTCTTTTAAAAGATAAGGTAGAGAGAAGATAATAAGAATATTTTTAGTGGTTTTAATAATGCTATAAATTATTTAATTTTTTATGAGTGAGTTTATGGTTAGTATTTAATACATGAATTATTATGTATTTTTGGTTTTTTGTATTTATGGTTGTTTGTTAGTTACTTTTATATATTATCATTTTAAATCTTTAAACTAAATTTGCTTATTTTTTTGTTTCCTTAGAAAAATAAATCATTAATAAGATTTTGCTTGTTTTATACTCTGTAAGATAAATTAATTAGTTTATTAATTGGCTTCATTCGAATATGGATAATGTGAAAATTTCGATTTTCTTTGCTGTTTCTGGGTTTACTTTTTAATTAACTAAAGTTTGCTTGAGTAAAGAGACTAAAATCTCTATGTTTTCATGTGATTTTTCTGAATTTTTTTCATTAAATACCTAGAAAACATCTATCATGCTGAAAATGTTGTGCTTGTTATAAAAGATTTTAAGAAAACTGTTGAAAGTTTGATGGTTTAGTAAGTGATATTAGCTAACTTAAACAATAACCTTGTTCATTACATTGTAAAGCTCAGTGCAGGACTGAACTACATCAATATAATTTATAATAGATGCTGAATTAGGAATGAGCCATTGTATCTTCTTAAGCTAATAACTAATGTTTTTTCTAAATATTGAATTGTATTCCTTTAAGTCAGTTAATGATTTCTTCAAAATGTCCTTAAGAAGGTTAATGTGGCTATTTGTTAGCTGAACTCCGAAAATAGATTCAAATGAATTGATTAGGGAGTAGCAAGAAATTTTATTGAATAAAAGATCAATTAATATTTTAGTGAATGAATTAATCTTATCTAATTCGTATTTTTTGAAGAATTCTGAAGTTACAAAATTCTCGACTATGTTGTGATTAAGATTATATAAAGATAGATCATATAAATTCATCTATTCTTCATTGCCTGTCAATTAAGAGCGATACATTTCAAAGAATTCAATAGCTTTGTAGGCAATCTATTTATCTAAGAAACTGTTGTTTTAACCTTGCTTAGCAGTGAGAAAATCATAAAAAAATGCTTTTAATTAGAAAATGTTGGTATCATTAAGAACGAAGAAGGTAGAAACGAATTCTTATATTAAAGAAACTATTGCATTGAAATTATCAGAAAAAATATTCATCAAAAAACCTGAAATTTTTTAATGAACGAGATTGAGGTTATCGTGATAATCTTCTAAAATGATATCAAAAAATTCAACTTTTTTCATAGAATAAATTAAATCCCATACAAATTATTTAAGAACGGCTTCTCCTCCTATTTTCTCATGCAAAATATTTGCCTATTGACTTAATGTTGTTAAGTCACTGTTAGAAATAACATTCAGACTCATTCTTTAGCTGAGTTTCTTGCGAGTTGATTTGGGAGGGAAGGGTGAGATCAAGTCCTCAACTCTTTGGAGTTGCTTCTTTTATTCTTCATAGAGGGTTTTGATATTTAATTACTATTACTATTACTTAAAGATAAAAGCAGACTACTCTGAGTTTGGCGGAGATAAATTTGTAGTTTGATATTACTAAGCTTTTTCGTTTTCTATACTGGATTAATTAGTAATATTGATATTTTAGTAATTTATATCTGCAGAATGATCCATAGTTTAACTTTTTCCTGAGGAAGCAGGAATGTTCAATTAATTTTGTTTTAAACGGAAAAAGGCTGATTTACCTTTCTATACTTTTTCAGTGTTGGTATTGTCTTATGTAGATGCATTTGAATTTTAATCGAAATTTGAGTACTCTGATGAAAAAGTATTTGTTTTTTGACGAATAGTTTTGATTCCAGGTGAAGGGAACTCTTCTAATTATTTCTATGATTTGTTAGTATTAAGCTTAGTTATTTGAGGTAATTTATTCTATTGTTGCTAAGACTACTAATATTATTAATTAAAGTAGTCAGAAAAAGCTCCTGATTTTGTTTCATTAAATCCCTTTGTAGAATTTAGAGGCGAGTCTTTCGCTCTCAACTCCTTGGGAGTTAAGAATGATCCATGATGACCCTGCTTGCTATGAGGTCTAACAGAAGAAGGAGTTCCGGATGCTTGCTTTAACATATCCAAATTTTAAATCTATTACTTTTAGCAAAGTTGTAGTAGGTTCTCCCTCATCAATGATGATTTGCTCTAATTTATTTTAATTTTAGGGACGTTAGCGAATCCTGAGTTTGTTCTAACTAGAGAAGCCATTTTCAGAAGACTGCTTATTGACAAGGAAGTTTGAAAATATTTTAGTTTTGTATTTTTATTATTTTTTTTTGCTATTTTAAATATTGCTTTAGCAATTTATAATGAGTTTTATTGAATTTTTATAATTTGAAAAGGTAATTGGTTGATTGATATAAATTTTGTTTGTTTGTTTGTTTGCTTGCTTGATTGTTTGTTTTTTTGTTTTATCTATCTTTTTTTAATTAGTGATTACTTTATTTTGATTTCAATTATAATTTTTTGGGTAAATTTACTTCAGAAATTTAAAAATGATCTGATTGTATTTATATTTGTTTATATATATATTATCGAATCTTTAGTAATAAACAAATAATTTAGTAAAAAAGTTAACTTTTTGCCTAATCAAAATAAGTATAGAGTTAGTTGTTTGTTTGTTTGAACAAATCTAATTAATCAGAAAAAATTATAATTTTTTGCACATTATTAATATTAATCAATTCATTTTTTTACATATATCTAGTGAAGATTCTTGATAAAATTAATTAATAATAGGACTTTGTAACCTCATTAAAAGCTAATTACGAAACGAATCTGTGAAAACACAACCAGCTCTCACTATAAATTCTTCCTTCTAATTTTTTTTTTTATGCCCATGTATATCTTAAAAGAGCTAAATTTCGACAATGATCAACATTCTTATAGAAAAATTAACTTATGTACTTCAACCTGCGAAATATATTTAGAATTTGATTAAATTGCTAAAAAAAAATGTAATTATAATTATTATTGCTCAAACAATGACCATTTATTAATATTTATTAAAAGGGAAAACGATGCAAGCTAATAAATATAATTAACAAATTCAAAATTAGCTAAATTAAATTATGTTTGAAATTAATTAATAGAAAACTTAAAAAGTAAATAATTTAATTACTACCACTAATATACAAAGTAAAAGATTGCTAAATATTTTCTGATCTATCAATTAACCAAAAGTCTGATTATACTTGTTGTATAAATTAAAATTATCAAACTATTTTATTTTATTTTTTAATTTTAAAAATGCAAACATATATATATTTTATTTAAAATAATTAAGATAATTATTTGATTTTACAATTTAATTGTCAATTTTATTCAAAACAATGCTATTTATTTACTAAATTTTGAAAAAAATATTAGCTTTACTTTCTTTTTTATTTTCATTGATGTAAGCTATAATCATACTAACATTAGCTAAAATACAATTAAAAAAATTAGTTTTCTTTAGTTAATTTTAGTATGTATGTATGCATAGATGCTTTTTTCTTAACTCAACTAAAATAAAAAACTATCACTATACTAGATATGTTGTAGTTAATTACCAATTTAACACCCTGGCATATTTAATAGTTTTAAAACATTTTTTCTTTAGAAGCGTAAATTAAAATAAATTTCTTATTAAATTTGGCAAAGGCTATCAATTTTTAATATAGATTAAAGAATATTTAACATTAAGTAAAATAAAGTTATTTTATGTTAAGTTTTTAAATTCTAATAGTTTATCGCTTACCTTAAAATTAAATAATGTTAGTTTTAATAAGTATTTTGCTATTTCAACATCAAATTTACTTGAAACTCTTTTAAATTACTGTTCATAATTTATATTGATAATAATTTAACTATTTCAATTAAATTTTTAGGTAAGAGCTTGAATACTTTTTTTATTCTACAAAGAACTTGAAAAAAGTAATAATTATTGATAAGCTCTAATTAAGTTTACAAATATTAAAATTTAAGCTGGTAAAGATTTCATAGTAAGTTAGTTGAAAGTAATTTTTATGATTTGAAGTATCTTAAAATATAAATTCCACTTTTTTAATACAGTAATTTATAAAAAAGTGAATGGTGTAATATTAAATTAAATAGAATTTTTATTATTTTAATAATTTAATTAACATTTTTATATAATGAGTCACTTCAAATTAGAATACAGTATTTTTCGGAAACCTTTTTGAAATTGAGTTTTATAATTAGCTTTTCTTTTCAAATGCATTAATTATTTAAAATTTTTCTAAGCTTGAATTCGTTTTTTTATTAATAAATTGAAGATTTTGCTAAAATCTTAGAAATCATGGAAAAAATTTAAAAATAATTTGAGTTTTACTAAATATTTTACAAAGAATAAAAAGTTTTTCATAAAAGAAGATATTAATTAATAAATATTTAATTATTTATAAATTTTTAAAGGTATCCTAATTTGTAAAATTATTTAAATGTAAGCACACTATTTTACTTAAAAATTAAATTCTTTACAGTCTATTAAAAAGTTTTTGATTTAAAGCATTTCTGAGAATTTATCAGGTTGTAGAAAAATAAATAATTATTTAGAAACAAACAATTATTTGTAATAATTCAATTTTTCTAATTCACTTACAGTAAACATATTTATTAGAATTTAGGAAATTTTTTTATTTCAAAAACATTTTTATAGATATTTACTTACAATTTCTAAATTAAAATCTAAAGAGTAGAAAAAGAAATAAATCTAATTTTACTTAGTAATAAAATAAAATTTCAATTCTTTTTTTATCCTTTATCATAGAAAATATTAATAGAAAGCAAAATATCTCATCTCAGTACAGAGTAAATTAACTATTTGAGTATTTTAGATTCTAATTAAGTTTAATTTCTATCCTTAGGGGATATTTTTATGAGATATTAGCACTTCTTACCTAATTTTGATAATTAATTACTCATAAAATAAATCAAATTATCATATACAAAAGACTATACTATCTGATAAAAAATTTAATTGAAGATTTTTCCCTAAATTATTAAGTATGTTCCAAACATAAATATAAATTATAGAAAAGAACCAAATAATATTCATTACTTTGTAATTTAAAATTTATGTTAATTTTTAAAAATTTTCTGAATTACCAAGCTTATTCCTTTGCTTTACTCAATAAAATATTTAGAAATGTTTAATTGCTTGAAATTTCAATTTCATTTGTAAAAAATTATCTTTATATAATATCACTTTCAAACAATAGTGCTAATAATAAATTAATAAATAAATAAATGAATTCGAAAATAAACTATGAATCTTTTATAAAATAATACCTTAGTAGGTATATATTTTGTTTTTTTCCTTTGTATTTAATAGGCAATTGATTCAAATAGTTATTTTTATAAAAGAATATATAAGTTTTGTAAAACGAATTCAGATTTTTAATAGGTTACGAGTAGGGTATGACCTTAAAAATTATTAATATGTATTCTTTTAATCATAAGAAATTTTTAAATTGATAAAGTAAATAAAAAATATCCAATTCGAAAAAGTTTGTATAACAAATTTAGAATTATTAATTGGTTACCAGTAGGGTATGATCTTAAAAATTGATAAAATATATTCTTTTTAACATTAGTAAAAAATTATAATAGCCAAAACAAATAAATAATATTGAATTATAGCTTCTACTTCAAATAGACGGAAATATAGATATATAATAAATATTGTATATTTAACAAGAAAACATACAAAATTTCCTAAAGCTTTTTTTCCAAATAAATGGAGAACTATTCAAAGAATTAGAATTTGTAGAAAATAATTTTGATTAAAAAATAGTTTTTATTTAAATTTTGTTATTCGTCTCAATAAAAATGAAAAGATAATTTTGTGAAAATGTTAAATTTAACCTAAGTATTATTTTTTATGCTTTGTATCTGTTAATGATAAAAATTTTTATTATTAATTCAAAAATTAATTAATTTTTTTAAATTTTCTTTTTAAAATAATTTTTCAGAAATTTTATTTATTTATATCTGATTTGAGCACAATTTTATCCAATTACACACTTTAAAATTCAAAAAATATAGAAAAAAAAAATAATTTTTGACTGAAAAAGCAAACAAAATTTTTTTTGATATTTGAATGGTCATGTTAAATTAAAATGATGGACTTTTTTAATAGATTTATTAATTATAATGCACTTAAATTTTAATCTTGCATACATATACAATATAAATTTAATTTTGATATTCAAATTACATAAATAAATTTTTCTCATTTTTTAGCTTGGGGTTAAGGGCCAGAAAGTAACTTTTCCAACTCTTCTTTAAATCTTTGATTAGTTTTTTTAAGATGATCAACTTATTCAGCATGCATTTTTTCATCATTTTCTCTTTATTCTTAGTCGTTTTGCTCTATTTCTTCTATCTTTTTTTCTAATGTTTCAACTTATTTTGATAATTCGTTGCATTCTACTTCAAGCTATTTCTTTTTACTTTCCATTTCTGCTTTCTTTTATTCAGCCTACAATGCCTTTCTCATTCCATAAGCTATAGAGCTTTCATAAAGTGTTTGGTAGGCCTGATTTTATTATTTTTTCAAATTAAATTTTAAATTGTTTAAACCAAAAAAATAAGCAATTTTTATTGATTATTTACAATTAACACTTTGAAATTATTTTATTTATTAAATACTATTTCTAAATAAAATTGCCTATTAATTCTTGACTAAAATTTGCTTAAATTTGAAAATTTTTTACTTGAATTGTATGCTTGATTTCGTCTCTAACTCTAACTAACAACAAACCTCTTTCTGCACAATTAATTGTAATTTATCTAATTAATTCATCAAAGCATTAAGCATAAAGTTCTTCTCTAATTGGGCAAATACCTGTCTCTCTTGCTTATCTTTATTATAATTTTTTATCAAGATTGCTTTATAATTCTAAAACATCAGCCCTAGTTGCAGGAGTAGCACTAACACTTTAAATCCATAACTATTGCTTATCCATAGTGTATTCTCTAGGGGGTAAAATACTGTTCAAGATATCTTCTGTTTGGGCATTAGTGATGCTATTGGGTGCTTTGCCTTTTTGCTTATCAAGAAGGTTACGCTTACCACTTGTAGAAACAAGTACTGCACTTGCGTACTTAACAAGTGAATTAGGAGTTGTGATATTTGGTGGAGGTTGCATTTTATTTCGTTAATTCTTAACTTATTTTATTTATTTATTAATTTATTAATTAACTTTGCTTTTGAAAATTTTAATTAATTTTATAATAATGCATATATAATATAAATCGACATAAGTTTTAAAACACAAAATGAACAAATGAATGAATGAATGACTAAAGGCACATACAATAAATAAAAAGAGATATATAGATAGATGTATTTATTATTTATTTATTAATATAATGTAATTAATTTCTTTATTTTTCTAATTTAAAAAGCATTCTTTTAGTGAAGAAGTAGTAAGTTAATAAATATACAAATCATGGAAGTAAGTTATCAGTAGTCAAGCCATATTCCATGAGCCTGTTTTCTAGTTTTATTCTAACAATATTTACCCATTTTATTTATTCTATTTCTAATATTTATTATTGCTAAATAAGTAAAATATTAAAATATTTGTATCAAAATTACTCTCTTATAGCTTGACTCTTTGTGTTTCTGCTAGCCCTTCCAGACTTTTTATTTTTTTATTTAAATTTCTTATCTCTCTCTTCAAAGCAAAGCTGTCAACTTCTGTGTCAATTTTTTTCTTTATGTAATTCTTATATAAAATGTATGTGAGTTAATTATTTTATGATATAAATGCTATTTATCATACATATTCATCTTTCTTTGATCTTTTATGAATGACGTCCCCATAACTGCTGTCACAATCAGAGATGAAAGATTTCCTATTTTAAAAATTAGTAAAAAATAGAATAACAAAATATTATACCTTTATTACCCTTAAGAATTGAATTTGCTTTCACTTGAACTTGCTAGATTCTTGAGAGTTAAAACTTCTTACTGAAGCTAGTTTATCTTGAAATTAGCATTTATTAACTAGTGTTCCACTTAACTTAATTATATGTGTAGTTCCTCTATTTATTAATTTTATTATATTTGCTTATTTAAAGCGAAACTCTCTCTTTATAAAGTATCCATTTTTTCATCTATCATAATGAATTTGTCTCGAGTACTTAATTAATCTTATATATTTCCATTATTAACATTTTCTTTATCCGTATCATCCCAAAAAAATTTATTTTTTAAATTGCTTTATGGAGCACTAGACTAACTATTAGAGCTACCAACTAAACTTAAAAGAGTATTTTATGGTTATTACTGCTATTACTATGGAATTAGATTAGGTTATATTTCGGCTTTCCTCTAATTTAATTTTTTTTACATATCACTAACTTACTAACTCAATAATTTATTAGAAGCAATTAGCTATGTTTTTTCTATTTCCATATCTTAAACTGTCTTTAAAAGGATTTAAGTTTAATTAGTCAACTTTAAGCCTTCTTCTTACATTAATTAGTAAGTCTGTGTCATTTTTCCCATATTTTCATTCATTTAATCTATTTGAAGTCTTAGTCTTAACACCTCATTTTGACTATCTAAATCGTTTTAATTATTAGAATCTTTTTCTCTTAAATCTTGTATAATTTGAGTCAATCTTTTTAAAGTTAATTATTTTTAATTTAATAATGCCGCCTGATAATTTAATTTTTAAAACCAAAAATAAGCAAACAAATAAACAAATAAAAAGAAGCAGTTGGTGAATTTATTGGTGATAATTTTCAAATTAAAAATGTTTAAAAAAAAGCATTTGACTAAATAAATTAATAACAAATACTCTTAATTATTCTGCTTTAAATCTTCATTTTTTTTCCTGATTGTCATAATTTCTGATCTCAAGTCATTCAGTTCTTCATTTTACAACATTATTTTTTCAATATGATTTCTTTTTATTATACTCAATTCTTCAATTTAATCCTGCAACGATTATATGCAAATCTCCTTTTCTTTCATTAATTCCTCACTTTTTTCTACTTATTGCTATCAAATAAGTAAAAAAAAATATTTGCTACTTAGTCTTTTTTATTAATTTGAATTTGAATTTACTTTTAACTCAGAGTTTTCCCTTTGAAAATTATCTATGAATTCCTTGCTTATGCCAGATTTATCTATTAGCTATTTTTCATTTATATTAACTACATTTTTAATGGCTCCAGCATTTTTACCAAAATTTAATGTGTCTCTAGTTTCTTAATAATTTATTGCAGAAGGATTGACTGCGCAAATTACAATAGTCCTTGAGTTACCTCCAAGACAAGGCTAAAGTAATCTAGTGAGCTTGGAGTCTCTATAATTAATATATTAACCTGGATTATTTTAGCTCAATTTGTTTATAACATTTGATAATGCGAGAAGTGATTTATTAATGTTAACGCCTTCATTTTTAGTTTTTGTATCCTTTTCCGTCTTTGATCTCCCAATATTTTCTGAACCAGCTAAATCAATAAGATTTAAAACGGACTGAAGTGTTTTAGTAGGGTTTTTACTATCCCTCACTTCAAAATTAAGTCTAAAGATAACATGTGATCTGCTTGATTGAGTGTTTTGGCTTGTTTCACCAAATTTTCTATTAGCTTCTCCCTATTTATAGAGCTAATCTGCTTCATCTTTACTTTAAACTACTTTTTCTGTTAAATTTTAAATATAAATTCCTTTTGAATGGTGTTCTCTAATCTCTATATTTTGTTCTTTAGGGTTTAGCAGATCTATTATTGTCTCATTATATATCTCTAAAAATGATACTTTAATCTATAGTTAGACGCTTTCATTATCCTAAAAATATTTTTGAGGTTAAATCTTATTGCATAAATTTAAATATTAATACCATCTTATCAAATATATGGTTGATTGTTTGAGGAATAATACCAGGATTTTCTTTGGTTCCTTTCATTGTAAATGTTTTACCTGAAGATGTTTGACCATAAGCAAACATACAAACTATTATTAATTTTAAAATAATTAGATTAATTGCAAATATGACGCTTTTAATTATCATACCATTTTTTCCTTCAAAACACTAATCTATATTTTAAACACCAAGCTCTGTAAATATTTAATCTGATGTTTTAGTTTCATCAAATACTTTCTCTATTAAATTATATTAATGTTGATTAATTATATATATATGTAGAAGAAAAAATCACAAAGAGGCAAAGAGATATAATCTTGAATAGAAATATTTACCAAAGGAAAACATCTCCTTTGTTCTCGCTATAATAACTGATTTATCATCAACACATTCTATAATTTTCTCAGAGTCCTACACAGGACGTATTCTCAAACAAGTAATTATGTTTTCTTCTATGCTCATAAAAAATTTTATTGCTATTAAATTTTGAAGTGTTTACTAAAATTTATTGACTAATTAATTATATTGATTATTGGGCACAAATTTCGCTGATTTTTTCAAATTTCAAAGATAATTCACAAAGCTGCAAAAATCTTTTGAAATATGATATATTGCCCCAAACAATTAATTAAACTCCATTAGATCATATTAAATAAATTAAAGCGGGAGGGAGAAAAATAAACTAGATTTGTGAATGAGCCTAAAACATTAAGCCTTCTGGTCATAAATCTACTTGTTTTAATTTAATTTGCATATTCCTTTATTAATAATTTAATTTGACTCTAAAAAATTAAATAAATTTTGAATTAATTTTTCAAATTGAAAATTAAATAATTTAACAAGAATAAACTGATTTTTAAAATCCTCAAAAGAAAAACGATAAATAAATTCATAATATTTTAAATTGTAATTAATTTTTTATTTCAAAAATAAACTAAATATTAAAACACCTAAAATGTAACAAATAAATTTGTTTCTCTCTTTGTTTTTGAAATTAAAATCCTGAACAAAAAAAAATTATTATAAATAAGCTAATTAAAAAAAACATGTAACTTCAAGTATTTCAAAATAACTTGTCTGTGTAAAAAATTTTTATTTTTTAAATAACAAGATGTAAAATTAATAAATTAGAATAAAATCATCTTGCTTAATTTTAAGAAGAAGTCAACAAATAATCCAGTTAACATTTTGAGAATATTTTTCTTGGATATTAAAATTCAATGTTTTGTGCTTATTTAATTATAGAAATAGACTTTTGATTAAAAATTATTATAGAAAAATATTCTCAAGTATTTCAAAATAACTTGCCTGTGTAAAAAATTTTTATTTTTTAAATAACAAGATGTAAAATTAATAAATTAGAATAAAATCATCTTGCTTAATTTTAAGAAGAAGTCAACAAATAATCCAGTTAACATTTTGAAAATATTTTTCTTGAATATTAAAATTCAATGTATAGTGCTTTTTTATTCGTAGAAATAGACTTTTGATTAAAAATTATTATAGAAAAGTAATTCTTTTAAATTTCGATATCTATTTTCAATTTAAATTTATAATTTATAAATAAATGAACTACAATTAAACCTCTATTTGGAGATTTACAAAATTATTTAATATAAAACCCAATAAATATTTAGATAGATATTTTTGGATATTTAAATGTGTTATGTTATTTTTAATTTAAAAATGAATCAGTACTTTTTGTAAAGTTAAAGTATTTCGCTTTCTAGCTTTCTATCGTCTTTAGTGATTAAATCGAATTTTTCTCTTTCACTTCTCCAAAGATCTTTCAAGTCTTCTATTTATTTTCTTTTAATTTGCTTTAGTTCTCTTTCTTATCTTGAAAGTTCCTTTTCATTTTATTAAAGAGACATCAGATTAAATTTAATTAATTTTAATAAAATTTACTTATCTTTAAGCAACTTCTTCAATATGTCTGTCTCTTCTTTGTTATTCGAGAGCTTCTTTGAGCATTAAAATTCTATCTTTGTATTTGTTTTCTATTGAAATAAGTCTATTTTTAGCCTCCATTTCAAGCTTTTCTTTAGTTTCTTTATATTCGTTTTGCTCATCAATTATTTTCTTTTTTTCCAGCTCAAATATGATTTTATGGCTTAATTTTAATAGTTAAATTTCATTAAAAATTATTATAATTCAAATATCTATTTATTATCAATTACATGTTTCTTAGATACTAAACTTTCTTATCTCTCATTTAATAGTACAGAGATAATTATTCATCTTAATATTCTTTTTGTAACATCTTATCCTCATGCTTTTTAAATAAAAAAGTAGATTAATTTTTCTTTAAGAAATTAAATTTTTAATTTACTTCAGAGAGCCTCTTTTTCCTCTCTTCTTTTCTGGGATCAATATTATTTGATGATTATTTTCTTTACATTTTTTTCTCATATTCTTTTTTGTATGATTTGAGATAGTTTTAGTATTTTTTTGATCCCCCTCTTACTTTTTAATCAGTTGGGTCAGTAATAAGGTTCTTAAATTTTTTCATGTTTTACAATTTATTTCTAGTATGATTGATCGTTTAGTTTATAGCATTACCTGCTTTATTTTAGTTCTCAAATAGTACTTAATTATTTTAATCTTCATAATTTATTATTTGTCCTAAGGTTATTCCATTCTTAGCTAGAAGTTACTATAATTCCTATAGCTTAGGATCATCAGGTGTTAATGCTCCACTTCTATAAAGATGAATTAATTCTTAAATTTTTTAGATATCTTAGTTCTATTCATTATCATAAATATCTTCATCGTATTAATTTTGGTAATTATTTTAATCTTTATCGTAAAAAGCCTACTTAATATTTGGATCGTTAGTTATAACTCTTTAATTTGGGTGAGAATAAATATCATTTTCTATCTCTTTTTTATCACTTTAAATTAAATTCTTAAAGCTTGGATTTTTATTTAATCTATGTTTAACATTCTGATCCTATATATTATTATTTTAGAGGTTTGGATCTACATTCTCTTCATCTTGTTCTTCATTGTTTTGATAAATGCCTTCATCTTCTTCTTCATCCAATTCTAAGTTTTCATTTTTATAAAATGTAATTGATTTGATTGATATAACATAGAAAAATAGAAAGTATAGCAATAAATCTATTTTTATTAAACTTATTTAATTAGATTTTAAAATCAATCTATTGATTTTAACCTAATAAAATAAAATCTTCAATATAAAGTTTCATCAAAATCAATTACTGCCATGATCTTCATCATCTTGAATAGCTTCTGGGTGATTTTGTTCCTTTTAATTAAAATAAAATTCGTTTATTTAAGAGTTTAGAAAGGTTTAAAGGGCATTCATCTGTCTAAATTTTCAAGCAAATATTATCATTTGATTAGCAAAGATCTAATAAATAAAGCTAAACCTAACCAAATCAAATCAAAAAAATTTAAAGAATGTACGTCATTATTAGCTATTTAAAAATAAATAAAATTTCTTAAATAAAAAATTATTTTAATTTAAATGTTTACGATCCTAGTTTGGGTCCCTTTTCATTACATATAATTTTGAAAGTTCTAAAATAATTTGCAAGAAATTAAGTAAATGTCTAGGGTCTTTATCAGCAATAGCTTGACCTTAGATATGAGTTAAATCCATTGTTAATACATCATTAGATAAGCCATTTATCAACATTTATAATTTTTTTCCTGTAGAAGCGTTACTGTCTTCTATCTATTCAACCTTCTTCTTCATGAAAGGGAACATTTTTTTAAACATTTCAATGTAAATTGCTTCTTAGTAAAGATCATCTATAGACTAAATAGGAAGATCAAGCTCAATATTAGTCATTATTTCCTAACAATTGTAGACTATATTTTTAGTCTCTTAATTTAACTCATTGTCGTAAATCTAATCCATATTCTCACTGCCTTAATTATTTTGATCACTCATGTTTGTTTGCTCGTTTGTTGATTCCTAATTTCCTTTTAAAGCTATATATTTGAAAATATATTCAGTTGGCTTAATAATCTGAATTGTTTTATTATTAATTTAATTTGTGAAATTAGATGTATTACAAATTTCAAGATTTTTAAAATAATTCAAATTTTATTGATACTAACATAATCAAGCAAGCAAGCAAATAAATAAATAAATTAATTCATAAATAAATAAATAACTATTTAGATTTAAAGTTAAGACAAAGATTATTGATAAAAATAAATACTTGACTCAACTTTAACAAATCCTATATTTACTGAAAAATATTAGTTCACTAAGATTTTTTAGTTTCTAACAATTTTTACATTTCAAATTAATTTAATAATTAAATAAATAACTATTATATAATTAAAGAATAATTATAAGTATTAAATTTAAAAATTTTTTAATTAATTCTTAAATATTATTTTTAATTCCTTCTTAATTATTTTTTAATTAATTCTTTAATATTATTTTTAATTCCTTCTTAATAAAATTTTAATTAATTCTTAAATATTATTTTAAAATTATTAAATAACAATTTAAAATATTGGATTAGTTTTATTTATGTCTATAATTAATTAGTCATTTAGATTAGAGAAATCAGCCAAAACTATTTTAGATAACTAATTCAAAAATTTCTAACTATTTAATTAAAAAAATATTTTATAAATAAAATCAATTTTTCCTTAACTAGTAATATGGTTTTTATATTTATATTTTATTGAATTAATATATTTTTAATTCAATAGAGAGTGGAAACGTATAGAATATAAAGACTTATTTATTTGTTACTGGAATAATATCTTACATTAATAATTAAAATTTTTTATAAAATTCATGTAAATGTTATCAAACCATTCTTTTAAGTTTTTTCATTTAAAATTTAAGATCTCTATATCTGAATAAATGATGAAACTAGTTGTGCAGCAGCCTTAGCTAAATTAAATATCTATTTTATTTAAGGGTCCAATATGCCTAACATTTTTTTGAGAAATTCTCAATCCAAAAAGATACCTGTCGTATCTTATTTAACTAAGCTAAATCGAGTCTCTTTCCATCCCAAAGTAGATCGAATTCTATTAGCCTTGGAATTTTGTGTTTTAGTAATCTAATGATTAATTGTCAAATTAATCAATTGTATTGATTATAGATACTTTAATTTATCCTCTATCATGCTTGCTATTTTATATTAGAATGTCTTCGACTTTAATTTGTATATTTCCATTCATTTTAATATTGTAATCAATTGCATTTTAGATTAAATTCTAAAAAATATTTGAGAGAAGCTCAGAATCTTGGTAAATATAGTTTTTATTACTTTGGTTTTTGAATGTAACTTTAATTTTTTTAGTTTCAATATCAAATCTGTAATGGCCAAGTATACAGAATATCATTTAGTCTAAAGATATTTAGTTTTTAGCACAACTTATTTTTTTTTCTCCTTTCAAGTAGTTCTCAAGGTTTAAAATTTTAATTTACATTTTGGAGACCTGCGAATACAGTTTTAATAAACTTTATCTAAATTTTGAAGTATAGTTTATTCTTTCTTTAAGTATTTTTTGCTGATGTTTTAAATATTCCTCACTTGTATGTATGATTAAATTAGAGCTAGAAATATCTTTGATTGGTGACTCTAATAAATTTTGACTGTATTGCTTTTTATTATCAAAATGGTCAAATTCCAAGCAAATAGCTTACTTTTACTTATCTAAATCTATTTATGAAAGTCTTTATTAGCACTCTTTTTCTTTTTCATATTCAATATGATTGTTTAAACCTTAATTCAAATCAAATTAAGTTTAATTAATTTAATCATTTTTGATTAAAATTGTTTTTTATTAATTTTATTCAGTAAATGATATTAAATCGTTTTTGCTATACATTTATTTATCTTCATTTAAATCCAATCCAGTAAATACTAAAGTTTGGTTATAATCTTAACTTTTCTTTTTTTAATAGCTTATTTGATCTTTTAAAAATTAAACAATCGGCTCATTTTAGTTTTATATATTTTTAATACCCTAAATATTGGGACTGCTTAAAGGTGTTGATTTAATTGTATCATATACTTCTTGAGTACTAAATTATGTTTTTGATATTAAATTGAATTAAGAATTAATTGTTTCCATTTTTGATAATGAAAGATTATTTTACTCGCTTAACTTTTTTGGGTATTACCCTTTCTATAAATTACATTTTTAGTAGTAAATACTTTATAGATTTTTGTAATAGCTTTGTAATTAGTGTATTCCTTCGTCTAGCTAGTGATGAATACTATTTATTTCTTCTTTTTGAAATTCCATTACATCTCCCAATATACTTAGAAGTAGATTATTTTTTAAATATTAATTTGAGTATTTTTCTTTGTATGTTTCATCTTCTACACAAATTAAGGCGTAATCTTCTATCATGCCAAAGCAAATAATTTTTAGGTTAAATGATATTACATCTCCAGTTTTATTATTTTAATATTACCCTGATAAGTTTTGAATATTTTAATCACTGATCCCAAAAGCACTACCTTTATTTTTTGAAAGAATTTATTTTTGATGGAGTTTCTCCTTTACTAATTCTTTAAGTGTTATGTGAGAACTATTTGAATTACCTCTTATGTTTCTTCTTTTTAAAGTCTCAGAAATAGTAGATTTTGAGGTGGCCAATCCTTTTTATCTTTTATCTGAGTAATTTTTATTTAACTTACTTGCAGAAGCAGCAGCTTAATCAAAGATAGTTGAATAGGAATCTTCAACTGATTTTTCGCCTCTAATTTTTATTTGAGTTTGCTCTAAAAAAAACTAAAGATCTTCATCTGATTTTACTTTTAAATTGGACTTTGCTGTATTGTTAGAGTTTTCTAGCATGAGTCTTTGAGATTCTTTGTCATACTTTACAACAATTAAATTTATGAGTAAAATATTTTGAATAATACTTTCCCAAAAACTCACTTTTTTAGTAGAAATAAAATATTATCTCTTTTGCTTTTCTTCAAAGTAGATTTTGTAAACATAAAGTGTTAAATGGCTTAATACTATAAAAATAGTTAATGGCCTTTAATTAAAGGAAACATAAATTATAAATAATGAATAAAGGCTTGTAAACATAAGCATTAAAGTCATCCTATAGCTCAGGCTTGGTCCAATAATTATTCCAAATAGAGTGGCTCCAAGATAAAAACAATCAAAGGCAGGATCTTCTTTATTATTTTCATTATCAGGCTGCTTTGTATAAAAATGAATATAATTAACCACTGTAGCAACATACATGACTACGCACATTATATAGAAAGAAATATGAGAATATTTTTTAAAACGCTTGCATTTCATACATATAATCAAAATAAATAAAGATAAGTTGGTGGAGCCATCTATAACAAGACCTAGAAGATTTATCCCATTTAGTATTTTAGAAATGTAGTTTATAAGAAATCCAAGTTAATATAAAACAATAATTGGGAATAAAGTCTTTCTTTAGTGTTTATTCTCTAATTATTAGTATTCGTTTTCCATTTTTTAATTTTTAATTTTTAGTGTGAACTTATCCAGCAAAACTTAATCTTAATCCTACATTTTCTTCTATTAGTTTTAATTATGTTTGCTAGAAGTTTGTATGTTATTTTTTAATAGCTTTTATTTATGATTTTAATTAAATATAAACTTTACTATATTTGCAAATTAATTATTTCATAAAATAATTCATTTTCAAAGTACGATACATATTTATTGATCAATATTATGGTATTTTTTAATAAGCATTTAGGGGTTTTGTATTTTAATTCGAGCAGCCAAAGCCTTAATTTACTTAACTTATAATTTATAAAGAATGAATCAACTAAAAAAATAAAATACATTATACCTAATTGATTTCATACGGAGAAATAAAATACATAAAACCTAATTTATTTCATACAAAATATTAATTTAAAAATTATCAATATTTTTTCAATAGTTTTGAGTGGTTTTTAATATTTCGATTATTCTTTTATAGTCTGTAAGTTAAGATCTTTATCAAAAAATTCATGTTACTTATATTTTTAATTTTAGCTATTATTTACGATACTTGATTGAAAAAATAAATAATAAATTTTGGTTTACTTTAATACCATAATTACTAAAGCACAAATTTAAATAACTTTCTTTTTATACAAATTTTTAGAAATTAAAATATCTTATTACATATTTTATTTACTAATTAATTAAATCCAAGTTAAAATAAAAATTGAATAGAGCAAATAAAGTTTTTTAATCATGATATGATTTTTTTAGAAAAAGTTAAATTTATATTTATTATTTTTTATAAAATTATGGGTTATACATTTAATTAATATTAGTTAGTTAGTTAGTTATTTTTTAGAGGTGTTTGTGTCATATTTATATTGGGAAGTAGTTTTGATTATGCTAATTAATTCATTCATTCATTCATTTGTTATCTTCTTTAACTTAGTAATTTTATATTTTTTCTTCTGCCTAACATATTGGCAGAGCCTATTTTACAACAAAATCACATCTAAGAGGTTTATTTTACTTCTTAACTTTACTTTAATAAAAATCTTCTAAAAATTTAAGACCTGCTTAATATCTATTTAATTATTTCTTATTAAATGAACTTTCTGCTAAGAACTCGCTTTCAGCTTTATTAGGTTCATTTCTTCCTTTGATTATTTTTTATAAAGTTTATAAATCAGGCTCTATTTCTAAAATTCTCAGTGAAAAATCTTTCTAACTTATCTGACCAGGAAAATGATGAATAGTTTATTTAGTACTTAGTTTTATTTCCATACCCTCAAATGTATATTATTAATAATCAATATTTATATTCGTTTATCCTTGCATCTCTGCCTGTAAAATACTTGTATAATACTAAAACTAAGATTCAGGTGTCATCATACATAAGATAAGCATTTGGTTCGAGAATTAAATGGCCTCTTCTTCTTCTATGCCAATTATTGCACACACCCCTTTGTTAAATCCAAATTTTATTTCTTCATAAATACCTTTGGCATAGTTTATGCGATTTAAAAAGTAAATGTATATTGAATCCTTAGGTTATTTAGAAATGACTTCCTCAGCTTATTAAATAAATCTTTCTGTATTTTACTAAAAGAGCTCTTAATCAAATATCCCCATCTACTAAACTGCCCTAAATGCATTTTAGTAAGTGGAAATAAATTATTAATACTGTCTGAGAATTTATGCTTACTAGTAGATTTACTGATCTGACTTGCTTTCTAGAAGCTTGATAATAAATTCAAAATCATTCAGCCCTGCATTTATTGTTTGAAAGTGAGACTCAAATGTATTTCTTTCCTTATTATAAACAACTTTCTCTACCCTTTTAGCAGCTTGGTAAATATCTGAATTTATGTAAACATTCTTATATCCTTAATCAAATTGCGTATTAATTATAATTTGTCCTGGCAATAAAAAAGATTTATCTATTACTATGTTTTTTAATATATTTATAATACCAAATTTTTTTTTCTTTTTAGAATAATTGAAATTTCCCACAGTATTTTGTTTGATAGCGTTGCAATTATATTTACTGCTTATTCCTTATAACTAGTTATTATTTTGTTCTTCGTCTTTTTCGTCGCTTTCTTAACAATTTTTTTCACTGTTTTTTAATTTTTTATACTATTTCTTAATAGGTTTATCTATTATTCCAAATTAGATATTTTATTTCCTAGGCACAATAGCAAACTATTCATTTGACATTGCGCTTTTTTAAGCAGAATCAAGCTCGCACTAACTATTAGGAAATTATTACTATTGAGTACTATCTTCAATTATTTAGTATTGAAATAGATTGAATAAACTCTCCTTATTTCCATCTTAAATATTTTTATTTGCCACATAAGAACTATCTGGAAAGTTAGATAATGTAGGACAATTATTTTCTTATTTATTCATTTAAACTTCTCCTTATTAATAATGATAATTATTTTTGTTATCACGCAAATAATATTAAAAATCTTAATTTAAATTATTAAAATATGGTTATTCAGAGCTTGTAGATGAAGAATATTAGTCACTATTTCCTAAATCAAAGATATGTTAATTTCCACTCGTACTGAAATACTTTTATTTTTGAAATTAAATATTTTTTATAAAATCTCCCATTTTATTTTTGTAATTATTAGATGATATATATAAATTAATCACTTTAATATATTTTTTTTTTGTTTTCTTTTAATTTGTTTTTAATTTATTATTATTGATTGATAGACTTTGAAATATACCACAAATTTCTTCCTAGATTTAAAATATGTAAATATGATATTTTAAAAATATATCAGCGTATGTTTATATTACCATCATTTTTTAATACGACTCAGTCAGTGTAAATTAATAAAATAGCATTGGATATACAACAAAAAATATTTGATAAGATTGTTTGTATTAAGTATATCACTAATTTAATAGCAAAGTTACTAATATTTTTAAAAATCTAATATTATTCAGAGTAATCTAAAAATATAACTAGTAAGATAGACTAAGTTACTATTTAAGTAAAAGTCATTTTATTTTTTAAATTTAAATGTATTAACTAAATAAATACATATATTTTATAAATCTAGTAATAATTTTATTTTTTAACCAAACAAAAATGGGGTTGGGGTTGGGGGGGGTTGGGGTTGGGGTTGGGGTTGGGGTTGGGGT